CAAAACAAACTTCGTAACGAAAGTGTCGTTTATCAAACTTATTTCGGGATATACTATAAAATATACCTTTTCTTATCTTACCATATCTTGCCTTTTCCAAAATAAAGTTAATAATTTGCACCATTTGTTGCTACTTATTGAGCATCAAAAAATCTTCAGAGAAGTTTACCCTGACAAACATGTGATTTCAAAAATATAGAAATGTGTTACCTTGTCCAGAAACAAGAATCTGAAATTTGACAGTAAAACATATTTTACCCTTCCTTATTGAGTCTTCAAATGCATTTTGTGAAAATGGCGGATTAAATCAGACATTTTGAAGAGGAAATAACATCTATATTGTTATAAGTTAAGTTTTCACTTGAGATGCATTTTTCAGTCACTCCCTAACTTATTTATACAACACGAAGGAACCTAAGTTGAAGCTATTTTTTCGACCAGTCGACGGGTAATATAATAAAATTATTTACAGGGGGTAATCACAATCACAAACGTAGTTTTTAAGAGATCCATGAATTAAATAATAGCAACAAAAAGAACTATCTCTAATGAGAAGGATATTAAGTAACTAGCAAAGCTCGACAATATAAAATCCGCTTCTAACGCACGCTTTCGTCTTTACAAAATCCCGTATTCTGCCTGTAGATTAATGTTTCCCGATATCGAAAGCGACAGCAACCGACATAAAGGTCTACAAAAAAGTAGATTGATGCAAGTTCGTTTAACAAAAAACTACAAAAGATATCGTTATCATGGCGTCTTTATATTTAAAGTGTGATTTACAAGCACAAAAGTCGCGTAAAATGATTTCAGATGGGAGAATATCATGCGTACTAAATTACCAACGCAATATACTTATAAAAACACATTCGAATTTTTTTTTATATTATACTTTTACCAGTGATGTATGGAAAATTGTCTTCAGGTAGAGTTTTAATACAGCATTCAATTGGCAGCAAAAAAAAACTCATAACAACTTAAAAATATATTAAACCTTATAATTTTCTTGAATAATATTTTTCTAATCGGTTAACCATTTAATGCCTGTGGAAGTCTCGAATTGGTAAAGACAACTTATTCAACTTTCAATTCATTGTAAACCCAAGCGGTCTAATCAAGTACTGTTTTTATTTCGTGCTTAGTTCAGTAAAACGTGAACTGCAAGAAAATTTTTACAGCTAGAAATCCGTAGACAAAATTACCTCGGGTGGGATAAAATAAAGATATAAAATTTACAGCTGTGTATAACTATAAAAGAGCCCGAATAAAGACCAGAAACTTAATTTACCGGCAGAAAGTTTCAGACGAAGTTAGTTTTTAAAGAGGTTTTAAAGCTTGGCTCCGCGTCTGCTGATAATTCTGTTTTTCAATTATAATTTCATTAAAATCGAATTTCAGTTCGCGTTTCGAAAATTTTTTAATGCTTTGCAAACAACTTCAATTTACACAAAAAAAAACAGTGCTCAACCAGCTAAAATGACTGGGCACAAATTCGGTATGGAAAATTCGATTGAGCAAAAGCGGTTCCTTAAATTTATACCACACAAGATGGATTAGGAAAATGCGTGACATAGTTTGTCACGCAAGAATTTATATTAAGTGGATACTTATTGGATCCGGGACAGGTATTTAAATAGGACGATGACGATAAGACGTCACAAAAATTGTTGTTATTATTATGCTTCGATCAAAGTGAGATTGAAACACTCGGAAATACGCTTTTAAAATATAACTGCCACTAATTGTTACAAGCAATAAAGAAACGGCATTGTCGATTTCACTTAACATCGAGCTTAAAATCTATTGATCGATTAGATCTGGCTCTATAGCTGAAGCTCTAGGTTGGTCGAAGCTCTTTCTAACGCTGTGATTTATTTGATCAATAATTTATTAGGCCAGGCGAAAACCTTTTATATCGGTTAATCGAGGTTTACAAAGCAATGAAAATAATTTATTATATAAGACGTTTGTCCATTCTGACATTATGTTTAACCTTGGGTTGCCAAGGAAGGTAAATTTTTACCTAAATGTATTTCTTCATTAACTGAATAATTTGAGTTTTTTTTTATAATTTTTATAATTGACTATATAACCTTGCCTAGTATAAAAACAAGTCGTTATCTTTATTTTATATTGCATGTGGGGCTTTTACTTAGAGCATTCTGCATGAATTATGGTCAAAAAATATCTTACAGCGGCTGAATTAAAGCAGATAGCTGTTGCAGATTTTTGCGATGATACTGAAAATGAAACAATATGAGAAAACTATTGGAAGACAATGCAAACGCTGAAAACAATTCGACAGATGAAAACGCGACAATATGACAATATGAACAGTTTAAATAAACAAAAATTAAACTTCAGAGTTAAACTTTTAAAGTTGTTTCAAACTCAAAAATTCAAAATGACCTAGGCTTTAATAGCTACTCATATTTTTTTCCCATTGTTTTAAACTTCAGACTGAATTTCTTTTCTTTTTCGCAACCCTAGATATTAATTATTATAATAACATTTTCGAAGGCGAGTAATCCGAATTCGGCATAGTTTTATGAACCAACCTATACGGCGCTTTCATACTTATTTATAATTTTTATGCATATAATTTGTTTAATTTAATAATTCTACCAAAAAATGTGACCTTGGTCTTGATCTTGATCGATATTCCAGTGTATCATGAATGTTACGAAGACAACTGTTATTGTTTTTCGAATCTTTGTCTAGGAATTTAATGTCCCTTTATTATTAAAACTTTTTTAAATTTCCCACATTGTATTTCTTTAATTCCAAGCATTTGCCACTATATTTATGTTACAAATCTTCTTATTTTGACTTATAGTATCACCCGTCGCTCTGGCCTATAGATAAGCAGCAGGACTATATAAAAAAATATATTAAATTTATTACTTGAATTACGAATAGCAGTTATTAATATCAATTTGTTTATCAAAAACGTAAAGATAACGTCAGTATACAGAATTGACTTTATTCGTTGGCTTGCGTAGTTAATATTGAAATTTGACACTACTTACCAAAATCTCGCGTTCCATAGCTCACTTCGTTGAATCGCATTGAATTTCATAGGCCATTTGATGCCATTTGATTACGGAGTACATTCCTAAATTATGAAACCTAGTATATACGATTTCACGAAAAAAAAAGCGGTCCATTTACCTGATCTTATTTCACTATCGATTGTTACGTTTAAAATTTAGTCCCCGTACAGATTTTCAATTATCCACTTCAATATTTTACTTTTGTGGGGGTTATGGTAAAACAAGTGAAATATTAAAAACCAAAACTGAAACTGAAAACTGATTGATCGGAAAATATTTTAGTAATAATTTCGATTTGATAAAACTGCTGCATCGGAACAACCCTTGAGTTGCACGTGATTTTTTTATCGAAACTTTTTAACATCATAATCGAATTTCATATCCGCCTTATGTAAAAACAAACTTAAAACAAAAATAATGCTGCAACGAACGAGTTTTCGTTAGACTATATATATATATATTCAACAAAGGATATCAAGCCTAGAATCTGAACTTTTTCTTGTCCAATTGCCGAATTGAATTAATAAATATTCTAGCTTCATTTACCATATTGAATATGAACGCGATAGAGACATCAAAAACAAATTATCTACCCAACCATAAATTGATCATACGATTTTACGTTTTCTCTACCAAAATTTAATATTCATTCCTGCTTTTTTTTAAATTCCGTGTTATGTTCGATATCAAATACGACCCAAGATCTTATACTTACTAGTATGATGATCTCAGGTTTCCACCAGTTTTGTTCAGCCAATATCAAAAGCTATGCTAGATTTACTCTTAATATTATATGGAAATATGTACTGAATACTGAAGGCGACCATTTGTTATTTACTAATACAACAATATTGTATTTTAACTCATAAAAATGAAAATTTGGCTGCAAATTTAACTAACCATCCCGTCGCACAAATAAGTTGATTTTAAATCATCATAAACTAATCTTTTAGGGATCTAAACACTAAAATTTATAATATTTTGCACTCCTAAATGGTAAATTACTTTTCTTACTGTCACCTGATTATTCGGGTTAGGCAATAGTGGACAACCTACCCAGAAAACCACACTAATCAAACGACGTGCTAACTTTAGTAGAGACATTGTTGTTCTCAGTTTCTGCTGACATATCTTTGAATCAATATCGAAAACTTCATTCATTTTAAAAATCAAACTTTACAAACGGCTCCACATTTTTTTTTAATAATAAGGGTGCTTTTTTTTCAAAAAAAACTTCCGTGTTACCTTCTTAACTGAAAACTGTTAGTTATTGGCAAAACGTCCGAAATGTAAATAGTATTACATATTTTTTGTTTTTATATCTTATTAATGCACTTGACATTACACGATACTTAAACCATATGTTTAACGTAAAATAAGGATTAGAATTGACATTAAAATTGTCTCATATTTTAATAAATGACGAACCCCAAAATTGCGTCTTCCGAATCTATTTACCTCTTGGTATGATTTTTTAGTTAATTTGAGGAAGTATATATTTCGATATCTCATCAGACGAAAATAGTTCAAAAGTATCTAATAAGAATTCATTTGGCAACACCGCTCTTAGATCCTAGCCTCAATAGAGACGTCAGGGACAACCAACGGGAGAGATTCAATGAACCGCGTTTATTTATGTCGGACCAGAATGATTAAATACAGACACTGAAGACGGTTTTAACCGGCAGCTTTGGTGCTATAAAATAGAATATTGTAAACAGTTAAATAAACAGAACTGTTATGATTTGAGACACTGTCTAAAATACATATCTAAGGAGCTTTGTGCTGCAATTTTTTAAGAGCAACTTTGGCATCAAAAATGTATTAATATTATATTTATTATATTACCAGAAACAATTCCAACCTGGACGATATAATATTTTATCCGAAACTTGATCAGTTATGTATATGCACACTATAGACAAAAAAAGACCGTCGAACACTCACCTCCTTTCTCGGCATTCGTTATAGTCACCCAGAAATCAATAGTTTTCTCAGGCCCCAGCTCCTCGTAGTCCCACTTCTTTTTCACCCTGACAGACCCGTTTTGATCCACGGTAACCCAAGGATTCTCGTCCCTTATTTTAAAAGTTTCCCTATCGGTCTCCTTTTCCAATTGGAAAACAACCCGCCCTTCAGTTTCCCCGTCAGTTTCTGTAAACTCGATTCTTTTCGTCGGTCGCACCGCCCTAGTAACTCTCCGTTTCTCCCGTTTGTGCTCGTCCAAGTTTTGCAAATCCAAATCGTCCTTGGCGTCTTCCAACGGCTTGTAATGGAAAATAACCTGAGCGGGTCTTGGTGACGATCGGCTCGGCATTCTTAAGTCATGTGCTTCGACGATCAGCTCTAGTTCAATTTCTTCAATTGGCTCCTGCGAAAGAAGTAGGTCACCCGTTTGAGGGACGATCACCAAGAAGTTAGTCGGAGTAGCCAATTTGTACGCGATCTTATCTCCGTCAGCGTCGGTTGCTTCAACCTTTCCTATGGATGAGAAACGCTTCCAAGTCTTCGTCACGTTGTCCCCTTCTAAGGAATCATCGCCGACAATAAACCGGTACACCTTTTTAGTGAATATAGGACTGTTGTCATTCTCGTCTTCGACATCTACAACGATATTGGTAACCGCTTTGTTTATGCCACTTAGATCCGACGCCTGAATTGTCAGCACATAGCGACTAACGTCTTCTCTATCCAGAACTTGAGATGTTACCAAATACACTCCCCCATTGCTCTCCACGGTAATGTTAGGACTCGTTTCACCACTAATACTGCTTTTCAATTCGAAACTTTGAGCAACATTTCCGGCAATAATACTATAAGACAGAGGTATATTTAATCTGGTTGTAACTTGCAATATCGACAAGCCCGCTACTCTGGTACCCGTGGGTTGATTCTCTCCGACCCTGCCGTTTAGTTCTTCGTTGTCTTCTTTGAAACTGAGCATGTTCCGCCGATCGAGCACTAGAAGTTGAACCATATGCTCTTTGGTCATGTTACCCTTTTCTTCCAAAACAACTAAGTCTACAGGTCGATTTATCAAAGGACTGACGTCGCTAACGGTCATGATCGAACCGTCCTGAAGCATCGTGAAGAATTCGGAAAACGTAGAATTTAACAAGGAGAAATGTTCGTTGAATTTTTTGACGCTGTAGCCTGGGTGGGCGTCATGAGGGATGACCGAGACCGCATCTGGTTTTACCGATGAAACTACTGTCAGGGCGAAAAGCGCCAAGACCTCTGCCGATGATCTTTTCATCCTGCCTGCGTATTTCTGTAACTTCACCTTCGCAACATTGGACCTGCAAGAGAAAATCGGATAAGCATTCGCAGAAATTTAGTTACATAAAGTTTTTCGGGCTGTTATGTACCCAAAACTAATAAATTTATGTAAATGTAAAAGTTCCTTCATTCGAAAACGAACCAACTAATTCCGACCCACCGTTCCTACTACCACCATTCCCTACTCTAAAATGCCCAATTCCTAAGACTTTACTTGGATCAGATATTTTCGGTAGATTTTAGCCATGGTATATATTTAGAGGTTTGTCAGTTCTGAAAGTTACATTAGACGCCACTCAGTGAATGTACTCGTGCTGTTTTGAAAAAATGTTCTCAAAAAATAATGATTCCAAATCAGACTCGTTACTAAAATACCGTTTATCAAACTTTTTGCATATTTATCGAAAATGTATAAGAGACCATTTTTGTAGAGCGTTCAATTTCCTATAAATGTTATCAATAAAATTGGCTTAATGATCTATTGGTAATAAGATATGATTATTTATATGAGACTAAGCTAGACTATATATTAATCTTCTCCTTAATATTAAGTACTTTCTAGAGCTAACTAGCAACTAGTTTTTGTGTCAGATCCAAAAAAATAATCTTTTTTTTTACCCACCTTAATATACATATGCTTAATCACAGCCTACACAGATCTATCGTAATTACTAGTTTATAATATAAACTGATAACATGAGGAAACAAATACATTGGGTAATGAAAATGAATGGACTCAAAAAACTTTGTCTATCAAAACATAATTTGTTAACAAAGGGAAACTTAATAGGCGTAAAATTCTGGCTGTCGGAAGCCCCCATTAGAGATTATGTAAATCGCTTGCGGCCAGGTAGGTACACAGAATTTAATAGAAATTCGTTATGTTCCACCCGAATTTAGACAGATAAAATTTTACGCCTATAGCACAGAGGTGTTTGATCTATCGCGATCCTAATTGGTTGAAGAATTAGAAGAGGCAGTCAATGCACTTTGCGAGAATGGCTACCGATTAGTAACGACTTATGATAAAATAATAAATACATTTTAAAAATTTACTGTATTAATTGTTACATAAATTGTTGTTAAACTAAGTGCTGAAAAACAAGCAAATGAATTTTCGAAGCACTAAGCAATGAACAAAATTGGAGATTTATAACTCGATAAACCGACAAGCCACAAATCAAGAATTACGCCCTAAATATGCTAATGGAATTGACCAGCTCGTTGCACCCCAGGAATTATGGGCGGCTTTCACAGAACGCCAGAATTTCATTTGACAGTCAATTTCCTGAAGAATTTACGAGTATTTTTACTCACCTGGAATAAATTTATCCCTTGGATTTTTTTTATAGTCGAGACCGTTGTTAGGATGATCTTTAAACACGCTGCCCCAAAATCAAAGAATATACTTTGTTGATAGAAAAGTAAATGTTTGAAAATTTGGTTAATGAATTAAAAATATGGAATATACATGCTGGGTGTTACAAAAAGTATCAATCCTACTAACTAACCGTATATTCGTTTGGCTAAAATAGTAGAACTTCCCGCTTTGTTAGTCAGATTAATTGTGACATGTTTTTAAATAGCCTAAGATTTTTCAAGAATACCACGCAGAAGCTTCAATTGATATGCATGAGCGTTCTGCTAAAAATCATACAAAAACTGTGTTTAGAGAATTGTGTGATATGCACAGAATTTTGAAAATACATGATATTGAAAATATTAATACCACTGTCTGTCTGTCTAACTTTTGTGATAAAACATAGAACCAACGGTCCAACTAACCAACTAAGAGTCCCTATAGAAAACCGTCAGCAAAACCGTTAGTACAACACGTGTGCCTTCGATATTTTTAACGTTAATACCAAATTAGTTAAGTGCAAAATTTGAAAATTGTGTTATGATTTAAATTTAAATACTTTAGTGCAAAAAAATTCAAATATGAATATCCCATTAAAATTAAGTGTTTGAGAGTGTTCAGAATAGCAAATATCATCTGCGAACTAAGGAATCCATACGATTTTTCAACGGAAATAAATAAACTTTGATTAACAGGTGAAGGGATGCAGTTATTATTCAATTTAACAGCAATGATTCTCTATAAATACTTCGGCTGAACTGTCGACAAAAATTCCAAAAGAAATAAAGCCCAAGTTTATTATCATGCACATCAATATATATCAACAATGCACTTTATTTCAAATGGTGAAAGTGTGAACACAAAACGGCGACATCAATCTATATGTATCTGTGTATGTATCTATGTATCTTATCAATTGTAAATAGGGCGCTGACATATAAAATATTCAAATAAAGGCTTTAAACATCTTCAATTAATTAAGAGAACACTAATAATAATTAAATATGTAGTGTGTGCTTCCCCATGATCACCTAATCTTAGTACCAATTTACAGATCCCACAATATTGACTATAGAAAATTAATCGAGTATTTAGAGAAAAAGTATAGAATGAATTTAACCGGAATCACAAAACTAGGATGCTGTTTTAAACCGACTAGGGCTACAGATTCATCGTTCACTCTAATTTTTATTACTTTTATTACGAAAGATTTTAAACTCAAAAAGGTACCGCGCAATTTTCCTGTGTTGAATGACCACACATTGATGTCGAATTGCTATTGCGGGATGTCCCCAAGAAAATTGAGGAAAAGTATTACAAAATTTTAGATGCAAAAGGTGTCTCGGAATTGCTATAACTGCGGCTACAATTAACTGTTGAATCTACATATCTACTGATGTAAACTTATTGTATTCAGATATCACAACAGCCCCAAAACCAAAAAACCATGTCAATAGGTTTTCTTGGATCCCTAACAGCAAAAAGATATGGAGACTGTTAAAATTTAAATTTTTGCAAAGTTCATTTTTTAATATATAATAATTGAATAAAAATTTAATAAACTCGAAATAAACAAACAGAAAACCGTTTGACGCAGCTATGATTTTTTTTATTCTACTAGAAAAAGCCGATCTATTAAGAGTACTTGAAAAAAATAAGAGAACTAGAAGTGTGTAACCAAATGTGTGGGACCAAGGATGGCTCGGTTGATAAGACATTAGATCTGCCGGAGCTTATGGGTTCGATTCCCACCGGGTGCCTTGGGTATTCTAATCGTAAAAAATTTCTTTATAAGTTGAAACTTGGTTGTAAGCTAGCCGAATTACGTTATGAAGCAGAGGCCAAGTAATGCGTAATTAAAAAAAAAACAAGTGTGTAACCAATTTAAACAAAGAAAGAAATTCTAGACACGTAATTATTTGCCCAGGCATTTAATCCCAAAAATATAGCAATAACTAACCAATTAACTGCCCAAAATTGCTTTATCCCTATTCTGAAAAAATGTTTTAATAAGTTTTTATTATATGTGTTTCATAAAAGTTTAGCAATACAAAATATACATTTTGAAATAGCACGCAATACTCGACAGAATATTTGTGTATATTAAGACTACTCTAAGGAATTTTTGTATGACAACATGATTGTTTCAAAGTTTTAAAACAACGTTGCCAAATAATTGGGAAAAATTTGAAAATATTTTACAAAACATGTTTTATTATCTCGAGGTGCTCCTAGTCATATGAATTAATTAGTTTTAAAAAATAATGTTAAGACAAAAACGCATATGGAGAAAGCGCTAAAAAAGTTTAATTCTTTTATCTATGACGGATACGCATAATTTATTTTCAGAGGATTCTACTATGAACTATAAATAAACTATCCTGCAATGGAAGAATTTGTTTGACTTTTTCGATTAGCGAAGCGAACTAATGCAAGGAATAAATTTAGCCTGCATTGTTTTTCGTAATTGAGAAATATTGTTCAGCCACAACGGTACTTGCACGAATGCTCAGGATCAGATTTAAAATAAATGAGTGGATAAAGGTTGCTTACTTAATGCGTTAAAAAAGAGATTTAATGTAACTCAAAAAATAATTTCAAGGTACCACTTTCTTATAATACAGTAGAGTGTTACAAATATCTCAAAATTACAATGTTAAAAAATGAACTCTTGTGAACACATTTATGGTTTTCATTCCAATTAGAAGATGCGTTTCACAAAAATAGATTCTTTCAGAAACACACTGAATAATTCAAAAAGTACATGTAACTCACAGACATTCACTAAATATTAATTGAAAGAATTTCGATATGAAATTATAACTAGCATTTGCTTCCTTATTTTGTCGATTCTATTTTCGGAGACAGTGTAAAACTTTATACTGTCTTTGACGCTTTCAACTACACATTTCTCTAGTATGTTCACATATATTTCTATAAAAAAAACTTTTTTTGGCTCTGGGACATTATAGGGACCTAACTAATAGAAGTTCTATATATAGTCCCCTCATGTTTTCTGCACGTGCGGTTAAAGCGCCATATGAAGACGCTAAAAAGTCCAAGGTTCAATTTTCTTTGGGGCGAGTTACTAGTTTCTTAATATCGCCTGCAACAACTGCGTAAATAATTTTATGATACGAAAAATATGAAAAAATAACATTTCCTGCGTTGAGTATAACTGCTTAAAAATTTAAAACTTTAAAGGCAAAATTTTTATTAACAGGTAATAAATATTTATAATAATATTGTTAAACGACGCAAAACTGCCTATGATATGGATGTTTGCAAAAGTGTTTTTGAGATCTATAGTATCTAGGTACATAGGAATGTAATAAGGAATTTTAAAACATGCGGTTTTGTATGTTTTAAATTCCCACAGTAACTAAGCAATTAATACTTTCGGTAACAGGAAATTTAATTTTCCGGTAGTCCGGAAGTGCGCTAGCCTTGGACTCAAATAATAAACAAGAACCACGTACGGCAGGCCAGTTTTTAAAAATTTTAATACATATCATAACGTTCGACCGATTCATTGAGGAGGGTTCATTCCAAACTCAGACATGTCCTTAAACAAATATCGAGAAAAACATGAGAAATGGATAGATAGATCAAAGTGTACCCACCGATTGCAGAAACACCGATGTGAATCCACTCATTGCGTGATCACATGAAAGGATCAAGAGGATCAGTCATTATATATGTACTAAGTGAAGCAAGACATCTATATTCAGCAAATCTGGAAAAAATAGGTCCATGCTTTGGACGCTGCTTAACTTCCCTATAGAGATTCCGATATAACCGCGTGTAACAACATTTACATTAAATTACCAATTTAGAGGAAAAATATGCTACTACTTCAAGTTGGCTAATGCACCGCTTATATTCAATTTCCACCTGCCAGCTTTTATCCGAAAATCCCAATTCAAAAGTAAAAAAATATGAAACTGACCCGCCCGCATATCGAAAAATTTATCGACACAAACCGAGCAACTATTTTGGCGGGAAACGTTGCTATCAAAATTAGCATTTATTTTTAAATCGGCTGCAGGCAGCATAATAAATCGTTTTCTAGTCGTTGCTCAATACAAGCCCAAACAGTGTAATATTTATTAAAGCGATTTTTTTTTCAGAGAAGTTGAGCGGCTATAAAAGAATTGTCCGTGTCCATGAAAACATTTTGAAACAAAGTCGAAAGTCAAAAATATTTATTAATTTCTGGGGTTGTTCGACACCCCGATAAGGCAGGGCCGTACGGCTATCACGCATAACGTCTAAAATCAATAATATTATGCCACCAGCGCGGCCGTCGTCTTCGGGTCACGACTTTTTGACGTTTGCCGCTGCCGAAACACAACAATCCGCAAGATTACCCTAAAACACACCCCTAGGATCGCGACACACCGATACTCACCCCACGTAACGATCCGTTAGGGAGATATTCTTCTACTGTACAAAATTATCCCGCAGTGAAAACTAGCGTTTCTGGGTTTCAATTAACATTAAGCGACACACCGTAAGGTAAACATAACATTCGCCGCGACACGGAAAAATCGAAAATTATCCAAAATAAATGCCGGCAAAACGCACCAAAAACGGTCCAAGACCGATTTCTAACCAAGCCAAACACTGTTGTCAGTTCAATTGATGAAACTTGGCAGCATCTTCACCAATCTATGTCCCGCGCCGCATCGATACTACTACGAGGCGACGATTGTGGCGGACATTTCGACGCGCACAGACGCTTTAATTCGACGTTGCCACGCCATGTCCTTATCCAGAAAACCGTGAGAAGTTCGTAGCAAAATTCCACTCTTATGGCAATTTAAAGAAATATTTTAAGGCAATTATCTTCATTAAGGAAACATCCAAATGCTATATTAATTTATTACATTATATTTAATAGAATTAAACTATTTCCTAAAGTGTCAAAAGCTTTTATACCTCTAACACTTAAGATAGAAAGATAGGCTAATTAAAGAATTTGGGTTCATACCCAAACTGTGAGATTATTCTCTCTATTTAATTATTAAATTTTATTAACTATTATTCTCTAATACATTAATCTTTAGAACTCCATCATCTATTTCCTCCTATTACTGATTTTCTATGTCAAACATTAGCGCGAAAAATCGGGGGCACACCACAAGCGCTATTGGGCATCTAGAATTTGCTTTTTACAATGTAACATGAAAATTGCACAACTCCTTCGACAGTTTCATTTTGTTGGACATCAAATCGACGACTGTGTAGCATAACAGAAAAATAACGTTAAACCCACTTACGTACTATGTTTTGCTACAAAACGAAATAACTTAAATAGAGAAGTTTTACATTGTCATAGATCGATTATTCCCGGAATAAATACAATTCCTCAAAAACCGCAGCCATAATTGATAAAAATATGAAAATATCCCTATTTAATTTACTACGATTTTAGTTTCCTTATGTTGCTTTCCATATCAGTATATAATCGAGTACGAACTAAAAAGTATTGTATATGTAAATATAAAGATCTCTTCTGTGAAATCAGCATTGCAGAAAGCTACAGAATTCTAATTTAAACCTTCATTCTATACAAAGCTAACCAGCTATAAATATATCTGTCAAATCTTTCTACACTTTTAATTTAAGCTTTTAATAAAATTTGAAAACTTTGACGCTCGATTGGAATAACTTTACCTTACTTATGAATTCTATCATCATTATTGTCATTTGCAATAACTCTAAGAAAACCGTTTCAAATTTTTGAACATATTGTACTCTATTGAGCCATATTCTAGGCTAACAAATTAATATTAACATAAAAATATTAAAATTGATTATGAGTTCCAAAATTTAAGGAATTCCGGTCGAGAATTTGGCAACGTCGTCAGGCCGGCGTGCATCGTGGGTACGAAAAGGAACCGAAAGGGCACGAAAAGGGCCAAAAATGGCCGCCGGCCGTCCACCCTCACCGCTGCTCACGTACATGTAATTGCGCTGCAACGTTGGAGGTAAATAATATATAGAGTGTGCTAATAACATGGGCGCAAGATATATAAAACTAAGCAGTATTCACGTATGCAGTATTAAGTTTCTTTGCCAAGGTAATTTTAGGGGAAAACTTACTGTGTTTCCAAAGTTTTGGTCAACAGCTCAGTTTTTCGGCTAAAATTATTAGATTGGCCAAACTTTGGATTGGAGAAAAATTTTGTCTTATTAGCACGATACAATTAAATTATTTGGGAAACAGGCATTTTTATCAGTGATAGAAAAGTATACTTTGTTTTTCGCTTTTAATATGACACAAATGTCACCATTAATTATACATTTTGCATAGGAGTTAATTTATCACAGCAAATAAAGATTTGTTGAGCCATGATCACCATTGGGTCCTGAATGCTATTAATTATATGTATTAGTTTTTATTGCCAGTGAAAATTCGTTCAATAGATCGTCGCGAAACCCTTTCCCAATTGGATTTAATTACAAGGTACAATATAAACATAGACAGACTCGGATTTGAACGAAATACATGTTTACAGTATTGTTTAAATTGCGTTTTATTTAATATATCTGAACTGGAGCTAAACACATGGATAGGCCAGAGCTCAAAATAATGGCATATAAGTATTCGATTTTTTTGGCTAAATGTAAGTGCCACACATTTTTTCTAGAAACACGCAACCAATAGCTTGTTAACTAATTAACAAATTAGTCAGAATTGTTCCTTAAATATGAACATAAAGAACCAGGTTAAAACTTGATAATCGAAATTATGTTCCAACTGTGTTGGTTACTAGCTACTACCATAGAATAAGATTTCTTTCAGCGTGTGCAGGGAGAAAAGCCTTTGAATTACTTTTTCCAACAGATGCAGTGCTTCGAGACACCAGTCCTAATAATTTTATCTATGGAGCAATGTTCCAAAAAACACATATGCTCTACCGAAGGACACGTAAAGCCTCTAGTAAAGAGATCCATTTATGATAACCAAGGGGAGTTTTTATTTAAATTTTAGAAAAATATTACAAGTGAAAGGACATCCACCACATCTTAATAAATATGAATCGGACAAAGACTAAAAAAAAAATAGTTTTAATTACTTATTTTTTGAATTAAGTAAATTGAGGAAGTACTGCTGGCGGATTATTATTTCATAAAAGTGATTGAAACCGAAAAAAATTGTTTGTCCTGAAGAATATCAAATGAAGTTTGGACATAGTCTCGGTTTTGGTTGATATCCCATCATAATAGGTAGGCAGTATATTGTACAAGTGTTGAAAAGTGCAAATTTCAGCATCACCAGGCGAGTGGTTTAAGAACACGAGTGGGAAAAACGTAAATTTAAAATGTTAATCAGCAGAGCACAAGAGTGCACTACCAATATAACAACACACAAAATATCAGTCAATCAAATTTCTATAATTTTTATTTTCATAATTTTAAATTTTAAGTTAGGTGCAATTTTTATTTTCTACAGAAGCATATCACAGATTTCGATGTAAAATACTGTTGGAGCACCATCAAACATTATCAAACTTGGTTGATGAGATATTGCTATATGTGTACCAAATTCATGCAACTGGTGCACCATTTTGGAAAGGGTCTGAAATGCAATTCTACCCATTTTTCGCTAGTTAATTGGTATATTGAACGTGTAGGTAACTCAAATGCATATCAGGTGTCGCTCGTATTATATTCGAATTTTGCAATCATATTACCCATTACCAATAGCGATTGTAAACAATAAATAATACAATTTAACTTTCATTTGACACGACCGAACGAGTACTTCATAAATGAATCGCTTAAGAAGTTTATCAACGTGCTGGCATACTATACTTTTTCTACGACCTGTATGTAGTCTATAGGTATATTTTTGAATACATTCACTGAGTGACGCATAACTCCCGTCAGAATTGACATACGTCAAAATAGTAAACCTGTCACTTAAGTACCAGAAACCTCCGAAATGGTTTTAAAAACAAAAAAGTACATATTCCTCTTATTTAATAGGTACGTCTTTTTTAGTTCATTTACAAAGAAGAAATTGCATCATAACAATTAAGAATGCAGTACCATAACAAAAATCAATTAAGAATAAATCAATAAATCAAAAGATCAATTCATAAACGATGATCGTTGTGTGTAACCACTTCCGGGACGTTTTCGATACGACTACAGAATGTTAGGCGTTGCACACCCTGTACATTGCGCAGAAAGTCGCAGCAGGCGGCGTGTTTGTTTCGCGGCTTCCTCGCCTTTGATTTTCGACGGTTGCATGACCGAGACTGACGAGTGGTGTGTCTAATCATTTATGATTGAATTACACGCGTAAATTCCGCTAAAATTAAAAACATCAATTCCATGCAATTGCAAGGAAATAACGGGACAGTTAAAATAAGTGTATTTTCGTCTTTATTTAAGTGGAACTTCATATTCTAAAATAGAAATCGGAACCACCTCAAAGTGGATCAAACTAAACTAAAATTTTGAGAATTTTACACTAAAAATTCGATTTTTAATATGTTTACCGATGCCACTCCGACCTAACCGTCTAAAAAAATGGTTAACACAAATTTTGCTAGAAAAAATATTTTCATATATTTAACAAAACAACATCCCGTACTGTATTACAAAGAAAAACATCAAGAAAATCGCTACTGTGCATTTAATATTCGGCCAGCAGAAGCACATAAAAGAGAAGAAAATGGAACGAAAATGGAAATATAAAGGTCTAAATTGGCCACTTTTGCACCAGTGAAAAAGTCAAGTATCAGTCCCTGATTCAAGACATACATATTTCACACAAAATATATTTCATGTTTAATGTTCTGTTGCTAACCGAATTTTGCCTCTTTTATTCTGATTATTTTTTAGTGTCCTTTTAATAGCTAGCATGTTTCATTTACTTTTTTCTCGTGTTCTTTTATACAGGGTGTTCTAGTTAGGGCTAAGAGGTATTAACATGGACGGTCCTAGAAATTAGAAAAAAAATTATTAAGTAAATCGGCCAAGTCAAAATACTGGAAACTCATCATATTGAATTTTTAAAACTCGATTTCTACAAAAATTTCAAATTTTAACCACAGTTACAGTGAGTACTATCTTAAGGCTGAGAAAAATTCAAATATTTTTTGTTTTTTGCCCTATCTCTGCAAGAAAAGTGGTGGGGGCATATACTGCATTTTAATAAACTTGGAGCCGTGAAAAAGAGCGTTTGCTAGGCTATAAATGGTACTATAAGAGACGCTATTGCTTACCTCGCTACCCGGTGGAGTTTCCAGACATAATCACAAAAAATATAATTTTCTGAAAAAAAGTATAAATGCAACAATGTGAGTTTTTTATGTCATTAGATAGTCAAATTACAATCAGTCAGAAATATGAATAAATGAACTTAGCGTTTCGATTTTGGCAATTATTTCCACGCAGGTTGTTAATGATGTCTAATTATCTTGAACTTACCAAATGAAATGCATTTTTCTATCACTTGTTTAGCAGTTTTCAAATATTTAGTATTATCACTGATTTTTCCATTAATGATTAGGTTTAGCAACTATCCAAAACTATTCAATTGTTAGGGACACATCAATTTTATTGATTATTGATAATATGATAATAATGTGAAGTATTTTTCTTCGTTTCTAACAAATTGAAACTAATTAAAAAGATAGCCAATTAAGAGACTTTGACACACATCAAATAACGACATAAAGATGTTGGCCAGAAAAAATAATAATTCTAGAGCGTAAAATTCGAAGAAAGTCTTGCATAAAAACAAAAAAATAATATGTCATTTTTATAAATGTACACCAATTGCTGTATTACCGTAAATATTTTCAATCAATATAATTTTCTCAGTTTCCTTGGTAGCGCACAAACAACATGGAAAACAGTATTCGTTAACGTACCTACGTAAAATGTCAAACCCAGGTTATAATGGAAATAACTTTGACGACAACAAAATTTCCGTTGAAAAACTACCATTACCTGCGCTTTCCTCAAACGACAGTAACGACCCCAGTTATTCAAAACTCGTGCTGCCTTAGTAAGTTGTTTGTTTAGATAATGGTAAGCTACTAATCGGTATTGCAAAACTTAAGCCGCACATATTTACTTTTCCTTTTTCTGACTTTATGATTTGTAAACGTCTCGACTTGTTTACGACAACACTTAATTCTTGTGTTTTGTATTATCACATTCAACCTAATTCGTATATATTTTTATTCATTAAAAACTTCATTCTGATTAATGCTTTAAATATTAAAGCAGACATGAAGTGAAATAGTATATTAAACTAATATAATTAATAACTGACGGAATATGTTGAGGCCCACAAATATTTTAAGCAATTGTTTTGGTTACGAAACAACTAACAGTTGTTTGAACTTTGAAGTTTCTTTTCGCAAAGTTGCAATATATAAACTTAGAATCTTGAATATAATAATGCATAATATACTAATTTACTTATTACATTACAGAGAGGTTTTTCTTCATTTTGACTTTTATATTATTATTCATTTGTAGATAATTTCATGAAGATTTTAAGATTCTTTTATTTCCTATTGCCGCACTAACAAAACAAATCAACGTTTTTCTCTCATCAAAAATTTTTCGAAAATGCTACCCAAACACAATTTTTTTAAGATCATCAAATTGACGCTTCACTATGCATCGAGGATGAAAACTTATCACTAATCTAAAAATATGCTTACTTACATATTTAACTTCTGCCGTGGTACTTTTTCCAGTTGGGTTATTTGTCGGCAACGGTATCGCACAGCAGCGGCTAAGCAAAGGGCACAATTCATCAAGGAAATAAATCGGCACGAGCTATTGCAGATCAAAGCCTTGGACGGTGTTCGAATTCACAGAGGATTTTCAAATCCAGTCATATGTCAAGCGAAGCCCAAGGAACTTGTGCAGCTAACAGCGAAGCAAAGAATGAGAATTGAAGATATTCTGGAAAGACCTTTTTAAATGTTATACACATTCTGGATTAAATTACTTTGTGGAAAGAGCAATAGTTTATGAAGTGATAACTAAAAATTACATCCGTCCCTATTTTCTATACTTCGGACCACGGTTTGTTTCTTGTGTTAATATTTTCAGCTAATATGCTAACTAAAAGTTACTAAATTGAAAAATTAGCTTTTAACCTTACTACGAACAGAATTACATTTGCCTCTGTATCTAACCTTACTACATTTCCATAGATTTTAGCTTAAGAAATAGATCCGCACTATCCACTTTTTTTATAAATTTAGCAACTGCACAGAAAAATGATAACACAATACAGCACAAATGAAATAGAGATAATTACATTTAAAAAAAATGTAAATATCCAAATATTTTTAGGAACCCCCAAAATTTTTCTATTTAATAATTCTGCAAATCTAATAAATTGCTGCCTCAGTTGGGCACAAATCATTACATTAAAAAAATATTCCAAATGGATTGGATTTTTTTCGTTCTGTTTCTATACTACAAATATTGTACTGTCCCAAAAAGCACTCAAAAATGTACCATCGGTCTTTTAATTCGACAGTAATATTATATCTGAGTTTTCTATTATATTTTCTACGAAATTAACGGTTTGTTTGAAGGTTTTCAGACTTGTTATTTAAAATTCACCGCCCAGTGTACGTATAATTTTAAAACCGCAAGCGTTATATATTTATAAGGAAATTTTGTACACAAAATGCCAGTGCCGCCGTTGTCTGATTGGTGTTGCAATAGTCAACAATCCAAATAAAAACATTTACACTTTCTCCAAAAGCAATCAAATTAGGTGGTGATCAAGATATTTATGGCTAATATATCGGAGCAACACTATTTTGTAGGAGCAGTATCGGTAGTAGTATTAGAAGAAAGTTTTCAATTTAAGTTTTTTTTTATTCTAAAATCTACCGCTTTCTACATATTTAATAGAGTCAGTTTCTAGCCACAGAAATTTAGGAGCCCTAAAAACGAATTTCTAACAAGCTTTAAGATTGGCAACTTCTTTCCTAATTTGTCGATTTTCTTAGGAATTAGTTGATACCCGGTATACTTGTTTTTTGGACCTTTATTCCTAAACTTATTTATAAATAGTGTACCTGTTATTGTCCAACATTCTAATGTTAAATTCCCGTTAAATGGGGATTGTTGATGTCAACAACTGTTGTTAATCACCATATGTCGTTAATCATCATATTTGTACTTGCATTGAATAGTAGCTAGTTAGCTAGCTTATTGAGAAAATCAACGATTTATAAATTTATTTAAAATTTATATCTATTAAAATACTATAAGAATTTAATGATATAGGTCATGCTCTTTCGAAATATTGACAATATATTCTCACTTCGTTATAAAGACAACATTATAAAATTGAAATGGCATGATTTAGCAAAGTTGGTAATGGTAACTATCAAGAGAACAGAATTAATGCGACAGATTACACTTTTCAACCATATGTCTAAAATTCTAGAAAAGTAAATGATGCTCTGAGAGAGATTCTTATATTGCCTACAAAATCTGAAAAAAAATACTCAACTGCGCCACTGGGTGGAACGTTCCGATTTGAGCGCTCAGCGCTAAAAGCTATATTTATCCCCACCATTGCAATATTCGCAATAGATTCTTTAACACTGTGGCCACATTCACATTGAGAATGTAATACGAAGCATTTTTCTAAAAATGGCAGCCACTAAAGAAATGTTTTACTACACAAGGGTTATAATGATATTGTGTGGCATATGGAGACTAGAAATTCATAAAGCGCCAGTAACTCTTAAGGACATATATCCATTGTATTCGGCTGTGGTACAAATTTGGAATGCCTTGACTCCGATATTACTAGGCGCCAACTTGCCGACGTTATTCAGATCGAATAATGTTGCTGTAGGTGAGTCTCATTTCTTAACAATTGAAAAGTGAAATGAAGCTTTGACCTTTAAGGACTTTATTTAAATGAAGTTTCAATTTTCTGAGTGAAAAGATTAATTTTAATTCGATTAGTTGATTAATCAAGATTTAGTAAACCATTCAGAGGAAAAAGAGTATACCTCATCTGCTTGGACAACCAATTAAACTCATTATGAGTATTGTTGGGAAGAATAATGTTCAAGCGGTATATTATAATTCTCTTATAAAAATGTAGCTTATACTACTTCTTGACTGAATATGTTATACCAATAGGGACCAAAATGTCAATCAATGTTTCACTCCCAAAGCGATTGTTGTTAGCTCATGTTAACATCAAGTAATGTCATGAAAAGCCACAACTTCTCTCAATCTCTCAAATGGTTTGTGCGCTTGTACTGTCAACATTGTTGTTACTGTTTTTAGCGTACGAAACATTAACCAGTTTCTTGTATTCGGCTGTGCTAACTCTTAAAATATCTATGTGTCAGATGGGCATACTTCCCAAACTGATCAAGTTAGCTCTCGATAAAGAGAGGCACTTGTATAGTAAGTTGCGAGGGTGCAATCCAGCATTACAACAAATTTACGAAGAACACGTTTTTTATTGTAATAAGTTGACCAAAATATTCTACCTTACCGTGGCTGGTGGCACCGTTTTCCACTTGGAATTTGGTAAGATAACAAAGATATTTTTATATTAGAGAAATGTAGAACTCTCAGTTTGAACTGAACATTTGGCACACTTAAATGATTCAGAAACTTGTGCAATGTCTTAATTTACACTGATCTATTTAATACCGCAAACAAGTTGCGCTTGATATAATAATATCACAAATAACAGTTTGCAGAGGTCGTGTTCTTAACTTTCTGCTTAATTAGCAGTTTATTAGTATTTTTTTAGCATTTCCCACACTCGGTAACAAAAAAATCTGAATATTATGGGCATTTCAGGTATTGTAGATGGCTATAATTTTTCCAAATCACAAAAACACAGCAACGTCACCCTAAGCAAGCCGCTACCGCTTCATTTTTGGTACCCAGTCGACGAGAATAAATACTACACTTGGATGTTGGTGGACCAGTTGCTCAAAATTGCACTGACGGCTTTTTATATTGCCGGTTTTCAATCTTTCAGCACTTCGTTATTTATATTCCTAAGGGCCCAATTAAAAATACTGCAGGAAAACTTTAGAAATTTCCATGAATTAGAACCATGGGAAAGTAGCGCATTTTGGAGTTTAAGAACAGTCTGCTTAAAACACCAAGAATTTATAGGGTAAGGATTTATATGGAAGCAAATATTCGCATCGAAAAAATTTCACGTCGTACTTAAAGAAAATATAACCTTTGTTTAGGTACTCAAATTCAGTTAGTGTTTGTTTAGATATATTATCCAAAGTCTATATAAGTCGATGATTAAAATAGAAACAGATAACACCCACTATTGATGCCTCTCTAATATAGGGTGTTCCAGAATTAGACAGCAATATTTATCACTTAACCAATTCCGTAAAACATGGATAAAAGTTTTATAAACTACTACTCAAAACTTCAAAATACAACTTATTAAACATGGTCAGATAATGGTTTTTCGAATTCTCTAAAGGTAATGAATTAAAATTTTGTACAGTTACCTAAAATCTTTAAAACAAAAAAGAACAAATCGATTATCTTTTGCAACAAACCGTGTTAACAAACAAAAAAAACTCATGCTGAGACGTCTTTATTAAAGAAGAAAAATATCAAATTGAGGATGGAATACGTCGAGCAAATTGCAATAAATATCCTGCGCTAATTCGCCTTTCATCTTTACAGTCACAGTAGTAGATAAGATAGATAAGTTCATTAACAAAATTATTCTTTCTAGAAAAAAAAACATGTTCAAGATCCTGTCTATTAATTTTATTCCAAAACCTTAAGTGAAATATACAAAATCTGACACACTGGAGGATACCCAATTATGATGGCAACTTATGGACACGTGAAATTTTTTGTTTGTGGAATTAAAAATTAAAATACGCTTTATTTCAAAATCCATTAAAAAAATTTATTCCTCAAATCCCACACCACTGAGATACTATTTTGCTAACACAAATTTTACAGTGCCTAAAGGATCCTATAAGTGGTATTCTATTGAAACAAACGCGGCTGACTTTCCAAATCAACAACGCACTGTTTATTAATTTACGAGAAACAATCTTCAGCGGTAGACATACTGATTCGAAGAAACCGCTCTTTTAAAACTCCATTCTACGAAAAAACTTCACAGTCATAAAAACGGGTTTTACGGTTACCCAACATTTTATCTCGTGAAGGGGTGCCTTATGCCCTAATGCAACCACAAAATAGGGTATTAAACATTTTGTTGGATTAACTTTCTGCACAAAAGATTTACTCAAGCTGGATACTTTCTGGCTTTTTAACTATGTCACAGATAAAAACAGCCTTGCGCATAAGGTCTGATTTTATCTGAGTTTTTTACTTTTGCTTTGTGCGTATATATTTTTAATAGTTTTCCTTTCGGTATTGATTGATATTTTTGTAAATTATATTTTATAAAAATATCTTCAAATTTAAACTTTTATATTAAGTTCTACAAGTTTTAGGTACGTCGAGGATCTAAACAAGTGGATAAAACCAATAATTTTAATAGAATATGGTACGTCGTCGGTTATGTGTGCCGGTTTATTATTTCAGATAATAGCGGTAAGCAAAGTTTGTTGTTATTATTAAGGTTGACCCCTAAGATATCGAGTGCAGTTAGTCAAAAAATGTTTATTGTTAAATTATATGTTATTATAACTTCTTAACTTATATAAATATATACAATGCATCTTAAAATATTACAATGTATATTAAATGTGTTATAAGTTTACAAAATTTTAATATGCGTGATCTTACTTCTTGTGGAGTTTGATTTGACAGCTGAGCGAGTTCTTGATAGGCGAGTAACTGAAGAAGTGTTTCAACGTGTTGCATGCTATACTTTTTCTGTGGCATTAGTTTTTGGGTACATTGTGGCAAAAGAGCACGAATACATTCACTGAAAGTAACATATGACGCGACCGTCAGAAAAAATCCGATCGTGACCGCAAATGCCGAAAGTAGCTCGCGGCCGTGGGTAATGAAACTAATGTCTTAAAGCGACACTTTCGGTACGCTTGATAGAATAATTTAGAAAATGCAGCGACCATTAATGTTTGAATCTTAGAATTATGAAGTTTTGTCAGGAATTATATTGTTTAATTTTTTTCTTTACAAGCGTTACCTAAATAATTTACTTTGGATACTAGGGCCTTCGAAGGAATATGGGTTTTAGAGCATTCGGTGAACCTACTTCAGAGATTATAAGCAAACTAGTGTTCTTTCAGTTTTCCTAGTGAGAAGTAGTATTAGTCACTTCTTAGATAAACAAAGGCCAATCCTGGGATATTTTGTAAATGTTATATATTCGGTAGATCTGCCGACTCTAAGTGGAAATTTTAGTTTCAAGTTGTTGTTCCTAATAATAAAATTTTGTAGAACATGGTGGTTTGTGGCTGGTGGATTTTTTTGTAATTTTTTTTTTTTAATTACAATTGTAATATTGGAAACTAATATCGGTTTCTAGAGTCACTAACATTTGTTTCGTGAAAAAAATATATATTAATATTAATTTTATAATTATTATAGTAATAATTATATTATATACTATAACAACAAAGTTGAAAAATTCACAAATTAAATTAGAACAAAAAATGTTCAGATTTTCACAGTTTTTGATGGTTTATGACAGCTGTTTTGGCACACTGTGCCTTTACGAAATACAGCATTATCAAATAAAGCATTCAAATCTGAAAATTTTTTGTTCTAATTTATGTTTTAAATTTGTTAAATTTGTATAATACTCTGATTTTCTAAATATAAACGCCAAATTTAAAAACCCTTGGTTAATTATTTCAAACTATTCTTACGGTTACAGAAGTTTTAAATTTTCTATATTCTAAATGTTGATTTTGATCAGCTCTACAGGAAAGTGGTTTCGCGAGTCTCCAAATTTTATATCAATTTTTTTGTATTCTTTACTGTTTATGAGGTATCTTAGCTGTACACCTTGTTAATGCACCCTGTATATTTGTATCACATTTAAGAATAAACGGATTGTTATTTTTTTTTACTTTATTTTAGGAGGTCAATGTAGCCTTTAACGTGGTGTTTGTTTTCATCTTGTGGGGTCAGCTGATGCTTTTGGCTTGGAATTGCAATGAAGTTCTGATTGAGGTACAAGGAAATGTAAACAATAATGAAAAAATGCAAAAAAAATGCTTAACCACAAATTTGTACACAACCACCGTTTGGAAGCTACCATGTGTGTACGAAATGTCGGATTATATTGTAAAATATACGATATTCACCGTGTTTAAATAATTGCATTTTTCGTACGAAAAGTATGAATATATTTTATTAACATTTTCGTTCGTTTTGGCTCGTGAATTGACTCAACATAAGCAGATCACAAATACGGCAAACTCCGTTTATAACGTACATGGGATATAACGTATTTCCGGGTATTACGTACATATTTTACTGGTCCAGTCAAATACTGTTGATTTTTCATCGGATATTACGTACAATACATAACTTCTACTACGGTTATAACGTACAATATTTCCACTAATGTTCTGGTTATAAAGTACAAGTGTACGCTGAAACCGAATTATCGAAAAAATCGGAGATTTTCGAGTAATCATTTGCGGGGTTTTCTCTGAAACATGCGTGTCCGTCCGACAGTTTCCAGTTTATGTTTTTTGAGTTAACGGTTAAAATGGTGGATCGGCGCAATTCTTTAACTGTAGAAGAAAAGATAAAGATTATAAGAAATATTGAGAGTGGCATCGGTAAGGCGGAAATTGCTAGACAATAGAAATTGGCGAAAACAACATTATCTACAATTTCGAGTAATCGCGAAAAGATCAAGAAAGTAAGTGATTGATACGTTCAGACGTAGACAGAGCTCTTTTAAGATGGTTTCAAGTTCGAAGATCCGAAAATGTTGCAATAAGTATTCCAGTGCTGAAATCGAAAGCCGAAGAATAAGCCAGAGGATTACAGGGTGAGGATTTTAGTTGTTCTACAGGTTGGCTCGAACGTTTTAAAGTTCGTCACAATATAAAATTTCTGGTGAAGGATATATGAACAAACAAGCTGTGGTGGACTGGTTAGAGGATAAGTGGAACAGTATTACACAAGATGCATGAAAAATGTGAAAAATCTACCTGTCATTTATAAGTTAAACCAGCGAGCGTGGATGACTTCAGCATTTTTTAATAATTTAAAGGATTGGGATGAAAAACTAAATAGTCAGAATAGAAAAATATTGCTTCTGGTTGACAATTATGCAGCTCATAAAAAAATCTAATCCTCAAATATCAGATAGAGATAGAGATAGATTGTTTGCCTCCAAATTAATGCCTTAAGACATATTACAGTAGATATTTTTGTATCGTTTGATCCAATCATTTGAAAATAAGGAACCTTTCAACATCACTATGCTACACTCCATAAAATTACTTGCACCATGTTGGAATAACGTTATTTCAACCACTATTTCAAACTGCTTTCGACATACAGGTCTGATAAAATCGGAAGATGAGTTTGATTCAGACGATGACTTACTGTGGTTCGAGAAGCACAAAAATAATGACGACGATGACTTGGAGGTTCACCTAAGTAATTGGTTGCGCAATAGCGATCAAGATTTAACCAACATTAAAATGTATCTTCCTGAGCTGGATAGCTTCCCAACTGTTGATGATAATTTAATAACACCCGAGTTATTAACGGATAATGATATTATTACTGAAGTTTTACAGCTCTGTTAACGAAAGCGACGATGATGTTCAACAGGACGAAGTACCAAGTTATTCTGAAGCGCTTTGTGCTTCTAAAATTGTTACAAATTTTTTACTACTGATCATGTAACTGATGATATTATGCAAGCATCCTGGAAAATTGAGAAGCACATCGAGAATATAAAATTTGTATTGAAAAAAAATAAACAAATAAAAATAACGAATTTTTTTGCTCAAAAAGAATAAAGTATGTATTTTTACTTGTATGTTGTAAAGTTTATATAGGTAGATAAGTTTTAAGTTTAGATAGTTTAGTTTCATTCGTTTTTTAGTGCCTATATTGGTGTTTATTAATTTTCTATTTTTATATAAAATGAAAATATGTACGTACCTACACAATTTTTTTTGTATTTATTTTATAGCGCTTATTTCTTGTCAATAGAGGGTACTTCATAACCGGAGTTCACTGTACTTTGTACTTGTAAAAGGAGAGGGTCTGCGCAAAAGGAAGTTAGGTTTTGTGAGGAGTCAGCGTTAAGTTATCTTCTCATTAGAAAAAACAAAATTTCGGAATGGGAGTGCAAAATTGAAAAAAATATATGAATGATATTAAATTTGAAAGATCTCCCAAAAAAAACAGACTTTTGCCTAATCCGTTACTCTATACAACACATCTTGACAACTTATATTTCATTCAATATGTTCTATATCGGTTTTGAATTTTCGTTGGTAATAACAATTCTTCGAAAAAAAAAATAGAGATCAACAATTTTCTGTTAATGTTTCTGCTACATACTGCGACAAATATTTTTATCTACTAACCTTTAGAAAATGTCTTTACACTTTAGAAAAAATAATCAAACACTCTGCCAGATCTTTAAAACTTTTAGAGTGCCAATTTGGCGAAAGCCTTATACGAAAGCGAATGGTACGAACAAGATGCGCGAACTAAGGTTTTGATATACACTATGATATTGAGATGTCAGAAACCATTAACTTTAAATATCGGACCCTTCGGTCCGATGACAGCTGATGCCGCTTTGTCAGTAAGTAACATCACCATGCAAAAACAAAACTAGAAGGGCTGACACTTTCAGCACGCTTCATCCGTAGATAATTGGATATTTTAGAGTAGGGAAGAGAATATTTACTATGCTTGCTATGCATAATGTGTCTTGAACTCATTGCAGTGTTTAGTAAGCCAATTTAATTATTGTGTTTTAGCGGATCAAAATGGCATATTCATATACAACTTTGATGACGGGCGACGACTTGAAGTAAAGCTTCTTTTTACTTGATAAAGTATATGCCAAACGTCGCATGCCCATGAAGTAACTAAAACTTAATATCATTTAAACATTATTAAACCAAAAGTATTAATGTATTATTCAGGAAGAATGAAAAAATTAATTAAATAAATTGAAATAAATAATAAAATATATTGGTTTAATTCCGAAGGTTTCTATAATATTATTAATTTTTCGTACTTCGTATACTGATTTAAAATATCAATATAGCGAATGTAAAGAACATTGTATGCATATGCATATTTTCCTTCTATTTCAAATTATACGCACATTTGAAGTCATTTTTAAGATATTTCATATTTTGTGCCTCATTAGAAGACTTTTACAACAGTGCATATATCGAAAACTTTGAATTTACAGCATCCGAATTTCTCAAAGCGAATAATAACAAATAACATAAAATGCTTTTTTTGTTTTCATTTTGTCAATTAAAAAATATATTTTTTAACATTTCGCATCTAAAACTGTAGAAAATAATAAAGGCTTCCGAACAAACCAAAACTAACTTTTGTAAGCAGAAAATGATGTCATTTATATCATCAAATTTTTAAACAAAATTATTGCCTGTATTTTTATGAGCAACAAATAACATTTTATAAAACGCCAATACTCATGTAAATCGTCTTCTAAACTTACTTATTAATAACATACCAAACAATTTGGATGCAATCTTCAGAATATGACTTGAGTCGCAAAATAAAATCCAGACCCGCGTTGGACAACCATCAAATTCAATTTATCTCTGGCTGATAGTAACTTTATTCCATGAAAGTCGCTTATAAGTTATTTAAACGTGTATTTATTTGCGGCTTCCTAAAGCGCTCGCTTATTTGAAATTCCCTGTGCGATATTGCATGTAATTTAAAAACCGCATACGTTGACATAAGTAAAGAACAATTTTCCCGAAACAGCGGTGTCACCAGTAAGATTGGTTGGTATATTCCTGCTACAGCATCAGCAAAATTACCTCTACTTATAGTAACAAGCTTTTCAAACAATTTTATCATATCAAGTGAATATAATAAAAAATTAAAATTATTTTTATAATATAATATAATTTTTAAGCAGCTATGCAAAAGAATGCCACGAAGCCCCAAGTTTTTTTTATTATTGAAATTAAGTAAACTAATTGAAACCGCGGCCACTGTTTAATAAAATTGAAAATTAATGGGTTGAGCTTATACACATTTCTTCACTTTTTTTACCTAAAAGCAAAACAATCTTAAACCACTGATGGTGAACGGTGTACTACCAGGTGTACCAAATAAATATTCTACTTTTAAAATAAAAAGCATAGAATATATCAAAACGGCAAACTTGAAAGCTTGAATAGACTGTTACAACTAACTTCAGTTTTAAAGAAACCGTTAACGATTTTTGAATTCGACGCCACTGGTGCAAACGCCCCCACGGGAGTTCTAAAAACGGTATTTTGCTCTTTCCACCACTTATAAATGTTTAATAAATGCGTAGGTACTTAAGTTTGTCTTAAAACGCGGCATGTATTAAATCCCCATACATTACCTCCGGGCCAATGGCAGCCGGCAATGAATTGTTTTATCACACGAGGTTTATGTTGCTATTGTGTGGTATATGGAGACTGGAAATTAAAAATGCGCCAGCATATTGTAGGAATGTTTATCCCATCTACTCGGTAATCATACAAACATGTAACTCCTTGACACCTATTTTGTTAGGTGCTAACCTTCCAACTCTGTTCTGTACAAACATTACTGCAGGTGAGTGGTCAGTCCAATTACTTGAGTGACTTTAGATGAAACTCGTTGATATTGGTTGTTATTTTCATTAACCGAAAGCATTTATTTTTATTTGAATAAATTTAATTTTTATACATAAAAATGTGGTCCTGTTTTGGTAAGTGATAAGTTCCACTTCCTTTACGATTTCTATTTTGTTTGTTTATTTTTTCTGCTTCTCTATTGAATTAATAATTATTTCACAATATACTTCTGAATTACCACTTTAGCGCCTAAAGTTTCATTTATGAACACATCTAAGAAGATTAATTTTTTATTCACTAAAACTTTCCTAATAAAAATTAAGATGGCTTAAATTAATTGATTCATTAAAAGTTTGTAAACTTCCCGTTGAGAATAGTTTAAGAGTTTTAAGAAGCTGCAAATCGGAAGTTTTATGCTGAGCTTTTAAGTTAATGTTTTATAATATAAACACACGAACTAAGATATTATTTGGGAAATTATTGCTATATCTTAATGATTAACATTAATAACAGAATGTTAATTCCAATACAGACTACATTCTCAAATTCAGGCCGTCGATAAAAGATTTATTTCTACTTACTTTTAAGGTTTTACTAGAAAATCGGTGTGATTCTTTTAAAAAAATATCGTTTTAGCATTCGAGACATTAACCAAATTTCTATTTTCGAGTTTGTTAGCTCTCAAGATGTCTATGTGTCAAATGAAGACACTTTGCAAACTCATAGAAATGGCAATAGCGAAAGAATCGAACTTATACAATAAGGCTCACAAAAACGATCTCGAATTAGAAATGATTTACAAAAGGCATATAAGGTCTTGCAATCGGTTAACCAAATTTTTCTACGTGTGTGCTTGTGGAGGAGCAGTTCTCCATTGGGAATTTGGTAAGCATCCACACATCTAAGCATCTGCACATTCCGATAGGTACAATTAACAGAAAGAGATGTGTTATTTCTTTTTCTCTCTCTCAGACCTCTAACCTACAGTTTTTAAGAAATGTAGATCTTGCGTATTTACATGAAATCAGTAGTAAGGTTTTGTCTAGGAACCGACGACGTCCCTGCATTCCTCCCAAATATACCATACTATGTGAAATAAAAAATAATAAATTCGTTTAAAAAAAATTAAAATGACAATTTAGTTAAAATGTATATGTGATGTAATAAAAGATTTAATATTTTCTGATTTTGGATTAACATATAAGAGATATAACATCAGCTAAATTGAACCAAAATTATGTACTTGTCACTTACCAACATATCCAAAAAAACAGTGTCATTTTGCACCCCGTATATGGTACCACTTATTCTGAATAGGAGTTTCTAATATTGCATTGTTACCGAGAAATCAACCTACAACTTAAAAAGTCCTACAAATTAAATGAGCGGGTCGCGAGGAAACCAATGTTAAAAATGAGATAAAATGTAATTGCATTCTTCATTTCCAAAACCCACGACTCTAAGTTTTCATGTCGATATCTCAAAAACAATTTGCAGAATTAAACTTTAACACCTAATGAATAACATTTTACTGAAGTATATTTGGCTCAATAACATTATTTTCAAGAAATAATGCATGTCAAAATTATAGCCTCACAAATTAGAAAATAAAATGAAATCAATAGGCAAAAAATCTGAGTAGCAACATTTTATAGCTTAATTCTTCGTAAACCTCAGATTAACATGAAATATACCGCCGCATCAAGCGTAGTAACCACATTGATAAAGTATTGAAAATAATTATGAGAAATATTGCTTCACATAAGAAAAAATATCATCTCTCCCTGTGAAATAATCATCATAACATCACACATTAATAAATTTTAAAAAACACGTACCTGGAGGTTAAAAAATATGACAGAAAACTTTAAAAAATTATACTTAGAAGCTAATGACAGTTTAATTCACAGCATCCTAAAATATGCCTGACCCCTTTTGAATACGGAGATTTAACGCTAGATTGTTTATTAGTTTAAACTTCATTTAGTCCTCTAATGATTATAGACTGATTGACAACGGAAATTTCATAAATTTAGAATACCCAGATTTTATAATTTTTGCGGGGGACGTCCTGGGAAGTGACTGCAAACTCCTTTTCAGGACGATCATATAGTAGTATGAACTTGTTGAGAATTTGTTCTGCATTTCCGGTATACAAGGAGTATATTAAATTTTGATTATCCAAATTAATAACACAACAATATCAATGACCAAGTTAAAAATACAAACTGCTTTGCTTTTGGGTCGGCTTTAAAAAGCTTTTGTTCTTACTAGGGTGCTAAAACTAGTTTATCCTAAAAAGTTCATTTTATTAAACGCCATTAGACAAGTTTCAATCACAATTTTTTTCCATTTTGGGTTACAACCGCCTAGATAACATTTTCAAAATTAAATAATAATTTATATATAATTAAAAATTATTTTTTTAACCAGTATATACTTTTTTGTGATGTCTTATTTTTTCGTTACTAAGAACAGTTAACATTTCTATCACAAATTAATGTTAACAGATATAATATTTTTAACATTTTTACATTTTATATTTCCTCCTTCAATGATAACATTTCCAAGTTCATGTTTATAGGAATAAAAATAGAATAATACTACGGCAAGAGCAAACATTCTTTTTTTTTAATATTTGGAAGTAATTATGTAAATTGTGTTGTGTTAATTCAATATTTGTTTATTTGTTCCCAATGAGAATTATTTTCAATTCATATTTTTTTCTCAATTACATAACATAATTTGGTTTATCACGTGCCCCTGTGACGGACTATAAACCTTGCAAATTCTGGTGGTAAACTCGATATTTGTAAGCATAGTTTCCAGTTTTTAGTATTTTTTAATTATTGCTACAAATATTGTTTTTTTTTTCATATTTGAGAAGTTAAAATATATATGTTCAACATTGCAGGCATCGTTGATAGCTACAAAATTTATAGACTAGAGAAGTACAGCAACTCCACATTGAATAAACCATTGCCACTTCATTTTTGGTACCCGTTCGATGAAGACAAATTCTACATCTGGGCGCTGGTACATCAATTAGCGCAAATTTTGCTAACCGCTTTGTACACGGCCGCATTTCAAACTTTCAGTAGTTCCTTATTAATTTTTTTGAGGTCGCAACTAAAAATCCTTCAAGAAAACTTTAGAAATTTCCATAAATTCGGTGGAACCCAGAGCTGGCAAAATAATCCGTTTCGGAGTTTACGAATGGTTTGCCTTAAACACCAGGAGTTTATTGTGTAAGGAAAGCAATTTTACTTTTATGTATTGATTGACATTCGAAAATTGTCCCACATTATTATTTCAATGTTTAATCGGCTGAATGCTCCTAGATCTAAGTTAAAATTCAATAATTTCAATTTTTTTAGGTATGTAAACGATTTGAATCAGTGGATAAAACCTTTAATTCTAATGGAATATGGCACGTCCTCAGTTATGTTCGCCGGAGCTGTAATTCAAGTAATGGCGGTAAGCTAAATTAATAAAATTATTTCAATAATTAATTTGCTTATTTCAGGGTGTTAATGTAGCCTTTAATGGATTGTTTGTATTTGTTTTGTGCGGTCAATTAATTCTGCTCGCTTGGAACTGCAACGAAATTTTAATCGAGGTAAATTGCGATTTTTGTAGAATGCATCCTTAATTTCGATATCGAAAAACTTCTCATATACCAAAGTTAAAAAACAACGTATTACCAAAGAGCTCATAAGTGGTTTGAAATTATTAAATTATTTTCAAGACTGCTTCTGTGACAAATAATGAAATGGGATTTTTACAATGTTTGGTAAGTTTAGAAGAGCTATTAAAAATAATGACGTCATTATTTTTAACCAATTTCGAATATTTGTTGTTTGAACCATTTAATAAAATTGGCTGGGACGGTTAGATATACATCTAGCTGTAAAAGGGCTCTATAATGTACACTATATACAATAATAATATAGAATTGGCAGTAGACACTGGCGAGTGGCGACTTAAGGCCAATAATAAAGAGGAATAAAAGCTTAAAGCCCGAACCGAAATGTGAGTCTATCACCCTGGCATAAACTCTTGCCAGCTTGTTCTGGCATCTTATTTATTGTCTATCGCTTGTGGTACTATCAAAATTAAAGTAAATTAGTCTACTGTCAATTTCAGAGTGGACATTTGGCCAATGCTCTATACGAAAGTACATGGTACGAACAGGATGTCAAAACGAAGGTTTTAATTCACTTTATGATACTTAGATGTCAGAGATCGTTAGGTTTAACTATTGGCTCCTTCGGACCGATGACGATAAATGCCGCTTTGTCGGTAAGTGATACAGTAGTTTATTCTGCTGAAAATGGTTTAGACTAATTAACTAAAGTTAATTTTTGGATTTCAGAGACTCAAGCTAGCGTATTCGTATACTTCTTTGATGACTGGAGATGAGAACCGCTAATATAATATTTTATTACAATTAAATATGAATATCTATTGAAACCTGCTCGTGTTGAGAGTATTACCAAGTAGACTAAAATGTACGGAACATCTACTCGTAACAATATATAGATCTCGTTTCTCTGATAACTTTGAATAAGAATCATGCCAAATGACACTATGACGGAAGCCTTGTAAACGTTTAATTTTACTTTTTGAACACTCAACCATTGCGGTATTAAAACAATTTAAGCCTCTTCTATTTCTACGTCAGTCGGCGGTTCACTTTGCAGAGTTTCATCTGCCTCTGCGGTGGTGATATCAGTTTCGGTTGGAACTGCATCAATAGCAGTTTCTGGTTGTTCGGCGTGTGTTTCTTCGAAAACTTCATCTGCCAAAGCCAATAAAATTATTATTAAAAAAATAAAAAAGTTGTTTATATCTTTTGTACATTTTAGAAAATTACCATTGCTAATGACATAAATAGAAAACTAGAAAACTAGCCATTTAATGACCAAAGGACTTACGTTCTTCGGGGACTGGTAATTCCAGAGCATCAACCTCTTGCGCAAGATCTTCTGTTTCTTCGGGGTAGTCCTCCTTCGGACTTTCTAAAAGAAATTGTTCTTCTTCTTCTAATCGTACGTCCTGTTCTAATGGTACTTCCGGTTCCTCCACTTCATCCTTATAGGTTTCTGGTACTTTCCCTGCTTCCATTTCTTCAGTATCTGCAAAAATTCCTTGAGGAGATTGGAAGTATATAACCAAAACAGTAACTAAGTTTCGTGTACTCAAGTGTCAAATTTCCGAACTACTAATATACCTGGAATATATTCTTCCTCCTGTAATTCGTCCGTAGCAACGGGATGTGACTTTGATTCTTCTGCTGCATCTGAAAATTCTACTTCTAGTGGACTACCCAGTTGTTTATCCGGGGTTTGGGAGTCAACTGGTTCTTCAATTGGTTTTTCAATCGATTCTTCAATCGGTTCTTCAACTCTTTCTTTAACTGTTGGAAGCTCTTCCACAGGACTTGGAGGTGGAGGAACTTCCGGAATTTTAGGCAACGATTTTTTGATAGGTGGTGGATGTGCTGCTTTCAAAATACATTTATAAAATAATTATGTACAAGTATCACTATACTAAGTAAATAGTTTCAAAATTAATTAACCAAAAACATATAATCAAATTAATTCTAAAGAGTCAGATATATAATCAACCAAATCTTCAGTGATATGAATGATTTTATTTTAATATTCGAACACTTTATTTTTCTATCAGACCAGAAAAACAACTAATTTTTTCAGGAAGGCGCCATTATAAAGTTATTAATTTGTTTACTATATATGACCTATTTTGTTATTTTTCGACAGAAATAAACTTGAATAGAAAACTGAAATGCTGACCGAAATTGATCATCCTATAGCAATGACTAACTAACCAAAACTATCCAGGAGTGCAGTTGTAAATGATTCAATTAGCGCTATTTACCTTGTTCCTTACCGACCGCCTCTTTGGAAGATCTTTTTGGCGTTCGGGAAGCATGTCTTTGAGCACCTGGCCCAGGCGCGAATAATTTAAACTCATTCGGCAATTCTTCATCGCTCAGAAGCCGATCTGCGAAATATATCCGCCTGATTCTCACATTAGCGTGCACTTGTACTCGTACGGTTTCTATATATGTTGAGCCTACAAAGGACCCGGACGAAATACACTATGCGGATGGCTGAATTCAACAAATTTGTCACCATAAGCTCTCTTTGTAAAGTCTGCCAAATTAAACTGGACTTGGTTCCAACCCGAGCTTAGACCTATTGGCATGGTCGTACAAAATGGCCTCACTTTCGTAGTGGATTGAAAATTCGACACTCTGAATCGCCTACGCATGTCTTTATCGTCTAAAATAATATTCGAAACATTTTGAACGACCTTTTCGAAAACCGCACTTTGTGTTTCAAAATTGTACACGTGTATTCCATATTTGTATTTGTTTTGCTATTCTCATCACTAGGCAGCTAGCAAACAACTGCGATAGTTATAAAAATTTACTTCAGGTTCGTAGATGCCTTATGCAAATCATGGAAGTAGAGTGGCAAAATTTCAATCTAGTTTATGATAAATAAGTTTTGTTTTGTCTAGGTAAGGATCTCTCAGAAAGAAAAAGGTATTCGAGAATAAGGATTTTTATCTAGTTAAATGCATTGGTCCCAAAGAAGTTGGTTCAATTACAAATATTTATGGAAAACAAAAACAAAATTGAACTTTTAACACCAAATCTCTGAAATCATCTATTTTTAGACGGAGGTAAGTCCGGTTAGATCATCATATTTTGCGTTCACAAATTTGGGGTATCATTTATTAAAGATTAAAGATGATTCTGGCATATTCGTAGTGGCATATCGAAGCTTATCTCTATTTATGTGCTTATTTTACCGTAAGTATTTTTTCCTTCGATAACTCTCCTCCCTTTGATTTTACGCTTAATACTAAGGATATCGTCGGTATACAATATTACCAGAGATACTGAATGCATATATAGTGAGATATGATTAATACCGACTGCTACGAAATAGACAAATTAAGAAACGTTCAGATGGTAGAAGAAAGGCGCCCTGACATAAAAACTTACAGGAATAGTATGAAATTGACTCTAGCACATTATATAGAATAGTCGTGAAGAAGACGCCGATGATGATGATAGAGCTCACGTTCTACAATTATGATGAACGATAGATTAAATATTTCTCTAATACAGTTTTGCTGTGCCTTTTATAACGCCTTTTAGTAGACATGTATATGGAACTCTTATTTTCCAAAATCTTAGAAGCATGCAAAGGTCACACCACTTCCTAAAGTAAAGAACCGCACAGAATTCAAACAGCTGAGATCAATTAGCATCCTTCCTACTCTTTCTAAAGTTTTAGAAAAAATAATTGATAGGCAAATAAGAAAATTCTTAGGTCTTACCTACAAAACAATCTGCATTTAGGAAAGGTTATAGTTGTAAAAGTGCTTCGATCGATATTACTGATGATTTACTGCAGGCATTGGACGAAGGCAGAATTGGCACCCTAATTTTGTTAGACTTTAGCAAGTCTTTTGACATGATTTTTTAAAGAAACTTACACAGGCTACTGTAATACTTTTTATAAAACTTCTGGATTCCTCCTGCGTAGGTTTTTGTTGTAGTCGAACTAACAAACGTTTCGCCAATTATCCTGTTGACTTCTTCAGAGCTTGACTTAAACTGGCTCAACAAAACCTGATGCAGCAGGAATCCAGATGTATTATAAAAAATGCTTTTGACATGATCAATCATAAATTGCTTATTTCAATTTTACACTACATTGGGTTCAGTGAAGTTGCGCGCGTGTTTTTATCCGAGTTCAACAGGTGTTCTGCGACAATGTGTATTCCGAACCACTCTTCGTTGAGTTAGGTAGCATATTGCGTCCATTGTTTTATGCAATCTATACTTTAACTTTGTAAATGCACTCAAATTTCAGTCTGTCAGTCTAAGTCTGAGACTAAAATTAACACTGATTTAAAGAAAAGACTCCCAGGTACATAATGTCAAAAACAAAACGATCATAAAAATTAATGACACTCCTATACCATACTCGGATACATCGAAAAGTTTAGGAATGATCTTGGACTCTAGGCTGCGGTTCAAGGATTATGTTACAAACAAATTGGGAATAGCATATGGGAATTTGTTAATTGAATATACAGTCGTAGGTATGTTCTTCCAATTGTTACAAAGAATCTGCTTTGTGAATCCATCGTTTTATCCCAGTTCAATCATTGCTGTGGTGTGTACGCAACCTGCCTGGACGCTGCTGACCAATATCGTATCCAGAAAATACAAAATTCATGTTTGCCGCTTGTTTATGGAGTTCGCCGACAGAATTATATTTCTCCATACCTAGGCTCTTTCGGATTGGCTCAATATGTGCAATAGGATTAGGTTACACCGTGATACATTATATTTTAAATTAATTAAGTGAAAATCTCCTGAATATCTTTTTATCAAAATCATTTTTCGTACAGATGTCCATAACTTCAAGAAAAAACATTATATACCACAATATCGAAAAGAAATGTTTAAAAGATCATTTTCTGATAGCATTGCACGTACAATAAATAATTTAAATCTTTTCGATTTAACTATATTAACCAAATTTTTAAAAACCGGTATAAAAAAATTTCTTCTTGGAACTCAATAATTTCTGTTTGCCCTTGCCCCCTCCTTTTTCATTGGTCCTGCGATTTCTCTCTTTATTGAAAAATATATTTAGTGATGATGAATGATATTCTGAACTCTGCGTAACATATTTAATTTTGTTTATATATTTTTTCTTGTTCTTAGGGTGATTTGGTTTACAATAAATTGAGGCTTGAACAGTGTCTTGCTCTGCTGGATGTCTGCGTTTTATTAGGTCTTTTGTTTGCCAATAAATATATTTATTATTATTATTATTATTACTAAAGGCAGAAGTGTGCACTATTTGTGGCAGTTCTTTTCCGCTTACAATTTAGTTATTTTATTTACTTCGTCGATCGTTACATGTGATCCTTTGGCGGAGTTTAAAACATTTTTCTGAAGACCCACATTAACACGAAAAGCAGCACCAAGTAAATGTAGCTTTGTGCAAAACAGTATAGCCGCGTTAGATTAAAGCTCTGATTTCATTGTAATAAATGTTAATCTACTACATATCTCAACTTGAAGGTTCAGTGTGTTCTATCTACTTTGATATTTAGATGCGCATTGGGGGTTCTGCTATTACTTCGCGGCTATGTTAATGTTTAAATAGAGCTGATCTTCTGCGCTAAAATCGTCTTTTTAAAAGTGCAAAAAAAAAAGATTCTTTCAAGTTGATGAAAGATTTTCTAAATTTTATGGTAACTAATCTGAATACTTTTGTTCAAAAAATAGAATGATTCTCTCTAATCTTACCACTTGGTAGTTAGATACTCAAGGGGTATAAATAACATTATTAAATTCTATGCTATACAGAATTCCAGTCGCAGGTATTATTGTCTGTTATTTTCTGCGACACTGAGATTTAAATTTTCTAAACAGAAGATATCAAAATCTCGGAATCCGAAACGTGTTTCATAACAGATTCCGCTTCAAAATATGTCGCGGAATTAGGCCGTCAACGTCCCTTGAAACCTCGACAACCCTCTAAACAATCGGATCCTTTAATAGCACTCCAATCAATTGCAGATGTTGACCCCGAATCTGGAATAATTGAAGTTGCTCCAGCGTTTGTAGCTACTGGTAAATAGGGCGGGAACAACTCCCAACTCCCCGATTTAGAATTACACCGGGTCGTTCGCGGAATGTGTTGATCACTTTAACAAATCGTTGTTTCGAGGTAAACGGTTAAGAGAAGCTAAAGACCAGATCGTTTTAAATGAATCAGGAAGAAAAATTCAAATTATTACAAAAAAAGAACAGCTGCTCTCGAAGGACCTTAATCTGTATTTGAAATAAAGAGAATTACCTTCTCTTTCCAATCGAAAACTGATAATAATAAAAAACAAAACGGGTCTTTCTGTAATAAAATTTATTAGAAATTAAGTTCTAGAAAAAATAAAACCACTAAACCGAATTAGAATGGAACTAAAAAGAAGAAAAATAATTTACGGAAAAACAGTAGTTATTCAAGCGGTAGGCAAACTCAGAATTTTAAAAAAAAACGAATTAAACAAGTCTATCTCAGTCAAAGAAGTGAAGACATTTTTTATGAGAAAACCATATGGGAGGACATTACCCGCCAAGAATGGGCCAGCTTTGTACTGATATTTTGGCTACCTGTTGCCGAATTACGTTCACTAAATCACTAAATTTTGGTGCAGTGTTATTTTTTCTTATATGCGCTTTGGACTCGGACCAGATCATCTCAATAGGGTTAAATATAAAATGATACGGGGGTAATATCAAAATTTCATGTCAAAATACAAAATAATAAAATACAAGAAGAATGTTGTTAATCCACAAGCACACCAGACAAAAATGATTATTTTTACATTTACCTGTAAGATAAATAGAGTATAGGTACCGTGCGTTCATTTATCTTTATAAAATTTTAATTGGCTGTAACTATTTGGTTTTAGAGATATCAAAGTAAACTATCAGTTTTCTGAAATATAAGCCTACATCTTATTTTTTTTAAAGGAACACCCTGTATATAGAATATCTTATGCCGATTATTTAGTCCACTCGTTTTTGACAAATCGGCAAGAATCGGAAATTTTTGTATGATTTCAAAGAGTCCCCTGATTGACAAATAAAAATATGTTTATGTTTGACATATTAGAAAACAACGTTGATGATTCAATTATTGTCCAAGTCATTATTGTTAAAATGGTTTTTCGCGAATTTGGCATCTGTGAAAGGAGTCATATGCTTCAAGTATTCTGAATAATAAAGCGCTGAGCTCATTCAAAACATATATTTCCAAGGATAGCAAACAAATTAGCAGAAAACCGTAACGTATAAAATGCTAAAATGGTATGCCGGAATCATAATGTTTTAAATGAAGAAAATAAGTCAGATATATTAGGATTCTATGAAAAATGGCTTCTATTACTGGAGTTTATGAAGAGACAGGTATTTCTCTGGGATCAATCCAGTCAGTATTGAAATACAAACCATTTAAATTTCGTAAAATTCAAAAACTAAGTGTAGAAAAATGTCATTGGGCATTTTGTTTGGATTTTTGAAATACACATAATGTATAATCTTTTGAAATTCATTACGGTTCGTCTCCGGCAGGACCTACTTAATGCAGAATAAACATATGTTGGAATGGATTTTACCACGGTCCTGCGAAAGTCTGCAGTTAAGGTACTGTAAAGTACTTAAAATGTCAAAGCAATAAATGCACAATATTTTTGATCATACAATAAGTTAGAATTTAGCGGTGAAGTAGAAATATATAATACATAGAAAAGAAAAAAAAGAATAGTAAAAAAAATAAAAAGAAGGTTATAGAAAAACATAAACCCGCCACAACTGGCTGAACGATTCTTTATTTTCTATCTTTATAATCAAAGATCAGAAAAATATTTTAAAGATAACTATAGAGTATCAAACATCTATTTTAAACTCAAAGAAAGAAATAGAAATAGATAACTTTGAGTTGTTGTTTTGTCTTTCCTACATAAAAAACGCAACTCCTTTTTTTGTTCCTTTTCTTCATACCTACGCATGTCCTGTAAAGCGTTCCTTGCTCAACAAGTAGTACGCGTAATGTAAGGATCTAAAATTTTTAACTATATTTCCTTTTCCTTTCAGTATCTTAAAAATTTGGTCATGATTCATATTTGAATTACTACAAGGGCCAGAAGAATGATCATTTGCGATCATAAAAAAAATTAGAAAGGAAACTATCTGAAATGTGAAAATATTTTACTGCGATTCTTCAGGGCCACTTTTACTGAAACCCTTTTTTCTTCGAAAATATACCCTGAAATTTCTTACCCCAGTTACCTGGATGGAAAAAACGCAATCCACACGTACTTATTTTGTTGTTTTAATAGTGCCTTATTTTGCGAATTATTACCGACGGAATTCAAATTGATTTTCGAATTAAAGCGAAACCCGGGCTCTACGCCAAAAACTGTGGATTAATATTTAATTTTACGTCAATATCCAATTCGAGCGCGTCCATTATTAATTTTAAAAGGATTTTCAGAGAGAGATCATTAGTAAGTAACAATTGCTTAATGACCTATGAGTTACCCTATATATGGCTATGTTTCAAAAATTTTATAATATTGCGCCTATTTAGGTAGGTTTTTGATTTATCGAAAAATTATTTTTCTTTGATATCCGAAAAAAGATGGAAACTTGATCCAAATGCTGACTTTGAAAATTAATGATAATCATTCCCTGTAATATAAAAACATGTTTTTTTTAATTTTCGGATAGTAGATAGCCATCGACTCCTAAAAACATTACACCCGCGAAAACATATCTAAGTATGACGACGTAAAACGAATCAGTTGGTGTCGCTGTCCAACAGATTTACTTTTTAAATATAATTAATTTTATTTAATTTAATTAATTCATTAATTGCATCCTGGCGTAAGAGGAGATACTCGCTTCCTCCCTATTTTCAATCATGCAGTGTTGTCGATTCTACATAAATGTGGCAACATCTTGGTTAATTGAAATACCCTAAATATTATTTCACTTTGGGACTCTACTAAAAATTCAAGAATTATTTTCTAATTTTCCCACATATTATAAAAACGAGAAATCGAAAAAATTTGAAATTTACACAAAGGTTATCCACAACCTAGTCGTCTTCAATTTTCTTAAAATTACTATTTTTGTATGTTTCTTAAATACACAGATTTGTTGGTAAATAAATCTAAAATTATGTTCGGAAAAGACGCAGAAAAAATATTAAATTAATTAAATTTTATGCATTGCGGCGATATGTATCACTCACTATGGATTGAGGAAAAACCTCCCTAAAATTTACCAAAACATTACAAGGTTTCATTTTTGGTCATCATTGGTGGATCACCGTGTAGTATATCGGAAAGTGTGTTTCCTGAAGTTAAGATATGTATTGCGTGCGCATATAAATAATTTTAATATAAAATTTTATAGGTATTTCATTTTTTTGGTTCCATTGATTTCAAAATAACGATAAAATCCACTCGGGCATTTATTGTACTATTTGGCACTACTTGTTTCTTACCCAGTATTTGTATCTCAAATGTAAAATACTTTTTCATATTTTTAATGATCATAACCAAATAAGGCAGTCTTATTCCTAGCGACGCTCTGGCCTTGATAGGACAAGTGATATAAGTGGTGGCGACATTTGTTCCCCCAATATCCAACACCAGGGACTTCACTTCGTCATCGATGATCCTACGAATGTGACCATTTTTCACCTACAATCGGAATTAAACTACCGATTCCATACCATCCAAGTCAATTCTAAAATTACTTGTTTGTCCCAAATATCTAAAGGATTACTCCCCACGCTGAAAAATATCGACATAAATCCACTCTGAAACGAGTTTGAGAACATCTTGAAATTTAACTGTCAAGGATGTCACAACAACAATTTCATGACAAAATTATAAAGGGTATTCTATGCTTTTGATTTTGTTGCCGCAATTTTTTATATTTCATAACCTAAAATTAAATCATAAAAACGAATGCATGCCTCTAATATTGCTATCATTATTTTTTATGGTTCATAATTTACAGTTATAGTTGGTGTCTATGGTAATAATGGATCTGGGAATTGATCCATTTTATTTTGCAAATTAATTAAAAACAGCTCTTTCTATTCAAAATTTATTGAAAGGCCACATACAAATTTGCCAAAAAATATTCGAATGATCCATTAAAAAATATTTGCTGTACATAACATACAATTATATCGTATTTAACAAAAAACACAGTACCCTACAGCAAAGTATCACTAAGTTTATAGCTAAATTTTTAGAATCACAATTATGCAGTTTTCTTTTTCTTTTCTGCTAAAAAAACTTAAACAAATCATCTGGCTCACTTTTTGTTGTAGAAAGTTTCCATTCGTCCGGTGAAAAGACTCAATTTATATGATTTTTTTTTCTGACATTTTTAATATTTTTTTAGTGAAAATATGATTTTACGCAGCCTGCCATAATTTTTTAATCTGCCCTCATTACTGTTGTATAGGAATATGTCAACTTCATCCTCTAAAAAGAACAAAATGTAGTGATTAATGTTAATCGACTTGGTTTGAAAATTTGTTTAACGCTTAATGTTTCAGTATATTTCAATTCCAAATTGAAATGAATCATCATAATTGTAATCCTTTAGAAATAAAAACTTCGTCACTCAGTAGATACTAAAAAAATGGAAATATATCGGAAAAAAGTATTCATACATGGACAACCACTCTTCGTGTTGTAAAATCAACGAATTTAATTAATATACCATCGTAACTTGACGTAAATGGACTGCTATTATTCTTTTCATTTTTAAATTATAGTTTTTGCCAATTTCAATATTTTGTACAGATTAAATTTTGTAAAGATCCGGTTCATTCTGAATCAACTGTTTCGCTCAGCTCACCGAAATCACAGCATCCGTAGTCATTGGACCAAATGAACCGATTGTTAAACTGAGTGGCTTCTGACACCGCATCACCATGATATATACAAGGACTTTTGTTTTAATGTCCTGGTCGTACCATTCGCTTTTATAAAGGGCGCTAGACAATTTGCCACTCTAAAAACAGAACAATGATCAATCAAGTAGTTTTCAGCAAGTATTTTTCAGCATGCTTTACAAAAGTATCTAGATATACTCTTAAATTAATTAAAACGAACGAACGAAATTAATTAATCCGGATAATCTTTAAGAACAACAAATTTGACAAATTTGTAGTCAAATAAAAGTAGAGACCCGGCATAACAAGAAGAAGAATTTTATTAACCACAATATGTGGTTAATAAAATAAGGTAAAATACAAAAACAAAATATAAAAAGAAAAAAGGTGTAAAAAAAAATCTATTTAATAAATAACAGAGTAGTGAACAATAACAAATATAAAAGTCAACAACACTAACACTGAGTATAAAAATCGTACAGAAAATGCAAGATAGTATGCTACGTTCTTCACACATTTCAGTGAGCCAAGGATTTTAATTTATTTTTTTTATTTTGATGGAATACTCGTCCATACTACAGAAACAATTTTCAATAAGCAACACTTTAATATTTGTTTTGAACACCTCAAAAGCCATATGTCTGTACCTATCTGGTAGCATATTGTGTGCTTTGGAACTGGAGATTTTTTGCGCGAGTTGGATAACTATGAGACACACCTTCAAATATATTAGTATGTTTCTGAATTTCTAAAAAATATGGAGAATATAGATACAGGGCAGTGTCATCTTATATTTTTTTAAATATGGAGTACAGTGTTCATTGTGCTTAGCCCCAGCAAGAATTCTTATAGCCCTTTTCTGTATCCTGAATATTCGAACAGCTTTGACAGAGTTTCCCCATAATATTGTGCCATATGATTATATGGGAATGAAATAAAGCATAATACACTGTCATGAGGCCATTTTGGTCTAGGCTTTCCCTAATTTTTCCAAGGACGAATAAGCTGGAAGAGTATCGTCTTACTGCTAATTGCTAATTGTTTTTTTTTTGTTTTTTTTTTTAATTTAAAACTTTCTACTGCAGGGACCATCGGCGAATGGATGAAATAATCACGGATCACTTTTCTCAGTTCTCTAATTTACGAAGAGATATAATACTTAACAAGAACATAACATATTCTCCATCTCTTCCACCTAAGATCATAATAATGGAAGCCCCGCCAGAGAGAGACTTAACCATAACATAATCGAAACTTCATAAGCAAAGAATAAAGACTGTCGTGTAGTCAGTTCTACCATACATATATTTCGTGAAATCTGACAAAAGAAATTTTATCTAAGCAGATAAAATTATTAAATTTGGGATTTAAAGCTTCAAAAGTGTGATTCGAAATTAAAACATATATTTACGACGATTGAGCCATATACAATGGCATTGATTGTTTTATACGAAAATTTATGTTTCAATTTCCACGGAAGAGTTAATAAGATTTTTTTTGTTTTATTCAGAAATCGCAATTGTCTTCTACATCAACAAAATATGTTGACTCGACAAACGTCTAAGATATATCGGGTCTATTTTGAATAGATTTGAGAGTGCCGACAAGTCCGTAATATTAAGAAACTCTTCCCTGTGTGCCATATCCAAAAAGTATGGTTTTATTAGCTAGAATCACTTTCATCAATGACTAGTTGCGTTCATGCCTGCATCGTGTCGTCGTAACCTATTAACATCGATAATTAACAAAGTGAAAACTCCTTATAGCGAAACTCTGTATAACATAAAACTCTGTATTACGAACAAAATTTGTTGTACTATTAGGTCTCCATACAAAGCTATAATGCTTTAATTCGGGAGATAGAACGGGGAGAAAAGAAAAGTAATGCGGCACGTCGATACGGACTTACACCGTCGACTCTATCCACGATTTGGAAGTGCAAAGAACAAATTATTCAGGCTGAAGCGGCAGGCAGTTCTAGTAAAAAACTAAGAAAGCCAAAATTTGAAGATTTGGATCGAGCAATGTTGCAGTGGTTAAAACAGCAACGTCTTAAAAATGTACCACTCTCTGGACCTATTGTAAAACTAAAAGCAGAAAAGTTTTCTTCTTTCTTGGCATTATCAATTTCAATGCTTCGGAAGGATGGTTGGGGAAACAGAGACATGGTAAATTATGGACAGATAAGTGGCGAAGACCGTGTTGTCGACAAAAACTTCACTAACGATTGGCTGGAGAAGACTTGACCAAAACTAGCAGAAAAGTACCCTGCTGACGACATTTTTAATGCTGACGAAACTGGTATTTTCTACAAAATGACGCCAGATAAAACTCTTAAATTTCGAAGCGAAAAGTGTGTGGGTGGAAAACTTTCTAAAGAACGTCTAACAGTGTTAGTAGCTGCCAATATGAGAGGGAGAGAAAAAAGAAAGCTAGTCATGATGTTTTAAAAACATTTGCCGGTCATTTACAAGGCAAACAAGTCTGCATGGATGACATCGCAATTTTTTAAAGAGGAGATACGGAAATGGGATGCAGAAAAAAACTGAAGGAAAATATTACTTCTCTTAGGTAACTGCCCTGGACATCCCCATATTCCAAATCTACGGAATATTGAATTGGCATTTCTTCCAGCCAAAACAAGTGTATTAGAGCCGATGGACCAGAGCGTAATAAAAAACTTAAGAGTCGATACAGGAAAAACATTTTATTTTAAATGATCGAGTCCGAAGACAAATTTTTAATTAATATGCTAAATGCAGTCAACTTTATTAGTAAAGCTTGGAAAGAGCAGCAGAAACAATTCAATACTCCTAGCGTCATGCAGGACTTATTACCGAGACAGAATGCGAATAGGACTTGAAAGATGATCAGCCACTAAGCGAGTGGATAAACCAGTTTCAAACAACAATTACGTTTACAAGTGAGGAGTTCCAAGATTTTATAGTGATAGATCAGGATTTGCGTACAACAGCAGACTTGACAGACGAAGCCATATTACAACAAGCAAGAAAGGATGAGGAAGAGCACCAAGAGGAAGAAGAAATTGATCTGGGATCACCACCTCAACAAGCCTTGTATTCAGTTAAGCTGCTAGACACATTTTTTATGTATCCTGGAGACGATGCCCTCGAAGAAATGGTGGAAATACAAGCATTGGCAAGCAAATATATGACCGATTATTTGAAACATTAAATGTAGTTCTTAAATATTTACATGTTAACATATATATATACATATATATATATATATATATATATATATATATATATATATATATATATATATATATATATATATATATATATATATATATATATATATATATATATATATATATATATATATATATATATATATATATATATATATATATATATATATATATATATATATATATATATATATATATATATATATATATATATATATATATATATATATATATATATATATATATATATATATATATATATATATATATATATATATATATATATATATATATATATATATATATATATATATATATATATATATATATATGTATATATATATATATAGATATAAAATAATTAAATATTACAGAACACATATGCGTATTGTTATTTTTCAAGTATATAGAGTTTGCACTATATTGACAAAGAAAAAAGAATAAATAGAAGAGCCGTAAATTTGCCAAAAGTACTTGATTTGGTACAAATCGTTTCACACACTACCGCTGTTATCTCCAAAATCTACAATAAAAGTTAACTAGATTTGGAAATTATTGTGTAGGGATGCACCCGTATAACTGAAATGTGCTGTTGGTATAAGGGCTTAATTACCTGAATCACTATTTCGTTGCAATTCCAAGCCAACAGAATTAATTGGCTAAATAAAACAAACACAAACATGCAGTTGAATGGTACATTAACCCCCTACAATTTCAACAAACCGCGCTCGGATCTTGCTTTCAAGGGTTATGCGTTTAAAAACTTACCGCCATTACTTGGAACACCGCGCCAGCGAACATTAGCGACGAGAAACAGTATTCCACTAGTAAAATATTTTTTACCGAATTATTAAAGTCGTTAATGTACCTAAAAATATGTCATTTTACTACATTTCGATTTTAAAGTTACAGTTACAATTCTTAAAGGTCAAAGTTTTTGAACATGAAAATTTCACTTTGAAAAAGCGATTATTGAAAATTAACAATCGATTTTTTTCCAATGAAAATCGTGTGCAGTGGTTCGGTTATCTATTTATATCATCACTACACCTTTTCTTTTGGATAACATTTTTGAATTTTTGAGAGAGAGTTAAAAACGCAATAAAAAATTAATTAATTGTAGTTTAGACTTGGTGAAATATCACACAAAAGGCTATTAACTTAAACTGAATTACAAACATTAATTCATTTAAGAATAATTTTTTTTGGTGAACGTCTGTAGTTTCAGTAAGTGGAATAAAAACGTATTGTGGTGTTTCTTTATCTTATAACTTTTAAAATTCCATCGTCGATTACTTTTGGCAGTTATTATGTTTAATAATCGAGTGACAGAAAGAGTTAATCAATTTTTTGGCTTACTATTACCACCATTTCTAGGATCATTAGTTTTTGGCTGCATTTTTCAAAAACAGTGAGAATACATTCACTGAGTGACTTATGACGTCAAACATCCGATACTAATATATCTTACTAAGAATAGCAAGTGCGGTGCCCAAAAATTCTGAGAGTGCCCTTTAAAATCAAGAATTCATCAGTAAAACTGGAAGCCTTTGATCTTCCAAACTGTGTAATATTTATGGGATGTTTCGACTTTCTTGCGTCCCCCGATATATAAAATTCCCATCCACCGCACTAAAATGTAAATAATGAAACTATTAAAATTAATATCAGTTAAGATTTTTTTTCCCATTTTCACAAAATCTACGAATTTTGATCAGAATTAAACTGCCGTCAAATTTATGCTCACTTACTTTATAAATTCTTGGTGGCCTGAGCACAGTAACCGCAAATTTTTGAATGCTGAATTGCTTTCGCCCGATTGACCTAAACGATTGAGATTTTTATGAAAGCTCTTAAAATATTGCTGGAATATTTTCAGTTGCGCTCTCAAAAAAATTAGCAAAGAATTGCTAAAGATCTGGAACGCGGTGGTGTACCACACCGTTAAAACTATTTGCCATAACTGATCCAGTAAAACCCAAATGTGGAATTTGTTTTTATCGAATGGATACCAGAAATGAAGCGGCAAAGGCTTATCGACTGTTTGATTACTATCCCTTTGTGATCTATAGAACGCATAACTGTCCGCTATTCCTAAAACATAATATTTATTTGAGGCAAATTATACTGACGAAAGGAGCTGGTAACCTACCGAATTCCCAGTGGAGTACAACGCCGCCAACTGCGCATGCGTAGGAGAATTTAGTTAACGAATTGCAAAACGTTACGTGGCTGTGATAAATTTTTCGGATTTGACACTCGTCGTTTATGTACGTCTCCGCCTCCTTCTTTAGTGCTATGGAAATAACGTTAACGATTTTTTTCGATTGGCACATCGATGCTTTAATAACCAGCAGGCCAGAAAATAGAAATTTTGAGACCGTTTCTAGGGCTAAAAATATGATACCGTTTTATGACATGACTCAGTTTTAAAGTATATCATGGAATTATGTCGAAGAAATCTGTTAATTTCATTATTTTTGGTTTCCTTTTAACCTAATTTGGAATTTATTTTTTATTATTTTTATATATTTTTTATAAATAATTTTATATGCTGGGAAACGAGCGGTCGTGGAATTTTGAAAAAAAATTAAGTAAATGACCAACAGGGGAACTAATTGTTATCTTAAATTTTAAAAACCGGCGTCTACAAATATTTGTTATGTTTGTTATATATGTTAACCATAGTTACAGTGGGTACTATCTAAAAGCTGAAAAAAATTCAAATCTTTTTATCTAATGCTGTTTGCTCTGCAAGCAAAGTGGTGGAGATGTTCGAATATTTTCTGAAATAAAAAAGGCTTAACGCATTTTAATAGACTTGGTGTCAATAAAATGGACTTTTCCTAGGTGATTGCTGACAGTGCGAATTTTCTAAGAACGGAATAAATGTAGCCATCAAAAGACATTGACAAGCATCAAATTAGAACATCAAAGATGGGTTTGGTCACATAAAAACAAAATTTGTTTTCATAACAAACTTGATAATTATAAATACTATATAGTACTTCACTAATTAATAAAATTAGTTAGTGTCCAACAATTGATTAGCGATCCTGTTATTGATTGGCAATTTTTAATAGAAAAATAAGTGATAATGCTAAGTATATGAAAACATAAAAATGACATCTACGGAGTTTTTTGTGGGGCACTTAGAAGAAATTGTAAAAAAAGTAATAATCATAAATAATATCTTGTTTTGATTTTAAATGTCATTTATCATAAATTATAAACTAGAGTGTTGTTTGGTAAATTTGAGATAATAATTTTTTTTAGCATTAAATTCATTTATTCATATTTTAGGTTAGATATTGAGATGCGGTTTTCGTTCAGTAAGTCAGAAAATTTTTGCACATTTTCAATTTCTGCAAAATCCACCTGGAGGCAAAGTAAGCAACCACAATCGCGCCACACTGTGATATTAACAACCTATTAAAAGCCCTTTTTAAGGACTCCAAGTTAAACGGTTTGGGAGAAATGGACATTTATTCAAGCAAATTTTCGAGCACTCCCCCACCACTTTCCTTAAAGTAATAGAGCAAACCATTAAACAAAAAATATTTTAATTTGCCTCAGTTTTAAAATAGTACCTTTTAACAATGATTAAAAAAGTCGGAAATAATTGCAGCATTTTCTCTTGAACGATTTTCTTCATATATATATATATATATATATATATATATATATATATATATATATATATATATATATATATATATATATATATATATATATATATATATATATATATATATATATATATATATATATATATATATATATATATATATATATATATAATTTCTAATACTGTCCGTTTCCCTAATACCTGCCTTTAATAGGATGCACGTTATGGACCTTATTTACCCGTTTGATCTAACGACTTTTATGTTTTTAATGTTGGAATTCACCACTTTCAAATACTATATAACCTTACTCATTATTCGTACTGTTTTGAATAAAGCCATTATTTATTTATTTATTTAAATGATAAACAAAACATGCACTTTCGCATTGCTTACGATCCTTTAGTTTCTTTTCCGGGTAATTTATTATGATGAACAGTAGTAATGACCTCTTATAATAGAGTTATTGAAATACATTTAGTAGTCCAGAGCGAAACAATAGTAAGGGGTCCATTTTACCGATAATAGACAAGAATGCATTTTAAAAAGCAAGATGATCAGAGATCCAGAGCGAAACAATAGTAAGGGGTCCATTTTACCGATAATAGACAAAAATGCGTTTTAAAAAGCAAGATGATCAGAATTAAATTAATTTTATTTTAAAATTGACAGAAAATTGACAGAAAATCTACTTTTTCTACTCCCTACTCTAAAATACCGGAGAGCAATCGAAAGTTATCGGTAGATATTTAAAACGCTGCATGGTATTTTGAAGTTTGTCAGTTCTGATGGTTCTGCATGCGTTTATTAAACTGTCTAGTGCCAGAAAGATTTTATCAATGTGTTGCCTACTACGAACATTTGGTTAAAAAAAAACAAATACAAATTGAAAATTGACAATGGTCAAAATGCCATCCATGCTCAAAATTTACCGAAAACGGATTCGGATTCCTCCCAGATCTGTAACCAAAATACGGCAAAGGTCCGAAATGACTCGCGACATAATTTCATAATTGGGTATTTTAGAGTAGCACAAACAACCCTTTACATAACGTATATTATATAATTGAAGGAATGGAATTAAAGTACTGAACAGCAACTTCCAAAGTCACCCCAGTCAAATTTCTAAAAATCATTATATAATAATTTAAAATCGCCTGTAACCAGTCACAAAAGAATGCTATTTTTGTTGTTTTGTTGTGTTGAAATTAGCAGAAATTGTGTTGATGGGATTATGCAGAAAATATCTACCCTGTGGAATATGTCGTTTTTTTTACATATTTGCGTTCTAAGAATTTTTTAGTATTTTGTATTATCACTATTGGCTTAAACATAATCTTGCAAACATGCTTGCAAACGAGATTTAGTTAATATTATTGTAAAAAGAATAATTAAAATCTAATTGATCTTACGAAAAACGTCAGTATTGGGTACCACACCTGATTTTCTAATAAAAAATGAATTTAAAAAATAACTTTAATTGTTTTCACAAAAATAAATTTTTAAAATTACAATGTGTTTTAGCAATCTTTATTTGGGGAGTCGGTCAAGCAACATCTTTTAAATATGATATTGAATTTTAATATTTAACTAAAGAAATTAATAAAAAGAAATTCCTCGATTCTTTCGTGTTCGCTAGTCTCTAAAGTTTCTCAATAATTTTTATAATAATTATTATAAAGTAGAGTAATGAAGCGGTCATTTACTAAGGAGAGGCAAATATACATTTTCCAGACTTCAAACCTATTTTCGTACATTGCAAGTTAGAAATCTATCAGAAAAAAAAATCCTTTGATAAAGTTCTGTCACCATCAATATTTACCGTGGCTTGCGAATAAATGATACAAATTCGTTTTTAATCCATCGCGGTTATACAAAATGTCCTGAATGATTAGTATGAAAAAGTTAAGGTTTATAAAGAAAACGGCTTCAAAAACAAATATACGGTGACGTATATTGGCACCAAAAACGTGTCAAACAAAAATAAAAGTAGAAACTCTTCTTTCTTCAAAATCGCTCACCTGCAGTCAGGTCCGTTCTAAATAAATTTGGCAAATTTGCTCCCAACAACAAAGGAGTTAGTGAATACATTATTTGTATTACGACAGAATAGAACGGATAAGCGGCTTTAAAAAAATTTGTGCTGTTGTGTAATTCCAGTCTCCAAATGCCGCATAGCACCATCATGATCCTAGCATGATAGAAGAGCTCGCAATCCGCCCCCATTTTAAAAACGACTCCGGGTTCCCCAATAGTACACCCCTATTTATATTTTCGCGCATACTCAAATTGCCAGAAAATAAAGACCGTTATTACGTAGTGAACCCGGAAATTGCAGAAAGAAACCCGGCTTCAGTGGAGTAGATTTTTTTTAATTATGTTAGAAAACTCCTCGAACTCAAATAAAATTTCACAACGATTAGTGTAATTAACGAGTTAACATTTTAATTAATAAACTCTGGGCAAATATAATTTTTAAGTATATAACAGTGGAAAAAATTATTAATTTCACACTGACTGGACGACACTGGCTTGCGATTACGTTTTCGATTTTCATTTTGCGATATTTACATAAATTATTCCTTCAGATGCACCCTATTGAATAATAAAGTTGATTGTGAAATACATGAGACAATTTTGTTTTGCGGGCAAGGGCTGTTACCTTGTAAATTATAAGCTACGAAAACTTGCACGTGGACAGCTATTTTCATTGTTCTCTATTGGATAAATTCAGCTTTTTTTAAACACTTGCAGCATCAGAAAAAATGTAAATTTGTTCTTGTTTCAAGCGCGTTTAGTGTTGACTTACGCTCATCGAAATTGAAGTTGTGAAGATTTTAGAAGGGAACAAGAAAAATCAGTCCTCTTTATGTTTTAACAGTTCGACAAAATAGTACTTGTCGGCCGGAAACTAATCCCAACTAATGTAACTTTTAAATTACACACAGAAATAGTGGCTCGTATTCGATCCTGACATCCATCTTAGTCATCTTCAGAACGGAGAACAGTTCTTTGATCAGGCACATATTCCCGAACGGATCGCACTAAAGGGCAATATAAAGCAGTGTGATGGTTCTTGAAAGATATTACCGTAAAGTCAAGGCACCTATTAACTCTGTCACCAAGGTCCAAGGTAAGAGAGTCTATTGTTGAATGGGATAGCCAAGTACTGACTGTCTACAGATTCAAGAGCTGATTCGTAAAATGTACCACTTACTTGTGATGATTAAGGTTACTTTGAAGTAAGGGATTCATCTATAAATCCTATTGAATACTTCGATCTCCCTACAAACTGCCATATCGAGCCAACGGCGAATTAAAAACCAATAATCACCAAAATTTCACCTAGCCCTATCGTCCCAAATTTAGTTCTCGTATGTACATACCTAGAAATGCTTTCGAAGTAGTAACTAACTAAGCAATACTGACACCGGTGGCCACTGAGCAATCAAAGTTATATTCCATTAAAATAAAATCTAAGTCTTCTTTCAGCGGGAATAAATTCGATTTGGCCATCGACACGTGAACTGTGCTTTTAAAGTTAAAAATAAGATCTAGTAGAGGGTATTGGAGACACAACAATTATTTTGGAAATCGTCAGCACTGCAATAAAGATCAAAGCAATAGTGAAGGGTATACTTGATGAATCTACATTGAACTTGTATATCTTGGAAAGAATGTATGTGTCTATGTGAGAAATATTTTTGTACGCACCTTTAAGCACTCCAGGAGACAGTGACAAGATCGTGAACAATATTGTGGTGGAACCAAACAAGGACCAGCAAAATGGGAGTCGTTTGGTAAGATGCGGTGTCCATGTCAGATCGATACCAGTAATGGTAAAGTCTGTTCATAGATATAAGAAAGTGACTAACTGATACGAATTAAGGAAAGACCCGGGAAAGCTGTAAGAAGGAAATATGGCCGAACAGGTCTGTACTTTGCTTAGAATTTAATTATTTGGGGTTTTGTTAGGAAAGATACTAAACAATATTTATTTATGTATTTATGTTTAAATCTAAAATAAAATTCCAAATTATTTTTATTACCTGCTTAAATTACTTAAAATTATTTACATAATATATCAGTATCACTATCGCTATCATAGCCTGTTCTAATTATTATTTGCAATATGGATACACGATTGTTCTGCTTTTTCTATATGTTTAACAGAATTTGTCCAAGTTTCTGGAGGGATGTTAAAAACTTCGGTTTCTATAAGTTTGAGGACATTGGAGTTAATACGGCAAAAACATTGTTACGACGAATGGCAGATTTCAGTTGGTGCCAAACATGTTCAATATCTTGATCACTTTCATCTACACTCGAGAAAATGTCAACATCGCTTCTTTTTTTCCTCGCTGAAATGGGATTCCACACAGTTGATGTTGGAATTTTCGTCAATGTGGCCGTTTCTTCTAAAGATGCTTGCCTGCTGGCACCCCGTTCAATGAGAGTCAAATAAATACTGTTTATAACTTCCTTAGTCTCAATAGAATAGTGTTTTCGACATTTGGGCGAGAGCGTCTCCTGAGGTACACTAGACTCGCACATATTTTGCATAATTCGCACACGATTCAACACACGCTGTATTACACACGAAATAAGAATGATTACTAATAAACTTAAACTAAGTAGTATACTAAACCAAAGAATATTAAACACAGGTAGGTATAAAATTATTTTCTATTACGGACCACAATTTTACCTGAATTTTAATTCCGAAACTTTAGGTAATAATCTTGTTGCATTGTATGTTAATGACCACCCTTGGATAATCCCATTCACAAGCAATTGGTCACTTTCTTATATCTATGAACAGACCATAGTTTGTAAATATTACATTTGAAAAAGACAGGGTGTGATCGAAACAATTGTCATGTCAAAGTAGATAATTCCATGAAAATCTGAACTTTTAGTTCTTATTTTCTAGTTCTAGGTAGAGTGATATGTGTGATGATAGTTATTTTTCCGTAGTTGTTGGCAAAGTTCGTTCTTGAAAATGGCTGCGCTTTCTGTGAGAAAATTATTATTCTCAATGTGTTCAAAGGTTTTCGCCGCCAAAACTCAACAATCGAAGTGCAAAAATAATTGAAATGTGTTCGAATATGACTGAAGTTGAGGAGTCAACAACGAATTGTGCACGAAGATGAAAGTATTATACTTACTTATGTATAAGTTTTTATTTACTTGATGAATTTACATAATACGTTAATATCATAATTATCTGCCCATCCATTATTATTATATTTATTATTATAATAAATTACCTGTAGTAGCTTAGTAACTCAGCTGTCACATTACTCTCATTCACCAAACTTATGTTTGCATTGTATATAAAAACGGCAATACAGAATTTATCGGAAACTATCAAACTATCATAGCAATTCATCTGAACTTTACGATATAATCTTTATTTTGTCAACCCTGTTTAATAATCCCTGTCGATGCATATTTACATTTTATTAGTATTATTATTAAATTTATATATATATATATATATATATATATATATATATATATATATATATATATATATATATATATATATATATATATATATATATATATATATATATATATATATATATATATAATTTTATTGTATTTGCATAAATGTATTTATATATTTATTACTGTCTCGCATTAAAAAACTATGTATAGTATTGACACGTTTTGCGAATCGCAAAATATATTCATTTTTTTTAAATAACACATTTAAATACACCACATATGTGTCTGCGAGTCACTAATTCGGACTTATGGACGATTTTCTTCAGTCCTAATTTGTCTTGTCTTGTTTTTTTAATATTGGCCCATAACAAGAGATTTTAATAGGGGACTTGGCGAAAATCAAATTAGTTAACAATATAGGATTTGACCATTTTATACAGATTTTATTCTCCTTGTACTTTTCTTTCATCTTTTTATAATTGAAATATCTTTTTTAAACATTCTTGTTTATAAATTTCTAAGTTAAGTTCAAATGTGAACTGGATCAAAGATGGAATATGGATTTGATATTCCTAGTAGACTCAATCTGTGGAAATCACTGTTTAGGAAGAAAATGGCGCAAAATGCAGGTTAGTGGGTGAAATGTATAGGCATGCCTGGAAAATCAGTCCTTCCTTTACCATAATATCAATTCCACTTGCGGCGAATCAATTTTTACCATTTATTTAAAGAATGCCGATAAACTGTTTTAATTAACTATTTCACCCCAATACGCTGTGATATAAAAGACTACTAAAAATACCTTTAAATAAATACAATATAAGGAAAACGTTGCTATTTACACTCAAATCATACAGAACAAAGTTTCCATTTTTCATTTTTGCACGTGAAAAAATTAATTCGAGAAACTGTCACACCTACCAGTTAAAAATTGATCGACAGAAATTTTGCTCTTCCTATATTACATCCATAATTCCGATCCCTGTTATACATCACATTATATTTAAAAATAAATAAAACAGATGGCAACACCAAAAATTGTTATTATTTTTTAATCTAAGTATGTGTAGTTGAAGTAAGTTTTTCTATTTTTTTTTTTTTTTGACAGAGACATTTGAAAAAGTTTATTCCGCTAATTTATGTAAGTTTACAAATTAGACAAAAACTGAAGAAAAACTGCTCCTAAAATAAAAATAAAAAGTTAATATGAGCGCACGATTTAAAGCAAACCCTGTATATATGAAAATATAATAAAATAAGTCTTTCATTTAAAATTATTTAAAAAAAATTTTATATTACATATATTTTATTTTTTCCACTATAGTTTCTGGGAAAGGAGTAGGTATAGTTCCACCATAAAATACTACATACACATTCCAGTACATATGTTTCAATAGTAGTATAATATGCAACAATTTTGATAAACGTCTCTGTAGTCACGAGTTTGATTTGGCACTAGCTCAATAAACGAATGACTCAAGAAATTTATCAGCGGTTATCCAAGTCGAAATTGGCTTTTATCAGTTAGTTAGTTGTAGAAAATAACGCGCTTAGGCGGTCGCTAGATGAGGTTGACTTTATGTAATTCTGTCTTAAAGCTGGTAGACATTTTGATATTTCTACATGAATTTGTTTTTATTTTATTTATTTTTTCATGTAAACATTGCAACGTGTCTACTAAAAAAAATGCCAGCTATTTTTTCCAGAATGTGTGCGTCTAAATTTGAGCAGAGCTTTTACGTTTAACCTCTATGAAAAATGTAAATAAAGTCGAAATTACGAAAAATGGGAAAAAAGTCTAAATATAACCTTATGTGATACATAGATATCTATATAAGTGGAAAAGATGTTCAAGAAGCAAGGTATGGCACCGGGAACGCTCATTCCTTCATGGCAAGTCTAGTATTCACATAATGGACAATTTATTTACAAACATGTAGGTATTAAAAAATATAATCAAGAAAATTAAAAACTATTAAAAAACAAACATCCTCGTTTTCCTCGTTTCTACTCTTATATCATTGGTAAAAACATTTTTGCATAAAACAAACAAACGCTAAAAAGTGTCAATTTTTGTATCAACTTGTAAAAAACAACCTTTAAAAACAAAATTCCACCAGAATAATCAAGCTCATTTTGCTGAAAAAAATTGCGTCGTGCCTACCCTCAAAAAATAGCCAGTTACAAGACACACACATTTTTAACAGCACTGTCCATCTGCTAAAAATTTAATAGAAATTGTATCCTGTTTACCGGTTTTTAAGAATAATACCATAGATAAGAGATTATATGCGATTAGACTCAGAAAATAGAAAATTTTGCACCAAAACAAAACTACCTAACGGTGGTTTTGGTTGATAGACACTGGGAGAAATTTTACAGATTCCATTTTTCCAAATTTTTAATGACCTTTTTTTTTAATATTATTTGTTGACAGAACCAAAACCTTTTACATAATTATAAGGCTTTAAGAATAATACCATAGATAAGAGGTTTATAAGAAGTTGGTCTCAGAAAATAGAAAAATTTTCACCAAAACAAAACCACCTGACGGTGGTTTTGGTTGATAGACAGTGGGGGAAATTTTACGGATTTCATTTTTCCAAATTTTTAATGACCTTTTTTTTATATTTATGTTGATAAACCCAAAACCTTTTACATAATTATAAGCATATCTTCGGAAACTGTAAAAATAACTGGTGATCTATGGATGTAAAATGTGAGTTTCCTTTAGAATGTCTGTATTACGTGGTCGCTTTGGTATACCAACTAACAATGGTAAAAAGTATTACTTAAGAATTGTAAACACATTTCGTGCAGTTTTAGAAAATGCAACATTAGTGAATTTAAAGGAAACGCAAGGTGTCATGAGAAATCTGTAACCTAACCTAAAAGTCAAAGGTTAAAACATATACCTAATACCTACAAAATGGAATTTCTGCCAGTAGACGTACGTGAAGGAAAGGACTTTATCAAAACTATAGAATGGGACATGATGGATAAAAAGAAGTTTTTTCCCTTGTCCATGTTGAGTTCTTTTAGCATTCGATGTGCTCTATATCCTTTAACTCTGATAAAAACCAGATTGCAAATTCAAAAACATAGCGACATGTACAGTGGTAAGTCACTTCATTAATATTATGAACAATTTGTTTATAAATCAGACTTTTTCAATTTTAGGTATGTTTGATGCCTACGGAAAAATTTATAAATATGAAGGAGTTTCTGGACTATATAAAGGATTTTGGATTTCATCAGTGCAAATAGTCAGTGGTAAATCTATTTATATTTAATTTTCAAAAGTGGCTCTGGGTTCAAAACATCTTTTATTGGTCCTAAAATTGAGAGGAGGGTAGTTTAAATTGATAGTTTTTACTGAAAGCAGAAGCACTTTGAAGTTAATTAACAAGAATTGTATGAGCATGGTGCAAATTAAAATTGTCTTCAGGGGTTTTCTATATTTCCACATATGAAGGAGTAAGGCACTTGTTAAAAAAACAAAATGTAGATTCGCGATTAAGGGCTCTGGTAGCTGGAGGTGCAGCATCATTAGTAGGACAAACTATTATTGTTCCATTTGATGTTTTAAGTCAGCATCTTATGATGATGGGAATAGCTTCCACAGAAAGAGATAAAGTAAGTACCTAGTGTAATAAAATTTTGTGTAGACAAATTTGTGCTTTCAGTTATTCTGCAATTAATAATTAGTAATTTTTTCTGTGTTCTATTAAAAATTAATGTAAAAATGTTGGTTTAATTGCAAATTTTTCAATAGATTTTTATGTAATTTAATTATGTTGTTTTTAGCTTGCATTTAACCCATTAGGCATAAATACAACCCAAGGTAGAAGCAAATTAGCTGTAACTCTTGAAATTACAAGAAGAATCTTGAAAATTGATGGAGTTGTTGGCTTTTATCGCGGTTACTGGGCTAGTTTAGCAGCTTATGTTCCAAACTCTGCCCTTTGGTGGGGATTTTATCATCTATACCAAGGTGAGTTTTGCGTTTCCAAAAAGTAACGCTTTTGCTCTTGATGATTTGAGGATTTTGAAACTATATTGAAGTATACCTTGTTAATATTCGTGAGGGAACCATTGCACATGGCGGACGTTGCCTCTGCCCGGTTCCAGAAAATGTAGAAATCAATTAAAAGTAGTGTCATTTGATTTAAAATAGTGTTTTGTACATTTCTTATCTGATGTGATAGAGGCGCATTGCCTATAAATTTGGGAAATATTGTTTGTCTTAAGTGGATGTGTATGGATTTGTGATATGTTTGTTCCATTATGTATATAATAATATGCTTTCTGGATGTCATATTCACGCTAGTAACCAGGCCAGATGGGATCAGGTATCCTGTATGAGGTAATTGCGGGAGCCGTTAGAAGAATTGATCGCCATTTTATGACAATTTAGAAGAATATTGTTAACAAATGTGGAGGATGATATGTTAGTCCAGACCCTTTCATTACGAAGGCATTCTTTAGGAAATTTTGTCTGAAGTTACCTGTTGTTGTAAAGTGACCGAATGACTTTACGTAGTCATGACCATTAGAAGTAAAAGAATGTAAATAAGAACAATTAAATGCAACATGTGTGCAAATTGGTGACCAATTTTCAGTTTTGGGGTTACCAGTTTGAAGCGCCAATAGATTTGTTTCCATTTGCCTTTTTCTAATAGATTGGGCATTTGTTTCTTCATTTTGATTTATTATTTTCTATTTTTCTTGGTAACTGTTCAACAGTGCACACTATTATTACTCAAAGTTCATAACTGTGAACTAAATAGACAAATTTCAACTTGAAATCTCAAAGCGCGTCGCATGATATTGTGACAATTCTGACCCCATATTACTCAATGTCGAGATTCTCAATGTGTATGGAGTGAAAGCTTTGGAATATATGCTTTTGTTCTCTTGTCAGACCACTATGTAAAATATCGTTTCAAGTTTGCCTTTATTTATAGATGAAATGTACAGAGTGGTGCCTGGTTGGGTGTCCCATCTTTTAATTCAGTGTGTAGCCGGCACTCTGGGAGGTTTTACTACCACCATCATAACCAACCCACTAGATGTAGTCCGTGCAAGGTTGCAAGTTCAGAGACTAGAGTCAATGAGCAATACATTTAGGGACTTGTGGCATGAAGAAGGCCTAAAAATGTTCACCAAAGGTCTAAGCGCACGATTGGTACAGTCGGCCACGTTTAGCTTTAGCATCATTCTAGGTTATGAAACAATTAAACGGGTCTCAGTGAATGACGAGTACAGACAGTATGTTAGGTGGTGATATCATTTTTTCCAGGCTGTACTAAGTTGCATGAAATTTTACGTAATACATTGATGGGAAAAAAATTTTGATGACTCATGGGAATACTGAGTACTACTTCCAGTCACTTCATTCAGTGTGCCAAAATATTTCTCTGATAATGGATTGTTTGGTAATAAAAATTTATAATTTCAGAATTTTTATCGCAATTTTATTGCAGAAACTCAGGGGTATATAGTTTCGAATTTTTAATAAATTTAAATTGAATTGGTTTTTGAAGGTTTGCAATACAATCATCAAAAAAGTATTGGACACCTACCACATTTTCGTAGTCCGTCCATTTTTTTTTTTTGTATGTACGCAAAAAAATCAGCTCGGAATAAAGGATAGAGTACAATCATCTACAATATTCGACAGCCTTACCTAAAAGAAATTGATGCCAAGAAACAGTAACACATTGTATGGTCAGTCAAAATTTGTGGTCTTGATTTTCTTTTATCTTTTGACTTTTGAATAAAATATAAAGACTGTGTATAGTCTTCATGTTGTAAATCTCAGAGTACATATGTGTCTCAAATTACTTTGATCTTATGAAATCTCATTGGTGTATCATTGTTGCTCAATAATAAACCAGCAACCATTACTTTATTCTTAGAAGATTTCAGGTTTTGACATTTTTTTGAAAATTGTATTTTTGCTTCAATCGCTAACTAATTTACAATACAAGATAATGCAAGTTTAAGATCACTCTAGAAAGGTGATTTATGTGCCACTCTGTCAGAAGTAACTGCAGCAAGGGTATCTACGCAATCTTTTCACCTGTTAGAAGTCTGTTGTCAACGTAGTAATGTGCAATTAAAATAGTTATATTTATGCATATTTTATACGCATTTTAAAGGAATTTCTTAAAAAACAATTCTGTCTGCACGTAGATTAATAGACAATATGTGCAAGGAAGAATAATGAATTAAAGAAAAATTTTGCATCTTTTTACCTAACAATGTTCAGTTTATGTTAATGTTTTCCTGGCTTTTGCCTTCTATCTTGAGCACACGGTAAATAGAAATATATTTAACATCAGCATTACAAAAAAAAAAACAAAACTTCTCAACTAAATTAAGAAATTCATTAAACTTGTTTTAAAAGTGCCACACACATTTAATGAATTTCACAATCATCTGCCTGAAGCGAATTCCGGACTGTAGTTACTTGACTTACTCTAGCCCACAATTTCAACTTTGGTTAATTGTCTGACTGGTTTATAGAGGAAACTGCACAAAATCTTGGATTTAGCAGAATTTGAGTCTGTATTTCTTTGGTTATCAAATTTTTTCACTTTCATGTTTACGTTTTAATAAAATGTAGAAATTTTAGCCAATTGTAAATAGATGTACATTTGTGAAACGTAAATAGTTTATTTTATTTATTTATGTTTTTGTTGAATTATGACTATAAGTGTTATTTCTTTGTTCCATTATATAGTACTTTATATATATGTACAGACTAGTATATATTATATTTAAAGAACAAATGTTCATATTTAATAAATCAGTTTTCAATACCAGTTTTTTTTAATGCCTAATGGACTTCATGTTCGATTGAACTGATAGACAGAAAACGTGGTCATCAGTTTTCCTGCATAGTTCAAAAATGAATTAAAAAACATTATTTCATTGACAATCACCATTCGCGACTAAAAAATACACAACAAAAGGGCGTTTCAAACAACAGCATTGTAATTCCACATGTAGGTGATTACCTGCTTTTGGCAACTCAACCGTTGTTTAAAAAATTAAGCAATTACTTAAGGGGTGTTGCTTAATTTAAACAAAATATTTTGAAGTCTAAAATAGTGCGATAAATCTTCATTTCCCTAATTTATATGTTCCCAAATTTTGTTTTTCAAAATAGCCCCAATTAAAGTTTAATTATTTTTACAATCGTTGAAAGCTAAAATTTTGGAAATCGCACAATCAATGTGCTATATCAATATAAACTGTAATGATTTAATGTAACACCCCTTACATTCATTTGAAAATATTTTAAATACATGTTTACAATCTTTAGGTTTGCAAAATAGAAGCTGGAAAATGTAAACGCGTTTGAAACTGATACAGATAGTGAAGACTAAAAAATAAAAATACCTGAAAAAAAATTTATTAAAAAAAAAATGAACAAAATACAAATTACACAGCCAAATCAAATGCTACTGGGCTGACAATATTCGTAAGAGGGGATTTAAGATTTCCGTTATAATTTAATATATATAACAGTTCGAAAATACTTTAGTAACAGTCTTATTCACACAAAGCACATTTATCTAATCAACTTCTTCCATACGAGACGCGTCTTCTGCATCTCCACCTTCCGGAGCAGAAACCTCAGCCGTTGTGGTCTCTTCGGTCAACATCGCCTCCTCTTCATCAATACCCAAACCAAGTTTGATCATCCTGTAAATTCTAGAGGCATGGACTTGGGGTTCTTCGAGTGTAAATCCAGAACTCAATAAAGCAGTCTCGAACAACAAGATAACCAAATCCTTAACAGCTTTGTCATTTTTGTCAGCATCTGCTTTCTGGCGGAGATTTTCGATAATGGGGTGATCTGGGTTGATTTCGAGATTTTTCTTGGCCGCCATATAGCCCATAGTTGAGGTATCACGAAGAGCCTGAGCTTTCATAATACGCTCCATGTTTGCCGTCCAACCATATTTAGATGTTACAATACAGCATGGAGATTCTACTAATCGATTGGATACTACAACCTTCTCTACTTTGTTATCCAATATGCTCTTCATTACTTTACAAAGACCTTCGAATTTAGTCTTATCTTCCTCTCGTTTTTTCTTTTCAGCCTCATCTTCGGGCAACTCCAGTCCTTCCTTGGTGACTGACACCAATGGTATTCCGTCATACTCTTTCATTTGCTGAACAACATATTCATCCATAGGTTCAGTCATGTAAACCACTTCAAACCCACGTTTCTTAACACGTTCAACAAAGGCAGAGTTGGCAACCTGATCCTTGTTTTCACCAGTGATGTAATAAATGCTCTTCTGATTCTCCTTCATACGGCTAACATAGTCTTTCAATGAACAAGCCTCATCACCACTGGCTGAAGTATGGTAACGCATAAAATCTGCAAGTTTAGCCCTATTTTGTGAATCTTCATGAATTCCTAATTTCAGATTTTTAGAGAATTGTTCATAGAATTTCTTGTATTGATCTTTATCTTCTGACAATTCCTCAAATAATTCAAGACACTTCTTCACTAAGTTCTTTCGGATAACTTTCAATATCTTATTCTGTTGGAGCATCTCACGAGAAATGTTCAAAGGCAAATCTTCTGAATCAACAACACCTTTGATAAAGTTCAAATACTCAGGAATTAATTCTTCGCAATTGTCCATGATAAATACTCTCCTAACATACAATTTAATATTATTCTTCCTCTTTTTGTTCTCAAACAAGTCAAAGGGAATACGACGAGGGACAAACAAGAGAGCTCGGAATTCCAACTGACCCTCTACACTGAAATGTTTGACAGCCAGATGATCTTCCCAGTCATTTGTCAAGGATTTGTAAAATTCACCATATTCTTCTTGACTAATGTCATCAGGATTTCTTGTCCAAATTGGCTTTGTTTTGTTTAACTCCTCATCTTCAGTGTACTTTTCTTTAATAGTCTTTTTCTTTTTCTTTTCATCCTTTTTGTCTTCATCCTCATCTTCCCCAACATCTTCAATCTTTGGTTTGTCTTTATCATCTTCCCCCTCCTTGTCCTCTTCCGCTTCATCTTCACTCAATTCCTTTTCGCGTTCTTTCTCAACAACAAGCTTGATCGGATACCCAATGAACTGAGAATGCTTCTTCACAATTTCTTTAATCTTATTCTGCTCGAGGAATTCAGTTTGGTCCTCTTTGATGTGCAAAATAATTTTGGTGCCACGTCCCAAAGGTTCCCCATGATCAGCACGAATTGTAAAACTACCTCCAGCAGAAGATTCCCATATGTATTGTTCATCATCATTGTGCTTTGAAACTACAGTAACTTTATCAGCCACCAAATAAGCAGAGTAGAAACCCACGCCAAACTGACCAATCATACTAATATCTGCACCTGCTTGCAATGCTTCCATGAAGGCCTTTGTTCCAGACTTTGCTATTGTACCCAAATTATTCACCAAATCTGCTTTTGTCATACCAACACCAGTATCGATGATTGTAAGTGTACCTTCACTTTTGTTGGGCACAATTTTGATGTACAGCTCCTTGCCAGATTCTAGCCTCGATGGGTTTGTTAGAGATTCATAGCGGATCTTATCTAGAGCATCAGACGAATTAGAGATCAACTCCCGAAGAAAGATTTCTTTATTTGAATAGAAGGTATTGATGATCAAGCTCATCAATTGAGCAATCTCTGCCTGGAAGGCAAAGGTTTCAACCTCTCCACTCTGCACGTCTTCAGGCATCTGGAAACGAAAGAAATAACCAATATATGAATATAATTCTAAAACGGGCATACTAAAAAATGTCACTGTTTGACATTTAAAATTTTAAGAACATTTAAAACAAGGGGATTAAAACGGACTTGTAAGCTTCTTCCAAATTAAAATTTTGAATGAACAGATGTATACCGTTAGGAAAATCCTATCATTCGCCATTTCACTTTTACAAGACGAATTACCACAGAAACAAGCAGACTCGTGCTGATTTTGAAGCTCGTAAATCCTTTCAAATTAACTTATCTCTAGGCTATATTTTAATATTTGATAAATTGAAAAATCACTTAACCGGCATCATGCTTACCACGAAATACTTTAAACTAATAGGCAAAGTAAAATAAGCGAAATAAGCAAAATATCTACACAATATTCTTTTTAGGAAAGAATAATAATTTTTGTATATACATACCTTCTCTACAATTTATAAAAAAAACTCTTCAAAAGTTAAAAATGCTGCAACTTGGAACAGTGAAAACGCTTTAAAGTCGAACGCTCGTAAAGCACCGCTCACGAAAATCAATTTCAATCTGACGCTATGCGCGGTTTGGCGGTTGCTTTTATAGCCTCGTCATTTCTCGACAATTCTAGAACACGCCAGAGACGTCAATAAAATGTGCTCATATGTTAGAAGATTCGCGACTCGATGAAATCACTTTGAAGAAGAATTTCCCCCTCAACGAAACCAAACAAGGAAAGCGATATACAATCCCCACTAAAAAGAAAGAGATAGGAAAAATTCGTTGTCACCGGTTCAGATAGATTTACCCAGAGAATTGAAACACTACACCTTACAGCGTCCCATAGAACAAATATGGCTACACTTACAGACTCAACGAGACTGTGAATCACTTCCGGAATTGAAACCGCGAAATTTAATTTTTTTAAAACTTGGGACACAACATCCCTAATTTTAACAGAAACAATAAGTGGCTGTTTTCGCATATTATTAGGTCTGGGTCTAAAGCAAAGTTGTTTTTGATGAACACCTATTCAAAAGCAAGTCTTATTTAATATTTATAGAACTTTTTTTGTATTACATTTTTCTGTCATTCTTCATTTAGTTAGGAATTCTAGGAAATTTTGAAGTAAATGTTGCATTTTTAAAGCAAAAGGAACAAGGTGGGGCAGGTTTTTTTGTACATACGTGAGTCAATAAAATTTTATTCAGAACAAAAACAATAAGCCCCAAATTTGAGAATCAAAAATAAAAAACTAAGTTTATATTGATTCTATATTGAAACACAACTTTGCATAAGTTCAAATGATTTTATATGGAATAAAAATTTAATTTTCAATTTAGTATTTTTAGTAGTGATAGTAAGCTGTAAAGAAAATTCTAGAAATTTCTCTAAGAAAATCATTGTAAACCACTTTATTATTTAAATTAAAACCTGAAGCTATAAATCTTAGAACTGAGACTGCAAATTACGTTTAAGTTTTGTTCTATTTATTTTAAAGTAATGTGAACATGGGTAAACATGTAACGAAATACCGATTTGGTTAATTTTTTGTCGGTGAAATTTATTACAAATTTACGTTACAAAATACACATAAATCATGAAATGCATTGTGCATTTTCCGTAAAATGAATGGGATGAATTCTAACCCAATTTAAAGAAAATGCACCATATTTTAGTAGGTTATTGGAAACAAGCGATCGTTACACTTTTGTAATCATTTTCAAGGAATAAATCTGAATAATGCAAAACGATCGATATAGTACAACTCACTACATTTTTTACTGGTTAATTGAGTTTATTTTTAGTATTTTTTAAAACATTATTTGTTCACATGAATTAAATACAAAAATAATTCAAGGTACAAAAAGTTCTATTTTTATTTGCTAAAACGGAACGAGAGATATTTATACATACATTTATACATGCATATCCACGTTTGTCAGTGATATTTATTATAATTTTACGTTAAAAAGAAATGTAAATTATAAAATGCATTATCTGAATCATTTAAAATTAAGCGTGATTCCTTTTTCCCTAATATTTTTCGTAAAATGACTAGGATCAATTCCAATCCAATTTAAATAATTTAAATAAAATGTAGCATATTTTCCCTGGTTATTGCAAGTAAGGCATCATTACACTTTTTCAATCACTTTTAAGAAATAAATCTGAATAATGCAAAGCGATCGATATAGTAGTACCATGACTACAACTTTTACTGGTTAAGTGGGTTTATTTGTAGTATTTTTTAAAATATTATTTGTTCACATGAATTAAATACAAGAATAATCAAAGTTACAAAAAGTTCTATTTTTATTTGCTAAATTGGAATGATAAATATTTATGCATAGTTTATATCCACAATTTGGCAATTAGAATTAAGAAACTGAGGGGCCACACCACTTTTTATTAACATTAAAATTAGTGAGTAAATTATCTGCACAGATAAATTGCCAGGTCCTACAAACTGAAAATTAAAATTTAATAGTACTACGAAATATATCTTTTAACACCAGGCATTTTTTTTATTGACATATAACTAAACACACCCAATGATTTAGTTCCACAGAAACAATAATAATAATAATAATAATTGGGACTAAGGGAACAAAATAAATAACAAAATTCTAAATAAAATATACTTTTTTTAACAAAGACTATGTATTTACAATAAATTAAATTACACTGCTGCACAGATAAAAAAGGTAAGTAATTAAAATTTGTGAATTGTATTCCTTGTATAAATACTCATTTTTGTCAATATTGAATATTTATTTAATAGTATATTATGCAAAAAGTTTGATAAACGCCTCCTTTAAAGTTTTGGAACATGCCGAGCACTAAACACAAAAATTAAAAAACTTCTATAATACTTTATTATATTAGGCCTTTATAGATTATAAGCTTTTTTCAATTCACCATTTTCAAGATGTATAAAAGGAGTCCACAAATTTTACTTATCTGTTTCAAATATGCAAACAGTTTTAACTCAGACATTAACGCTAAATTATCATCATAGTTCAAAGAACAATGATACAACACATATGCAACAAATCCTAGACAATTACATAATACCCGACATGCCCGGATTGTTCATATTGCCGTTATTGGATGGCATTGAGAAAATAATCGAGCGGATCAGACCATCTCGAATAGAATCAAATCCTTGGCCTGGCGAAAATGTAAAAGTGACTCCGTTACACATGGTCTGACTGGAATATGTTCCAATGGGGTAAAATCCGATCTTGTTCAAAACAACTCCTACCTTATACACCTACAAATGAACAGCTATGAAGTTGGGAACAAAAATTGGAAATATATACCTTATTTCTTTGAATGTAGACTGGTCGATTAAATGAAATTTCGATCAGCGATCGATAATTCACTCTGCTGGTAAAGTGAGTATAAGTCAACCTGCTGCCTTCGGCATCTAATAGATGTGCGTACAATAGTTCTGGATAAATATATTGTGGTTGATGATCCTCCTCCAAAGGAACTTGTGCAGGGACCTGTCACAAAAAAAAAAAAGTTAAAATGTTATAACAGAATAATGAGTTAATCAAAACAACCTGAATTCCATAAACGCAAACGTTTTTATCACATGTAAACGTGAGCGCGCAATCTAGTACGCTTGTGTTCATGCATTCCGTGGTTCCCAGTAACAGACGATTGCATATCATCTTTTTTGGGGTTTCGTTATTGCTTTCGATGTTAGAGGTATTAAATTTTATCATTGACGTTCTTGAAGTATCCATTGGTGGCATTTCCCACTAAAAATGACATGTTTCCTGTCTAGAAATTCTTAAGTTGCTTGAATGGGCAAGTGTAGAACAAGGCATTCTTTGAATTGTTTATAAGGATAACAAAATTATGAACCCCTGAGTGAAAAGGAAAGTTTTGTTTTGTTCCATGATTGCTGAATCACTATCTCACTATCTGGAGTGAGAAATTTAGAAACATGTCTATGCTCAATATTTAGCATGTGAACATTTTACAGTTAAGAATACTAACTGATAAAAGTCATTTTTTGCTTTTCTACAAACTGACTATCGACATTTCATATATGACAATCATAATATAAAATAAATTTATCTTATGTGCCAAACCCTTAAAACCAAATTTTTATTAATATAAATAAAACATTTTTTTCATCAGTTTAACACGTACAATTAAATTATAACAGCTGTTTCAATAACACTGTGTATCACAGTATTCCGACAACTGAATATATAGAAACAGGTAATATATTATTGATTAACGTTCTTTAAATCCAATTAGTCATTAAGTAATGGATTCAAATATTTCATGTTGTTAATCTTCATAGTTGCCAACAAATTTAGTTTTTTGCTTTTTGATTCATTATGTAAAATATCAAAATTATCGTGAAACTTGTATATTTCTGAATTTAAATGAATGGTATAGTTAGAACTCAAACTGTTATGTTTATACGTTCTTTTAGGTTCGTTAATGCATTTCTTAAATATTATACCTGTTTGTCCTTTATAAATTTTGAGACATAATCCACATTTCAACTTGTAGACTCCAGATTTTTTAGTTTTACTTGATTTAGTTTTATCGTTTTTTAAAATTTTTCCCATGGTGTTTCCAGTTTTAAAAGCAATCTTAAGACCAAATTTAGATAGGGGTTTCAAAATTTTCATGCTGGGTTCTCCTACGTACTTTGTTTTATAAATTTTGGGTTCGGTTTTTTAATATGCGATGGATAGAGTTCAGAGGTATTTGAAACAGTTTTTTAGTTATAATCTTATCTATCTTGTCTATCAAAGAAGAGTAAGCATTGTTAAAAACTATTTGTTTTATTATATTTCATTCTTTTTAGTCTGTGTAGACTAAAAGGCAGCCATTTTGTGTGTGTGAGGGTTATTTGAGTTATTATGTATTACTGTGTGTTATCTCTATGGCAAATTTTATACAATTATGTACTGAGTTAATATGATTCAAACAGGACCATAGTTGTCTTTGCATTCCAGTGAAACAAGCAAAAATGTATCTATACCACCAAAATAATTTTTTACTCTCTCCTGTTGCCGAAACAGCTGTCATAAATCAATAAATAACTGTGAAAAGCTGAACATCTTTGTTCTAATTTAATTGTGTTTAACAGATTTTATACTACTTACATTTGAAGATTCTGATGGTTTCTTCTTACGAGGTTCTGTCTGTTTTGAAAATCCCTCTGGATATGGAACTGCTGCACTTGGTGAGCAGATATTCATTAAAATAGCAAACTTTTCAGATTCGGATAATAAAGTAGATTTTCCCGGTCCCTCTGCAAACTGCTGAGGAGTTAATGTTAAAAATCTGATTTTTTTTATTGCATCTTGTAATGTTGGACGAGTTGGATTGTTAGTTTCAACAGATGCATGACCTATAATATCATAACAAAGTGCAGTTAAAAATCAACATTTGTATACAGGGTGGTCCGTAATATAATGGTGAAACTTTTAAGAGTATTTAGCAGATAAAAATAAGTAAAAGTTCAGATAAACATATGTCCAAAAATCCTTTGTTTTTTAGATATTTCTCTTATTTAAAAAAAATCTAGATTTAGCTTTCAAACTGGTAAGTATTATTGCCTCCTAGAACAAATTTGTAGCATAAATAAACTTCTTTTTGTTTAATCCCTGGTCGTGAGAGGGCTTTTATTGATTTAAAGAATAAAAAAAAAATGGTATGCTAATGGGTTTATTGCAATTTTCCTAATAAATTTAGATATTCTGATCAATTCTAAACAAAAATGATTCAGCTTTTTCACTAAAATGAGCTCTTTCCGAGAACAATTTTTTTTTGTTTGCATGTGCACCTAATGACCTTTGCAAATTAAGATAACTTACGCTATTTAATTTGGCTTTTATTTACATAACAATTCAAAAATATTATTAACTTAATAGTAATTTGTTAATTTAATTGTAATTATTATAATACCTATCAAGTTTGAAAGGAAAATTTTTCTTTTTAAATAAAAAAAACTTTTTTCACAATCTTTCTGCATCCTGCCATTTAGAAATGTAGCATTTTAGGGCATAAGTTTATATGAACTTTTTTAATTATTTATATTTGCGGAATGTTAAAATTTTTCCATTATGACTTGGACCACTCTATAAAAATAAAAATAAAGTAAAAGTAAAAATAAATAGATTTTGGAACTTGTAAAATTGATTTCTTAATGTAGCAGTTTTATTTGGGATATGCCTACCGATTGAATCATCCACTCTAGGGTATTTAATTCTTGCAGCATAACGAGCTATTGCTGAGAATAACTCAAGTTCTGAGCTTATATTTAACACGTCCTGATCAAATACAGTTAAGATAGTATTAAGTTCCACTTCCTCAAAACTACTCTCTGAAAGCACATCTTGTGTCTGTTCACATATAATCTAAAACAGAAATCTAACAGCCCCAGTCACACTAAACTGATACTACATACTGTTATACATTTAGCCATGAGATCTGGCGCATCAAACAATCTGGCAAATTCATAAGCTCTACATGCATTTTTTGGATACAGATCAGACCATAAGTACCTAGTGCAAGCATCAACCAAATGTGGCAACATATATTTTTTTGCTCCATAGCAAAGTTCACACGCTTGATCAAAAGATGTAAGATTAATTTTGTCGGTATAAATGTATCTAAAATAAATCAGTAGAGATGCAATTTAAACTTTTCAATATATTTACTCCAAGAGGGCTCGAAATGCATCTGGTTGAACATCTAGGATTGCTATAGGATCTTTTTCTGCCATTCCACCAAAGAACATGGCTTCAAACACTGGACTAGCCATAGCTAGAAATAGTTTGTGCCCCTGGAGAACTTGTTGATTAGGTTCTGCCCCCACAATAAATCGACAATCGCTCCATATTCCACTTTCCAATAAATATTGTCCTCTGTCCTTCACCAGTTTACGTGTGGTTTGCCAGTCACATGGAGCTGGTGCTGCACTCATAATCCAATCTGACCGTAACGCTTTAAATATAAAATTGTTAGATATCCAAATTTTTATTTTTATTGTTACTGGCAAGCTTGAGAAAATAGGTTCTTCTTCTTTACTTCTTTTAATAAAATACGTTATTCTTCTTCTTTTCTAGTTCGTATGAGAACGAAACTCGCACGAGACTTCCACCCAATTTTTTAAAAAATTGGTTATTCTTGTTCTTCTAGTTTTCATGGGAGTGTTTCTCGCACGAGGTCTCCACCTAATTTCTAGAAAATGATTATGTTAATTATTATAGGGGCGGGTGGGGCAAGGCGTCCCCCTGGGGCAAGCAGGCCCACCTCAAAAATTAACCAAAATTTTTTTTTCTTCATTTTTGAAAGGTCCAAAAAAAAATTTTTAGAAGCTTCGCCAAAATTTGCGTTAATTTAATTAAGGTTAGTCAGAAATAAATCGACTTGATGGTTAAAAGCTACAAAAAATAATACAAAGCTTAAGAGGGCCTCCTTGACCCCACTCCCTTCACCAAAATAAGTTTTATAGGTAAGTGAAACTATGCTATTGGTTCTTCATCAAATTTGGTGCTTGATTAATCCAATATCTGCAACAATTGAGTTGACACAAAAACGGGAACTCAGGAGGTTAGTTGCATGCAAGATGCCTTGAACACATATCTAAGCTTCGGTCATTTATTACAGTGCGCGAAGGCCTTCTTATTCCAGTGACGTCACGTACACTTAGCAAACTGGAAACTTTTTTCATTTGCTTTTTGTACAGAAATATAAAACAGTTTAGCCTTTGATGCTGGTTTTCAAATTTACTGTAATAAATTTCGGCTGAAAATTTTTCCACATATGTCAGTATGTTCGAATATCCTCACATGTAAATTTTATTCTCCCTCATCAATGGACGAGTGGCACAAGTAGATTTGTCCAGCCTTACGCATACGTAAAGAAAAAGAACTATGAATGGTTGCAATTGTAAACCACACACCATTTCTAAACGACAACTGTGCGTTTGATTATTTGGTTCTTTAAATTCCTAATTGGATTTTTTAACAAATTTTAAGGAAATACAAATATTTATTTTTATAAAATGGACGACGAAGAACATCCAAACGATATGGACGACGATATTGCAGAAATTAATATTATCCTTCCCAATACTTCCGAGACGGAAAACATTTATGTTGAAAACATACCCATGTTTATAAAAAAACTTTGGAAAATGGTAAACGAAAAGACCTTGGAGAACATCATTAGTTGGGGATCAGGTGGAAATAGTTTCATCATTTCCAACCAGCTCGCTTTTGTTTCCAAAGTTTTGCCAAAATATTTTAAACACAATAACTTGGCCAGTTTTATTCGACAGCTTAACATATATGATTTCCATAAAGTTCAAAATATCGAAAATAAAGATGAGCTAGAATTTATGCACTGTTTTTTCTTAAAAGATTGTCCAGAGTTAATTCCGCTGATAAAACGAAAATATTCAGTTGGTAAGTGCTATAACTTTATTTAATTAGTGTTTTCTTTCATTTTTATACTCTATATCACTCTATTGGGTGTCTTAAATAGCACTTTCCAATCAAAGATTGGATTATCTAAGTGCCTTTGAAGATTATTACTCAGTTTTGTTAAATCAAAAAACGGGTCTATGCTCTGTCTTTTGCATATCTATCTATATGTTATATGTTTTTCAACTTAAGTTCTGAAAAAACTTTTCTAATTTATTAAACCGCCTATCACTTATCACTTTTAAAAATAACAATAGTGACAGAGGCTATTTAAGACACTTCTTTTTATGTGTATTCTTATTTAACAAAAGATTGGGTCATGCTGATTAAAAAACATGTAGATTGATTACTATTTACAAATTTTTATGGATTCCTTCTGCCTCAGTTGTTTATAAATTATACTTGCTGACTCTGACGAAATAGTTTCGGTTTCAGTTAAGCTCTGAAGAAGCCAACTGGATGATGGTGAATCCAGCAAGTTTGATTTATAAACAACCGAGGCAGGAGGGATGCAGAAGATTTGTAAATTGAAAAATCAAATTGTTTATAATGTCTTATAAGTAAATAATTGAATATTTATGTAATAAATTTTATAACATCTTCAATACTAGCAGCAGTAATCTAGATCTCGGTTTGAGTTTTCAAGGTAGCTGTTTATTGTATCTGATATTAGGAATGATTGGCCTTATGAAAATCTAACAACTTTTTAACCCAGGGAATATTTTTTTTTTATAGCATAACATTTTTGTTTACAAAATCAATCACTGACATTTAGACTATAATTAATTGTAATTTCCGATTTGAATCAAATGCTGCGCAAGTGTCATATTGTCTTTAATAATGGCAAAGCTGGTATTCAATATTGTATGTGCCACCTCTCCTCATGTAGGAGGGAAGGTCATAGTCACATACATCTGACCAAGTGGAGCGAAACCCAAAAAAAAGAAACACTTAATCAGACATAATAAAAACAATTTTAAGTATGCATTAATATATAGACGTTTTATAGGATATTTTTATATAAAAATTTACAGGATCATGTGAACACAAACTATTACATTTTGTGAAAAAATGGTGTCTTTCCTGTAATTTCGTGTTCCATGTATTTTATATCTTTAATTTGCCCACAAACCTTCTCATTTACACAACTTTTTGCTTGAATTACTTCATACATGACATTGGATCAGCTCTTTTAGGAGGATAGTGAGTAGTGCAGTGTGCTGATTGCCCCACATAGACTGTTGATTTAAACCAACAAAGTTTATTACTTTAAGTTAATTAGATTATTTTCTTTCACTTTCAGCAAAACTTAAAACAACAAGAAAGGAGAAAGTTGTGACAAAAAATGTAGATGCAATAAGCAATACTATACAAGATCTTAAAAGCAAAAACGCGGCCATTGAGGGTGAGATTGCCAGGCTAGGACAAGAAAGGTCATCACTATATAGGGAAATTGGCTCACTAAGATTAAAATATTCCAAGCAATCCAAAGTTGTTAACAAATTGATACATTTCCTTATATCTTATATTCACAAACATCCAAATACTGCCAAACATAAAAAGTCTGTAGGTACGAAGTATCAAGAGTCATTAAAACAAGGTCCAAAAATTATGGAGTTGGAGTCCCACAAAAGCCCTTCCAATTTCTGGTCAGATTTTGATACCCAAGAGAGTAGAAGCAGCAATCTCAATGAACCTAACACTTATATAGTTACAGAGCCAGAATGCCCCATGGAAACAGATGTCCAGAAAGACATTTTGGAGGGTCTACTAGATAATAGTAGTAATTCAAATCTGCCTGAAGTATTACCTTACAAGCGATCTTCTGAAGGTACATCAATATCAGCTATGCAACCTTCTACATCATTGGCGACTTTGCAATCCACTTCAAGCTCATCAGAATCTGCTTTGAAAACAACAATACCTACAGACGCAAACATAGGGTATCATATTGACAATACACAAGTTGAGCTAGCCAACATCAAAGAATTACTCAAGACATTAACATCTGATGATATAGCTGATTTCTACAAACTAGTTAATGAAAACCTTAAAGTGCAAGAGTCTGAAGAAAGCTTAGCCACTGATTATAGTTTGGAACCGGAAATTGACGATAGTATATTAATGCCTTTATCAGAGCTGTCTCAGATTAACAAGGAGCAGGAAAAATGTGATGCAATCGATGTGATAGGGATTCCTGGATAAATCATTGGACTTTTTAATTTTTGAACACTATAAACACTGTTATTCTTTTATATTTATTCTAGATAAATCAAATCAATCCTAAAATTTTAACCCAGGAGCTTGACTCAATTTTTGTACACCCAAAATGCGGCTTTTTGTTAGTTCTGCACAAATTATATACTTTGTCTCAATCTTAAAATTGTGTTTTGAATGGTAATTGTTTATTCAAAATAGAAAAACAATTTGAAAACCATATTAGAAATTACATATTCGTTAAGCTATTATCTTGATTCGGGTTTAAAGGCCGTCGTCGATTGGAATTACTTCCTAACGATTCGCTAGCACGAGTGGCGAGCTTCTTCAACATCTCCGATGTTGGACGTAGACTGACGATTTCTCCTGCGCAGGTTGTATTTATGCCGATTGGTGGTGGGCGGGGCCTGTTCCGCTTCGGTTGGTCTCGGGATATCGATCGGTACTGCTCGGGCGTTCCTAAGGATCGGGTTCCAGATTTGAAATTAACTTTCCTTATGAAAAAGATTGTTGTGAATAAAGCATTATTGTATAAACCACTACCATGAACACTGGAAACATTTGAAGTTGCAGAAAAAAAATAGTTTACGATTTAAGTATAATGAAATAAAACTATATTTATTTGTTTTGATTTAATAAATTCATTTAGTAATCCCAACGAAGTAAAGTTTCAAGTCGACTTTTATGCTGAATTGAAGATAGAGCATAAAATGTTTCATGTAAACAATTAAATTTGTGCTTTGCGCGTTATATACCTAACTATAATTTTACAGCTGGAATTTGCAAGATAGGAAATAGCATTTTTTTTTTGCTTTCTTGGTAACATATTTTTGCATTGATGTTAGCTGGAATTGAGATCTACAGTACAGTTAAGTATTGAACTTGTCGGCAAGAAATTTGAAGAAAAATACTAAAAAAAAGGTTTAAAATTAATATTTATTAGTGCTACACAAAAAATATTAGTTCTTTTTTTTCTTCTTAAAATCTTCGAACTGCATACTAAGAAGTGGATTACTCCTTTTTGCTTTAAGCTTGGTGCTGTGTTGCATAATTTTATTTTTCCGTTTCCGTTTGTTTTTCTTTCCTATACCAGTCAGTGCTTTCAGTGTATCAGGAACGATATAGTCTGGGACGTCTGCTAAGTGGGGTTGAATTCTAACTGTATGCAGAGCCTTGTCATGCCTTAACACTTTAAGATCTGTTGGATTGTCCTCAAAATAACTTTTCAACTTTTCACTATTTAAAATTTCCTGTTTAATTTCTTTTAAACGTGCTTCTCTAATAGCTATTTTTGTTACTGCTCTCCAAGCATCTTTTGCTCTATACTTAAAAGCTTCTACCTCTTCCAATTTAAACTGATACAACTTAAAGATTGATTTATCTTCTCCATGTTTTCTGAAATAATTATCAATCTCTGTAAGGCAAGGTTTTTCCTTCAAGCTTATAAATGATAAAACACTTCCTTGGTTGTTTCCTCTAGCGGTGCGACCTGCTCTATGAATATAGGAATTGGAATCTAGAGGAAAGTCAAAATTTATCACATTTGCCACACATTGGAAATCTATGCCTCTTGCTACTCCACTGTTTTTGTCTTTGTCTCTTTTTGAGCTTTTTATAGCTTTGAAATCTTCTATTGCACCTGGTGCCTCAAGAGCTTTCTCATCTGATGCTATAATAATGTCATAAACATCTTGATTAAATTGATTAACAGAGTGACATCTTATTGTTGCTGGAAGTTCTGAGTTAAGAACACAAGTACGTATACCAAATTGTTCCAGATATAACTTAAGTTTATAACATTTATCTACAGTATTGACAAAAATAACTGTTTTGCCTCTAATTAGATGTAATTTCAACAGAGCATATAGTATAGTTGCTTTATCAAGTTCTTCAGCGTGAAGATGGTAATGAGACAACTGGGATGCTGGAGCTAAATCTGGTTCTTCTAACTTTAAAGTAACTGGATTGTGTAAAACTAGTTTTTTTAAATTTTGTACATCGTTGCTTAATGTAGCCGATGCCAAAATTGCTTGAAAAATATTAGGCAAAAATTGCAAAAGCTCTTTGACTTCACTTTCAAATCCAAAAGAAAATATTAAATCAGCTTCATCAATAACAAGCATATCTAATGAAGTCTTTAAATTTAAATTTTGAGCTTTTATATGCTGTAAAACCTTGCCAGGAGTTGAAATGATCAAATCAGGTTTTTCAACTAAAAGAGGCTTTTGTGAAGTAATGTCATCACTTAAAGCGATATTTATACACTTAACTTCCCTAGAACACTTTGTAGTCAAGTGTTTGATTACCTGACATATCTGCTGACATAACTCCTTACTTGGAGCTAGAATTAAAGCCTTCGTTTCCTGATGCATAGAGGTCTGTTTACCATTCAGTATTTTCTGAATAACGGGTATTGCAAAGGCAGCAGTTTTTCCGGAACCAGTTCTGGCTCTTAGAAGAACATCTTTCCCTTCAAGTAGCAAAGGAATAGATTTTTCTTGAATTAAGGTAGGTTTTTGCCACCCGAGCTTTGCTATAGCTTTCAAGATGCGCTCATCCAATTCCATTTCGTAAAAATCCATGACATTTTCTGATTGTTCGTTCATATTCAGATGGATGCAGGAGCTTGCTTGACTCTTAGATAGGGTTTTTCTTTTTTTAATATGATTACTCCTGCAACCCTGCACCACAGGCAACAGAGATAAGAAGGTTAAGGTTAACAGGAATACAAGGTTCTTCGTTTCGACCGCGTTGGCGCAGCTGCCAAGCAATTTGCCAGCACGTGTCCTTGAACCCCTAAAAATGCTGGCTACTGTCCCTGGACATTACTACTTCGTTTGTAGTTATGTATGCTGAAGAATAAGCATATACTGGGCATTACTACTTCGTTTGTAGTTATGTATGCTGCAGAATAAGCATATACTTTGCACTGATAAATAGCCTTAATTAGTTTTAGTGTTAAGCGCAAGCCAGCAATAGTGCGCATTTTCTGACTTAATTTCAGATTTCTTTACTTTTATTGATTTTTTAAAAATATTTTACAGCTATATAGATACTAGCGAAATAGGGGACCTGCCTATGGCGATAAAATAGGAACCTATGAAGCAACTAAGAAAAAAAAGCGAAGGTCCATTCAATTTACGCATGCGCAAAATATAAAATCTCGCTCTTAACTAATACCACTAACATGGTCACTGTCATGGTCAATAAGTTTCGATGTAGCATGTTTACTACAGTATTTTTTAAAATATGCCTAGAGCTCATTAAATATTTTTGAAAAACGCTGTTTAGAAAGAAAATGTCGCAAAATGTAGGTTAGTTGTTTAAATGTAGAGGCATGCGCGGAAAATCATTCTCTTCTCGACGAATATATTAATGTCGCCTGCCTATAGTAGGGCCACTATATTAATCTAATAGCTATGTGGAGAACATACTGCCGTAAAAATGACACATCAAAAATTATCGGGCGTCTATATCTCTAACAGTTATATGGTTGTGCCAAAGGGACCACAAGAGGCCAGAGGCGGTTAAGAGGGTCCTCTTATATTCTAAATTACTTCTTCTTATTTCTAAAAATCTCTCGGGTAAAACAAGTAAAATTAAATGACAACCATGGAACAATTCAAACACAGAATGTTATTTTCTTTAGCAGAATTTCTGGCGGAACTCGGAAATAAGAGAATGCCTCCCGTAAGTTGGCCTATTTATCAGCAAAACTTTAAAATCAGATGTTCTGTGGGATTATGTCATGAGCATTGCTCATGGCGGTTTAACATCCGTTCGTTCCCGACAGAATCCCTTGTAATCGTCCCCAAAATTTTGAAATCGGTTTCCACTGTGTGGATTTAGTGTTCAGTGAATGTTTTAAAGTTATAATCGTTGTGGACCCCGTCGCTTTTTCGTGTTCACGCCGGTATGGTGGCCGGATGCGTCCGAATTGCCCGGTGGAAAGCGGAGGAGGCCGTGTTTTGCAAACGGTTAAAGACTTTTGAATAGTGTTCCAATTGTTGTTTCCGTTCCCCTTAGAGGGTGATGGGTCCGTCCAATCCCTTTTAATTAATTCATCTTCCGCGTTATAAAGAAAAAGTTGAACCATATTCGTAAGTGGCCGAGTAACCATAGTAGTTTTGGTCAATCGAAGTGTGGAGAAAGACAGAGAGCGAGAGAGATGTTTTGTGACGTTTTGTAAAGAAGAAAAATATAAAATTTGTATATCTTTTATCTATGATTTGTATAATGTAAATTAAAATCTAATCAAACGTAGTTAAAGTGACTTAATTTATAAAAAAAAATTGTAAACGGTATTATTTTTTTCCCAATTTTATTGCTCCTAATTAAATCAAATTTTAATTAAATAATATAACTTTTAAAATATATTTCATTTAAGGAATTTAAAGTTGGCCATGTAAATAATTCCTATTAAGACAAATTTCAGCCAATGTTGACTTGCGGAGTACGAATTGTTAGAGGCCCAGACTGGTCATGGGAGGACCAAGGTAAGTTAAGTGCTGTTAATACTTGCCAACATTTAAATTTTATATTTTTAGATGGTGGTGAAGGCTTTGTGGGAACGGTATGTGAAATAGGAAGATCAGGCATCGTAGGCTCTCCCGATAAGACAGTCGTTGTGCAATGGGATGGGGGAACTAGAACAAATTACCGAGTTGGTTATATGAACAAATATGATCTATGTATTATTGATAATGCGCAAATAGGCATGATATTCATCTTTAATTAAATTTTATTTTGCCTTATTTTACACCATCTTTCAGGTGTTAAACATCCAAACATTGTCTGTGATGTTTGCGATAGTGAAGGTCAAGGAATTAGTGGTATAAGGTACAAGTGCACAATTTGCTATGACTATGACCTCTGTTATATGTGCTATCATGGAGATAAACATGATTTGAGTCATCCTTTTAAAAGATTTGACTCTTCAACTTCTTTGGGGTGTGTTTGATTTGGCTATTTGTGAAATCTAGCTAATTCTAGAGTTTCTTTTCATTGTTGAATTTAATAGTGGTGTTTTCAGAATTGACTTACCACCCAGGTTAAAAGGACGAAAATGTGAACTAAAAGGCATCTTTGTGGGTGCTAAAGTTGTAAGAGGTTTTAACTGGGAATGGGGTAATCAAGATGGAGGAGAGGGAAAAGTAGGCAGAGTGCTTGATATCAGAGGTTGGGATACAGAAAGCTCAAGATCTGTTGTCAATGTGCACTGGTTTGCAGGCTCAACCAATGTCTATAGGTTGGGCCACAAAGGCATATGTGATATAAAATTTATAGAACCTGCATCGGGTGGTAGTTATTACCCTGATCATCTTCCTGTATTGGGTGAGAACGAAAATAATATTTTTATTGTGTTGGTTTTCAGGTTTCACCTTTTAGGTCAAAATACTGAAACTCCTGTGATTAAACCAATTAAATCTAGTCCCTTACCATTTGGGGTTGGTGATAAAGTGCAAGTTACAGTTTTAGTTGATCAACTAAAAGTTATGCAACAAGGGCATGGGGGTTGGAATCCTAGAATGACTGATGTAAGTATGTGGCTATCAACTTTGAACCAAATATATTCTGTTCTTCATGCAGTATATAGGTAAAGTTGGTACTGTACATCGTATTACTGACAAAGGTGATATCAGGGTTCAATTTGATGGATGTAACAACAGGTGGACATTTAATCCCACTGTACTTCACAAAGTGAACAGCTTTGCTGTTGGTGATATAGTTACATTAATAAATGATGCTGAAAAAGTGAAGGAACTACAAAAGGGACATGGTGAATGGATTGATATTATGAAAAATGTAGGTTTGGGATTAGGTTTGGGATTTGTGTCTTGTTTAATTTGTAATTTATGATTTGTAGTCACTTGGTAAGCTTGGAAAGGTTTTAAAGGTCTACTCAGATGGTGACTTGAGGGTGCAGTTAGATGGACATGCTTGGACATTAAATCCTCAATGTGTTAAAATTATTCCAGGCAGTGCCGCAGAACTGGCAAATACAATGCATGCTAATCCAAGCCAAAGACAAGACCCAACCAGTAACTAGTTCAATTTGTTTATTATTATTTCCATACATGTTATGTTTTTCAAAGTTCGTTTCTAAAAGAAGTTTCTGTTATAGTAGATTGGCAGTTGGGTCATAACCAGGTCGATCCAGCTCACAACGACAATTCTTCCAGCGGTATTGACGACCAATTTGTACGCGCCGCCGCCCAAGGTCATTTGGAGGTAATGCAGCGTTTATTACGGACTACACCTCATTATTGCGTTGATGGCCGGAGTGGTGGAAAAACAGCCCTTCAAGTGGCTACTCACCAGGGGCACATGGAAATTGTTAAGTTTCTGCTTCAGTCTGGCGCTTCAGTTAACGCCAGCGATAATGACGGAGATACTTCCCTACATTATGCTGCCTTTGGCAATCAAGCTGAAGTAAGTCGATACTAATTTTAGCTGTATACATTTTTTTAAATAAAGACTAAAAATCATTTATCACAAATCACTAACAAGTTTTATCACTGAAAAGAAAAGGAAATGTCATAACCATAAATTTGATTTTTCTGGGACATTTAAAATGAAAAATTTAAAGGGGGGGGTGATATTATATTTAGATTCATATAAGTAAACGAAATTTAGCAAATAGCATTTTGATTTGTGATCTTTTTTTCTTAGGTGCTAGATTTACTGATCAAAGCAGGTGCCAATTTAAATGCATCAAATCGTAGTGGCTGCACTGCATTACATGTTGCCACACATAAGCAACCTGTTCGCTGTGTTCAATTGCTTTTAGAGGCAGGTGCCAATCCTAATTGTGTTGATGTGTATGGAGATACGGCATTGCATGACTCCATTGGCAAAGACAACCATCAGGCGATTGAATTACTGTGCTCTGCACCAGGTAATGATAGTATAAAGCTCACAAGACCACTTAATTATTAACTTCAATCTAAGTAATTATTTCAAATATTTTTACCTTTTGTCTTTGTAGCTGTTGACTTTACCTTAAGGAACAAGCGGGGTTTCAATGTTCTGCACCATGCGGCTCTAAAGGGTAAAAACATTGCCACCCAGAAGTTGATAATGCATGCTAGGCAGCTGGTTGATGTTAAAAAAGATGACGGGTTTGCCGCTCTTCATCTGGCAGCTTTAAATGGACATAAAGATGTGGTAGAGACTCTTGTTAGGCAGGGTCAGGCTGATATTGACTTGAGAAATAACAGGAATCAGACTGCGCTCTTGCTTGCTGTTAGTCAAGGTGAGCTCAACTTTTATTGTCAAGTTTAAATATATTGTTTGATTTTATGTGAAAAAACATTTTACTATATAATTAAAAAAAACCTACTTAACACCTTTTTTTTGGGGCAGAAACTAGAATTTTAATTTTTCAAAAAAACTTCCCCCGGCTGTCTGGCTGTCGAACAAACTAGGATTGCATTTTAAAGGTCAGAGAAACTTTTATATAGGAAATTGTTTACCTTTGGGTAATCTAAAAAAAAATTGCACTCCATACACTATGGGATGAGTAAATAGATCTATTTCACTCTTAACTGGAAATTTATTTATCATTTCAAACCGAAAATTTTAACAAAATAAATAAGAACTAAATGTTCAGATTTTCACGAAATTATATATTATGACATGACAATTGTTTCTTTCGACAACACCGTGTCTTTATCAAATGTAATATTTACAAACTACCTGCTACTATATATACCGAAAAATGACCATAAAACCTTAATTAATGTTGTTGCGAGAATTTAAGTTCAATAAAGGAGAGGTATTTAAATCGAATTGATCGTTAAGCAATACATTTGAATGTCTCATTTTGTTAATCTCCATGGCTTCCAATAAATTTAATTTTCTACTTTTTATGGCTGTGTGTAATATATCAAAATTGTCATCAAAAATGTGTTTTTCTGTGTAGCATAATTAGAATGTAGACTATTGTTTTTAAACGCTCTTATATGTTCCTTAATGCGTTTCTTGAAGGATCTACCTGTTTGTCCAATATAAATTTTAGGACAAGACCCTAACACATTTAAACACAGAAAAACACATTTTTGACGATAATTTTGGTATATGACACACAGCCACAAAAAGTAGAAAATTAAATTTATTGGAAGCCATGGAAATTAACAAAATGAGACATTCAAATGTATTGCTTAACGATCAATTAGATTTAAATACCTCGCCTTTATTGAACTTAAATTCTCGCAACAACATTAATTAACGTTTTATGGTCATTTTTCGGTATATATAGTAGCAGGTAGTTTGTAAATATTACATTTGATAAAGACACGGTGTTGTCCAAACAATTGTCATGTCATAATATATAATTTCGTGAAAATCTGAACTTTTAGTTCTTATTTATTTTGATAAATGGATTTTCATCAAGTAAAAGCCACCTCAGTTCAATTCCGAAAATTTTAGGTCACTCTGGAGTAATAGAATTGTTGGTGAACTTAAAAGCTGATATAAATGCTAAAGATGAAGATGAAGACAGCGCGCTGCATATAATTTTATTGAAGCGAGCTCACTTCAGTGAAATAACTCGATGTGAGGGTCCATCCATCCAATCTATCTACGAAAATATTAACCATATTACAGAACATAGGTTTCCGTTAGCGATTGCCTGTTACTTGATACAACAAGGGATCAGTTTAACTGCAACGAACAATAAAGGTCAAGTTGCAGTTAATTTGGTGCAGGACGTCGCGTTGCAGGAGTTGTTGAAGACTTATATACCGACCAATGACGAGATTGTGATACAAAAAGAACCAGATATTGGTAATATCGGTTCTTTATCTCTAGAAAACTCCAGGACGGACTACAATGTAACTGAGCACACTTCCAACAATCAAATTCATTCGACAGAAACGACAAAGCCAATTAGAAAAAGTCGGGCCAAAAACGATGCGGGCAGCACATCCCAAAGCAATTCGCCGACATATAAAACTACTCACCCATATCAAAATGAAATCGTGTCAAACAAACCGGTAGAATGCTTGGTATGTTCGGAGTTGTCAGAAGAAAATGTACGACTTGAGCCATGCAATCACAAACCGGCGTGTGAGGATTGTTCGTCGCGCATGAAAAAGTGCCTGACGTGTGGCGAATTTGTTCAAAAGAGAATCACTAAAGATGGCAGGGTGATTCCTCTGAAAAGTAGACAGCCCAGCGCGGAGCGCATGAGATATTTGGAAAGCAAGATAGCAGAAATCGAAGAAAGCCACGCGTGCAGCATTTGCATGGAACGAAAAAGGAACGTGGTATTTTTATGCGGACATGGGACATGTCACAAGTGCGCCGATACGCTGAAAACTTGTCACATGTGCCGCAAGACCATTACAAAGAAAATACCTATATATTAGGTATGCCAAACCGCTCACTTTAGGTGATAAATGTATCTTATAAGTATTGTGATTTGTCCATACATGTAATTTTTAATAATATACAATTAATATATTTATTTCTTTCAAATCCATTAAAAATAAGTTTTCAAATATTAAAAATCATGATGATTCTAAGAGCAAAAAATGCTTGCAGCCGTTTGCTGCAACTAAACAATAATTTTGTTTTGTTGAACTGATTAGTATTAATACTTTTTGAAATTGTTTATAAAAACCACTGACACACTTCTCCTGTCTATTGTTTCAATATTTTTTTATTAAAGGAACAACTATCAGCAAGCCAAGTTTCAAGTTTAACAACTTAACCCCAAGGTTACTAATTAAGATTAAGTTAAATAGATAAGATAATTGTATTGCAAAAAGGACGACTTTTTTCTTACAAGATAAAGAGTCCCATATCGAAACTTCATTAAGGTTTATATCCCAGACAGGCAAACATATAAATTATTGTAGTGCTGCTGTGTAATAGCATGAAGCATACTTTCTGAACGTATCTGAACCAAGTGAGGTGCCCAACATTTCATAGAGGATCTGTGACCGTTGATTGCGTATGCAATTCAAATATTGGGTTTCTAGATCATATTTTGATAGGCACAAAATGGTTCTTTCCAAAACGAGTTACTAAGCAGCTGCGTTGCAATTTAGATGGTCGTATCACCAACACAATTAGACTGTTGAAATATAAAAATTTAATCCGACATCTTTGGAAGCGTACCGAACAATGGGCGACATAACCAAACTCTATAAAATAATACACGCTCACTATCCCTATATTGACTTTTTACTTTGAAAAGTAATCTACCAGGCTACCAGCTCAGTTAAAGCAAGAATGTTGCCATAGAATTTCTCAACAACAGTTTTTATTACTCTTGCGGGAAAAAAAATTTGGCCATTCAAGAAATTACAAATTTTTTGGAAAAAAAGTTTATTAGGAACTAGTACGTGGTAAATAATATATCCTACTCTATTTGGTTATCTGAATTTAACATTTAATGGGAAAATCTGATGTTGGTTTTGATGATTTTGTCCGAAAACAGAAAATGTCTATTATAAACAAAGCCCATTTAATTTTTATTTGTAACTAAAGAAAACAGCAACAATTCACAATATTGGGAAAACCTGGAAATTCATAACGTGTATTCTCTCCAATTGCGTTTATGACTGCACGCAATCGAATCGAAATGAATTAAATTACGGATAACCTTCTGGTTATTGTTCCATTCTTGCAAAAGCAACTCTCTCAGCTCTTGTGCACTTCTTGGAGCTGGTGTATCTCTTCGCATACGTCGTCCCATCTCATCCCACACATGTTCCATGGGATTCATGTCTGGACTGAGTCCTGGCCAATCACATCGCCCCATTCCCACCCCGTCCAGATATTGCCTGACAATTCTGACAGTATGGGGTCTAGCATTATCGTGCTGTCAGACAGCCATTCTGTATAAAGACCAACTTTGTGCGTGCTTCTGAACTGATTCTCGCATAAACCATGACCGAGCCACCAACATCAATACAACCTGGGGCATATCTTTCTCCCGGTCTCCCCTCTATACTCTCCGACGTCCATCGAACCCAGTGAGGCAAAAACGGGCTTCCTGGGAAAACAGTATATTGCGCCATTCATAATCATGCCAGTCTAAATGATTTCGGGCAAAAGTTAATGTTGCTATTCGATATCTTTGGTGCAATGGTGGCCCAGTAGCCATCCTTTGACAAGATAATCCATTAGCACAGTCTTTTAACAGTCCATCCGATAATATAAACATTTCTAACCTCTTGAAGTTGAAGTGTCCTATTCCGCAAACTTGCGGACACTAAAAATCGATCATCCTTTTAATTGGTGATCATTCTTTGACCAGATCTTGGTCTTCTAGTGATCAAGCTAGCCTCCTCGAAGCGTTGGTGGTATTTTGTACAGGCTATAGACCCCTACCAATAATTCTTGCAGTTTTCCATTTTCCTCGACTAAATTAATTCTAATGCTACAATTCTAGCCGCAACAATAGCATAGAAAGACATTATGACCAGTTAAATACAACTCAGATCTAAAATACACCAAACAACCATGTTTTATGGATATAAACGAACAATAAACTAGAAAGTACCAAACGCACAAATTTTTAATTAGACTAATTAGAAACTACGCTGACACTAACTCATTGATCACAAATATCTCCATCCGCATTTCTCGGAAAGCAAGTAATTCACTGCCCACTAGACGGACGATTCGGTGGTCAAAGTTTTTTTTCCAAATGATTTAAAATTTCTTCGAGTGACCTAAATTTTTTGCTCGCCAGTGCAATAGGGTAGAGAACAATTAGTGTGTAAATAGTTTTCAAAACTAGTATTGAAATTGTAGTGTATATTTCGACCTAATGAGGTAAGTGCCAACAGCCATGCGCAGTTCACGCGGTTCATGCCGTTATCCCGTCTAACTGCATAAAAATTCTAAAGTCTATTTTCGTATTAATGAAATCTCACTTGCTAGATTGTTATTGTTGATACGGGATTTGTTAGAGATTTTGCTGGAGCCGTAGTTTGTTTGCAGTTCTCCCATTTACTTTACAAGTGCCTTAAAATGGCAAAACTTTTTTTTGCCTTGTTTATTTTATTTGAATGACAGGACAAACAAAAAAGGTGGACAGTAATTTCTGTAGACAAAAAATCAAATTCAATAATGTATAATTATCCTTATAATATGGAAAATTTAATTCAGCTAATGGCTGTTATACACAATAATGTGTTTGAAGTATATGTTGTAGCTTTCATGTTAAAGTTGTATTTGTCATGAAGCTCTTTCAAATGTCGCACCATACTGCGTGTTACAGTCATTGCTATTCCTTTCTCTAACCTTGAATGCCGCGAACACTGCTGAACGATTGTTATGTTTTCACTATCTTTTTCATCTTTTATGCTCAACATTGCTTGCCTCATATTATTCTCTATTCCACCGAGATGACCTGCTGAAAAAAGAATTTTTATACTGCGAACTTCACCCAAATTCTTCTTGATTTAAACTTACCAACATTGTTCTGATTAGTTTCTTCGAAACCAATATTATTGCACTCGTCCAATTCAGAGGGCGCCTGTTCTTTATCAAGAATAATTTCAAGGCTATCTTGTAATCTCGCACTACAAACCATAACTCAGATAAAAAAAAACATAGGTAGAAGTACAGACCTGCTCAATGACGAGGAGGGTGGCATTTTATGACTGGTAACAGTAATTTCATTGCACTGCCCCCGCATTTCGAAAACGGCCCAAACGTTATCACCCATTGTCGGAAAATCCAACAAAAGTTCTTCGCCGTTTATAAAAATCTATATAACAGAAAAATTGCGGAATAACATTTTTGTTAATACCATTGTGATAACAATAGCAGTGTTACATCTTCCAATGGCAACTTTAAAAAATAACATATACCCATCTCCTACCTGTTCTCTTGAGTTAGAAAATGCTTGTATATACAAAGTGTCCCGAGCATGTTAATTTTTTTCCTAAATTTAATAATAATGAAAAAAAGATTTTTAATACAACACGTTTTCAGCGAACTAAACAAAAGAAGTATAGGCCAATGTTTTGTTTTGGCGAAAATTTTGCTTACATAGTTTGAGTTATTTTTCTAATAAATCTGGAAATGCTTCATTTGAGAAAATATTTGTAGAATATGGATGAACCAAATTTGGCAAAGGTCTCTTTATTATTTCTCCAGAATAGGCGATTTAATTTCTGTTTGGTTCATTACTGAATTTGAATCGAGAAATCTTTGAACAATTGCTTTCAAAAGACTAAACACTTTTTGGAGACACTGGGAATTCCGTATTAAAAGCGTTAAAATTTTTGTTCCAGAAGAGAGGTACCTTTATATTGTCATCCTGGGTGAACAATATCCCAACCCTATCACTATAAGCGAGCCAGTTCAAGCTTGGTCTAAAAAACTGGATACACTGCTGTTTGTAAACCATTTCGTTTCCTGCAAACAATAAGGCTCCCACTTAGTTACTCCAACGAAAGTGGAAATTTCATGATCTTTACCAGATAAAAAACACGAATCTGCTGGCATTCCAACACAATCAGAGTATGGCGAAGTTTCGGTTATTCCCACAGCCAATGTACCGGCCATGTACTGCCATAATCCAGTGATGGCCACTTCAAATAGTTCATCTTTTATCAAAGGGAGACTACTGAAGACGATGCTGCTGTTATATTCCCGACAACGGGACGCGGTTCGCCTATTATCGCTAAGAGAAACGCCCTTGCCATAATACTCCGAAAACTTGTGCAAATCAATTTCCAAGTTCGTGTTTAGAATATTCGTCGTTTGTAATGTAGAGCTGTCCGATCTAAAAAGCACATTTTATTCACCTTTATTCTTGCGGAGCAGAGTCAATGAACAAAAAAAGTTTAGCGGGTTACGAATTTAGTTAGCGAATACTGGTATTTTGCAATCATTTTTTTATATAATTAAAGTTCTCAACCGCTTGAAATTCGTCCTACGATATCTGTTGAAATTAATTAAGAATGCAAAGAGTTTCAACCATATAGCTACCTTATACCTGAAAGAAACTTCAATAGGCTACTGTAATACCGTTTACAAAACTTCTGGAACTTGCTGACGTTTCACCTTAACTGAAGCTGGTTCGCATTTTACTCTGTACCCGCTTATGTATTGTTTATATTGTTTGAGGCGGTCGGAGCTAAATGAGGGGCATAAACATTGTCTCGGATGACTCAGTTGCGATCTAGATTGTTTTGCTTGTTTACAGTTTTCTATAAATAAAGTGTGGGATTGCTTTCGGAATCATTGCTATTGGAAGGTTGTGGTGAAGTGTTTTTTGGGATGGAACGCTTAATATCTTTAATCTGGAAATTACTAGAGAGAAGATAAGGTGTTTTAATTCTGGGTTTAGTGACTCAGGCTGAGATAGTGTTTTCGGCTCTGTAAACAAGAGAGTTGCTAACCGATGATTTTTGGACCGGATGGTGATGTGACAATGCATTAAGGTGTGTGTGCGTAGGTTTTCTGTAAACACAATGACCTAATGTTAGGCCTGATTCCTCTCATTTAGCTCCTCCCCCCTAAAACGATATATAAGCAAGTACAAGGTAAAATGCGAGCCAGTTTCAGTTAAGCTCTGAAGCTTCCACACAAGATCGGCACTTGCGCCATTTTTTTTTTACAGGGCAATCTCCGCACACTTAAGTCGTTTTTTCCATTGCAGTTGAATGGGATCTGGGCAAATTTTGACAAAATATTGCCGAAAAAATGCTTTATTTAACCTGAAAACTGTCAAATTGACAATTGAATAAAGTCTTATTGCTTGAATATGGTCTTATTCGTCAAATGGAACTTTTAAAATGACTCGCGCATGCGAACAATACTTTTCGATGTTCACTTCAAAAGTGATTGTTTTGTCAGCATAAGAGGTAATAACTAATAGCTAATAATTTGCTTTCATCACTTCGCTTAGAAGATATTGGGCTGATCCAAAACTGTGTTTCCTACTTAAAGTTTTAACTGGAATTTTGACCCCTCCAATTACCTTAAACAACTACCAACAGTACACGGTGCCGTTGGTGCGACCAAAGTCGCACAGGGTATACTGACTTGAGCGCACTGGCCGTACAAATCCACCACGGCATATATGTTAGTGTGGGGCACAACGCATGCGCCTCCTTGCGAAACTCCATTTTTGAAGAACTCCAATGTTTTATCGGACGTTCTCATTACTCCTAGTCTAATAAAACAGAAACATTATACAGATACGCATGAAGTACTAGTTGTAGTAGAAGAAAGCAAATCTTTGAAATAAATAGCAAAAGTTGGAACAACACGGCCACATATCAAATTTTACAAACCATTTTCGTGAAAACATGCTTTGAAAAAACACAGCTATTTACATCATTGTTAAATTTATTCTGTGATTCTGTTCTAAAATTTTACTTTTTGACCAACTTCGAATTGTCAACATCTTACTGTTGTTACTGTGATTGGTAACTTTGTAACTTTTGCGTCGTTCAGAAATAGTTTAAGTGGAATATACTGAACCATCTTCATAATCAGTTTTTGTAGTCTAAAAATTCGATAGCTTATTTTGGCATTAGTGACAGTTCAAATAAATAAAAAACATGATTGAAATTACTTTTACACTCTCCAAATACCATCGGCAAAGTGATGCTAATCCTTTGTTTAAGTTGGCTGCTTTTTATCAATGAGCCTTACATGCTATAGATAAAATGTTAAAAATTATAACCGCAACAATAAAAAGAACACTCCAAGATGAAATAATATCAAATATCAAACCACAATTCTTGAATCCGGCGACTTGGAAACCCCAGATACCAATTCACTATCACTTTATGCAAAATACCGATATTTTATTTATATTTTTCTGATTTTTTTTTTACTTTCTTTTGTAAGAACATCACCTTTTTATCTGTCATGATTTTATTATTTTTGTTGCCTATAAAATATTTTCTTTATTTAAAAAAAGTCATTCAAACTACTTTATCAACTAAAAGAATAAAGTACCCAAAGAAGGCAAAAGGAAATGCACACCTAATACCGGACGACAATGTATCCAGATCGCAGGGATAGTTGTTCCTGATGGTCTTTCCGTTAATCATTATTGAAGACCCGCTTAGCATCCAGGTATCCTTGTTGAGATCTGTGGCAGTACTAGGTAACTCAATTTCGTCAGGCCTCACAGCAGTGACGCCTACCAATCATGTTAATTGGTAATCGAAACCTTGGTTCGTGTAAAATTTTTTACCTAATTCTATACTTCCAGACCATCGATCGACGACTGTGTCCAAAATTACTTCAAACAATTCACCTTCTTTCAATGGTCTATTCGAAAAAACGATAGCATCATTGAATTCCGCCAATGGTCTTGGCCTCAAAGCCGTTAAGCCGTTGTTAACGATTCTTATGTTCTTTCCGTGAATATGATGGAACTTTAAATCGCTAAAAGTTGGTCACTAATAAACTACTATCTAATATAATTTAATAAGTAGCTACCTATACAAGGTACTATTTGACAAACAAGAATTAGCAGCGTCAGGTGAGATGCACTCATACATATCTATAATAGTTACCCCAACAGCTTGTCCATACAAATCTACAAAGTTGTACATTTTACAAAATAATAAAACGATAAAAGACTTCCTAAGTACCAACAACTCCGTAAACTCTTTCGGGAACGTTATTGCTAGCCGTACCCTGATCTATGCCATTGACAAAGAAATGAAGTTGTCCGTTTTCCTTTCGTACCAATCCAACCCTATCTCCAACCTGTAACCTATCCAAATTTACTCCATATTGTTCTTCGATAATAGTTCCATTATGCATTATGCCGCTTCCTGTCATCATCCAAGTTCCAGATCTATGGACAGATTTATCAAACTGATGATGCTCTTTTTAACAAATCGACTAATTTATTTATTATTTGCTCAGCTCAGAACTTTTATTTATAGATTGAAAATTTTGAGTATTTTGAATATTAGTGGTAACAAAGTTGTCATGTCACTACTAGGGACATAGATGGAAACAGCACTGCATGAGCTCATATCTTATGACATTTCTAAACAAAAAAGTAACGTTTAAAAGCCTTTTTTTCGAGGCGTTAAGAGAACCGGTAGCTGGGAGCTACGAAAATGGGGCTGTAGTCAGATCTAAGAGCCTAGTCATTAATCGGTAGGACACGAGTATAAGGTAAATTATCACAGGTGTGAGCTTGACGGTAAATCGGATACAAATGAAGTTACTCCTTTTCTCAAACAAAAAGAAACCAGGCCCAAGTTGCTGACATATACGGTGTGGGTTCTGAAACCGCCTCGACTCATTAAATATTTTACAATGACATACATTTCAGGTTTCCTACATGTACCAAGCGAACGAATTAATGACAAAAATAGTTAGAATCCAGTTATTCAAATAAATCTAGAAAAAATAAAACTTTTTGCTATAAAATTATCCAAAGAATAATTCCTGGAAGATGTATAACTAGTTACATCCTGTATAATAATTTGTGTGTATTCCAAGCCGACATTTACACGTGCTCACGGGAACTTCAACAAGGATTCTCATGAAATTACATCCCTACCTGTAATGTAATTAATTAAGGAAAAAGCAATTGAACATCGACTTTTTATTACAATTTTTTTTCTAATAACAAAAATAAAAGCGTTTATTTAAGATAAGAAATAAATAATGCGGCGGAATTATTTTTTTGTTCAAATTATTAAATGTTTGACTCTGATATTTCGCAACTTAACGGTTTTCGATAGCATCTTTTATAATTATTGTAACTATTAACGATTTATACATGATAATTCATCATACATCATACATCTATAGAAGTAACAAGATTGCTTTCGAAAAATCGTTGGTGGGCGGGGCAAGTTCGTAGCGCGTAGCGCGAAGCAGCTTTATATTTTTTTTTCTATGGTGCTCCTGCGCACCACTATGGAAAATCGATGTAATTTTATTATACATTCACAGTATCAGGGCAAACTTTGATAATTATACAAAAACTATCCAAGTAATAGCGATTTCCAATGATATTTTCTCGCGCACCCTGTATAATAGACGAAACCTAAAACTCTCTCGATGCAGTTTACGAAAGTGTTTAAACTAAACTATCGTATGTTTTATAGTTTTTCATTTACGGCTAATAATTAATCCAGGAAAATGGTAATTTTCAGGCTCATTTAGATTTTTTTATCTATAATCGACAGACCTTGTACATAATTGAAAAAAACTCGGAAATAAATAGCCGTGGATCTCCCACCTTTCCTGGTCCAAGAATTTTTTTAAAAGGGTAAATGGTTTTCGAGAAAACAATGTTTTGCTGAAAATATGCAGTGCACCGTTATAATCAATGACGTCATCGCACGCGAGGAATAGACGAAAACCGCAAATATAAAAATTGCAGCTATTAATGCGGCGTATGACAATGTTTGAAACGATTAGTCATATTTTTTACGAATTTTGATTTACGGTTAATAATTTACTCTGGAGGAGAACAATTTTCAGGGTCTTCTAGATTTTTGTCTATAATTGAAAAACCCTGCATATATTCAAAAAATGCTTGAAATAAAAGTTATAGTATCGGCACTTCCATAATTCCTGGTTCAAAAGTTTTGAGGATCGGGTTAATACTTTTCCAGAAAACATTTTTTTTTCTGGAAACCAAAATAATCCAAAAAAAAACATTTTTTAAAAAACACTTCGCGATACTTGATAGATGCAGAGTTTCAACAGTATAAATGTGGGTGTGGACATCTGACTAAATTTGACGTCGATAGCTGCAAATTTAAGACAATTGTTACATTTCTTAACATAGCACAGAAAATCTTGAACATCCCGTACAATAGGTAAAAAATCTTAAATACAAAAGTTTTAGCTGTCTATATGGGCCATATGACTATGTAAAAGAAATTGACAACTGAAAAACAGCCTTCTAGTTATCGTCAATTACTATTATAACGGGACCCTAATTTTTAGTTTTTTGCGAATATCGGACCCTGTACGTTTTGGAAAATTATGAAGAATAAAGATTTATAGAATTTGATCCCGCGGATCATCTCGTTTACAAATTTTTTCGATTGCATAAACGGTTTTCCAGAATTCATTTTTTTCTTGAACCCCTGCAAACGCAATTTTTAATATTTTAAGCCCCCCCATTTTTCAATAGGTTCGATCAAGAGTGTATCTACACTCTTGATCGAAGTATCTTACTTTCGAAAAATTCGATGTCATCGATTTTCGACAGTAACAATCAGAGTTTTTAAGTCTACATATTCTGATATTGTTTGTTTACTAATTACCGTTAGTTTCATTAGCTTATGTGCTTTGTTAGCCATATGTATTTTTTGTAATTTTTTTGGAATAAATCATTTTGTTTACATTATTATTAAATATCTCGTAATAATTGAATGATTAATGAATAGTAATCTTACCGAACATTTGTCATAGTAAAAGGAAACTCCAAATCTGTGGGACTATGAGTTGTAACACCAATTTCAATAGAGCCCGCCCATTTTGTCACCACCTTGTCCAGTCTCACTTCAAAAAACTCGCCAGTTTTCAGTGGTCGCGCCGTAAGCACAACTCCATTGTTAAAATCATCTGTGGCATTTGGCCGATGTGCCGTTCTTCCGTTATTAATAACTTCCGCGTGAGTACCACAGTTTGGATGAAAGGTCAGTCTATCGTAATAATCAGATAATGATTGAGAGTCGAGAACAACAGAATGCTGATCCCGAGTATTCTTTCTTGTCATTAAATTCTGTTCTTCCCTTTCGTCTCTTTCGACTATTGACACCTGCATTATTAAAATTTATGTATTTATTAAAATGATTCTGCCAACAATAAAATAAAATAAAGTTAAAGAAAATAAACACCTACCTAATATCCGAAACTAATCATTCAGTAAATCCAACAAAAACTAAAAATGGTAAACAAAAAAAAAATGTTTTGCCAAATATACTATAAAAAATATTGCCTTAATAGTCATCCCATAAAGGTCAATAACACCCCACACAGTAGATGGCACTCTCTGAGCTGCTACACCCTGATCAAGACCATTTATAAAATAATGCAAATTTCCATCAGATTTCCGCATCATGCCCACTCTATCACCCTCGCTTAGTTCATCCAAATTAAAACTGCCATATTCCCTTCTGGTGCCCTTCCCATTGGTGAGTATCCCACAGCCTGACATCATAATAGTGCCACTGCGCATATTTGTCATTGTAGCTGGGAAAACTAAATTGTTTGGGTTGTGGGTCGTTATACCCATCTGCAACATAAAAAAGAAAGTTTAATCAGCAAGAATTTATATTTTTTATTCAACTTCAATGCTCCCACTCCATTTGTCGACCAGGCGATCAATCCTTATTTCAAATAGTTCGAAATCTCTTAGTGCTCTATGGGTCATAACAACACCATTGTTAAATTCGTCCAGCGGCCTTCGCCTTTCTGCAGTTCGATTACCGTTTGACAATTTCACCAAAGTCCCGCATCTCTCGTGAAAACGTAATCTGTCTTGCCTGCTAGATTCATCTGGCAAATTTAGACTAAACCAAAAGTAATATGAAGTTATTGCTCAATTGATTAGGTTGTGGGATTATATACCTTACATTCACGTCCATTCTAATATCTAAACTATTGCTGCTACTTAGACTTAATTCGCTCAAGTCACCACCTAAGGTGACATTTAGTATATCATTTTCAATTGCTAAAACTGAACTACCACTTAGACAATCATCATTGTTATGTTCGCGAATAGCAGGGCTGGTAATACTGACTTGAACACATTTCCCATACAAATCAACGATAGCATACACAGAATTAGGTAAACCTTCAACAGCTACTCCTTGAGATTCGCCATTAATGTAAAATATTAGGTCACCCTTAAAAATGCTACTAGATATTTGTTTGCAAATAAATACCTTTACGTACCTCGGATGTTCTTACCAATCCAATCCTATCATTTTGATTAATTTTATCCAAATCGGGACCGTAGTTCTCCACCAAACAGTTTCCGTTTTTAAAGACAGAAGTTCCTGAGAGTATCTGCAAGAACCCGCATGTAAATTAAATCAGGTTTATGTATAGTAAATAATAAAAGTATTATCAATAAACATAGTAGTATGAACCAACTACCTGAAATTGGTTTATACAAATTTAATTTAACTTCATACTTTCTAATGGACACATAGGGCATAAATATTGAGAGTAACTTTTAAATTATTCACTTAATGCAAGTGTGCACCTTATAATTTTTTTTAATGAAAATTTACTGTGGAAAAACTAGATTTGTTCAACAGGCTAACCTAATTCAAATTTTCTTTTCAAAAAAAAATTGTGAGAGTAATAACTTTATCATGGAGGGAATTATTTTTGATTTTTATTTTGATGCTATTAAAAACAAACCTTATGCCAAAGGTTGTTTTCTCAAAAATAATTGTTAAAGAAAAATATTTAACAAAATATCACTTTAGCTAAATGTGCCTTCTAATGTATAATATATAACAAATAATTACCCAAGAACCAGACTGAATTCTTGAAGCGCATGGGGGAAAGTCGAAGTGTAATGGATCTATATTTACAACACCAATCTCTACACTACCAGACCAAGAGTTTACCTAAAATTAAAAATTGTAAAGGTGAGGTATATTAAAGAACTTCGCAAAATAAGTTAAATCTTTGCTTCCTTAAACTTTAACAATAGGGATCCTGTTATTTTTTCAACAAACAAACCTTTCTATCAATAACTATTTCAAACAGTACATCGTTTACAAGGGGTTCAGCGGTAATTACAAGTCCATGATCGAACTCAGAATCATTTCTGACTGCAGTACAATTATCATTCAACAAAGTAATTCTTTCTCCACATCGATAGTGGAAATATGCCATTACTTAAGACTTGATATAATATTAATAAATAACATATAAGTAATTAAATCAATTGAGACCTAAATTTTGACAGATATATTTGTAAACATTCAAGTACTTCTTCCTTCTTTATTGATTCAAATAAGAAGAAACAAACGGCCAAAGCCAAAACGTCCAAATTATAGTTTTGCAAATTGTAAAATTTGCTTGTGCCCATAATATGTTATGAGGAAATAGCAGAAATGCAAATCGTATGTGTGTGTGTGTGTGTTTACCAGGCTTTCCATAATCTCTGTAAGTTTTAATTTAACTTGGCCGTATGATTTCCGCAATGTTGGCTGAGGAAAAAATATAAAAAGAGAAAAATTATATAAGTTTGGTTTTCGGCAGTGTTTATCTGAGGTTGACATTTCGATGACACTATGGAATGAGACGGCCTAAATAAGCAATGAAATTATTTTCTAACTAACGAAAATCCGTTAAATTACTGCCTCAGTTTTACGTTGGTTTGGGGTTTATACACTTTTTGTAATGACAATACTTTAAAAATATTTTTTATTTATGAAGCGCTCAAACTAAACTATTGTTTTAATTTGGGAATAGAAAATTGTTGACAAGTAGTGTGTTCAATGTTTAATTCTGTAAAGGTAAGGTAAATAAACCCTTTGCACCATCGTAGGCTTTTATGATGGGTATTCAATGTTTAAAGCTGAGAAATGTTCTCTAAGAGTAACTAGGTCCTGCAGGTGAATGTATTAGCAACATGAATGGAATACGCGATGAAGATAGAAAGAAAAGATTGCGCTTGTTGGAACAAAAAATCCAAGATGCCCAGGGAAAAGCGAATATTGATTCACTTCTGGATACTGTACAAGCTTTATATACTGACTGTGACCATCCATCCATAAGGAAACTCAAAAATATAGAGGTGTATATAAATCGCTGTAAGTAACACATAGAAACTGTATTCTATTAAAAAAGTTTGCTTTATGTATTTAAGTGTTTGATATTTACTTACGTATACAGTTATTTACTAAGTACAAAAACTGATAAACCAATTTGTATTATTTAGTTTACATCTTGTGTTTGGAAAGTAGTTGACGTTTTCTCCTTTGCTCTGGTTGAGAAATGAATATTAAAATATTATGCTAGATACCTAGCAATTTTCATTGAATTTTAGTTTTGGTTGAAATTGCAACTTGGGAAAGATCTGAATATTAAATTGTAAAATGTTTACTATTCCAAAATTACTTCCTTTTCATTTCAAATTTATCTAGATACATACAATTCTTTTCGATTTGTAGATGATGATTTTGCAAATGATATAATAAACCTCAGAATGAAAACTGATGACTTTGAACACATAAAGGTAATAGGTAGAGGCGCCTTCGGTAAAGTTCAATTGGTCAGACACAGATATACTAGACAGGTGTATGCAATGAAAAGACTCAGTAAAGCAGACTTGATAAAAAGGTCAGATTCAGCATTCTTTTGGGAAGAACGTCACATAATGGCACATGCAAAGTCTGAGTGGATTGTTCAGTTGCATTTTGCTTTTCAAGATTCTAAACACCTGTACATGGTGATGGACTACATGCCTGGAGGTGATATTGTTAATTTGATGTCAAATTACGATATACCTGAAGCATGGGCTAAATTTTATACTATGGAGGTGGTACTTGCTTTGGATGTAATCCATTCCATGGGATTTGTGCACAGGGATGTCAAGCCTGATAATATGTTACTTGATAAGTATGGGCATTTGAAGTTGGCAGATTTTGGTACTTGCATGAGAATGGACACTGATGGACTTGTTAGATCAAACAATGTTGTTGGTACCCCAGATTACATATCCCCAGAAGTTCTGCAAAGCCACGGAAAAGGTATGCGTCTAGGTTTATGTAGAAAATATGGAATAAAATTAAGTCAGAATTTTAAACTTTAATTTTTCTAATTTTAGGGATATATGGTAGAGAATGTGATTGGTGGTCTGTAGGAATATTTGTGTATGAAATGTTGGTGGGAGAAACTCCATTTTATGCAGACAGTTTACTTGGGACTTATAATAACATAATGTACCATGAAAGTAATCTAACCTTTCCAGATGAGGTGGATATTTCAAGTGAAGCAAAGTCTCTCATTCAGGGCTTGTTATGTGACCGAACTAAACGTTTGGGTCGCAACAGTGTACAGGAAATTAAAAATCATCCATTTTTCAACAATAATGAAGGGTGGACTTTTGAAAATTTGCGAGATGCTGCGCCTCCTGTTGTACCTGAATTGACTGGAGATGATGACACCAGTAACTTTGATGACTATGAGAAAGACGAAGCTCCTGAAGAGGTACTTTAATAAAACAAAAATATATGTTTTGTATGCAATATTATTTATTTATTTAATGATGACTAAAGCCCAATTACAATATGCAATAAACTTCGACACACAACAAATACACAAGAGAATTATTAAGAATAACTAAGTTATAACATAACATAAGTTATACATAAAAAATATTTTTTATCTGATATTTTGATAGATTTGATTAATTTCAGTTCAATTTATTTCATTTATGCAGAGGATTGCTATTTAGATGTGTCAATCAATTTTAACTTGGGCTTCTAACGGTAAATTTGTAAGTGTGAAGGAGAAATAAACAAGATTGCTTTCGCAATCTGGTCGTTGTCGCAGTCCGCAAAGTTTATACCTGACACACCTTGTACATAATAGAAAAAATGTCTGAAGTAAAGGTTATAGCCCTGGATCTCGAGCGTTTCCTGGTCCCTGAATTTTTCCAATAAGATAAATGATTTTGGAGAAAATATTTTATTTCGGGAGCTGAGTAGTGCATATTGTAAAAGTAAATGATGTCATCGCGTCCAGTTTGCTCGGGGAAAATAGCGATTTTCCCATTAGTGGAACCGGAACCGTTCATACAAAAATTGTAGCTTTCAAGGCAGCTGTTTAAACCAAATTGCCTTAGTTTTCACGAATTTTCATTTAGGCAAATAATTTACTCCCGAAAAGAAAAATTTTCAGGGTCTTTTAGATTTTTGTCTTAGAACGAAATATAGTTGGACCGCTTATTGTCATCAACCTCTAAAAAAATTCCCCTTAAAACCGGTTAAATATTATGTATCGCGGTGATTATATATATATATATATATATATATATATATATATATATATATATATATATATATATATATATATATATATATATATATATATATATATATATATATATATATATATATATATATATATATATATATATATATATATATATATATATATATATATACTATATCTATAATTATCTATAAACTTATCTAGATATTTTTAAAAGGAATCGGAATATATTGTGTCGGTTCAATTTTTTAAAATTTTTTCCCAAATAACATTAAGGTACCTTTTGTCCCTTCAAATACAAAAGTTGAAAAATGAAGGTATGATTTCGGAGTTGAGTGCGCAGGCACCCATTATATAGTTTCAATATAAAATTTCCAATTGTGCGTATTGTAGATAATTTTCTTATACTTTTAGGTGTTTCCGATCCCAAATACCTTTGTGGGCAATCATTTGCCTTTCATAGGTTTTACCTATAATTCTGACTATCGTTTGTTATCTGATGATGTAGTGGATGGTGGCGTTAATAACATTTACATCAAACACTCAAATGATCAAACAACCAAATTGGAATCTCTACTGAAACACGAGCGAAGCAACGTCGAAACTCTGGAAGCAAAACAACAAATACTCATTAATCAATTAGATACTCTCGCTCAACGTGAGAGCGATTTGAGGGATGAGATTTCTACATATGAGAAGGAAGTAGCTGTGCTGAAACACAGTTGCAAGGAGTTTCAACGCAAGGCAGAGTGCGAAACTGACTTGCGAAAAAGTACTGAAAATTATTTAGCTGATCTCAAGAGGAAAATGGAAGAGGACCAGACGAAACGTACGAGAGAAATGAACAATAACCAGCAACATAACGTGAGGATGTTGGAAAAGCAAATATCAGAGATGCAGGAGAAGCTAAAGATTGAAACGGAAACCTCACAGAAAATGAGGAAACAAGTGGCTGAATTGACCATTGCCAAAACGAACATGGAGATGAAAGTGACTGAATATCAGACACTTTTGCAGACTGTTCAGTCGCAGAAGGATAGTTTGCAGGGGGAGGTCACGTCATTGCAAGAGCAGTTACATCAGGAACGGAATTCCAGGTCCAAGGCATCCGATAATCAACTCCTTTTGGAAAATAAATTGTCCTTGTTAAATAAGGAATTTGAAAATGTGAGGCACAAGGAATTAAAAACTGCCGCTGATAACATACAGCTTAGCGAGAAGGTTTCGTTTTTGGAAAAGGAAAATGCTGGGTTGTCGGCTGAGCTTAAAACCGCCCAGAATAGATATCAACAAGAAGTGAGGGCTCATGAGGAAACAGAGAGGAGTCGGATGTTAAATAAAGAAGAAGCTAACATTGAAGTTGTTAAAGGTACCAATTTTACACTTAAAAAAAAAGACTTCTCATAGCACTGATTATTTAGATGGGTATCTGAATCACCAACAAATTTTCTTGTTCATGTGTTGAAGTACATAAGTGCAAAAAACACACTAACACAGAATCACCCATTGGCAATAACAAAATGTATTTTTATGTTTGATGTTTTTTATGTTGTTTAAACGATAATTTTTTAAATTAAACATCCCATATGTTATATCGTTTAGTTTATTACACCTACGGAATAAGCAAAAGAGAGGAAAGAAAAGCAAAAAGCAGATTCCGGCGATTTTTGTTATCCTTACCACTTTTAAAAAAAATTAAGATACAAATTTGACATTTCTAACTCTTCTCTTCTCTTCCACAACTCATGTGATATATTGATTCTAAAAAATTCCTGATTGTCTGTAGAAGTATGGTTTATGTTTTGATATAATTAACAGACTGCATTCTGTTCAATGTGTTTTAAGAACTAATATTCTAAATATTTCACGCAGACCTGGTTGAGAGGATTGCGTCTGGTAAAAAGTGCTGTTATTTAGAACGGTAGTAATATTAACATAATTATTTCAGCTCTGCAAACAAAATTGAATGAAGAGAAGAGCGCGCGGCAGAAGGCTGATTTAAACTCGCAGGAAAAAGAGCGGCAAATTTCCATGTTGTCGGTTGATTATCGGCAAATACAGCAAAGATTGCAAAAACTGGAAGGCGAATATAGGCACGAAGTCGAGAAAAGTAAAGCATTACAAAGCCAAATTGAACAGGAACAGCAGAAAAAGACAATCCTCCAGTCTGAACTGACTCAAAACTTAAACGAACTCGCCAAAATAAAGGCAAAGGAAAATCAGTTGGGCATCGACTTAACTCAGTTGCAGGTATTTTTTGTTTTGTATTTTTACCTTTGAAGAATGCACGAACGATTTCTTTATGCATCGAAACGAAAGATAATACATATTTTGAATATATCATCTATTTTAGGAATCCAAAAAGGTTCTGGAAGAGGAACTATTTAAAGTTAAACGAAACTGGCAAATGGATCAGTTGCAAATGAAGGAACTGCAAGATTCCTTAGAGACAGAACAATATTTTGCAACTCTATATAAAACACAAACTCAGGAGCTGAAAGAAGAACTGGATGAAAAGAGCCGCCTCAATAAAGAATTTGAGGAGGAACGAACTTCTCTTAAGCATCAGTGCCAGTTGGCTTTGGCTCGCGCCGATTCTGAAGCACTTGCTCGTTCTATTGCTGAAGAAACCGTGGCTGATCTAGAAAAAGAGAAAACCATGAAGGAGCTGGAGCTGAAAGACCTTATGAGCAAACACAGGAACGATATTAATACCAAAGAGGCGACACTGAATGGTCTGAAAGACCGTGAGAATGAACTGAAGAAACTGACTGAGCAGCTACAAATGGAGAAGGAGGACCTAGTGAGGCAAATCAAGCAGCTACAAGAGGAAATTAATCGAAAGTCTGATGGCAGTGATGAAATTGAGAAGCTGAGGATTAAGTTGAAGACTGAGTGTCTCCTGAAACAGCAAGCAGTTAATAAATTGCATGAAATTATGAATAGGAAGGATCTTCGAGAGAACAAAGGCAAGAATAAAATTTCGAGCGCAGATCTTAGAAGGAAAGAAAAAGATCTGAAAAAATTACAGCAAGAATTGAGTCAGGAAAAGGATAAATATAATCAGATGATAGCCAATTTCCAAAAGAATATTCAAGATCTAAATGTGAGTTTTCCATTTTTATGTTTTTTGTAGCTGGAGTTCCTTCATACTTCTTTTTGCGACTAAAACTAATTTTTATATTTCGTTTTTTTTTAATTTAGTTATTCAGAATTAACCTTGAACATTATATCTCACTTAACCACATTATAACTTTTTCAAGTTAAAAATTGTGGTCATGAAATTTACGATTTTATTGTAGTTGTTCAAATATAAACAGAAATCAAATACAACAGTCTCGAGGCAGACAGAATTGATAATTTTTCACCTAAATGCTGAGCTGAGTGAGATTAATCGATGACCCAAGGATGCACCTTGTAATGAATTGCTTAAACTGTTTTAAAATGAATATTACATAAAATTGTAATTTCCCCTAATAACTAACTCAAAATGTATATTAACACATTAGTGCCCGTTGACGTATTAATACGTTTTTTTCATCCAAAATCTTGTAGCCGTTGACGTAGTAATACGTCATTAATTGTGACAAATCTAGGTGCCGTGGACGTAGTGGTACGTTATTTTTGGTTGTAAATCTAGGCGCCGTTGACGTAGTAGTACGTTTTTTGTTGTCATAGTAAATGTCACATTATAACTGATAATTTAAGAGTTAGCTTGTGTTCTGCAATAATTAACTTACGAATTGACTGATTAATTAAGTAATTTATATATTAATTTAATTGTTTGCCCTGCGATATCATGGAAGAAGACGACTTTGAATTAATTAATAAATGTAATGAGGTATGTGCCGATATATTATCTGAGTTTGAAAATGATGAAGAATGTAACAGCGACGATACAGATTTAGCAGAAAGTAGCAGAAAAAGAAATGTTTTGCCAATTATAAGTGAATCTGAAAGCAGCGATTCAGAAGACACGATATTGGAAAACGAACAGAACTGTTCAACATCAAATTGGTCCCAAATCGATAACGATATTACAGTAAACCCATTTTTGGGAAATTCTGGGGTTAAAGTGTTCCCAAGAAATGCAGAAAATATTTCAGACGTGGTGGATTTGTTTATAGATGATGATTTTTTTCAATTATTAGTAACAGAGACAAATAGATATTATATGCAAAACATGCATAAATATAAACGTGTAAAAAGCACAAAGCAGTGGCGAGATACCACGATAACAGAAATCAAGAAATTTTTAGCTTTGAATATATTGATGGGACAAGTAAAAAAAAATAATGTTAACGATTATTGGACTACTGATCCGTACATGGAAACACCAATTTTTGGTAAAATCATGACTAGAAATAGATTCAGGCAAATACTACAATCACTACATTTTTGCGATAATAGTGCAATCCCTGATGACGCAAGTCGACTTGTTAAAGTAGAATCAATAATGCAATACTTTATAGAGAAGTTTGATAAAGTCTATAAACCAAAACAAAATCTATCGTTGGATGAAGCCATGATTCCTTGCAGAGGTAGAGTAAGTTTCCGAGTGTACAACCCAGGAAAGATTACAAAGTATGGGTTATTAGTGAGAATGTTGTGTGAATCCGACACTGGATATATATGCAAATTTAAATTATATAGTGGCAATGGAGAAACATTGCAAAACCTGGTCGTAAACCTTTTAGATGGTTATGGAAATATTTGGCACCATGTTTACATGGACAATTACTACAACAGTGTTCAGTTAGCACAGAAGTTACTCTACAAAAAGATAAGAATTTGTGGAACTATAAGAGAGAACCGCGGGCTACCACACGATCTAAAAAAAATTACTTTAAAACAAGGACAACACAACTTCCGTAGAAAAGGTGAAATTCTAATACATATTTGGAAAGATAAAAGAGTTGTAAGAATGATTTCAACAATACACCAGGCTCGAATGATACAAACCCAGAAAATAAATCGAAAAACTGGCGATCTGATACAAAAACCAGAAACAATTTTGGAATATAATAAGTACATGAAGGGAGTTGATATAGCAGACCAATACCTTGCTTATAATCCTATTATAAGAAAAACTGTGAAATGGACAAAGAAGGCTTTTATGTTCATATTAAATACTGCACTGTTCAATTCATTTGTTGTCTTCAAGGTTCTGAATCCAGGAAAAAAAATAAAATTTTCATCTTTTTTGAAAAATATTGCGCAAAACTGGATTGAAAAAGGATATGTTCATTCAGAGAGTCCAGGAAATGTATCCAAGAGAGTTTCTCGCGAAGATGCACCAATGAGACTTTCTGCAGACATGAGACAACATAAAATTGTGAAAATTACTAGTTCAGGCAATAAGAAGTTTCCTCAAAAGCGCTGCAGAGTTTGCAAAAAAAACGGAAAAAGGAAGGAAACCTGTTTCATGTGCTCATATTGTGTAATTCCTTTATGTATGGGAAAATGTTTTGAGGATTATCACACAAAAAAAAATTATTAAATCTAAATAATAAATCAATATATAATAAAAATAATTTTTGTTGGTATTTTTTTCTTGTTTTTTTTAAGATTAAATATTTTAAAATCTATTAATCGAAACACTGCACAGAACTATATTTCTATCCATCTTAGCAACCGAGTGAACTATTTTATCATACTACAAAAACCTAAAATTGAGAAATATGTAGCATTGAAATCAAATAGCCCTAATATTATATCCTACTTTAAAATAAAATATGCCGGCTCTCAGCTATAACAACATCACTGAGCATTTTTTTTGTGGGAGGCACTCCCTCCCTATGGGACCGACCTCGGATCCGACCGCGTCAGGCGAAAGCCCCGTCCTCCCTTTACTTAAAAAAAATTCGGCGCCCCTCCCGGTCCCATAGGGCGGGAGGGGGAATTTTTCGAAAGGGACGCCGCCGAAAAATTTTCAAAAATTTTTTTGAGGAGGGAGGAGGAGGGAGGTCGGGTACTTCCTCCCCCGACCTCCTCCAGAACTTTACCGAGTTGGGTCCCGATCGGAACGACGGTCTCGGAGATAGCAAACTTTTTGACCTTTGACCTCCTCAAAACCTCAACAAAAAAATTCGCCAATTGTCGATCTCGGGCTCGACGCGTGGCCTGAGTATAGGGCTTTCGGGGCGTCCGGGTCGGGTCCGCCCCCGACCTCAAATACTCAAAAATCCGACGCTACCTCAATATTGAGGAATTTTTGAGGAGGTAGGGCAAGGCGGCGCTCGACGCCCCTCCGCGACCTCACTCACGCCCCGAGGTCGGAATTTTCGATTTCCGATTTTGGGAAAGTGAAAAACGCGGTCCTTTTTTTTGATCCCCCCTTGTCGCCCCCCGTTTGGGAGGAGATCGGGGAGGAGGGTATCGTAAGAAAGGCCGTTCCTTCGACCACCTCCCGTATCGATCCGAACCCGGCCGGACCTAACGCGACCTTAATCGACGCGTTCAACGACAACATTGAAAAAGGTCATATTTTTGAGTTTTTGAGGTAGGAGATTTTTGAGGGCGGATCCGGCGTTTCCGACCCGAGAAACCCCCCCGTGCCGGTTTCGAAGCGATTCGGCCGGTAAACCTCGGAGATAGCAAACTTTTTGAACTTTGAGGAGGCGCCCTCAAAAAAAACTCCACAGACGGGTATAGGACATGGGCCTTCAGAACGACGCCCGGGTATAGGCGCGTCGACGTAGGTACTCGAATTTTCGATCCGTCCCATAGGAGACGAGACCCTCCCTAACCTCAATACCTCCTCAATTTTGAGGGGCGTCCTTTTTGAGGGTTCCGGTGCGCCTCGGGCCCCTCTACGCGAATATACCGTCCGCGCCCCGATCCGACCTCAAATAACTCCGAAAACCTCGAAAAACCGAAAAAGGGCTACCTCCTCAAAAGCGATTTTTTGAGGTCGCTTCCTCCTCGAGATTTTTTTCTGAATTCGATGGCGAGAACCCCGACCCCCCAGGTCGTACCGTTTCCGAGATAGCCCCCCCGACTTCGCCCCCCTGCCCCCCATCGAAAAAATAAAACCGGTTTTTTCAATTGAAATCAAATAGCCCTAATATTATATCCTACTTTAAAATAAAATATGCCGGCTCTCAGCTATAACAACATCACTGAGCATTGACGGTATTCGGTAGTTAGGTATCAGGACAATGTTTCGGCAAGCGCCGTACGTAATTAGGATTTCTAAACGGCCGGTATAGTGTTAAATAATTTGATTCTCAATATAGAATTTCGAAAAATAATGGCCAAGTACATTAAGACAAGTACAAAATTAAATTAATGCAGTCTAGACATAAAGTGATCATTTCCAGATACAATGCAATGAAGAAGCGGCTGCAAAACAACGTCTTCAGATGGAGCTGGATAGTAAAGATGCGGAAATTGAACAGCTTCAGTTAAAATTGGCGGCTATAAACAGTGAGACTGCGTCTCTCAGTTCAGCAGACAATGAAGGAGATGATGTAAATTCGGATCACGTGTTTGAGGGTTGGCTCTCTATTCCTTCGAAACAGAATATAAGGCGACACGGGTGGAAAAAACAATATGTAGTTGTTTCAAGCAGGAAAATCATATTTTACAATTCTGAGAATGATAAGCAAAACACTGATCCAGTGATTGTACTTGATCTCAGGTAAAGTTGCTCTTTACACACGTCTGCTTTTGAAATATGTTACTTACGGATTTTTTTAGCAAAGTGTTCCATGTTCGATCGGTCACCCAAGGAGATGTAATCAGAGCCGATTCTAAAGATATACCGCGTATATTCCAATTGTTGTATGCAGGGGAGGGAGAGGCTCGGAAAACGCTGGAGGAGCCCAATAACACACTAGACACGTCATCGGTTCGCAGTTTTGAGGACAAGCCTCCCGGTTATATTACTCACAAAGGGCATGAATTTCTCAACATATCCTATCATATGCCGACTGCGTGCGAGGTCTGTCCCAGGCAAATTTGGCACATGTTTCGGCCACCCCCAGCGCTTGAGTGCCGCCGTAAGTTTTCAATTTGTTTGATTTATATTTCTTAATGGTTTATGCCCTGTTTCTTCAGGAAGAGAGTTGTAAAATTTAAATTTGTAATTAAACAGGGTGTTCAACTTAATGGTAACATCGTAAAGTTAAAAAAAAATTGCAATGATACTATTTACAAATCGTCAGGATTCCTTCTGCGTCGGTTATTGTTGAATCGAACTTGCTAACGTTTCGCCAATCATCCTGTTGGCTGCTTCAGAGCTTAAATGAAACAGAGTTGGCTTCTTCACTCGTGATCTGGGAATATAATGCTGGTATTTCTTAGCAGAAACTTTAAACAAACTTTAGCAGATGTTACAAAGTTCTGTAACAAACAAACAAACTTTGCCAATAACTGCCGGGACCTTTAACAATTATTATAGGTACAACACTACGCCTAGTTTTAAAGATCAATAATGAACTCTCTCATATTAAGAAACAGAGCATATGCAGAATTTTTTTGTGTAAATTGACCGAAATAATTTCAAAAATGCAGTGAAATGTATATTTATTTATTTATATTATGAGTTTCGTCACCATTCCGTCGTTCTGAGAACTAAATGGAATGGATATATTTATTGGGATTCCCAGAATTGCTAAGTATGGTATTCGGGTATTCCTTGGTGAGGGTAAATTGGACATCACAAACGCATAATAATTTATTATAAAATACATATTATTATTAAATAATGGTAGATAACATTCTGCAATGGTTATTTAAGACATTTTGTTCAAATTTGAGTAGTCAATTGACTGGTCAATTAAGTGGAATTTCCCGTCAAGTTTCTTAAAATAATGGTTTCATAGTACAAATTGTATAGTTACCACCTATTTGATTTTCATTTTTAATATGCATAGAAGAAAATTCACAGACGAACTATTAAATAAACAAAAACAAAGATTAATTGCAATGTTTTGTTTGAATAATTGCAAACATTACCTTTGGAAATATTGAAAAAAGTTGATTTTGAATTTGCAATTGTATTAAATATTATTTTTGTAATGGGATTGATATATTACAATGAATGGGCACAATTATAACCCAAATACTATTTAGGAATAGACATAGAATACAAATATGTAATATTTTCTCAATAAAAATTAATAATACCACCATCAAAGGGGACCCCAGCCTATAAGACTGTTCAATTCAGTAATAAAAAAAAAACAAATCCTATTGAACCAATTTGCTAGGATAAATATTGGTTTGCAGGATGTCGAATCAAGATTCACAAAGACCATTTAGATAGGAAAGAAGACAGCGTGCCGCCTTGTAAACTGCACTATGACCCGTCATATGCTAAGGAACTATTGCTTCTGGCTTCGTCGAGTGAGGAACAGAAGCAATGGGTATCTAGGTTAAGTAGGAAAATTCAAAAATGCGGTTTCAAGGCCAACAACTCGTCAGGCGGTGACACGGCCAAAGTGTCGCCTAGGTGAGTGCCGCCTATCGTTATTTTGCCACCGATGGTCTTAAGCATGCGTAATCAGCTTTGGCTGCGGATGTTGAAATGAATGCATGGCGTCCTTGGTGCTATACATTGAACTCAGGGTGACCAAAACTTTATACGACAGTATTTAGCATTTAACTATAGGATCCATAATTTTCTTTGCTTTATATATATTTCTACATATATAACGTACTGGTGTAGATGTTTTTTTATAAGGCTATGAATATTTTGTTACTGTTTTTATATAAAAATACTGTGATTACATATGTGTTACTGACTATAATAAACATGGTAACATCAATAAGTCGTTATTATTGACAGGAAGTAATTTTCATATGATCTTTTTGACTTACAAAAATGGCTGAAATTGAAGAAGACTATTCAATAATATTTTTTGTCCTAATGGACACAAAAGGATTGGGCAAGGGCAGTAAAAACATCTTTGGCTTTGCAGTATATGTACAATTTGAAACATTCCTTCCATTTCCCGCATGGAACAGACTAGGAGGAACCAGTAAGCTATTCCTAGAGACAGGACTGATTAATCCACAGTAAAAATAAATAAGCTTCGGCAGAATACTCTTACTACCCGACATGGGGGCATTAACCATGTAACCTTGTCCAAGAACAAAGAAAAAATATTATTAACCTATCTGTCAAGTCCTAACTGTATACTCCAATATTTTAAAAACATTCTTTTAATTAAATCAGAACATCCATTACCGATAAGTGAGGGAAATGTATTCTGTCTAAAGTGGTTTTTAGTTTAGTGTGATTGTTAGGTAATAATTATTCTAAGCTGTTTACTATTTATTTTGCACACTATAGCTACTTAGTTAGGCTGTTGTATCCAGTAGAGTAGTTACTTGACAATGGTATTGTTCCACTGTGGGTCCAAGTTGAACTCAATGACATAGTAGGTGCAGCATTGCGTAACTTGCAGTGTCCAGCTCTTATTTTTGTTATTCGCGCTGCTGCCTATTTTGTCTTGATCGAGAACTTTATAAAAGGAAAAGATAAAAAGAAATTAGCAAAACTTGTCTTGACATTTTCAGCAAAAATTTGTTATTAAAATTAATTCGACTTTTCATTAATTTCCCAACGTCGTATATAAACTGTCTGTTATATTTGTCAACAAAATTTAATGGAGTAAGGGATGTTTTTATGTTCAAAGATATTTTGAAGGACTTTGAGAGTCATAAAAACGCGTTACTTACAGCGTTACAAAGGTATTCACCAGAACTTTCTTATCAGATCATTTGGTTTGATTAAAAAATATGTATTATATAAATATGTTCTGGTAAACAGTATATACTTACATTTTAAGATTGAATATTCTACAAAACATGTTGCACTTGTACTTTTTGTTGCCGTTGTACACCTATGTTTACCATTTTGCACATTTTGCTCGCAGCGTTGTAGCACTTATTTCAGTGATGTCCGGCACAAAATTTAACCCAAGGTTGATTTAAGTTTGGGCAAATTTAAAAGCTTTTAAATAATGGTGTTATTTTTAGCTTAATGTTTTTTTGGGCGTTTGGATATAAGCTTTTTTTTTTCAAATATACGTGCACATGTTATGTACATTGCAAAGGCCTTTTACTCATGAAGTGCATAAAAAGTTAAAATCAATTTGAACCTTTGCAATAGGGAGTCTACGAGATCTAGTTTGAAGACATATATGAACGTTCAGCAAAGGTCAGCCACCCTTCCAGCAAATTCGTCTATCAGCGGCAAATGAAGTTAATTTAAACTGGTAACAAACTAACAAAATGTGATATTATCTATACTTTTAAATGCACTTGTGCACTTAAATGTAACATATAAAGCAAGTTTTTAAGAATTATAATGTAGCCTTCAAGGATGAAGGCATTTATTTAAGATATCAGGAATACGCATATTTTGTTGTTATTCTGTTAGTGAAAAACGCTCAACTAATAGTGGCAGAAAAACTTACATATATTATATTGACACTTGAAACGAACAAACAGAAATCATGGACTGTTTTTGAAAATTCATACCTTCAGAATTAAAAAGGATATTTGGACCAGGATATGGGTATAAAATTTTATCATCTATTGCTAGATATAATGGTAAATTTCAGCTAAATGAAACTTTTTTTTTTGTATATTTACCTAGTTGTGTTAACAATAACTCACCAAAAAACAACTCGTGAAAACAATAGGGTGGATACTAGGTAAATTTCAACTAAATGAAACTTTAAAAAAATGTCGCATTTTACTTACATTGCTAAAATGTATTTCAAATTAAAAAACCATTTTCGAGTGATTTTGGATGTCTTTACTAGTTTTTCATATATTTCAAAAGTATGTTCATTTCGGGGGTATTAATTAAAAAAATTGTAGGTAGCCTTCACTTCATACACCGAAATTCGTGACCAAATAACTTTTTTAGTTTTCCAAATTTGTACTTTTGAAAACTGTAATTTTTTTAAACCATTTAGAGGGTCCAGCAATTTATATAGTATTATGTAAGTCACTGGCAGACAGCCAATTTGAATAGGACCTATTTTCCGTTTTGCCCAAGGTATTTTATGCTCGTGTCAGCATCACATTAATGAAAATCCACCTTTATTTATCTACTTATTGTAACTTTATTTTTACATTCTGTAGTCAATGCAGTGAAGTATCTATTTGATCAGGCTAATAAGAATGTGATTGACACCAATAAAAAAGATCGTTATGTTTTTATTTGACATGGCATTAAAAGCACAATCCAACCACCATTATTTGTAACTCAAAATTGAAGTGACCAGTAGGTAACGCCTAGATTTCACTGTGGCTAGCCTTTATTGATGCTACTAGGTGGTATTTTTTATATTTACTCTTACAAATGCATTTGAAATTACTTCGAAATGTGCAGTATGAGATGATATTGGGCGAATTTTTTTTAGTACATTGATGTTTGGAATTCAAACTCAAACATGATCCACAAAGTTGACAAGCCTCAATATTATTCTCACCAAGCAGGCTTTGAACCGATCATTAAGTCAAATACTTTATTTTGTGGATAGAATTTCACCTAAAATAATAGTATAGAATGTGGTTTGCATTGACTTCATAATCGGTTTCCTTTTAATGGAAATATTGTATAAGTACTGTTAAAATCTCAAATAATTAAAAAAAAATGTAAGTTTTCGTAGAAAACACGCATAATCCTACCATTTTAATTGCGTTGTTAAAAATAATAGCAGGTATACTTTATAACGAGCTTTATTTCCGTCGATTTAATATTAAATTCGATAAAAACTTTAAAGTAAGAATCTATGCTTATTGAGTTTTTCATCTTGTTAATGTAATAATTTAAAGCATGTTAGTTGCTTTGAATACTAACTTTATTTTTCAGTATGAACCATTTTCAAACTTCCCTTAAATTATTTTTTTACCTCCTGATCATAATGTTTGCAATATCCAACAATACAATTTTTATGTTTGAAACTAATGTTGCATAACGCTATGCATTATCTGCAATATTTTTAACAATTATTGAAAAACATTGAAACTCGTTCAGTAGTATTAATTGCTTATTGGTATTTGACTATTTGGTCTGTAACTTATTGTTTCACAAGTCATTCAACACCATTCCTTTGAAAGATTGTCATTTATATCTAAGAAAATATCATTATACCTGTACAAAAGGTGTAGGCGTTTGGAGAAACGTCGGCTATGTACATATTTTTTAGTTATAGCATAGTGCAGAACATCTTATAACAGCAGACAATGTGCCTTATTTTTGCTGCAGTTATAGGCAAAGCTCCTAAGCTAAAGTGGTCCGTCTATATACAAATTGTACCAAATTATGTAAATTTTACAAATAAATTGTTTAGTTTGATTGGTTAGTTTATCTTTTTTTTGGAAAATGAGTTGAATTTCACAGAATAAAAAAAAACGTTTTCACTGGTTTTATTTAAAAAGTGATAAACACAAAGAATAACTTGTTTCCGCATACAGTTATAATAAAAAACATTGTTATTGTAAGTTGCCCACTATTTATCACTTCAAAGCTTAAGAGACTGCGCACACTACAGATTTTTAATCTCGCTAATAGTTTGGTCGATTGTTTCATTGGTTTAAGAACACGCAAAAACACCAAAAAAAAAAAAAAAATTGCGTATAATAAGTATAAAGTTTTGAACTTTTTTGGTCTTGCCAGTTATCCTCCAAACTATAATATAAAAGTTTCATTCTGTGGTGTGTGCTGTTTCTAAATAAATATGTAGTTTAACTGCAGAGTGAAAAATTTTTGAAAATGGAGATCAGACATACAGAAAAAATATTTTATATAAAAGTTTTCATATCAAATTTTTCAAAAGCATTCTCCTAAAATCTTCTACATCTAAGTAAAAAAAAAATGACTGGTTGATGTCTTCAACCCACGATTTTAACAGATTGATTGTCAAAAACGGAAGAAATAAATTGCTAAACCTTTAAATCTCTCATAAAAATTAAAAATTAAATTAAACCTTACACACATACTATTGAATTGAAAATAAGTAAAATATGAAATTATAACAAAAACAATAAATAAAATAAATTAAAATATATGACAAATCAAAGGTTTATGGTTTTTTACGCCAGGGAGATAGTATTTCCAGACACCTAAACATATTATGCCTGCTATAATTGAAGCCTATGTTCCACCATTGTCATTGGGATTTCATGCTGACTAGTTTTCTACTTCTCGCACGTACTTCCTGCCTTGTATTGGTGTACTCAAACCACAACACATTAGGAATTAGGGTGGTATCTCTTAACAACAGCATTTCAGAAATCCTCCTTAAAAAATATTTTAAAGTATTTACCTAGTTATAACAATAACTCACCAAGAAACAACTTGTGGAAACAATGGGGTGAATACTAGGTAAGTCAGAGCAAACCAAAATGTGGCAAATATAATTCCTACAAGAGCACCACATAAGACCTGCCACACTGTGTGATATTGCAAGTAAACCCTACTGATGCACACCACTATAGCTAAGAGTAATGATGATGAAAGTATGAAAAACTTAGAAACATTCTCTATTATTGTGTTGTTATTCATGTGGTGTAACCTACAAGAGTAAAATTAACAAAATTATATATGCAAATATATTCAATGATTTTGTAAAAATTTTATCTTACCTTATTACCACAAAATATATGATATAAGTCGCAAAAAACCACACAAACTGAGCATGTGAGGATGGCATGCCATACTCAACATACACATCCTCCCTTCTTAAAGGCCGCTTTTCACATATGAGATGTTTCAAACAATGATTAACAAACTCTGAACATAATGTACCCAAGAAGAATGTAATCTAAAAAATATGATTATAGCTTTTGTACAATTTACAATAAACTTGATTTTGAGGTCACCGTATGCAGATCTCGTCTAAAAAGTATTAATGCTATGAATCCAGAACCAATTCCGAAAGGAGCTAAACTGATTACCGCCAATATTTTACCAAGAATATCTCCTGCAATCAAGCATTACTTACTATAGTTTACAACAAATCCAAACCGAATTTTTGATTGGGATAAAACTCATACCTTTTGGATATTCAACTAGGGTTAGACTGAGAGGTACCCATTCAGTATTATGTACGTTTGAGTCTTGATTGTTATAATCATTTACAACATTGGCGGATTCCATTTTATGTACTAATTGTACACATTTTTATTCAAAATGTCCTGTAAGAAAAATATGCACACCAAGAATACCAATTTACGAAATTGCATGACATTTGCATAGTCTATTTCTCCATGACAATGATAAAATAAAAATAAGTAAATTCATAGAGAGAGAACAAATACCCATTGCGGTCATTACCACAGAATACTAACTAATATTTTTTTTTCTAATTCAATAGACTCACGTCCTAGATGGCTAGCTACCCAAGTTTTTCCATGTGTCAACACGTATATTAGGCCATTTTTTGCCAGTGGTTAAAATCGGACAAACACAAAAACACGCAAGGTTTCCAGTAGCATCGATCCCGCATCTCTGGCAAGTCGAGTTGGCAGGTGTTACGCCTTACCAAGCAAGCCATACCCGGTTCCCCTTATGTCAATGTCAACAACCAAGTCCGCTATCATTCGGTCAATTTACACATAAAACTGTAATACACAATTCACTATAACTTTAATAGAACTGCTACATTGTTTCAAAAACCATATTTTTTTTAAGGATTATTTTAAAAAGATTCATTTCTTTCATAAGATCTTCCGCGGTACTGACACTGAGATGAACGAGCTTTCCCTGATTAACTACTACTACATCAGACAACGGATCCCTTTAATCTATTGTTTAGTTTTCTGAAACTGAAATGTCCATATTCAATTGATTGTTTTATTAAATCGAATTGAATAGTTTTATTGAACATAAAAAAGGCAAAATTCAATAAATTAAAAGGTTTATTATTGACATGTTTCAACAAAATCTAAAAGCTGATCACCAACTACATTTGCGCCTTCCCCGCATTCAAATCTTGTAAAATAAATTAATTCAATAGAGTTTTCTCGTAACACATCCTTCACGGTTAATGAATCATCAAGTAAATATTCTTGGTGGACTAAATCTTTCTCGTCTTCTTTACTAGGCTCTTCAACATTACCAATACGTTTTGGTGCCATGCCGACTATGTGCTGACAAATATTTTTTCCAACTTCTGTAAAATCTTTTTCATTCTTCCCCACACTTCTAAATGCTACAAGTCCTGCAACTCTACCAAGCAGAGCACCATTGATTTCTTTTCCAGATGGATGGGCATACATCGATAAATAAATATCTTCATTTACTTTTACACACTCTGCTCTCTTTAGGGTAGCATTTTCTCCAACAGATCCAATTGTAAGTGCCAACTTGTCAGCTAGAGTTTTTCCATCTAAGCTTTTCAAATTTTTTAATCTTTCTGTATCTAAATTAACCTAAAAATATTTGAAATCTATGGACTGGAATATAATTGATTGACGAGTTACCTTTGTAATGGATTGGTGTGCCACAGAATCAAGTTTTATGTAATTTAAGCATGTCTTTGCAACTTCTTCAACTAATTTTTCAAACTCTTTATTTCGTGCAACAAAGTCAGTTTCACAGTTTACTTCAACTAATGCTGCAACCTTGCCAGAATAATTTAAAGCCACCCCAACCAAACCCTGACTGGTTTGTCTTCCTTCCAATTTTGTTGCCTTAGACCAGCCTAATTGCTGAGCTTGTTCTTTTAACCATACCTCTGCCTAATAATGTTCTGTCTTATTTCATTCAACTTACTACAATGTATATACTCACCTTATTTACATCATTGTTATGCAAGTCCAGTGCCTTTTTGCAGTTAGTAAATGTGTATCCAGTTTTTTTTCTTAGTACAGCCAACAGAGACTTCTCATTAAATTTAGTATTACTTAAATGTAAATACTTTGATAGAGTGTGTTTAAAGATCTGTAAAAATTTAAAAACAGAGAGAAGGTAATTAAATTTAACATTTTCTATATAACACAAAGAGATTTCGGTAGTAATGTAATTTCGTTAAGCTCCATTTGAGCAGTTGCTATGGAAAATAATTGATCAATCAAAATAGCAGTTTTGCAAGTTACGTTTGAATTGTTTTGTTTATTTAGTAAAGTGGTTTAAACAGGTAAGTAATACATTCATACCATTTTGTAAAACCTAAAATCTGCCACGGCTCAATATAATTCTTGCAGATTATGTTTCCATTAATTTCTGATATTACAAAAATAATTCCAACCTAGAAAACGTATTACAAAAATAATTCCAACCTAGAAAACGTAGCCAATTTTTGGCACAGAACATAAAACCGTTCCTTGCTGTCATCTCTGGCCTTCCTTAAATTGAGCCTTTTCCCTAAAGGTGAATGTTAGTCAACCAAAGAGTTAAGCCTTCTTTTATAAGAAAGACCTAGATCAAGACTGGTAAATCAGGAGAGGATAGACATGGACAATTTATTTTCGCCAATTTAGTCAATAGCGGTTAAAGCTAATTTCTATTAACTTTTTAATGATGTGTTGAAAGTTCACTAGACTTGGAGTTCCCTATGTAGATATAGACAAATTGACTAAACCTATTATACATAACGCTAAATTGGTGTCCTTGGAATACCTATAACTGCTTATGTGCTATATGTATATCTCTAATCTAAATTCTCCAATTATAAATAATAATAATAATAATAACAACATTAATAATATTAATGATAATAACATACTTTATTGAGGTAATTTCGACAGGGAAAATTAAAAGAAAAGGCAAGAGTGCAGCGTCCAGACGCATCTGTTGATCTGCTGATATCTACACTTATACTTACAAAAACAGAAAACTACAATTTTATATTCGTAAAGCACTTACCTATATATAGAAAAAAAGGTCTAAACCTACCTCTAACAAAATTGACAGGGAAAAATCCCTATATATTTTTAAATGTAACCAGGTTTTTAGCTTATTTGGAAAACAATTTATTGTCGCGGGGATCTTTCAAATATTCCAGATCGGTAACGAGGAATAATGTCTCATTTAAACCTTGGATTTAAGTTGTTTACACTGTCCTATAAGTTACTTTTTCTGAAAGGAGTTCATGGTATTTCGTTTTAATGGTAGATTGAAAAATAAAGAAACAAAAATTGAGCCTAGAAGAACTTCGGAAGCTATATTGCAATACTCCCAGCATCATTTTATTTTTAGCAGAGTTTTGGGTATGTCTGGAAGAAATGTAGAGCGGGATCGTCTGATGAAAAGGATCGCCGAGAAACGAGCCCAACTTGAAGCCAGAACCGATTTAAATATCAAAATACCTCGATTCCAGTTGCCTTCGGATTTTAATTTCGAAGACAGGTCTCTCTTCTCTTTACCCCCCGAAATATTAAAACCCATTCTCGCATCAGCTCATCCAAAGTATCGCAAGAAACTTGAGACGGAAAAGAAAAAAGGTAACGTGCATTTTTTAACCGATTGTGAAATAGTACTTGTTATTTTAAACATCAAAAAGGAAAAAAAAAATAGGTTTCTTTTTTTGGATTTTACTACACTACTGAATTCAGAGTTTTGTCAACGGAAAATGCCCACAAGTTCCTAAAATGTACCTATTTATTAATATCAAAGTTATCACAATATTATTTTTTGAAATTGAATTATTTACCTCGATATATGATTTAGAACTTGAAACACATCAAATATGAAGTAATCATCACCCTGTACATGGTTAAAGGATCAGAAATCTAGGCTTAAAATAGAAACTTTTTATCTAGTAAGTTAAATTAATATAAAATGTCCAACCTTAGCATAAGCAGTATTTGTTATGTTTGTATCTATGGATATGTATGTCTGTACGCTTATATTTGCAGAAATATACAATGGTGAACAATATAACATAAAAAGTATTTCATACTTATATATACTTATTTATATTTATACTATGTGACATCTCTCTCTCTCTCTCTCTCTCTCTCTCTCTCTCTCTCTCTCTCTCTCTCTCTCTCTCTCTGAGTCTCTTTCTCTCTCTCTCTCTCTATGCCGCTAAATCCGTCAGCAAACTTCAACTCTTGAACCTTCGACTGCGAAGGTTGTATATTTGTAAAATTGCTTAATGTCGAATTCAGTCTCAAACCTAGGATTACTGATAATGCAGACATATTAGAGTTCAATATTTTTACTAGAAGACGCAACTTACCCTCTTGGTCACTAATGGAGCTATCTTGCTGTAGTCCTGGTTTATTTTGGTATTGCGGTAAACTCTACTGATTTTGGCCCCTCCACTAAAGCAACTAAGTTTTTAATGAAATAGTTCCTGGGGCAATGCCGTCAAGTCTAAGTTCTCTAAAAATAAATTTGCTTCTATGATTTAACGAAATGCTTGCACCTCATTTCTCTCTAACGCAGCTCCATCAATTACTTCGAAACTTACTCCCATTATCAACTCTAATTCGATGTAGATTTTTCTCATGATACTAATGCCGCTAATTTGTTTTGAATGGAAGAGAACACTTATGCGTCATTCTATTATTTCCGCTTGGGAAGCTGCCGGATAATTTTTAAAGGATAAGTACAGCTCTTTCCTTGGTCTGCTTTTACAGGCACACCTTTTTCTGGAAGAGGTGTTTTCTGTTTCCACCATACTTTCCATTGCAACTTCACTCTAGCATGAAAATTAAATGGTCCACACTGTATTGTCAATAATTAAATTTTTATTTAAAAAATAACGGCTTTTAGCTAAGGAAAGATTAAATAAATTGAAGTCTTACACCGCGCTTCGGAAGCAGAGGGAGGAGTTTAGACAGCGTTTAATAAGTTTGATTACTAATGACCGCGAGGTTGACTATGACGATTTGCCCTCTGTGCAGGAGAAAGAGATGTTACGGTACTACTACTATGTCAAACACGGGGTGGATACCGTACATGTAGCGCCGTTAGATGACATAATGTTAAACAGGGTACAAAATTGCGGCAGTTCAATGGAAATTCATTTACTAATCGAACTTTATTTAGATTCTGTCTCTCGTTCCCCGCCAACTAATGGCATGGGAAACAACTCTGGCCAAAAATGTTGAAGATATCAAAGAAGATTTCATGACGGCAAACAAGAAAGCCATAATCGACTTTGTATTACAAGATCCCTCTTCTACAGTTGCAATTGCAGACGATGACTCGCCATTTAAAACGGAACGTAAAGCGATCGGAAATAGTTTCCGGCCAGCGTTCGATGCAGCCAAGTTTAAGTTGGGAAGGATTCTTCACGTTATCAATCCCTGTTTGGCGACGTTGTTCGATTTGTGGTATACCCGCTTTAGGTATGCAGAATGGCCCGATCATTGAAGTTAGTATGCAAGGCACAGTCTGACTATGGTTTCTTAATGCTCAATCAATAAAGAATTAATTATATGAAATTTTCCTTCAAGCCACTACAATTGTATCAACTTTCCATAAATAAAAGAATTCGAAATGTAATTAAATCTTGATACCAATAACTGTCAAATAAGCCATTTAAGAAGGAAATTTGAAGCAGTGAAAGCTTCTTTAGCAAGATAAGAGTTATTATTATAATATATTGTGAAACCAGTTATATAAACGAAACTTTAGTCATTCGTTTGTTTAGGCAAGAGCGGACGGTGTGCATTAATGCAGTGTCTGAAGAAGTTTCTACTTACAACTCTAAAATACCCAACAGTTAATTTCGTTTGGTTCGGTTCGCGTTTTCGGTACTTTTGTCCCGGGTTGGCAGCTGGCGGATCTTTGCAGTAGATGTTTAAAACACTGATGGTATTTTGAAGTTTGTGAAAAATTCAGATTCTTATATGGAATGTTGCTTCTAGAGAATTCTGATATCTTAGTTAATATATTCAACACTATACTCTATTGAAATTGGCCTTCTAGAACTTTTTTTTTTTATTTTCATGTATAGCATCTGGCTTTAATATTAGATTTTTTTATATTTCTTTAATATAGGTATAATATAGAAAAGATAAAATCGATAATTTTAATTTACATATTTTGTTTATTATTAGTTGGTAGGTTCGTAAGTAGGAAAGTAGGTATAATTCTTCTTGTGGATAATGAAGCACTTGAAAATATTCAAGCTCCTATAATATTAAAACAAAAACGATGTTGGCTTTTCAATAGTTTAGTCAAGAACGAAATATTAATTTTAATTTACTACAAGTACTATAAATATCAATTTCAAGAAATGTTTAATAAGAACTTTACAAAGTTTTTTTTTCAGAAAATTGAGGCTGATAGATGTGGAGGATCTTAAAGCGCACAAGGGCGCCTTTGACCTGCAAGAGTTTAAATACACAGTGAACAGAAATATACAAAAGTGCAAGGACGTAATTATGGATCGGTATTACTACGCGGTTACCGATATATTCCTTCAAGGTAGTAAGAAGAATAAACTGCCAGATCCATCAAAGCCGAAAAAAATGAAATCTTTCTACAATTCAGTCGCGATGATTATGACATACCATTTGCAATCGTTATGTCTTAAATCTCTCTATGACTATGTCGAATATATCACGGACATAAAAGTGAGTCATTTTCCTTGTAATCGACTAAACTTGTAAACTTGTCAAATTAAATAAGAACTAAAAGTTCAGATTTTCACGAAATTATATATTATGACATGACAATTGTTTCGACAACACCGTGTCTTTATCAAATGTAATATCTACAAACTACCTGCTACTATATATACCGAAAAATGATCATAAAACCTTAATTAATGTTGTTGCGAGAATTTAAGTTCAGTAAAGGAGAGGTAATTGATCGTTAAGCAATACATTTGAATGTCTCATTTTGTTAATCTCCATGGCTTCAAAATTGTTGTCAAAAATGTGTTTTTCTGTGTTTAAGTGTGTAGCATAATTAGAATCTAGACTATTATTTTTAAACGCTCTTATATGTTCGTTAATGCGTTTCTTGAAGGATCTACCTGTTTGTCCAATATAAATTTTAGGACAAGATCCACATTTTAACCTGATTTTTGGGATTTTGGACATTTCGATTTATTGTTTTTTAAATATTTTCCTATTGTTTTGTTAGTTCTGAACGGACAGACAATTGAATTCTTTTTTAAATTACAGATATAAATATATTAAATATATTTGCACCTGCACATGGAGATTTTAAATTCACTCGTTTTTGCTTTTAGTACTCGAACAAGGGTTTTCAAATTAAACTCGTCCCAAGGATGAATGTGCTTTGTTTTGAGCCGCCGTTTAAGAACTTTAAGGAAGTGCTGATTAGTAAAATTGACGAAATAGTCGACTCTGTAATGGATATAGCAAGACTAGAATCTAGACTTTACCTGGATTACCAACAGCCAATTGAATATTTAAAGGTACAATCTACCGCAAAAACTTCAACAAATCTGTTTTTTGCAAGTTTGCTAGTAAACACAAATATTATATAGATTTTGCGTCTACTTGAACCAAAAAGTATTGCTTCCTTCCAAAAAAATCTCGTTATTGGTTTGGTTCAGTCGTAATATGATATATGCAATATATTACAATAAGGGATGCAATAAATATGAGCTTTTGTATTGATAGCCCACAATACCTGAAGAAACCATTTCCCGTTACAAAAAAATGATCCAAGAACTACTAGATAACCAGAGGATCGGTCCGGAGCTAAGAGTTCAAGATTTCGACGAGTATATGCCCCTGATCAACGGAGAAAGCGAAGACGAACTAGCAACTTTCTTTGCGACCGATCACGGCCTGCAAGATTACATGAAGCAGATCTTAATCTACAAGGATATCATGGATCAGATTCCCATTGTAGCGCAGCACGTAATCAGGATGGAAATGTACGAAATGAACAGAATCGAGTTAATCAAAGTTTTGGGGATTCAGGCAGAATATTTCAGAGACAAGTTGATTCAAAGATGTATTAGGAGTTACCAGCAAATGTGCAAAACGTAAGGACATTAAAATCATCATTGTTTTAATTTTTCCATTATTAGGTAACTGAACTTTTGGATTGGAACAGTGTCTGTCGTGCTTTACCAGATATCTAAAGTTTGCATACGAATACCATAAAAATAGCCGTACGTCTGCTTGCAGGCTAGGGGAAGAGTATCAAATGATTGCGGATAGAGCACTGAGCATTCCAGCGAATACTGCAGAATTAATGGACTTAATTAAATTTGTAAACGAAACGGAATCGGTAACTCTATATCAGATGGAAGACCGTTTAAGAGAGGTGATGAATTACATTCTTTTTCTTTCTGACCATTGTCTGTTTACTCCCGTGGAAATGAAGCAGAACAACATTACGTTTCACTGGTAAGTTTTTGGACAGTATTATTAGATTTAAAGCGTATGCGTTATTATTTGTACAGGTATCTTCATATGCCGAAAGTGATAGAAGAACATAGGCGAATGGTTGACGCAAAAATGGAAGAGTTTCAAGCTCTGCTGACGGTAAAAATTGGAAAGTTTAAAGACGATTTGGAGCTATATGGTCGAATGGTGGACGAATTACAACACAACGGGAACTTGGATGAACTACCGCGTTACCACAAAAAAGCGACGAAGCTGAACGAGCGGTAAAATTAATACTTTAATTTAATTATCTAATTAATTAATACTTATTAATTTATCTTTGTCGGCCTCATGGAGAACTCGAGTATCAAGTTATAAAAATACATAGAGACACAATATAGAGCGCTTAAAGCGTCTCTCATCATGCAATAAGTTAAAGTTTTATAGATTTAAGTAAGCAGATAAGATATTCGATTTTATTTTGATAATAATTATTATTATTGAGATATTTTAAATTACTGCACAAGGTTAATATAAACTAATATACTTACACATCTCAAACGGTGAAATCTAGCTCTCAGCTAGTCAACATTAACCGAATATTACAATAATAATGAAAAAACAACCTATAATAATAATAATGGTAAAATACTAATTTGTTTAGGACTAAGACGTTTGTAATTCCAATAAATAGATCTTAAATTTTTTACTACACACTAAAACTGAGCTGGATTCAAAATATTTATTATATTTATTATAAAACTTAATGGCACTACAGCGTTCAAATTTACAAGACTTATGCTGGGGCATCTTTCAGGTACGTTGGTAAAGAATATTTAATTACTTTAAATACAACAATTGGCAGTAAAAATTTAAACAAGGTATTTAGTGTTGAGCCATTTCAACGCAAATATTTTTTCTCATATACGATCAAACTTCTCAAACCATAAACGACTCCGGAACAGCTGTTCTGGATTTTTTATAATCTGGATTTATCAGCAACGCTTAAGGATGGATAGTATAATAAAAGATAGTATATAACTTTAGAAAGGATACATGCCTCAGAGAGTATTTTTCGTAAGTTCAATATATGTTTATTTGCATATAGCGTTTTGAGGGATATATAAATCTTTTTACACAATTGACCATCCATTATCACTCATAAACTTTTTTCTTCATTTGTAAATTTAAGATCTTCATGTTCCAATCGAATTTTAATATGATCACGCAAAAAATTATGGCTTCCAGGGGGAGCAAATAGCATAATTGGTGTTTTTTTAGAATTTAGCTTAGGATTCTGTTTTTTAGTATACTGAGAAAGACTTTTAAGATCCAAATTAAGATTAGCCTCGACTTAGCTGAGTTAAATGTGTGTAACGGCTGGGTGTCATCAGCATATGAACGAATTTGAGAAAATTTGACTTCCTTAGACACATCAAATGTGTAAAATGCCCAAATTTCTAATTTATCTAGTCGACCATAACAAAATTCTGAAATGATTTTCTGTCCCTTTCAACTCAAATTATCAATTAGCATGAAGGCAAGTTTTCTCAAACTTTTTCATATCCATGCAAATATCTTCTCCAAACACCAATTTGCCTCCCTAATACTCCAATTTAAATTAGTTTTATTTGTTTGTTTAAATCCATGTCAGGTTAATCGCTGCAATGGATCGCATCGACATGTTCAACGAAGAAGAAATATCGTTTGGATTCGAACTATCGCAGTATCCCCTGCGAAAACAAATACACGACAAATTAGCACCGTACAAACGGTTGTACGACAATAGCATCGAGTTTTTCCGAAAATACGAGCTGTGGATGAAGTCTAGGGTGGGATCGCACGATCCGGAAGAGATTGAAATGGACGTTGGTACTTTTTATAGAAATATTTACCGGTTGGAAAAGACTTTCACGGAGAAACCGGCTACTCTGAACTTGGCCACAACCGTACGAGAATCTGTGATTACACATTTTGCGAGGTTGTTCCCACGATTCGTTTTAGGTGCGTCAAAAAATCGAAGAGTTTAAGGAGCACATGCCAATTATTCAGACGTTGGGCAATCCAGGCATGAAAGAGCGCCACTGGGAAAAAGTGTCCGAAATTGTTGGTTTCCCGATAAAAGTAGACGATGAACTGACTCTGGAGAAAATAATCGATTATGGATTGAGCGACTACACCGATAAGTTCGAAGTTATATCGGAAGCAGCCACGAAAGAGAATAATTTGGAGAGGAGTTTGAATAAGATGATGTCCGAATGGCAGGATTTGGAGTTTACTATACTTTTGTACAGAGACACGGGCACTCATATTTTATCGGCAGTTGATGACATTCAAGTGTTATTGGACGATCATATTGTGAAAACCCAGACTATGAAAAACTCGCCGTATATTAAACCATTCGAGGTCGAAATTCTGTAAGTTTATTGGCTATTTGCACATTTTTGGTAATCGTTGATTCCTTAGTACGGTTTTAGGCACTTTAGGTGCTCTTTCGTGGTGTACTTGACCTCTTTGAAATTTTTGAAAGAAAGATAAACCGGTTGCGTCATTTTCGCTTTTACTTACTTTATATAGTTTTATCACATCCAGGAAATATTTTTGCATATCCATTTAAAAATTGTATTATTATCACTACTAAATGATATAAAACCGTAGAAATCCCTAAATAAGATCTTATATATGACTTCAAAACTTAACAAAAGCGGTACATAAATTTGTATCACATTTTCAAGTAAATCCAAAATAGTAAAAAAAATATTTTGGATTTGTATTGCCATTTCTGTTAAGTCTATAGTATGTAGATTACATCGCAGAAAACATAATTGGAAATACTATATTGATTATGCTCTATTTTTTGAAAATATTGACTGGTGTGTGAATGCATTATTGGTTTTATCTGTGAAACAAAACTATGTTATTGCAAGTCTAGACAAGTCAGCGCATGTAGAATAAACATTCAACAATTAGAGTGTTCTTTAGTATTAGTTTGCGCCTTGTGCAGTGAACGTTACAGTTCGTAAAATATGGTATTTGACTCAAAAGGAATTAGGGGAAAGGAGGAATTAGGAGGAACTCGTTCGTATTATTTGGGTTTATGTATTCTTATGTATTGTAGCATTCCATTCCTTGCAAACTTATGCTAAAAATAACGTGAAAACATATTTAGAGAACATATTGACGCGGTCTATATTCCACCCGAAGATATGAACGATAACATAAATCTACAAGACTTTGGGGAACCAACTGATATAGTTGCAACTTGCGAGTTACATACACCTAATGATACAGCTGTCCTTCAACAGTTCTATAATTCATCAACTACTGAACCTGAATGGGACTCATCAGATGATGAAACCCAGGAATTCAAAAGAAGACGTATGCTTTCGGCAAACGACATGCTTGCTTCTACTGTCAAAAGGAAGAAAGGTCAAATCGAGTACACTCACACACCTATATCCGATGAATTTAGATCATGTGAGGAACTAAAAAATAGGCTTTCTGGAAAAACTCCGCTTGAAATATTTTTTATGTTTTTTGATGACGAAGTGATTGATTTGATTTTAAATCTTACATTGCTTTTTGACTTTTGAAAACTGATAAAACAATTACTGAAAGAAATCTTGCCACCTGCCATAGATGGAGTGCGTGATGATAATCAAGGTCACCTCGTGATTGTTCATGCTAATAAAACCCGAAGGAGATGTAGAATCTGCCACAGCCACACAATTAGCGTTTGTAATAAGCGTAATATGCATTTACATACTTCATGCTTTGTAAAATATCACCAAAAATGAAGCCGGGTGTTACCAGTGGTGCGCTCACGCACCATAATATATTCTGCTACTTTTAGTTGTTTTCTGTCGAATTTAAACTTTTTTTTGTATATTTTTGTATAAATTATATGTTACATCTTATGTGGCTCAAAACACTATTTAATGTTTTTTCCCAGTTGTTCCTGTTACGATCCAGTATTTTTTTGTATGTTTCGAGTTTTTTTTTTTGACATATATAATGTATTCTTAAGTGCAACAAAATAAACAGCTAAGGCACCTAAATAATTATTTCATACAGTGAGTTTTCCAATACTATTTTGACAACTTCTGGATTCCTACTTCGTCGGTTGTTGTTGAATTGAACTTGCTAACACCGTCTATCTAACTACCCTATCGTGTTTAGTTAGTTTAGAGGAACTACTACTTTTATTAATCATTTATAAAAAAAAATTAACTTATAGATATCTGGTAAGTCCTGAAAATAAAAGTGGTAAGTTTATTTTTTAGAGCTCTATAAGTTTAAGCAGGGTATTCTAGAAAAATCGGATTAATTATTTTTTTTATTAAATAAAATGTACGGATAAAATTCTGTGTCACATAAACATTTATTGAAAAAATCGTAATTTGCAAAAAAAACTATATTTTCGTTATACTACGCGTTTATGAAACACCCTTTATAATTGAAAATATTTTTGAAAAATTTGATTTTATGCAGCATCTATTCATTTTTTCAAAACAGAGAGATATAGTATTTTGCCACACTCATCATAAAATTTTCTGTATATTTCTTTTCTTGAGAGCACTGATGGTGTAGAAAGATGAACATGTTCATCTCCATTAAAGATGCTCAATTATATTAGAGGTTGGGCAATCAAATGTTTCGGTTTTATTCAATGTTGGGTGTGAATGCTCAGCGATGCAGTATATTAATCTTTCACTTTGTTTTGGTTAATTTCCTTCAATCATCGCTTGTATCCCCATTGACGATAGTTTCAAATTTTAGCGCCTGGGAGCAGAAACTTCAATTACTTCAAGAGATTTTAGACGAATGGTTCAAAGTGCAGGCCACTTGGATGTATTTAGAACCGATATTTTCATCTCCCGACATTCAGCAACAAATGCCTGAAGAGGGTCGACGTTTCAGTGCGGTGGACAAAATATGGAGAGACCTCATGAAAACCGTTTATAGCGATTCGAGAGTACTCGTCGTAGTTGAAATTGATAAGATGGCGGAAAGGTTGAAAAAATGTAATAATCTGCTCGAATTGATTCAAAGGGGTCTGAACGATTATTTGGAGAAGAAGAGATTGTTTTTTCCGAGATTTTTCTTCCTCTCCAACGACGAGCTTTTGGAAATTTTGTCGGAAACCAAAGATCCAAAGAGGTAGAAAAGTGTCATCTCAAACTACGATTGGGAGCTAAACGACAAACTTCCTGCAAACTAATTTTGTTGTTACAGAGTTCAACCCCACCTCAAGAAATGTTTCGAAGGTATTGCTACGTTATCATTTACTGAAGACTTGGATGTAACGGAGATGAAATCTAGCGAAGGCGAAGTGGTTCCGTTGCCAGATATTATTCAGACGGCCTTAGCTCGGGGGCAAGTTGAAAAGTGGCTAGTTCAACTCGAAACTGAAATGAAAAAGGCAGTTCATTTGATGGTGACAAAATCTATCGAAGATTATCCAAAGCGCTCTAGAGACCAATGGGTAAGATTCACTTTTGCTGAATTTGCAGTTCGTATTTTTATTAACCTCGTCTGAATGCGACTATAAGATCGGAGTGATAAAACACAATAACAGAGTGTAAATGAAGCGGAAATGTTCCAAAAGTACATATGCTCACGGGGTGCAATAGTGGCCCATCCACAAAATAATTGTTCCGAGAAAATTAGTGATTTAGGAAAATAAATCTGAAATATTGAGATAACTTATATCAACTCTTCTACTTATTATAGAATTTATTATTATATACATTATATTTGTATATAAAGTATTTTTTGAGGTCCTTTGTTAAATATTTTAAAATTTTGTGCCGTTTTTGATTTATTTTTCACACATCAATTTCACAAATAAAATGCAATATTTTGATAAAAAAATTCTCAATAAAACAGTATATCAAAGTTTTAACATCAAGTTTTCAAAGAAACTTCAACAGGCTACTGTAATGCAACGTCGGCGAAACGTCAGCAATTTCGACTCAGCAAAAACCGTCGCAGAAGGAATCCAGAAGTTTTGCAAAAAGTAAAAAAGTAAAGTTTTAACATCATTTTATTGTAAAAATACGCATAAAATATATACGGCAGGTTTATTTGCGAAATAGGTAGATAATAGTAACTTAAAAAAAATGAACTGAAAATCAATGAAACACGTAAAAGCAACAACCAACTGATCTTATTTTTGGAAAATAAACAAAAAGTACTATTTTCAAAGTAACTAAAAAACCGTGACATTTCAGTCTTTGCCACCTTCCAGGCTATCATAAAAGGTACATTTTTTAATAGCATTACTTTGTGGCAAGTCCATTAAGTCATAAAACTTTTTCTTTGGAATTGGTATAACATATCGATAGGCACGGTCTAGAATCTAGATTCACATATCCAATAGATGTAAAAGTTAGGCCTGCTCGCATTTTTCTTTGCTTCTGTAGTCAGTTTCACTAAAAGGTGTTTTATAGAAAAATGTGTCAGAAGCATCTTTTGCTAATTTGAAAACACATGCGTCATTTATTTTGACAATATTGCTTGAACTGTGAAAGTTAAATGAAATTTGGGCTTCTAGTTTTTTAAAATCAAAAAAATCATCGCAACTCATTACCACGACTTTATAAGCAGTTTCTTCGAACCTTTTTGACAACAATACGTACACGCTTTATTATGTGCCAGTTTTGCGTCTAAGATCGTTAAAAAACACGGGAAATTCAATGGTGGTACTTTTTCTAGCCTAACTGAAGTAAGATAACCATGTGCCGTTATTGTTTGTTGTTAAAATACAAATGTGTGCATTTTATGGTACAATTAACTAAAAATAGCAATTTTTTATGTGCTATTATTGCATACACTGAACGATATACGAAGTCTAAACTAAAGGAAATAGGAAAACAAATAAATAATATAAAATTGTTAATGAATGATGAAAAATTAAAATATTCAACAGATACTCAAATATTTCTATTATAAATTTGATTTACTCCTGTGAACTTCTGTAATAGAGCTCACCTAACTACGAAGTCTGTCTTATTTTAATAAATGCTGTAAAATGGACCTGAATATTGTAGGATTTTTTTTTATAAATACACTTTTAGATAATTTTTCGGCATTTTCGTTTTTCCTTGAGCATGTTTTATTTTCAACTTTAAAAAAACCTCATAATTGTAGGTTTTAAAGTGGCCTGGCCAATGTGTTCAGTCCGTCAGTAGCTGTTTCTGGACCACACAGGTCACCGAAGCTATATCCCGAGGCTTGGATGCCATGGGAGCTTTTCTGGAAAAATGTAATTACGAAATATCGAAAATAGTCGACTTGGTCCGCGGCAAATTAAGCGTCCAAAATAGAATAACCCTCGGTAGAATAAACATTCTAGGCGAATCTAACTCTGTACAGCAAGTTATTTGTTTCAGGAGCCCTCGTAGTGTTAGATGTACACGCGAAAGACGTAGTTGCCGGACTGATCGACTTAAAGGTTAAATCTGTTCACGATTTCAACTGGCTGTGCCAGTTGCGGTATTATTGGGAGGTATGTACGGCCCTTAATTAAAGTGATTCACGTTAAGTATCGTATTAAAAGTTCCGAAGAACCAACAAACGGAACTTTTCTAAATTTTATTGCCGGTTTTGCCGGATCTGTCAGACACCAATGACAAAATTTTAATTCTATATTTTATACGAACCGCAGGTAGAATGGAATTGGAAGGAAGCCCATTTCATTTTAGTCAATCGAGCATATTTCTAATGCTGTCGGTTAAGCGAGCAGTGGAGGGTCAAATCATATGGTTACTTTATCACATTGGTTACTATACAGGATTATTCTCGGCAAGTGGCATTGGACTTTTATGAAATGTTGGCTACTTATGGAAACGAATATGGATTTTTATATCTTGCCAATTGGGTCTTATCTTATGAACGCCCTGTAAGCGCCCTATATTATGATAAAGCCATTTAATAGGGAACCGCAACCAAAAATTCAAGTGTGTATTTGGACCGGTTCCGAAAAAAATATTATTTTATATCGGGTTGCTTGTTTCCAAATTTCTTAAAAAGTATTTTTTATTTCCGAAAACGTTCAAGATAGGTGTAGTACATGTTATATAAAAAAGTTCCAGAATGTTTCGCAGAATCTAAAAATTTAATAATATACAGGGTGTTAAAAAACTAAAGTTGATGAAAAATATTTTAGGAACGTAGATCATATTTGCTTTCATAAGTAACCAACTTTTCAGGTTTTTACCGTAACTCATTCTCCATAAACGTCTAATAGGACACTCACCGTTAATAACCTTGTATACTCCTTCTTATTCTTCTTCAAGTGTCATTTCCCTATTGAACGATGGCGACTGTCTATATCTTTGGCGATCTTGTGCTACATGAAGTAACTCACTTCCTTCTATTTTTCCGTTAAGGATAAGTCGAAGATATATTGATAATATTCAAAAGTAGTCTGTTGTGTCCCATTCTTCGAAATACTTCTTGATATCTGGTTAGTTTTGGTTAGTCCAGGATATTTCTTTATTAAGCGTTCATGGCAACCATACTGATATTAAATTTAAGCAAGAGCTTTAATACCCTTTATAATATGGTGCATTATTTTTCGTTCGATAATGCGTATATAATAAAACAAAATAAAATAATAAATATAATTAAAAAAACTCATACGTTTCTGGCAGATCTTGCAAATGCCAGTCTGATTTGGATAACTTTTAATAGCAACAACGTGAATTATTCTCTGCGAAACCATTAAATTAATTTAATTAATTTTATAATTCCATAGGAAAACCAATTAATTACGTCCATGGTGAACTCCACTCTCAGATATGGTTATGAATATCTCGGGAACACCACTAGATTGGTAGTGACTCCATTAACCGAAAGGTGCTACAGGACCTTGTTTGGTGCTCTTCATTTACATTTAGGTGTGCAAAAAATAAATATAAAAAGAAACCAAAAAAAGGCTGGATGGTTTTACGAAAATGTCAAATCATTATTTACTTTACCTTCTATCTTAAGCAAAAGTGCAAATTTGGAAAATGGTAGCCACCACTAGAACTGAATAGCCTAACGTGTCTTAATGTTTGCTCATAACACTTATTTTTGTTGACCATTGTAGGAGGGGCACCGGAAGGACCTGCCGGAACTGGTAAAACAGAGACGACAAAGGATCTAGCCAAAGCTGTGGCAAAGCAATGCGTAGTATTTAACTGCTCGGACGGGTTAGATTATATCGCATTAGGAAAATTCTTTAAGGCAATTATTGGTTAAAATAAATGAATAATTCGAAAGAAAATGGGTTGGTCGTTGTGTTTCAGGGGCTAGCTTCGTGTGGAGCCTGGTCTTGCTTCGACGAATTTAACCGAATCGATCTTGAAGTCTTGTCTGTCGTAGCTCAGCAAATATTAACTATTCAGCGAGGTATTAATTCAGGCGTAGAAAAATTGCTGTTTGAAGGCACAGAAATTAATCTGGATCCGACCTGTGCAGTGTTTATTACCATGAATCCAGGTAAACGGCCGATTCGTCGCGTCGATGAAATTGTTTAAATTGAATTTTATTTGCTTATTAATGGACTCAATGAATCATTTAACCCATGGAATTAAACTTATCCTTATAGAGAGGAAAAAGACGTGATGGTTTCAAATTTTGCCATTAACTGATACAAGTCGTGGTGTATACAAAAACGGGTAACAACTAGGGACTACAGAGAGTTAACGCTGGAACGTAATAGATTGTTGTTAATTGTATAGCCTTACTTAGCTTTTTGAATGAGAACTTAATTTGCAAAAAAAAAATGAATCGAAGCGTCTGATATAACAAACAAAAGTCCAGTGGATACGTTTCGTGTTACCTTAGATGGATAAAGTTATCTAACATTTTGTTGTATAGGTTATGCGGGCCGTACAGAGTTGCCTGACAATCTAAAAGCTTTATTCCGGTCTGTGGCCATGATGGTACCTGATTATGCGATGATTGCTGAAATTGAACTTTACGCGTCAGGATTTATGATCGCGCGACCTTTAGCGATTAAAATTGTGGCTACTTACCGCTTGTGTTCGGAGCAGCTTTCATCCCAATTCCACTATGACTACGGTTAGTAGAAAATATGTAATGTTCAAGATGAAGGTAGTGAATTTTATTTCAGAAATATTAGTTGGTTTCTTAACTGCTGCATATATTTTCTTTGCTATTTATTTGCAAGTCTCGTTTTTAATATTTATTTATTGAATAATAAAGTATCTACTTGATTTTCATATTTGTTTTCATGTTTGTGAAACTAATTTAGTACCTTTCGTTATTTTTGTAATAGATCGTTATCGAAAACCTGCATCCCTCGTTTTAAAGGAAATTGTAATTCAGGTTATTTGTTCAGTTTAAAGATATCACTAAAATAGAAAGATGAGTAAAAGTAAGTAATGTTCCTCTGTCCAAACCAAGATCCTAACGCCTAAAAGGGATCTTGGTTTGGATAAATAAGTACAAGTACTTGGGCGTGAAATCAAAGATGCCTAATATAAAAGGGCCGAAGTCAAAATGCAACTTCGGAAAATGGTTTCATTTCAAACTATGACTTATAATACTCAAATACTAAATAGTAAAGTGTAACAAGCGTAGACTTAAATGAAGACGATAAAGAAAATGCAATATTAATAACTATAAAATAAAAATAAAAATACATAAAAATTCCATGAAATCAATATTTTCCTTGGGAACGTTTTAAGGAAAGCAGTAATGAGAGATCAACAAACATTTTTAAAAGTAGAAACTTAGGTCTTTGATTTACCCCGGCAGACGAGGGGCAAAGAACGGGGATATTCGTTCTACTTTTAGGAATGCGGGCAGTGAAATCAGTATTGAGGGCAGCAGGAGCATTGAAGCTGCGGTATCCTCACGAAAAAGAAGACATTTTGATATTGAGGTCAATTAAAGATATTAACCTCGCGAAGTTCCTTCACCACGATATACCCTTGTTTCAGGTTATTTTCGCTGGTATTCAAAATCAATTTTTTCAGTGGTTTCATTTTGTAGGGTATCACTTCTGATCTGTTTCCTGGGGTGATTTTGCCAGAACCCGATTACGATGTGCTTAGTCATGCCATCAAAGACACTTGCAATGCTCAAAATATACAATGCGTGCCGACTTTCTTGGAAAAAGTTGAACAGCTATACGAAATGATATTAGTCAGACATGGGTTGATGATTGTCGGATTGCCTTTTGCGGGAAAAACTACGTCGTATAGAATACTCGCTGATGCACTGAGTCTTGCCGAGGAGAGGGTAAGTTCCGGCTCATACAATTTTTTCAACACTAAGAAAGGGTTAAATTCTAGGGCGGTATGGACGAACATCGGGTTATTTATACCGTAATGAATCCAAAAGCAATAACGATGGGACAATTATATGGACAGTTTGACCCGGTGTCTCACGAGTGGTCGGATGGTGTTTTAGCTGTGAGTTTTCGGCAATATGCGATGTCTGCCACTGAAGAAAGGTCAGTACTAACACCATTTAGTCTCAGATTTTTTAACTTGGTTGTACTAGACAGCTCATTTCTTGGAATTTTTTCTTTTTTCATATTTTGGTTAAGCCTGTATTTTAAGAGTACAATTCAGACGATGTTTTTTTTTAATTTTATATTTTGATTTTTTAATAATTTAAACTTTTTTAAAAATACATATTAAAGTCCACAAATTAGGTAATTTTACTGATCCTGTATGAAATGTGTTCAGATAAGGATACGCATCGGTTGCGTATGAAGGTCGAGAGTTTTGGGAAAAAAGGAAACAGCTGCAAATTATTTTCAAGCTCAGAACTCGACCACGATAAAATATAAAACTTATATTATATAAAATATAAATGGCTGTAACTTTGAAAACAACGTTCGATGGTTTGGGAAATAACGCATTATTTTGCTTTAAGACATTTTTTTATTTTTCAATATTTGCTCGTCAATATCTGTTGAACCATCTAACCGATTTAAACATTTTTACTGTCTTTTAATCGCGGTTTGTGACTTTATTTAAAAAAAAATGAATAAGCATGCATAAATGCACTATAAAACTAATAAAATTTAGTAGCTCACAAATATTGTCTTTTAAAATTCGGAATATACATACGTGAGTTAAAATTGCCACAAGGGTGCGCACTATCTGCGTTACTAGCTTGTATGTTACATATTTCTACAATTTTAAAATATAACGAAATCCAAATATCCCAATGTTTTTTTCAGTTTTTTTTATTAATATAAATAAATCGGTTTAAATAAATATCAAAATGCTTAAATAATAATATGATAATTTCCTTTTCCTTCTTTTGAAGCAACATTTATTACAGCAATCCTCCTTTTTTGGGAAGAATTTTTTATAATGGACATAAATAACATACGTTTTTGAAGTTTTACAACTTAGCCACATAAGAAAAACATGCAAATTTGTTCTAATTTAGTCTATTTCTTCTAATAATATCCGTTTTCAATCGTGGACACACTGTATTTATGTGGTGAATTTTTATTTGGGGTAAAAAAATCATTTTGCATAACACGGAATGATGAAAAGGAGTAATGAAACTCCTATTTATTACTTAGGAAATGGTTGATTTTTGATGGGCCTGTGGATGCAGTTTGGATTGAGAATATGAATACCGTCTTGGATGATAACAAAAAACTATGCCTTATGTCAGGGGAAATTATACAATTATCCAACACGACGAATCTTATATACGAACCAATGGATTTGGATGTAGCATCACCAGCGACGGTTACTGCTTTCAAAGAATATAGACATGCAAGCGTAACATATATGTGACTTTTCAGGTTTCCAGGGTTGGTATGATATATATGGAACCAAGATCATTAGGTTGGGAGCCGCTTTTAACGTCCTGGTTAAGTACATTACCTCCGTTCATCAGTAGCGATTTTTACAAGTCTATGATTTATAATCTTTTCTTAAGATTTTGTAAACCATTGCTGTGGCTAATACATAAGGGAGGTGTTCGGGTAAGCAACAATTTTAGTTGCACCTTACAATTTACCAACTTAATATCATTTTCATTTCAAATCAGTAGAAGCTAAGTACTTACTTAAAAATGCAAAAGGTCTGAATTTTCAGCAAATAGTATCTACGTCAGATCACAACCTTCTCAAATCGACAATGAATCTTTTCGACTGTTTCATGGACGACTTTTACGATGAAAAATATCGCGAACAAGTATCCGATTTAGACGTAAGAGCTCAAATAGAGGGGTCGTTCTTTTTCGCATGCATATGGTCGATGGGTGGCACCCTAGACAATCTGAGTAGAGAGAAGTTCAATCTTATGTTCAGAGGTCTGTTGGAGAGAGAGTTTCCGCAGAAAACCGCCGAAATGCTCAACGTACCATTCCAGATTAAGAAGCCAGAAAAACCGTACATTTTTACATTACCAATCGGCGAAGGAGTTTTTGACTATAGATTTATTAAAGAGGTAAACTAACCAAAAAATTAGCATAACCAAACTGACTCGTTGCTTTAATAAGAGGTATGAAGAATATTACAAAAATAAAATTAATAAAAGGCGACAAAAGTTGTATCAAAATAAATTACCTGCAACGCCTTTCTCAAATCACACTTAAGCACAAAAATTCAAAAGAATTTTTTTCAGTTGAATTCGAAAAATAATAAAAAACGAGAAAAACTATTTTTTATGAAAAATAAATGCAATGAGTTTTGGTACCGGAAATAAAAGAAAATGAAACACCAATATTTTTTATATTTGAAAGTAAACCATTTTTTGTCTTAAATTGACTAAATTAATTAGCTTCCGACTTTTGGGTACATAAAAATGCCCTTTATAAGTCATTTAAATTTAAACTATTTAAATCCGATCTCCAGAATGAGCGCTTAAGCAATTTTTAAACCGGACTTATTTGCTAATTTTATTTTGCTCTTTGGCGGCAAATTCTTTTCTTTACATATAGATATCGATTTACAGTGCCTTTTTGAAAAATTTCAAACACAAATTAAAAATAAATTATATGCGATGCGTACGCATAGAGAGTTTTTTCCTGAGCTGAGCTGAATTAAACCAGAACTTCTTATAAATAATTTTTTTTTTTAATAAGCCATACAAAAGTTACCCATATTTTTATAAATTGCTGTCTCTCAATTCAGTGGTCGATCCAAATGAGTGGAATACTGACGTACAAGTAGCTACGCGAAGAAACCGACATCAAGACATCAAATTTGATTTTGCCCAAAACGTCGACTTTCGCTACCTTTCGTTCAATTAAAAATTATCCTTCTCAAGTTGCTCCTTCATTTTAATGTAAATTAGTTTTATATTGCTTGAAATAAATATTTTACTTTTGTTAGTTTAACGAAACGTTCTCGCAAATAAATAATAATTGTACCTAGTATACCCCAATGCAATAAATAAAGTAAAATTGTAATATTTCAAACCTATTTCTTGTAATAGTGTAAGACTTATGCTGGCAAATATAATTTTCTTTCAACAAATATATTTTATTTGAGATACGAATAACAAAAAATAATTCCCCGAATTCGATATTTAATTGCTCGATATGAATTAAATTATTTAATTAGACAAATGTGCTTTATTTTAGGAACTGATTTGTTTTGTCTGTGTAGGGTAAAGGTAAATGGAAGTTGTGGTCCGATGAACTATTAAATGCGCCCCCTATTCCGAGGGACATTCCGGTGAATCAGATAATTGTGGTTACCGCTGAAACTGTGCGAACGACTGCTTTAATGCAGTTGCTGGTTCAGCACCAGAAAGCTCTTATGATTATCGGTCCAACTGGAACCGGAAAATCGGTGTACGCAACAGTAAGTATAAATTGCCTACCTTTATTAATAGAAAAATTAAAATAAAATTCTTAGGATTTCTTGTTAAAGAAGAACGACCTGCAAGTCTACATTCCTTTATTTATAAATTTTTCTGCCCAAACAACTGCCAATCAGACCCAGAATATCATAATGGCGAAATTAGATAAACGCAGAAAAGGTAAAACTGGTTGATTGTGTTTCACTTTATTCACAATTGCGTTTAAAAATTTTGGAGCATGTGTGCTATGCAATAACAAAAGCTATATCTTTCTAAAATATTAAAATGTCTACAGCCAGAGACAGAATTACAACGAGCGTCTAAAATAATAATAATAGTAATAATACAAATAACGCTTTAGTATCTGACTGTCTAATTATAAGATAGTAAAACGCGATGACAACGATAGGCGGACATTAAAAATAATTAACGTTTGTATTTTGTCAGAGTTAACCTATTGCCTACGTTTATTGATATTAAGTGTCTTATTAAACATTATATACAATTAATAATAAAAATGCATGCAGATTATAATCTATGTTTTATAAATACTTTTGTAATTTGAATTTTCAAGGGAAACATTTTATATTTCATTGTTTTTAAAAACCCATAATAAAAGCATCTTTAACAAATGCAGTAAAAGTAAAAAAAAATTATTAGATTTTTGTTTGTATTCGTAAATAGTGTATTGTATCATCATCATAAATTAAATTAAATTATAAAAATATTTAAAAAAATGTACTTTAGTCTGTTTTTTTTGTTTGTTTTTTCGGTGATGTGGAATCATCATCTATATTAAAAAAATGTATTAAAAAATAGGGGTCTACGGTCCACCAGTCACGAAAAAATGCGTCGTCTTCATAGACGATGTCAATATGCCACTGAAGGAAGTTTATGGTGCACAACCTCCCATTGAATTAATAAGACAATGGTTCGACCATCAAATGTGGTATGATTTGAAAGAGATCGTGCCGATGAAGTTAATTGACATTCAGGTGATCGCCTCTAAATTGTCCCTAAATTGATTGTCCTATTCGATAATTCTATCACATTGCAGTTCATGTGCGCCATGTGCCCGCCCGCTAGCGGAGGAAATGTAGTAACTCCCAGGTTCACTAGGCATTTTAATTATTACTGCATAGACGAATTCCAAGACAGCACCCTGATCAACATATTTAGTAAAATCATGCTTTGGCACTTGGACACAAGGTGCTCGGTTATTAGTTGTTGATTAAACTATTTTGGATTTACCTTTTCAATTCCATTTTTAGGGGATTCTCGAAAGAATTCGACCCTTGCATCGAAGAAATTGTTTTGGCTACTTTGGATATTTATAAAATGGCCCGCGTAAACTTGCTTCCCACTCCATCAAAGTCCCATTATTTGTTTAATTTAAGAGACTTTTCCAGAGTAATTCAGGTACGTATTTCATTAAAAAAAAAACTTAATATGAACCCATGTCCTAACTTTGATTTTATTAAGTTAAAACAAAGAAATAATTTCATTTACCTGTTCAAGTTTGGCGCAAATCTAGCCTTTGGCTACTCTACTGAACCAAACGAAGACGAACATAGTTGAACAATACCATGATAATCCGAAAAAAAATTACCTATAGAAATTACTGTAATTATATACTGTGGAAATTACAGGAAGTTACAGGAAAAACAAATTATATACATTTAAGTACCTAAATTTTAGGTTATAACATTGGAGGAGAAGTAATTGGTTTATAACATTTTGGAACGTAAAATATAGGTATTATATTGCTAATTTTAGTTCAAGCCCGTTAATAGAGAGTTAGAAGATATTTTTTAAATTGTATTTTGAAATTATGCAAAGACATATCAAGAAACTGGTTGGGAATTTAGTGTGAATAGTTTAAGGCGTTGTATTAAAATGAGCGCTGAAAGATTGCAGTGTTATGATATGGCATCGTTAATGGCATTATTTGTAATATTAATATTGCGGACAGTGTTTGAAATATTAAGCGTTTTTTTATGGAAACTGGCGAATTAAGGTTATTTATTACTTTAAACAAAAATGTCGACAAATGTAGGATTCTTCGCTCATTCATTTTGAGCCATTTTATATCATCTTATAAGTGTGATACATGATCAAATTTCCTCATACCATAGACAAACTTTACGTTACCATGAACACACTTTTTACTGTGCTGATGCAAACAAAAACCGTACACAAAGTCACAAATTGAAGTTAGAGAGGACCAGGGGATTCCCACAGACTTCGTTTCAGTTGTTTACTTGAAATATTATACTTGAATATATTATTATATAAGACTTTCGTGGAGGCAAAGGATTTTTGAAACATTTTTTAGGCGTTCTTTGAATCTTTGTTTGGTGTCTAAGATAATTCCCAGATCCTTAAAATTTAATTTGAGTTTCTGATCACTATATTTAATTTTTTCTTTAGCAACTTAACATTCTTGTCATTCCCAAACACCATATCTTACACATACTTGGATTAAGTTTTAAGTTGTGGTCTTGAGACATCTGATTTAAAGTTTGAAGGTCATCGTTAATGTATACTTCAAATTCTTTATAATTGTCGGGGCTGAAGTTATAATGAATTTGTGTCATCGTCCTCGAAGGCTTGAATTTTACAGAATTTTAAAGATCTAAAGTTATCAGAAGTATAAATAAGGAAAAGCAATAAGCCTAAAATTGATACCTGTGGGACACCGGATACGATTTCTAACTTTTACGAATATTTATCATTTGAAAGAATTGATTGAAATCTAAAAGTTAAGTATGTTTTGAGAATATTAAAAGATTCTACATTGAAACCGTAGTATCGTAGTTTAGCCACCAACAGCCCATGGCTAATTGTAGAGAATGCTTCGAAAACTCTAAAAGCGCTAAAACAGTTGTTTAAAAATACAAAGTCGTTCATAAAGAATATCTTCGACAAAACATGGAGAATACTTATGATACGAATTTCATTATAATTTAAGGGATTTAATCTTTTAGGTAGCGGTTTAATAACAGAAATTTTCCATTAAACTGGAAAATAGCGTGTTTCAATTTATAACGTGCGTGATGCATTTATCAATAAAAACACTACATTATTTCAACATACGTGGGGATATTTCATCGACTCCGGTAGCGTTAGTTTTAATATTATTAAGAATTTTGTTTACCATGTCATTTTAAAAGAGAAATTTAAATTGTTTTTATAGAAATTGTTATTGTAAAAGTTGATTTTTGCTGGACAGTCTCATGAGGTTCTGATAAATGTTGCGGAAGTTTTTTTGGAAATCTTTATAAAGGAGTCAAGATATTGCTTCTTTTCTTTTCTTATTGATGTTAATGTAATATTTCTTAGATATTTATAGCATATCCAGTCGGACTCTAGTTTAGATTTTTTAAATTTCTGCAAGGCCGCCTCCATTTGCTTCATAAATAATTTAATGTTTTCTCTCAGCCAAGGAGCTTTTGGCTTAGTTATTAAGGCTTCTTTAATTGGCGCATGCCGATCACACAAAAATAAAATTAGTTTAGTTAGTATAATTATTTTACTATCAATTTTCGTACAATATGTCATCCCAAGGTAAAGGAGCTGATATCACTTACGAAATTGTTAAAGTTTAAGTATTAAAGTTAAGTTAAAGTACTTGAAGCGTCAGAAATGCATGTAGGCACAAATGCAAAAAAAATGCATGATTTGCACAAAGTTATAATTTTCAAATAACGGCACTAAAAGATTCTAGATATTCATTAAATTAATATTAAAATCTACTAGGCAAAAGATCTCAGTGGGGTAAAGGTAAGAAAAAGATTATTATGAAAATCAGTTTTGGTGGCCCATAAAAACCACAAAAAGCATAGCTTCTGTTGGAGATTTGAAGCTTGAATATTAAATATTCCAGTTGTTGATTAGTAACAGCCTAAATATTTAACAATTCTACTCTATATTGCGTCTGGAACGCTACTGATATTTTTTCAAGTGAATATTTGTTGATTCACACTCAATAGAAGTTTAAATGTTTATCGAACCGGCAAACATAAATTCGATCTGATTATTCGCATAGGCGCCACTATTGCTTTAAAAAGTAACACTTTAATAATTAATTATAAAAATGAAACGCGAAAACCAACTCTGGGTGCATTCTTTTCTTCTTAGGGGGTTTTATTGTCAGTTCCCGAAGCAATGGAAGATCTAATTGCAATGAAAAGGCTATGGGTGCACGAAATCCTTCGAGTGTATTACGATCGATTAGTAGATGAGAACGACAGAAATTGGATTATCCAAGCTCTAAGAAATGTGTGCGCGGATAAACTGCGCGAAAATGTTGATGTTATGTTCCAGAGATTGACGACTCCAGAAAATTTTACGGTAAATAATATTGAAGTAAGTGCCTTTTACAACTTCTTTATATTATTCATTTTCAGATTGGAGAACCGGAACTGAGAAAACTTATCTATTGTGATTTTGCTAATCCGAAAGCTGATCAGAGGCATTATATTGAAGTTCAAGATTTGGAACAATTAAAGGATATTGCTGAGGGCTATCTGAATGAGTTTAACAACATGACAAAGAAACCGATGAACTTGGTCCTTTTTAGGTATGCAGTAGTATGAGTTCTGGTTACTTTCTATTCCGGATCAGAATTTGAATGTCGCATTACAATGGAAATTTGATAGTTTCCTCAATGTCCACTTGTTTAGTGTTAGACAGCCAGATTTTGGTGTTTCGGATTACCCATGTTCAACTAGCAAGTTTTCTGAGCCTTTAATATAAAATACGTGATTTCATTTTGGAGCTTTTTTCCTTAAAAGGAACAGAACCGTGAATGCGAATTTACTGTCATTTCAATTCAGGTTTGCCATTGAACATCTGTCAAGAATATGTCGAATACTTAAGCAGCCCAGAAGTCACGGTCTGTGTGTGGGTGTCGGCGGATCTGGGAGACAATCATTGACACGCCTAGCGGCCCACATATCCGAATACGACTTGTTCCAAGTGGAAATTACTCGACATTATGGCGCGCATGAATGGCACGAAGATGTAAAGGAGATTTTAAAGAGGACCAGCGCTACAGATCAACATGGCGTATTTCTATTCAGCGACACCCAAATTAAGGAGGAGGGATTTTTGGAGGATGTTAGCAATCTGATGAACTCTGGAGAGGTATTTTTTGTGTGGATTAAACGATTGTTTAACACTTACACCTTGGTAATTTAAGTTCTAGCTTATACCTTTAAAAACTGCAAACTGTACCACATCCTTATAAGATCCCTCTCTAAGTAATTAATTTATTGTGCGATTTTGGAAAGATTTTCTGGTAACTTGAAAAATTTCAGTTTTTTGATTACAAAATATAGGATAAACTCCAGCAAAACGACCAGAAAACATGTAGAACAGAAATGGAAAATTATTCATCTCTCTGGCATTAACTAAAATAACATGCGAAACATTTTAGCATTTTTTTTCCAATTTGAATTTGAATTTGAACGCGCTAAGTGGGCTTAGACCTTTACACTTTCAAATAATTTTCTCTTTACAGACATTGCCCCTTTTAATATTTTTGTTTTCTAACACTATTTTGTTAGTGGATTAATTTTCTTCACAATTTTATACATATTTATTCCCTCAATTAGATGTTGGATGTTTTCGGTATATATTAGCAACACTGATGTTATTTTGCAAGTTCTGCAAAAATGTACACAAAAATTAATGTCGGTTAATAGGTTTATAATCTTCTTCAGATACTCGTTTATCAAACAACACGCTGCGCTCCCTTCGTGCCAAATCAAACTCGTGAGTAAAGTGTTGTTTATAAAATTATTATAAATAAAAAAAATATCATTATCTACTATAGCTGAAAGTGAAGATATTCCCATATAGAATCCCTTTGAGATATTTTTTTCGTATGATCCAGAATTATAAATGGTCTTAATTAAATATGTAGTTTAACTTTAGGAAATAGTTCCTTGGTTAATTTTAACACAAAAGGAAGGTCGTCATTATCTGAGACACAGGGTGTTAACTATTTATTTATGTTTTGTTTGCTAAAACAATTTTAGACTTATTTATACATTTTCTATTCCCCGCTCCTTTCGTGTTAAATAAAACTCGTGTTTATAAAACGTGTTGCATCATAAACGAAAAAATATCATTATAATGTAAACTTCAGACCATATTATAGGTGAAAGTGAAAATATTTCTCTATCAAAATACCAGCAGAATAATAAAATAAATTTGAAATTATTTCGAAAACCACAAAAGATAAGAAAGAAATCAAAGACTAGAATAAGTTTGAGGCACTTTTTTCGTATGATCCAGAATTGTAAATCTGTTACTATGTATAATAAAATCAAAGAAACGTTAAAAGTTGCACAAGAACACGTAAGCTAAATAAAAAAACCAAAAAGCTATTGAAAGGAAGAAAAATTAAGAGAGGATAGCACAAAGTAGACTCAGTTAAACTCAGAAGCATGGGTAGAGAGATCTCGAAAGCAATACGTGAAGATTAAAAGAAATACAACATTGAGGAAATACAACAAACTGAGAAGGATGAAAATATGAAAATTCTTAGACAAAAACTAAACGACGACAAAAAAGAATTTATTAAACTAAAAGACAAACTGGAGAAAATAACAAACTTTTACCAAGAATTATATAGAAGGCAACTAAAGGAAACACGTGAAACACAAACTGGAAAACTCAAAGTAATAAACCAAGGATCTGAATTTACGTCAAAAATAATACCGGAGTAGATGAAAAATAGCCTACAAGAAATGAAGAACAAGGCACCAAGGCATCCGGATACGAGATTTAATGCCGTATAGGTTTGGGATGGGCTGCATTTGGTAAATTGCAACATATTCTGATAGGGACCTTGCCGATATGCTTAAAGAAAAAGGTCTACAACCAAAGCATTTTACCAGTGACCACAAATGGCTCGGAAATGCTTACGTGGACTAAAAAGTCCGCAGATAAGTTGAGAGTAAATCAAAGGAAAATTGAGCGAGCAATGCTGGGAAGAATTACAAGAAGAGTTACCAAACAGGCTAGTGCGATAAAGAACTAAAATAACAGATGTCATACAAAAAATTATTCAAGGCAAATGGAGATGGGTTCGTCATATAGCGCGCTTTAGCGACAACAGATGTACCAAAAGATTGATGGAATGGAGATTCAGAGACAATAACAGAAATCAGGGTAGACCCCCAACAAGATGGGTAGACGATCTGAGAAAAACAGCGGGAAACTGGAAGCAGAAGGCACAAAACAGAATACTGTGGAAGACGGAGGAGACCTATGCCCAATAGTGGAAGCAAGAGGTTCGCGGATGCTGATGATGATGGATTAAATATGTAGCTTAACTTTTAAAAAATAGTTCCTTGGTTAATTTTAAGATAAAAGATGGGTCGTCAATATTTGAGATACAGGGTATTAACTGTTTATTTCTGTTTTGGTGTTTGTCTCTATTTGAAGCAATTGGATGCCTGTGATTATACTGAATATGAATTAAATGAACTTTTTAAAATTTTACCATTTAAAATTGCATGGACCGATTATTTCAAACGCAAATATCTATATAATAAAATTCAATATGCTTCTAAATATCAAAATCAGAAACCAAGATCTTACGGCCTTGTGTTTATGCCTTCATTCCTTAAAGTCACCTTACGTTTATTACGTACTTACGTCTTGTATTGTAGGTGCCCAATCTATTTACGGTGGAAGAAAAGATCGAGATTTGCGAGAAGATGAGGCAATTGGATAGGCAACGCGACAAGTCGTTACAAACTGATGGCAGTCCTGCCGCGCTATTCAATTTCTTCGTTCAGATTATAAGAGAACAGCTGCACATCGTACTTACGATGAGTCCTATCGGAGATCACTTCAGGAATCGCATCAGGAAGTTCCCGGCGTTGGTCAATTGCTGCACAATAGATTGGTTTCAGGTTATTAGTCATGAGGAAATACGTTCTGATTTTTTTTATGCAGTGCGCAACTCCAATTTGAAATATATTCAGTAAACCGAGGAAATTTTTTTTTGGAAACATGCTCGTAACACGTCGATTAGTTTGAAAATTTTATAAATTTGGTCTTAAATTTGAGATATGGCGTCATTTTTTAAAACGGCAATACTATTTTTTTCTAACTTTTTTAAAACGCTTATCAAATCAGCTATAAAAATGATACACTTTTTTGCATTCTACCTTTAAGGCGCATAAGTTTGTATAACATGTGTAACTTTATTTACCATTTGAAAATATATAAAAATATAAAAATTAAACTTTGGAGCACGCTGTGTAAAATATTCTTATATCTACAGGTATGAGCATATTTTTAGCACTTTTCTTTTTTAAAGATTTTAAAAACGCAATTAATCAATCAAACCAAAAAGCCGCACTGTTTTTAGACTTGGCCGGAAGACGCTCTACTTGCGGTCGCCGAGAAATTTTTGGGAGAGATAGAACTAACCACCCAAGAGAGAAAAGTCTGCATCGATATGTGTCAGATTTTCCACGTTTCCACTCAGGAATTATCAGACGAATACTTCATCAGATTAAGGCGTTTTAACTATGTGACCCCGACGTCATACTTGGAGATGATTAATACGTTTAAGACCTTTTTGGCGAGGAAAAGAAAGTAACTAACACCATAATTCTTGTGCAATTTGAATTTTGAATTTTCAACCTTGAAAACTATTGTTTATCTAGTACGACATGTGTACATGTAAAATTACACTTCCAGGCAAATTCTTCTAGCTAAAAATAGATACGAGGTAGGTTTGGAAAAGCTAGAAAACGCAGGAGCCGAAGTGGCCGTGATGCAAGCGGCTCTGGAAGCACTTCAACCGGAATTGGTGGTTGCTCAAGCGAAAGTTGAAGAGACAATGAAAGTGGTGGAAACTGAAACGTTGGAAGCGGCGGAAGTTGAAAAGGTTGTAATGGAAGACGAAGAAGTAAGGCAGGGGAGTTGATTGTTGGGCACAACAGATATTGACGAAAGTTCGCTTGTTTCAGGTAGCTAACGAACAAGCCAAAGCTGCGCAAGCTATTAAGGATGAGTGCGAGGCAGATATGGCGGAGGTGATGCCGATTTTAAACGCTGCATTGGCAGCTCTCAACACAATTACTCCAGCTGATATCGCTATAGTGAAAACGATGAAAAATCCACCGAGGGGCGTGAAGCTCGTGATGGAAGCTGTTTGCATCTTAAAGGTAGGGAAAGATGTAATCAATCATGTAAATTATTTTATTTACACGTTTAAAGGCGATTGAAACCAATAAAAATATTATTTTGAGGGTTAATTTTATGATACAGTGTTTTTGGGTTCAATTAAGTTGGTACTATATATGAATCTTTTTGTTCCTAGTTCTATAAAAAAAAAGCTTCTGAAAATAACATGCTATTTACACGTGCAGATAAAGGGAAGAGAGTCATAGCTATGGATCTCCTAGAATATATTTCAAAAAGCAACAATTTTCTTAAACCAGAACTTTTCCAACCAAAATTTACAATAAAAAATTCTTTTGAATTAATCAACAAAATTAAAGATACCAAAATTCCTTCTAACGCAACAATATTGTCTTTTGATGTACAAAACTTATTTCCCAGTATTCCACCTATGGATGTGATAGATTTAGTTAGATTTCACCCTAACTCGGAAACAGGTTAACCCATTGGCAAAACAAGATTTATTAGATTGCTTAATAGTCTCTTTAGACCAAAATTATTTTGAATTTAATGGACAGATTTACGTCTCTAAGGAAGGTTTGATTATGGGAAACCCATTACTCCTTTGTTAGCTGAGATTTTTATGGATAATTTGGAAAATATCATACTAAAACATCCTTGAAGCACCTATGGTGGTATGATGTCTTTGCTTACTTTGTTGGAACGGACAGACAATTGAATTATTTTTTAAATTACATTAACTTATAAAATTAAAATATTAATCGTATAAAATTCACTATCGAAATTGAACAGGATAACTCTATTAACTTTTTAGACTTAACTATTACGAAAAGGTAAAACAAATTAGATTTTTCCATTTACCATAAACCTTCACACACGGACACAGTAATACATAACAGCACAAATCACCCAAACACAAAATGGCTGCATTTCACTCTCTAATACACAGACTTCTTAATACGCCACTCCTAATAGGAAATTACAACAAAGAACTTTTGCACTGAACAACGGCTATAATAAAATTATAAAATTATAAATAAAAAACAAATCGAGACAACAGTAAACTCTATTTGTCCGAAATCTAATACAGAACACGAACAATTCAAAGCAATTACATACATAGGAGAACCCAGTGAAAAAGTTCCGAAACATTTGTCAAAATGTGGTTTAAAAATAGCTTTCAGAACTAACAACACAATAGGAACATTTTTAAAAAACAATAAAGCGAAATGTCCAAAATATTAAAAATCAGGTGTCTATATATTGAAATGCGGATCTTGTCCTAAAATTTATATTGGACAAATAGGTAGATCCCTCGAGAAACGCATTGACGAACATAAAAGAGCGTTTAAAAACAATAGTCTAGATTCTAATTATGCTACACACTTAATCACAGAAAAACACATTTTTGATGACAATTTTGATATTTTACATACAGCTACAAAAAGTGGAAAATTAAATTTATTAGAAGCCATGGAGATTAACAAAATGAGACATTCAAATGTTTTGCTCAACGATCAATTAGATTTAAATTGAACTTAAATTCTCACAACATTAATTAAGATTTTATTGTCATTTTTCGGTATATATAGTACCAGGTAGTTTGTAAATATTACATGTGATAAAGACACGGTGTTGTCGAAACAATTGTCATGAAAATATATAATTTCGTGAAAATCTGAACTTTTAGTTCTTATTTATTTTGAAAAAGAAAGTCGTATAAAAGGTTCTGCATTATCTGAAACTTGAAATACAACCATCAGACATAAAACTTGTTGGGCAGTTAAACAAAGTTTTCTGAAAAACATTAAAATAAGTATCTAATTGATTTTGGCAATTTGGTAGGACAAATAATTTGCGGCATAAATGGATTAAGCCAATTTTATTAAATTACACGGTTCATTATTAAGTTATGTAGCAATATTCTATTGCATTGAAATAGTGAAATAACGATAACGATACTATATCAAAATCAATTTATAATTTTGATAAATTAGTGAACAATTTAACTAATAAGTAATAAGTAACATTGATAACAATTTCAAAATCAAAACTGTTTCAATTTTTTCTTCACCTGCGATTTGCTGTTATATTAAATGTTATAAAATTTTATAAAACTTGCGATTTGACGTTTCTCTAATACACATTCTAGGTTAAATATAGATCGATAAACAAGTTGCTATTATACGGGACCTGAGAGTGCAATAGCATTAACATTAATCCAGAGAAAAGTATAAAAATGCCATATTTATTAAAAAAGATGAATAGGTTTTTAACCAAGAAACTCTCATCTGATGCAGAATCAATTCTGAGAAGAATCTTGAGGTGTTCAGAGCACAAGAAATACTGAGAATTATTTTGTTTAAGCCATATTCATACTCTTGCAAAAATTTTATTAACGTGCCCATGTCTTAGCTTCGATTATACTTATAAAAGATAATATATCAGATTGTTGTAAGTCCAGAACAGGTCAATTTAAAATTAATGTTGCCTAGGCACAGGCTAGCTAAGGTGGCAAATAGCCCGTTACTTGTACCAGTTAAACTCTAGATTAAACTTGCCATTAAGGTTAAAAAAATACAATAAAAGTGTACTTAAAAATAATTTAGCAAAAAATTTAAATTTGAAATTTAAAATTATCTATGTGGTTTCAGCACATTTTATATGACATTATCCTATACTTCGTTAAAAGTCAATTGAAATAAAAAAATGTCTAATTTGTCTATATCGCAGGACTTTGTGTTGAAGTCGGAGATGAGAGTTTCCTGCATTTATTGTAAAATTGTTTATTTTTGAACTATAGTGGTATAATTATGTTTATTGGTCTGAAACCTACTAAAAGAGTTGTAACAAATTTTTGCTTTATAACATGTGTAACATTATACATTCACTTAACAAAGTTTTGTAAACTAATTAAAAATTGGTAAGTTTAATGCTTAGAATGCTTAGAAGCTTTGGTTTTGAATGAATCCTTTGGAAAACAAAATATATAAAAGTAAGAAATTTCAGAACTTTAATTGTCGCGGTTAGACGCAATCAAATGTTATTGTATGAGTTATTTTGCCTGAAAAATGCACTTTATATAAAATGTTTCACATTCACAATACTTGAAGGCATATACTAACTGAAACGTACTCTTCATTTGAGAAAAACAAAATATATAGGGTATAATGTTCGGGTTTTTCTTAAACTTTTCGACTTACAGGACGTGAAACCTGATAAGATTCCTGCACCCACTGGTATAGGAACAATAGAAGATTACTGGGGTCCATCGAAAAAAGTGCTGACGGATATTAAGTTTCTGGACAGCTTAATAAATTACGACAAAGACAACATTCCACCCCGTATTATGGCTAAACTAAAGGAGCATATCCTAGACGATGAAAGTTTTGATCCTGAAAAAATCAAAACCGCATCTTCGGCTTGCGAAGGTATTTTTTTTTGCTTTTTTATTTATCGCGACTGTTTTACAAATAATCAGTGGTGGAGAATAATTCCTGAATATGTTAGAAGTCATGCAATACAATGCAATACAATACAGTACATCAAATTTAGTTAAGTAACTAGGAAAATACTATGAAACAACCAGCGCGACAAGTAACCGACAGTAGGAGAGGTACTTTTTCTAGTCTTTTCTCTAAAATCTATGATAATAATTTTAAAAATTATTTCCGCGTAACCTAAATGAACGGTCAAAGTTTCGTAGATGTGTTGGAAAAGTTCAGTCAGTGATTAAACTCCATTTTTAGGGATTTGCAAGTGGGTAATTGCAATCTCCAAGTACGACAAAGTAGCAAAAATCGTGGCCCCCAAAAAACAAGCACTAGCAATCGCTGAGCGCCAATTTAACGCAGCGATGGCTTCGTTGGAAATCAAGAGAACTCAGCTTCGCGAAGCGCGCGAACGGGTAGCGAAACTCGAAGAACGATTGGCCGCGGAGAAGAAGAAATTCGAGATATTAACGGCTGAAGTGAATCTCTGTCAGTTAAAGTTGCAGAGGGCTGAGGATTTGATCGGCGGATTGGGTGGTGAGAAGGATAGGTGGAGGGCCACAGCCATCCAGTTGGGCGAGACGTATAACATGTTGGTCGGTGAGTAATTTCTGAATCATCAATATTAAATATAAAATGTATTTTGTTTTTGTAATAAATAGGCAAATAATCTAATAAATTGAGAAAAGTGAAATTTTACCAATCGTCAAGTCAAAAAGTAGCCACATGAATCATTTATGCCCGTGCCTTTTAATTAGAAATTAATTTAACCTCAACTTATTTTTATAAACGGTATTCTGATGCCATACTCCATAATGAGAGATAAATTGTAGAGTCTTTAAAATTTAATATTTTTAATATTGAACTGCAACTACCGAAAACTAAGAAAAATGCTCTTTCTAGTCATCTTTCACACTTCATTTTCAGTGTTACAGTCATAATGTCATATGTATACCGTTTCAGATCTAGAATTTTTTTAAAAATTTTCTCGGTCAATTTCAGTTCCAATAAATCAAAAAGGGACTAATCCGACAAATTTTTGGTGTTTGCTTTCCTATTTCCAATAGGTTAGTCAAAATAAAAAATAATATCCAGGGTGTTTCTTGTCGATCTAACTTCTCTTTAACCTCCTAATCTACTTATTCTGAGATTGACACTAAATCCTACCCAAAAAGATATATTGAGAACAGATACGGTGGCGAATACCTCATGCGATATTTTCAAAAAAGTCTTGTACCTCGACAATATAAGGATAGGGAGATTTAATTTGTACAATTCCTAGTTCCAACAAAAATATGAAGAAATGCCTTTTTCTATTTTTAAAAATAAGTGAAATAGCCCTCAAAGTTTTCGAAAATGGAAACTTTGCAACATTGATGCCTTTCAGGGGATATTTTAATTTCCGCTGGAATTGTGGCTTATCTGGGAGCGTTCACAATGCAATTTAGAACAAAGCAAGTGGACCAATGGGTTAACACCTTGAATGGTTTTGGAATAGTGTGCACCAAAGACTTTCAAGTGATCAACGTTTTGGGCGAGCCGGTGGTTATAAGGCAGTGGAACATTTACGGACTTCCTACTGATAATTTTAGTATCGAGAATGCGATTATTATATCGTAAGTACCTAAATAAGTTTCAAAGTTGAACTTCTTCTGATTTACATTAATATTGTACCGTTGCTAAGTCACTCCGCCTACAATTTTATGAAATAAAGGAACAAAAATGGAAAAGTCTGTAACTATTAATTATTGGTATACTGCTATTTACATTGATATTTCATCGTAGACGCGTCCGTTTAACTCATTCGCCGCAATATATATATATATATATATATATATATATATATATATATATATATATATATATATATATATATATATATATATATATATATATATATATATATTGCCAATACATACCAGTTATCGTATTATATAATAAAATCAAAACATCCAGAACGCAAGTTCCAATGCTTGAACTATTTCGGTAATATTTTCTTGCACTTAGCCAAGGTGCTCAAGAGCGGGAATTTATCTATGACGTTTAAAACAAACAATAGATTTACAAACAATTTAAAATAAACGTTAAGGATCCGATGGATTATTTTTCTAGATCAGTATCAGTATTGTAATGCAATTTATATCGGACAGTCTGGCAGGAGGATCTCTGTTATGGGAAACTTCAGTTTGGTGAAAAAGTACAAGGACACTGAGGTGACAGAAATCAAAGCTCCTTTCGCAACTTATTTTTTGTCCACGTGACATAACTTTTCTCCGAATAAAAATGTCATTCTTCTACATGAGTGGCCAAAATTTGAAAATTTGATCCTCTGGAGATATTAGAAATTACCAAAGCCAAGAAGAGTCTTATGCTTGATTGCATCAACGGTGTTTTTTTATTTTTATATTTTTTACTTCTTAATCGCAACATTTATTATTTCATTTTTTAGTTCTTGATAAAATCAAACATATTTGTTATCTAATTTGTGTCTGTGTGTTGACGTCTTTGTATGTGCGTATTCTTAATTTATGTAAAAATGTAAAATTGCTTCCAGGTTTCATTGAATTCTTAGAGAAATGACGCGGTACTTCAAAAATTCACAATTTTAAGTTAACCACGGAAACTTCTAATGTACGAGTACCGTAAGAAACCTTGTTTATGTAATTTTCCAGAAAACATTGGAATACGAATTATTAGTACATACCGGTTATTCAGATCTTTAAATATTTTACGTCGAAAATCGATATGCAACATATGCAATAGTTGAAATCGAAGGCTTAAAATGTTCTTAATGTGCACGAATTGGTTGTGTTTAAGTTTGAGCGTTCCTGCATTTTTACCATGTCATACTCATGAATCTCTCCTAGAAATGCGCGGAGATATCCGTTAATGGTCGATCCGCAAGGACAAGCGAACAAATGGATAAAAAATATGGAACGGACTAGCAACTTGGCGATAATCCGTTTCACTCAAGCGGATTACGTTCGCATTCTCGAAAACGCCATTCAGTTCGGTCAACCGGTGTTGTTGGAAAATGTGGGTGAGGAATTGGATCCGATTTTGGAACCCGTATTGGCCCAGCAGATATTCAAACAGGGCGGCGCTTTATATTTGAAACTGGGCGATTCCGTCGTGGAATATAGCTCAGATTTTAGGTAGGTCGTTTTATTTAATAAGATTGAGCGACTCATTTGTTAACGTCTTACTAGATTGTACATCACGACAAAATTAAGAAATCCCCATTACTTACCGGAAGTGGCTGTAAAAGTGACGCTCGTCAATTTCATGATAACAAAAGCCGGACTGGAAGACCAACTTTTAGGCATCGTTGTAGCCAAAGAGAGGCCCGATTTGGAAGCCGAGAAGAACGCTCTGATAATTCAGGGAGCCGAAAATAAAAAGTATACTTCCAATATCAAAATCATATTCGAACTACACATGTGCCACAAAATTTATCAAATTTATAGACCCACGAATTTAGAATTTCAGTTTAGTTACAGCAATATACCTGATTGATGAGGTTTTCTTAAGACTAACTTAAGAACTGGCCACGTTGCTTCATACAAAATATTTAAGTTCGATAGGCGAAATTTAGTTTTCTGTAAACATTTATCAGGTTTGCAAAAAATAGGGGTGGGGACGAGTTAAGCTAGGGGTCGACAACCGTGGGTCACCGAGTGATCCATTTGGTAATTTCAAGTGATCCACTTTAGTTTTTAAAATAAAGTATAAATAATACAAAAATTTTGTCCCAAGGTTATGAACGTAGCAAATTTGATTCCAGTATACATATAAAAATATCAGTTAAAGCCCCATCCCCGCCCAACTGGATATGGAATCTGCCGATAGTATGCGAAATGCAGGGACATTGTCCGAACAATTTGTACCCTTCCTGGACGCGCGTGTAGTACAGTAGCACAATAATATTGACTTAGTGACCTAGTTAAATAGATGTTTTTAAAAAATACCAAGAACAAACAAAATGGAAAAGAGAGATTATTTCAAGATGTGAGGACAGAAAACTTCAAATTGATATGTACTTTATGTCCAGATATAAATACCGCCAGGACTTATAACATTGAGCGACACTTTTCGTCAAAACATAAAGATGTGAACGAAATGGCAAACGAAGATAAGACTGAGTACATTTGCTAAACGCGTATTAAATTTTGGAAAACAAAATAAACTCCTGTTTTGTTACTAGCAACAATCACGGTACGTCTGCCAGCTTTGTTGCTGCCCTTAGCATTGGTACCAACGGAAAATCATTTACAGACGGCGAGTTTTTGAAAAACGCATTCATAAATTGTTACGAACACTTAGTTATAAATGTCAAGCATCACGTTGAAGATATGGCCATTGATGAACAAGCAAAAAATGATTTGTTATTTTGTCACATAATTAACATTGCGGTTAACGAAAGCACACATAAATAGTATTGGTAGGCTTGCAATAATTATTAGCTTTGCATCAATAAATAGCTCGAATGTCAATGAATAACTATACCTCCTTGATTCAATGAATGACACCACTAAAGGCACCGATATTTTCATCAAGAACAGTAGTTTTCAAATGTCAAAAATAGGCAAGTACTGGATTGAAAAAGTAAATTGTTTTCCATAACAATTGACGGTGCTCCAGGTATGAGAGGAAAATCTGTTGAATTTGTAAAACTAATGGAAAATGAACTTGGCGGTTAACTTTTATCGTTTCATTGTATCATACATGAAGGAAATTTATTTTGCAAGGGTATCTACACAACAGCTTAAAGATGTAATGGAAAATTGAATCGAAATATGGAGATTTGTGTTTACATTCTGCAATTCGATGGTTGTAAGTTGTAAGTGTTTTATGGATTTGGTGATATAAAAATATTTCTTCACGGAATCGGTGAAAATGATCTTGAACTCAATGAGAAACAATGGTTTTTAAGACTTTTGTTCTTAACAAACATAATGAAGCTTTATAATGATTTCAACGTACCACTCCAAGGAAATAACCACACAGTTTTGAAAATTTATGAGGAATGGAAGAGTTGAAGAGAAAAAATTGATATTATTGATGATATTATGATATTTTCGCATGATATGACCATGTTGGGCACCACTTCCTACGAGGTTTTCATAATTTAAAAAAATTGGTTTTGCCATTTTGTCCACATTGGGGCGCACTTATAAATGTGAACAAATATTTTCACAAATGAAATTTATTTTAAGCAAAAACAGGAACAGGTTAACTATGGAAAATTCAGATGCTTGGGTTCGACTTAAAACGACTAACTATAAACCAGACTTGACTAAATTGCTGTAACAATTTCAACATCAGAGGAGCCATTGATATCGTACAAAAAGTTTATAAGTAAAGATTATTCAATTATGTTTAATTATTTTCTTAATAAAATATATCCTATTATTTACTAAAATACTGTTTTGATACGAAAATATCTCTGACCCAAACATCTCTTAACACTTGCATTTTGGTTGATTTAGAGCCTTGGCCAAAAGAGGTTGTCGACCCCTGAGTTAAGCACTGTTAGCGGGAGGTGTACAGCGCTTATGAAACATAAAATTTTAGATCATTAAAGGAAATTGAGGATAAAATACTCGAAGTGCTGAGCACTTCTAAAGGAAATATTTTAGAGGACGAGACTGCTATCCAGATCCTAAGTTCTTCCAAAGCTTTGGCGAATGAAATTGCTGCTAAGCAAGACATCGCCGAAGTGACTGAAAAACAGATCGATAAGGTATGACTCTTAGGAGAGTAGCTGAATATTTATGTTGTCTATTGTAGGCTAGATTGGAGTACACACCCATTGCAGTACATTCTACGATACTGTTCTTTACAATTGCCGATTTGGCAAATATCGATCCCATGTACCAATACTCGTTGGCGTGGTTCGTGAATTTATTTAAATCGACTATCGATAACACCGATAAAGTGGAAGATATACCAATGCGATTGGAAGATTTGAAAAAGGTCGCGGTTTTACCATTTAATTCTGAAAATGTGGTCATTTCAGTGTTTTCATAGGTTTTTACATACCACTTATATGTTAACATATGTCGCAGCTTGTTCGAGAAGGACAAGTTGCTCTTTTCGCTGTTGTTGACGATAAACTTGATGAAGAGCCGCGAAGAAGTCGATGCGATCGAGTGGATGTTCCTTTTGACGGGCGGCATTGGTCTTGACAATCCCAACGTAAATCCGTGCGATTGGTTGGTAATCAAATCGTGGGATGAGCTGTGCCGCCTGAATGATCTGCCTGCGTTCAAGTAAGTAACTCTACTTCTACCAGAAATATAGTGCTTTTACAACCGACCCCGTGATTAACTTTGCCTACTGTTCATTACTCCAAAACCGCAGCCCCTTGCCCCCAACCACTCCAGGGCCGTCCTAGAAATTTATCTGCCTACATTAACAAGCGAGATATAAGTATATTTTCCATCTTTTTCGCCGAGCAATTCTTGAAACATGTACATAAAAAAATTAGTACAAATTAAGAATTTATTACGTTCTATTGCATTACATTCCTACATAGTATCATTATTAATATACAAAATATTAAATATAATAACAATAAAGTATCAGTCACTTTTAAAAATTGTCACTATCGCTACTGTCGTTACCTAGTTCAATGATCAACTCCGCCACTATCTCGTTCTCGATAAATATTTTCTTCTTTTATTACTCGTTTTTCACAGTTAGACCAGCTTTCTATTGATATTTTAGCTACCTCTTGCCGAATTACATTTATGGTACTATCAATAAATTTTATTAGATTAGATTTATTAGAGATTAGAGACCTGCATCTTCTCTCAATTTTCTCCTGCCTATCCCATTTTTACTTAGGAACTTTGGTCACTTGCTTTTATGCTGCTCCCACTTCCCCTCCTAAATTTCTTTTAAAAGTTGCTTGGCACCCGAAGAAAAATCGATCCGTGTTTTTTATTTGCAGAGGTAGTTCGTCTTCTAAATTGTCATTAGGTTCGACTACCATTTCCACTTCGTCTTCAAATTCTGCGTTATCAATGTCTTCTTCTAACGGGGGAACATCTGCTTCATTCCACGATCTCCACATTTTAAAGTGTTAAAAAATAGGAACCTTCAAAAAATGTTTAATTGTGATATTCTAATAAATATTTATTTGTATTATGACGTACCTTTATCTACAGCGACTATAATCTGTAGTCTTAAAAAAGTCGGTTCTTGTTTACAAATCGAATAACTATCTAGAAAACACAAAACATAAGAAGAAGAATGTTGTTAATGGACATGCACACAAGACAAAAATGATTATTTTCAAAAATTGCCTGTAACATAAATAGTGAAAACAGCCTCGCAGGGTCAAAGCTCAAGAATCAGGTACATAAATACCTACTTACTGGAAGGATCACAGTCAAATATATAATACCATATATACGACCATATATGTAAGAACGACACATATCACCTGATGTTAAAATAAACTTATTCGAAAGTACCCCGCAGCGTCAATGCTTAATCAAATTTAAAACCGTCCATTTACGTTTCAAAGAAAAATTTCAAGTTTGTACAAATATTCGTTACGGTCCATCTCAGGCAAGATCTACTTAATGAAAAATAAACATCTGTTGGGATGGATTTTATCACGATCCTGCGAAAGTCTGCGGTTAAGGTACTGTAAAATACTTAAAACCTCAAAGCGAGGAATGTACTATATTTTTGGTCGTATTATACCTCTGGTATACTCCGTTCAAAAACTATATAGACTACTAAAAGTGCGTGATCGGAGAAGGTCGACGCTGATTGCCTAGACTTAATGGATCGTCCAAAGTGGCCAACATCCAATTTAAATTATAACAGTGTTTTCACGTCAATTCAGTATAATGTCAGTATATGTTAAAGGCAAGCAGTATTGTAATAAATTTTCTTGTGTTTTTGTGAAGTATTAAGTGAAGTATTTTTGCTAATTATGATTGGAAAAATTTACTCATCAATAACCCAGTGCGGATAACTGCATGAAGTTTACCATGGAATTGTGTTAAAAACCAAACCTTACACATCACACACATCAGACATTTTAGATATTTTTTTTATGGTATCACAAAAGAATCTAAAATGCAATATAATATTTTGAAAATATGGGTAAATTAATTGATAATTTAACAATTATCAAATTGCAGTTTGCTGGTCCCGATTCAAATAGATTTAAATAATCACTATTATGAAAACATGATATTCTTGCAGAGGGTTAATCCATCACTTCACCGCCAACCTTACTAGCTGGAAAGAGATATTTGATTCTGCGGAACCTCAGAAAAGGCCTTTACCCAGTCCTTGGGAGAAAAAACTCAGTTCCTTGCAAAAGCTCCTTGTCTTGCGATGTATACGGTACGACAAAATTATTCCGGCAGTGCAAGATTTTGTTAGAGGTGAGATATTCGCAGGGTGGACCAGTAATGTAGTAAAGTATTATAAAAATATTTCCCTTGTTTATTACAATTTTAATCAAATGTTTTGTTGCTCAAAATCTAAAAACGAGCAGTTTTTGTTTAAGTTTAGCAAAGTCGCATACATTAAAAATGTATATTTTTCTATTACCGCGCTTTTGATGTTGTGCCAAATTTATTTAAACATTTACCACTATCTAGGTCATTTAGGCAAGGAGTTCGTGGAACCACCTCCATTTGATTTGACCTCGTCTTTCGCCGACTCCCACTGCTGCCTTCCTCTGATATTCGTTCTCACTCCCGGAGCTGATCCCACTGCATTGTTGCTCAGGTTCGCAGACGATCAAGGATTTGGTGCTGCCAGGCTGTACTCTTTGTCTCTGGGACAAGGTCAAGGTCCGATTGCCGTTAGGCTGATAGATGAGGGAGTGAAAAATGGTACGTGGGTAATTCTGCAAAACTGTCATTTGGCGAAAAGTTTTATGCCGACATTAGAAAGGGTAGGAGGTGATCTACGTAAATGATCATGTCAATAAAGGCAAGCGTTGCAGATTTGCGAGAACCTTACACCGGATGCGACCCATCCGGACTTCCGGCTTTGGCTCACGTCTTATCCAGCTGACCATTTTCCAGTCCTGGTTCTGCAGAATGGTATCAAAATGACCAACGAACCGCCGAAAGGTTTGCGAGCGAACATTACCCGGTCATATATGAGCGATCCGATATCTGACTCGGAATGGTTCGAAAATTGCAAACAACCGCTAGCTTTTAAGAGACTTTTGTACAGTCTGTGTTTTTTCCACGCGATCGTCCAAGAAAGAAGGAAGTTCGGACCTATAGGCTGGAACATCCCATACGAATTCAACGAGACCGATTTGCGGATTAGTGTGACGCAGTTGCAGATGTTTCTTAATGAATACGAGGTACGCAATTATTATAGTCAGATATATCGTGTTTAATTTAATTAAACAGAAAACTACTCTCCTGTCGCTTAGATGTTAAGTTTAAAAGTAAGTAAAATAACAAAATGCACTCTAAACCTATTGAAGTTTTCAAATCGTCAAAAATTTACAAAAGGAAGCAACTTCAAGAAGATATTGGTTGGTTTAATGAATAATTTCAACAAAGCATTCCAGCATAGGTATTAAAGGACTAAATCCTACGCAAAACTAGCCAAACACCAGGCGGTCTAGACTAAAACATAAATTAATATTAAAGTCTAAAACGGCCCTAACCGTTTATTCTAGATTAATCTTGGAAATGCATAACTTTGTTTCCTTATTGATTTGATAAAATGTAGATTCTTATAGGTAATATTTTTTAGCAATTCTTAGAGGTAGCGATTATATATATATATATATATATATATATATATATATATATATATATATATATATATATATATATATATATATATATATATATATATATATATATATATATATATATATATATATATATATATATATATATATTTAATTAAATATTTTGATTAACACTTATCTTTTCCAAACCATCTAGGATGTACAATTTGATGCTCTGCTTTACCTAACTGGAGAATGTAACTATGGTGGTCGTGTTACTGATGACTGGGACAGAAGAACATTGAATACTATACTACGGAAATTCTATTGCAAGGAAGTTATTGAAGTGCCTAATTTTAATTTCGACTCCAAAGGTCAGCGTAGTTAATATTTTCCTTTCTTTATTGCTAATCCTAAACGGGGTCTTTTACCGTTGCCGTCCGTCGGTAATACTTATTATATATATTAATTAGTACGCAATCGAACTAAGAAAAATTCCTGTTTTTCATAATGCAGTTATATTGGTCACAAAATTATAAGCAAAAAGACAAAAATAATTTAAATCAGTTGTATGTATCTCGATAACGCTCATAGTGACTTCTCTCTAGTTAAAATATTGAATTTAGAAATTTTAAAACTATACGAATACATCAAATTAACGAATGTATTTCGTATACCTACATTTCAAAAAACTTTTGGTTTAAAGTTAATCAAGAAATTATAATTTAAAATTAGAATAAATATTAAACTACTTTCACGTATATCGAGATAGATATAGATAATCTTCGAAACTGTTGACGACATTATTGGATATTATATCTAAAGGGACTCGAAAAGTAATTCAAAATATGCCTAAAAAATCGCAGACAAATAAACAAAAGGCCCATCTCCCTTGAAATCATGAGTGAAGATGGCGATAGAATGTACCATATATAAAAGTGGTTCAAGTCAATGCATCAGTTTTTTACAGAAAATAAAATTTCCATTTCGGTATATCAACAAGTACAACAGTTTTTGGCTTCATTTTTACAAAACACTGAGTGACGTGTGAAGTGTCAAGCTGAATTGGAAAATTTGGGTATTTTATGGTTGGGAGTGGACAAATGAGTTTAAGCACAAACAACTCCTTCCCACTTCCGGATAGGTTAAAATTTTTACGCACCGTAGTTAAATGAAACGCAACTTTTGAAGTTGTAACCAATAATTTCAAAAAAGGGAATTTCAGTGTATTCTTATAATAAACAGTTTAAGTAACTTTAATATTTATGTGATTTTGATCTTAGTTACATAAATAGGAATGCCTGACGACTTTCTTGGATTTCCTTTGGTTATAAGGTTTTGGCCACGGTAGATAACAATATATCTATCGTGTTTTTATTATTAGGCAAATATTACTGTCCCGACAAAATCGAGTATGAAGAGTTTATGAACTACACAAGATCGTTACCATTAATTACACATCCGGAAGTTTTTGGGATGAACGAAAACGCAGACATTACGAAGGACCAACACGAGACCGATTTGCTACTTACCACCACACTGTTAACGCAGGTAAGTTGAGACGTTTTCGTAATATACAGACGTAGTTATTTAGAATAATAATGCTTTATTAATTGTTATTTATTTTATTGCTTCAATATAGGACAGAAAGGTAAGTTGGAATTTTAAAATACTTTGGATGGTTTTGATAGAAGATAGAAAGCGTGCTGCGCATATATAAAACACGGGGATTTTTGAAAATATTGCATTTGCTAATGTTAATAGGCTAATGACAACACCTTTTGCGCAGAATTTAGCGATATATTATAGTGACCAATATACTCTCAAAACTTAGGTAGCATTCTAAGCATATTCCCTCAATTTTGTTTTTTTTTATGTTGTATGTAAAAAATGCGATCATTTTGAGATTCGCTTTTAAAAATCCTTTCTTCTTTTTAGTTTTTGTTAATAACATTCGAATTCGAATTTTCTTTTCTTTTTTTTTCTTTTTAAGTAAATATAACTTCATAATGCCAAAGTTAACTTAAAAACTTTAATTTCAATAATTTATAATAATTAGTTATTTAATTACATTCTTCAGTTTTGTTATCGGTAGATTAGCCAGACTCACCACCATTAAAATATTTTAAACACCAATAGCCGATATGCGTGATCCGTTTTTATTGACCTGTATTTCACTTACTGTATTTTTAAATTGATCAAAGGCAACACTGGTGATTTAAAATATTCTCTGTGGTTCGTGGTTGGTCTCAAAAATGTAAAGTTTGTTATTTTTGATAAAATGTTATATATTTGTTTAATGCTGCCGGACGAATCAGGATTTATATGAAATGAAGGTAACAATAAACTGAATTTTTTTCTGTATTCAGAAGGCCCGGTTTGTGCCTTAATCAGTTTACTGCTAATAAATAGCTAGCAGTAAACTAATTAATAAAACCAAAGTGGAATTAAATTGAAGAAAATTTCTAACTGCTTAAACCAAAATTAAAAATGGAATTTATTTTGGTATAATTATTTTGAGGCGCAAATTGGAAACCCTTCTCCGAAATATAGTGCTAAATATTGTTCTCTCATGCCACTATATTCAAAATTATAGGATACAATTGCAGTCAGCGGTTCAGCCAAATCGTCCGATGAGATCGTTGTCGAAGTTGCAAGCGATATATTAGCAAAACTTCCGAGTAATTTTGATCGGGATGTCGCACTCGAGAAATATCCGGTCTCTTACGAGCAAAGTATGAATACCGTATTGGTACAGGAAATGAACCGTTTCAATATTTTGCTCGATGTTATTAGAAACAGTCTTCAAAACGTGCAAAAAGCCATTAAAGGTAGTCTCAAGTTTTGATTTCACAACACACATTAGACAAACCTTTTAATATTTCGTAAAACCAAAAATAGTGCTATCTATACCATTTTAGGGTTGATCATAATGTCATTGGAGTTGGAAGAAGTAGTGAAAAGTATACTAACTGGAAAAATACCAACAATGTGGGCAAGCAGATCCTACCCGTCGCTTAAACCGCTGGGAAGTTATATTAACGACTTTTTGGCTAGACTTGTTTTTCTTCAAGTGAGTATACTATCTATGGTCATAACATATTAAGTAAAAATAATTATGTGATGTTAAGAAATGGATGGACGACGGACCGCCGACAACATTTTGGCTGTCAGGGTTTTTCTTCACTCAGGCCTTCCTTACCGGAGCGCAACAGAATTACGCCAGAAAATATACGATCCCTATTGATCTCTTAACCTACGACTATGAAGTGAGTGATGTATTACGGTTTCTAAAATGTTTTAATTATACATTATGGTCTCAAGAATTCACACCTTTTTTGCGCAGCTGATTTTTAAAACAATGTATTATGAAAGTATTTTAAAAACGTATCAACCTTATTTCAAAAAAAAAATCCTTCTTCCCGTAATGGTTGGCCCAATCGATCTATTAGAATCCGAAGTTTTATCGAGTTTCCCTAGTCAAATGTAAACTATTGTTGATTGTCGTTTAGGTTCTCAAAGGAGCAATATTCAACAAACCTCCAGAAGATGGTGTCCTTGTTTATGGTTTGTTTTTGGAGGGAGCAAGGTGGAATTACGAAAAAATGATCATCGATGAATCGCTACCAAAAGTCCTGTACGATAATGTTCCTCATGTAAGTGAATTATCACATTTCAGGTTTTACAAACGATCAGATTTATTGTGACGGTGAACCAAAACTGTGTAAGGTACTCTAAAAAATTTGGAATTCAAAAATTTCATTTCGAGATAAGTCAAATTTATGTTGAAATATAAAAGCAAAGAAATAGAAATTGTTTATCTCTACTTTTGCTGAGCTATTATTATAATTTTTATTTTTAGTAGATCTTTTAATGAATTAATTTAATTTTGTGTCTTTAAAGAAATATATTTTCGTACATATCAAAAATGAAGCGAGGAGGTAAAGACATTACATTAAAAATCAAAGAAGTTTATTATTTTTTAGATATGGCTTAAACCCATCAAACGAGATGAGTTAATAGAACGTCATACATATACTTGTCCCGTGTACAAAACAACTGAGAGACGCGGAGTACTGTCTACTACAGGGCATTCAACAAATTTTGTTATTGCCATGGCTCTTCCTACCGAAAAACCGGAAAATCATTGGATCATGAGGGGTGTAGCTATGCTGTGCCAATTAAGTCATTAACTTTGCTTGAGTAGGATTATTTTAATTGCTCTGTAAATTATTTTTTATTTTTAGTACACTATTAAAATCTTGACATCTAGTTTCAACAAAATATCAACCATTCCAGCTAGCCAAAAAAAACTGCAATTACAAAATTATTACACAATATCGTCCTGTATATTCTAAGCATGCCCAGTGGAGTAAGCTCAATGAAAATGCGAAATCAAGATCTCAAAAACTACAAGAGCTATAAACTAGATCTGTAAAGAAGCTTTTCCTTTCTTATGTATTTTAAATGCCCTGAAATAAGATAACTAATCACACTCTATTATTAAAAGTCTGTGCTGATTTTGCAATTTTAAAATATTTCGATAATTAATGAAAATGCGATAAAATTCACTATAGTTCAAGTTTTTGTTTTTCAATATATTGAAAAAGTTTGGGATTAAACTGCAAAATTACATAAAATAAATGGTACACTTGAATTATATATATTTTTTTAATTTGAGAAAATCGAAATTAAAATGAGAAGTGCGTTTTCTTGTGGTGAGATCAAATAGCTTTCCGTCGCCTTTACAGGTCTAACAATTTAATTATACTTTGTTCGGTGCTTAGGAGTCACACGAAATTGTTAGGAAAAGTGGAGATATATTTGCGACTGGCGGCAACGCCTTTTGGTCTTGCTTTTGGTTTGGCGCCTCTGGATTCCCAATGCTGTTGGAATCGATCCATTCTAAACTCAGCAATAGCAATAATTTCTTTGTTTTTAGTTGTCCATTGTCATCTTTTTTCCAAGTTTTTCTTTAGTTGAATTGGCGCTGCGAATATCAGTAATGTAATCAATTTCAGACATTGAATAAACGAACTTTATTATCTACCTTGACCTAGATACAGAACCGCTCATAACATTATGAACATGAAATAAATAAAAGTAATTGTGTTTAAAGATATTTCACAATTTTAATATTGTAACAGACTAATGTAGCCCTTTACGGAATAAATAATGAAACCTCTAAATTCCTATTTGTTTAAAGATAGAACACATGTGTTTTTTCTAATATGTCGATATAAAACTTTTAGGTACGAATTTCGAAAAAATAATCCTTATAAATCGCGAGGGCAATATCAATTTATCCCCATACTCGAACATTCTGGTCCCAACTGCAAGTCGTCACCGCTAACCCATTCGGAGCGACGGACAACGAAGTAATCCTATTTTCATGGCCGGAAAGTACACCTGCAATATAAACGAAATCGTTAACGCCTCTGTGATATTTCGAAAACAGACCGTTATGGGCTGACTTCAAGGTATCCCAAATGTGCAGATTGTTATCGTCCGAACCGCAAAATAATATTCTACCGCTCACGGATAAACCGCACGAAGTGAACCCGCTATTGGCAGATGGCGGTTTATACACCGCAATTTGCTGGTCGCTCCTGATGTCAAACATACGGGCAGTTTTATCTTCAGAACCAGTAGCAAAGGCGTAACCACTTGGATGAAACTATAAAATAAAGAGCCATCACGGTGTGGTGAGAGCTAAAGGCATTTACAAGTGTTACTAGTACTAGTTGTGGGGATATGGGTTTATTATGATTTACGGCATAGAAAATAGGTATACTGCGAGTCACTTTATGTTTCAATTGTACAAAAAAAAATTGCAACAATTTAACGTTTAATATAAATTAATTTGAATACAAATTTATAGATTTGTGCTGTGTCGTGTGACAGTGTTTTCTAACATTGTTCTTTATATGCACTGTTAATTAACTTTTAAATTTAAAATCTATATTGAGCTGTTTAAGCCCATTGAACTCTAGAATGAATTGCCCTTGCAATGGAAGAAAAATCGAAACTATCCAATCTTTTTTTATAAACCTCTATCGCGACTAGACATGTTTCAGCTAAAAGTCATCCTCTATGGTAACACGAGCTTTTTTGAGACACTCAGTATAATTCTTAGCCAAGGACAGTGGCATAAATCTAAGTTCGCTATGTGCAAAACATAAACCTAAATTGTTGACTCATTTGAAAAATTTTTCAATACCAAAAACATAATAGATACAAAAAAGTAAAACTTAAAACACACCATAACTATTAATAAACGCACCATACTATTAATAGCGATGGTTCAAAGTAATTATATATGAATGAATGCCTCAGGACTGATTAATGTCAAATATATGGTGATTAATAAAATAATAAGCTGTATTCTTACACAGACAGAGTTGACGTCAGATGAATGACCGAAAAACGTTTGTTTGGGCTTGGTGTCTCTGATATCCCACAAGCGGCAACTTTTATCTACACTGCCAGTCACAAAGCTGTTGCCATCCGGTGATAGGCTTATGGATACGACGTCACCATTGTGTGCAATAAAATCGGAAACTTTCCTTCCCGTCTCTAAATCCCATTGACAACTAAAATATTGTGTCTTCAGTATTACTAGGGCAAATATTAAAAGATATGTCCGAAAATACTTCAAGCGCTCATAAAATTTGTGGAATTAAAATAGAAAAATATAATCTGTTTGCAATATTTTACGAATAAAGAGCTTACATCTTCATATCCCCGGAGCCAGTAATAAGCGACTTGTCGCTTAAAAATCTACACGAGCTCAGGAAACCGTCGTATCCTACCAGCTCTCGAGACATTTTAGCGACTCCAGAAGAGTCTCTGTTGTTCAAGTCATAAACAGTGCAAGCGTTATCCATACCACCACAAGCTAAAAAAAGATATGAAATAAAGCGTGGAATACAAGTTTTTGCGAAGTACGTTTCTCATAAGTTTCTTTTTCTCTTCTAGAACTCCAAAGGCAATTTCTAATTATACTACTAAATACTTGTTATTATAAAAATACTTTCATAAGATTTTACTAACAAACTACTGTTCTTTCGTGGAGGTAAATATGTAATTCCTACTGCATCTGCCAATAGTAAAAGGCCTACAAATATTTAATAACACGGGAAATAAGTGATTCAAATAAAATTATTATATGGATCGACTCGATTTAGTACCTCCACCTGTGTGTACAGCTTACCCAAGATTCCAATGCAGAGATCTGACACGGTGTAACACACGAGATTGATTATATTATTAGAGAAAATTTGCGTATTTTCAAACTGAATAATGCAATTAGACAGTTATAAAACTTCAAGCAAGTTCAAAGACATTAGACAAAAAAATAAAAGTATGATATTTCGTAGCATAGTGAACATCGCCTTTGTCGCCATTTTTGTCATTTATTAGGTACTATTTAATGTCATGATAATTAATTAAATAAAAAAAAATTCAACAACTAGGTTGATAAACGCTATTTTAGTCACGAGTTCGTTTTGATTCGTGATTAAGAAGAAGTTTATGAACATGTTGCATACTATATTCTTTTTCTGATGTGCGACGTGTGACAGGACCATCAGAACTGAAAAATGTCAAAACAAAATCGTCATTTAAAATCCTGTGATTAAAGTACCGAAAACTAACCAAAAACTTGGAGACTATAGGATGAAACAGAAACGTTACAGTAAAGTATGCAATTATTTATAAAATTCATGTTCTAGTAAAGCCATGCAAAATATGAAGAAATTATGCAATATTTGTGGTATTTTATTGTATATAATAGTTCTTTTCTCTAAATTTCCCGGCTGTTACCGTTTCCGAAATTCCCAACTAGGACATGTTTTTTATTAGGCAGGGGCAAACGAACACACCCACGAAATTTCCAGAATTTGCGTAAGCGACGCTCATCACCCAAGCCGATCGCAACGGTATGATTTGTATTTTATTCCCGGTGTAGGTATCCCAAATAATAAGTTTTCCATCCAAGGATCCGGTAACGCAATGTCTTCCGTCGCCACTGTAGTGGACCGAATTTACTTTGTTGAGATGTCCTCTCATTAATTTTCGTGTAATGAGTTTTATTTTCGGAATATCCGAAACACCTCCGCACACTCCTTCGAGCTTGGCATCCGTCGATTTTTGTTGAAGATCCTGAAATATAGGAAGAAGTTGAGTCGAATGTGTTGATTTCTTGATTGCAAAGATTGCAATTGCAAAAATAACTATTAATATCTCTTATGTTTATATTATTTTAATATTGTTCAAAAACATTAAGTTCTTTATTCACGGCAAAAAAAAATCGGTAAGCTGTGCCATTAGGGTCAGCAAACAATCATTTGACATTGGCGAATTTAGAAGGTATGAAATAGCTGATTGACATGTTGGTATATAAAGGTAATTGTAGATATACAGAGAATGTTAGACCATAAAGGCACCAAATATTTAAATTCCGCAAGTAATATAGGGCAGAAAATTGTCAAGTATTTTCAGGAGATATGGTGCGACATCCACGACACCCTATTGAACAAAGGGCCATCTAAAATACTCTAACTAAAAAAACATTTTTATTTTGCAAAAGATTTCAGAAATTAAAATAAATGAAAATAAAATAAATTCAAAATATATTGCCTATATCAGGTATTTTTCTATTTTAAACCTTACAAGATTCATTTTATCGAAATTTTGAATTTTGCTTCGTACCGTTTAAAACATGTGTTTTTAAAGAAAATAAGTACAATATTAACCGTGTCCTGATAAATAATAAAATACAATACAATACAACATCTGTGGAGAGAGAGGGTGCAATTAAAAAAACAGTTAACAAACCTTACCTGGGGAAAAACAGTTAAAAAACCCTACCTGCAATTTCTTATAAAGATCTTCGAGTTCTTTTTTGAGTGCTATAATTTCCGGGTCGTTTTTGGGAGGCATTATTGTATGTAAGACGGAACTTTCTACGCAAAACTAAAATATTTTGTCCGAGTCGTATGGAGTAATCTTTTTAGTTTAATTTAATAAGTCGCCGGCTGAATTAGGAGTCCCTATATGTGAACCTGAAACGTAAACGTGAAACATTGATTTTGGCATTAGTCTCAACTCCATGCTGGACATATTTTCAGTTTTAGAATTAGCCCTTTAGATTTTCAAATGGAAAAAACTTGCTTGTTTCGAAATCACAATAATAAAAATATATTTAATTATGTTAATTAAATTAAAACAGTTTTGTTAATAAAAAAGCCTAAGTTGCTTTTTCTTTAAATATATATACAAATTTATTGTTTGTTAACTTGTTTCCAGAACGTTTGTTTGTTCTATTATTTATGGTATAAGTATAATATGTGTATAGTGTATACCCTTTTTTGTGTTTGAATTTGTCTCGTAAAAAGGTTAACTAATTGATAATTGCAAAAAATATATCAGTTGCTTGATTTTAAAATCTTATCTTATTTCTCCAAAGGAAAGGAAAACTAACCAAAACTAACACTTGTCTAACGATTGAAATAAAATTAATTTTTTATTTGTAAAACCAATTTTATACGCAGCGACCAAAAAAGCTAAAATAATTTTGTTTTTAATATTCTCTTCCTAATTGAAGAGAAAGTGTACACTATAAATTCTCATTTACCTCTCTCGTAAAACTTTCAATAGGTTTTTGCACGATGAATATCAAATAGGATTAATTGTTTTACTTCATCAAAGACAACATAGAGAACTAAAGATTATAAATAAACTATTGTTTCTTTTTCTGTTAACTGTACATAAAATCGCAGAGCCTTTAGTTTTACGAATTTTACGAACTGTAAAAAAAATGTGTTGCAGAGAAGGGTTATTTTTCTTATATCTTTTTCTGATAAATCGTTCAAATACCAGTTACTATACCTTGGAACGTACAAGTTTTACCTTCCACCTGCTCTATATACATGGTGGCTACAACTGTAACAGTTTATGGAATCCATTTTTTTACGACATGTCTGTCAAATGTGAAATTCAAATAAAGCGACCAAAATGTTTTGGAAGACAACAAATATTTAATTACATATTTTTTTTGCATTAAATTTAAATTGTCGGAATGGTTATTTTGTTTAATTTAAAAAGATTTCCTATCTGCTGTTAGAGTTTGTCTTCCTTATTATTATAACTTTACAAGAATGTCTCGCTAAAAATCTGCAAATTTGCGGAGAATTTAACTTTTCTTGGAAGATACTTTACAAATATTAGAAGCATTACAATAGATATAAGATGTTCTTATGTGTAAGTGTTATCGCTATATTTGTTGAATAATTCGATGAACTTGAAGAAAAGATCAACTAACATTACTTTCCGTAATAGAAACATTTTTAGCGGAACAATCGTCTGTCTCAGTTGAATGGTTTATTGATTAACCATTTCAATTTTGTGGTTTCGTTACGAATCGGACTTTTACTTTCACGATAGCGATCTAAATTTCTCACCATTCAAAATTTGGTTGTGCCTCTAAAAAGATGTTAATGGAAAATAATCTTCGTGTAGCATTTGCTGTTATTTCTATAAATATAGGTAAGTATTTATTTTTTAAAATAGGTATATTGTTTGTACAAATTTCAGAATTATATAAATTTACTAAACGAAACAAAATATTTTGTGCGTTTTATGGTAATTAAAAAACTCTTCCAAGAACCGAAACTAATTTTTAATTTTGTTATCATAAGAGTTATAGCAAAACTTGAAAATCTTTTAATTTTTTAATTTTCTAATTAGAATCTAAAAATCAAATGATATACAGAGGATCCTATTTAAACTAAGCAAGCTGTAGGGAAGTTCATGTACAAGCGGCAAATATTTCGAAGTATAGTGCACTTCGGTGACCTCCACTTAAAGTCGTGTCGCATCGGCTATTGCCACAGATTACTAAGATAAGACTAATCACAGAATACTAAGGTTAGCTCATAATTACTTAATTTATAAGCAGTACCCATCAAGTTTTAACTTAATAATTTATTAGGTCTCTACAGTTGTCAAGATGCACCCGAATTTTGTTCCGCAGAATCATCACAATGTGATAAAAGCTACAAGGAATCCCTCTATTCAACAAGAAAAAACAAAAAGTTCACTGGTAAGAGTTTATCCGTAAATACAAAATAAAGTTGATTGTATTATTTTTTTATTGTCTTGAATTGTAAGAGTTTATCCGTAAATACAAAATAAAGTTGATTGTATTATTTTTTTATTGTCTTGAATTTGTATTCCATGAATTACCGGCCATGGGCTAATGACTTCAACAAATTTGTTCATTGGGCTTTGATGCTAATTTATTCAGTGATCGTGCCACTCTGTCACCCAAAAGAAGAGTTCTATTTTTGAATGTTTATGTTTATGTTATCGGATTCAGATGTTACTTTAATTAGTTAGTTAAATCATTGTTCTTAGATGTGGAACGTTCGTGATATGTGTTTCGCTAAAAAAGTTTAAAGCTCCTGTTATTTTAAAATGGGGCATTATATTGTTTTAGCCTTTTCCAGTTTATTTTTAAGTTGTGTTACCAGTGCCATAGGAAACGGTAACTTTATGTTTCAGTTCAATCACCTAATAATAATAATAATAATATAATACTGCTTGTTAACAATGCTGGCTTGCGAAATAATTAGTCAATTGACCTAATTCAAATAATTTTTATCAATGATGTAATAATTATGTAGGGAATGAGATTCATTTAACACGGCCTACAATTTTTAACTACTGGAAATGCCATTAAGTTTATATTTAGGCGATTTGTCTAACAGATTATTTTTCGTGGACCTTTTTCGTAATGCATGAGAATAATATAATATTCGCAAAATATTAGAAACTTGCACATGCACACCAAAAATATTACCTTGTACTGAAGTGACCATCTATGATAAACATGGAATCTGAGATTGAGGTGGGTGGAATCAAATATTCACCTGCTCTTTTGAGTACCAAATTTCTGTTAAGGTAGATTATTTTAACCATTCTATGTAAATTTCTCATAATAAAATCATGCTTAAAAAATTAAATTAACAGTTGCGAAAATATAATTGTTAAAGGTGCATATTAGTAAAAAATCCCGTAAAATCTAAATTTAATAGGCAAATAAGAATTTGTCAGAAAACTTTCTAAATACAGTCTCAGCAATAAGGTCCCCATTACATGGGAACATTTTTTGTTAATTAGTTTTTAATTTTTTAATGAAATGAAAATGTACCAATTTTCAAAAAAAGTTTTTCCAACTTAACTTTTTTTTGATAAATCTTAACATAAAGAAATATGAATCAATAAAGTGTTTTTTTTAATTCATTTTAAACACTCAATTTCAAAGAAAATCTCCACATGCAACCATATAAATCGTCAAAGTTGATGCAAAGTTAATTTGGTTTTAACATTTTAAAATCAAATAAGGTTTATTAGATTTTATCATAATTCATAGAGGTTACTGACCTAAAAATACAATAAAAATATAATTAATTTAAGTAAACGACTGACGATATTTTTTTACGCGACAACGATGCATCATACCGGAAACAAACGATTTATACAAATAATCGTTCTATAGTTTCCATTAGTTTGTACGGCCCTTGTTTTATTTTTTACTGTATTGCGTTTCATACATCTGTACCTGGAATTGTGTGCGGATTTTGCGTTTATATTTTTTCCTTTATGGGCAAGTACAAACAACTAAGGAAAAGTCGGAAAAGTGCGATACTAATAACGTTGCATGCGCCTTTGGATATGTGCTACATTTGCTAATGTGAATACTAGCTAAAGGTAAACCTACTTTAATTTGGTAATATTTTAGATATACTAGTCTATACAGTGGCCACAGATGAAACGGATGGATTTTCGAGATACCTGGATTCGGTCACAAGGTTTGACATCAAACCGAAAATCTTGGGATGGGGTGAGCAATGGAAAGGTGGACAAAATATGAAAACCAGCCCAGGAGGCGGATGGAAAATTAATCTCTTGAAAGAGGCCCTAGAACCATATACCAATGAAGAGGAAGAAAAGATAATGCTGTTCACAGACGCATATGACGTCATTTTTCTGAGCGATATCGACGAAATCGTTCGTAGATTTAAAGCCAGCAATGGCAGGGTTTTATTCGCGGCGGAGGCTTTTTGCTGGCCTAATGTTGAATTAGCCCCTAAATATCCAGAAGTAGTTCAGGGTAAAAGGCAAGTAACAACAAACTATATTTTATATCAAAATCAAACTCGAGCACACTTTCACAATGTATTAAGGTTTAACATGTACATATTAGTATAGTTGAAACTTGAAGAGATGAAGTGGTTTCTGATAAAAATCCTCAATACCTATTAACTTTTTGATTAAAAATGATGTCCTGCATATGAGCTTCCTATTTCTACCATGTATCTAAAATGCGACATTCAAAAAAATAGATTTACCTAACAAAAAATTGATAAAACAATTCAAAAATATTTATATTCAAATTTATAAAAGAATGACGCATGTCTATTTCCTGCAGACACGCAGGCATTGTCTTTATACTCAGTTGGTCTATTGGATAAGTTTAAGTTACATTTATAACTTTGTTTTGTTAGATTTCTCAATTCGGGGCTTTATATTGGTTATGTTCCTGAAATATATAATATATTAAGTCGAGCGGACATAGAAAATACTGCAGACGACCAATTGTTTTTTACTGAAGCCTACTTAGATGAAACCTTCAGAACGAAAAATAATATTAAGTTGGACCACACAAGCGAAATTTTCCAAAATGTAAATGGGGCTGCAAGTAAGCGATTCTGTATAATGTATTTTTGGTTGTTTTAAAATGATATATTAATTTTAGATGACTTGGAAATCCAATTTAAGGAGAACAAAGATGCTAAATCCGAAGAGTACTTTCTCAAGAACAAGGAATTTAACACGCAACCGTTGATTGTACACGGCAACGGTCCCTCCAAATTAACCTTAAATTATTTAGGAAATTATTTGCCGAATGGCGTTTGGAATTCCATTGACGGCTGCACCGCATGCAGAAATAACGAAATCAACTTAACTAAGAAGAAGCCATCACAATGGCCTACAGTCTTTTTGTCAGTATTCATAGAACTGGATACGCCCTTTATTGAGGCATTTTTCCAAAAAATCTACAAACTTGATTACCCGAAGGATAAGATACATTTATTCATTCATAATGCTGTCAGTAATAAATGTAACGAAACCTGGTTAGAAATTCTAGTCATATTATGTATTTCAGATGAAATATCATTCGGATCACGTGAAAAACTTCACTGACCAATTCGGATCAGAGTATTCTTCAGTTAAGCAAATCAAACCAGAGGACGGTTCAACTGAATGGAACGCCAGAGATTTATCTTTGTAATTTACTTTAATTCGTTTCTACTAACTAATTGACGCTTAATATTTTCAGAGAGCAATGCTTGTCAAAACAATGCGATGTTTATTTCGCTGTTGATTCAGTCGCGCATCTTGATAACCCTCAAACATTGCGCCTTTTGATTGAACAAAATAGATCGGTTGTTGCTCCCATGTTGATCCGACCCGGAAAGGCCTGGAGTAATTTTTGGGGTTCTCTGACAAAGGATGGATTTTATGCCAGATCCAACGACTATATGGACATCGTTCATAATATAAAAAGGTAAGTTTTTAAATTCTCTTCAACACCGTTTAAGTTCCTAAAATTCCATAACAAATAAAATTGATCTATTTTTTAGATGAAAATTTTATTGGAACGTAAAAAGTTGAACGATATTTATTATAACTCAAAAGTATAATTTGCGATTACTTTTCGATGCTGTTAATCAGTTAATTAACTAATCAAAGGCAATGCTGAAATCAGTTTTGAAGGATCGCCTATCGATCGAATACATATTGTCCGCCGTGCACTCGTATAGACCCGCGTCCATTTGCGTTGCCGGATCGATCTCTAATTTGCTCTTTATTTTATCTCTTCCTATTTGCCATTCGTGAATCTTAAAACAGAACAAAACGGTTTATCACGTTTTATCATCGCGGGTGCAATTTACGTGTAAATATAAGTGGGTAAAGATTTCGCTTCCGTCCTTGTACCACGTGATATGGGGCCGGGGGTTTCCTCTCGCCACGCAGATAAACGCTATTTTGTGACCCAGGACATATTCATAGTCGAAATGCGATGCCAACACTATTTTCGCTCCCTTAAAATAAAAATTCCTTGATGTAGCGAAAACAACTTTCATAGTGACACAAAAGGTTTTGGCGTGTTCGAGTTATCGCTATTTTAGTAATTTTTTCGACTTTTGCTCTTTTAGCCAGTAAAAACTTATTTGGTTTTTTCCTTTTCTTATAAAAGTGCAAAACTAAGCACCTTTTCAGTATAATTTTTTTTTACAAATACATTTTTGGCTTAACTATTGGTCTTATTAAACATTACTCAATACCTTGAAAACTATTTTTTATTGAGTACATTATGGAAAAAGTTTGATAAACGCTGTAGTCAATAGTTGCACAATGTGCTTAATGCATTCTATACTTTTTCTACGGCTATTGGTTTTTGTGTACATTTTTGCAAAGCCGTGGCGTCTGACGTGACCCTCGGAATTACAAAGTGCAAACCCGTGATGTAAAGTATCAGAAGTATAGGGGTAGAAAAATAAAATTTCCTTAAATAATCTTGTCGGTATTCTATTGCATTGTTTTACCATTTTATTTTCACCACAGACAAGAAACGTAAAATAATTATTGTGAATTAGGCTGCAGTGTCAAATGGATATTTTTAAATGTTACACTGATTTTTATTACTACTCGTAAACGACTTTGGTTTATTGCTGTTTATTGGGAATGACTTCCCGTCTCCCGTTTTAATCTAATTAATTACTTTCTATATATCTTTATTCAGACATATAGCCTAAACAAACTCTGTATTATGTATCTTGCGACCTTGCAGCTGTATGATGCAAAAGCTTGAGATAAATAATTACCAAACAGAAGAAAAGAAAACCAGCAAGTGTATTTATTTTTTAAATGTCTTTCAAAACTATTGTATTGGATATAAAATATGCCACAAATACTTTGTAAAATCGACTACCACCAAGTTTTCGTTTGATTTATTCGTACTGCCCTGTATATTCTCCTTCTAAATATTAACACATTTTTTTCATACAATACTTACATTGTTGTTATTGTAATATTTGTCGGATTCGGGGTCGCGGTATTTTCCAGTGATCGGAAGTCCAATTTGAAACTGAAATTAGAATGGTTGCGCTGTGTTTGGGTTAGTTAGTAATCCATGTACCTTGGATTTGGTCCTGGTCCTGGGCCTCCCCCTACGACCCAGCGAATCGCCGACAAACGCGATCAATAAGAAAAGAACAATAGGTGCCCCCAATCTCATACTTATTATTTGTTGTTATTCTGGAGCACAACCGGGTCGACTAAGTCGACATTTTTCTTATACAGTCGTCCCCTTTTTAGATGCGCAAATTGATAATTTGGTCCAATTTGCTAAGGTGGTTATGTCTAACTGACTGAGCCGTTTTAGCCGCCATCAATCAAAGGCAATATTAGTCGACAATTTATGATTATTAGTTATTTAGCACTATCGTTTTGGAAAGTTTTGTTTTCTAACGACTTTATATACATGCTGTTACAGAATTAAGTGCCACATTTTCGGGGTGTCAATTCATAGGCGAATGTAAAAAAAAGTTTAAATAAACGTAGAATCGCACTTCTTAACATGCGAATTCCGGGTATTAAATTTTTTAAAAAAGTTTCTTATTGTAATTTTAATAACTTTATAAATATTTTTATGAAACCAAATGTAACGCCATTTTTTTATTATATAAACGAACAGCTACAAATTTTCTCTCAATATTACCTATTTTTGAAATCATTAAACCAGAAAATTGCATGGCTGCCCAATAGTTCTCCATTTACTTTGCCAGAATCTTTCTGATTAGTTTACCGCTTCAACTTACTAAATGTCCAACCCTTGCAACCCTTCCTTGACATTTTGAGGCGTATTTTACTAGAGTCGCGTCTTCTAGGTCTAAATTCATAACAAATATGGTCGATTAACACCACTGTGCTATGCGGCGAACTTAACCTCTTCCCATTGCCAGTTCTTCTCATACGACGCCCTACGGGGGTTGGCCATCCAAATGGCTATTGTTGCAAACGTCTGCCCGAGCCATCTGTGCAGGTCTTTCATCCACGAATTTTGTCTACTGCCGACCGATGGTTTTCCTGCGATCTTGTATTATTAAGCGGAGAATCTCATATCGCTCGCCTTTGATGATATGTTCCAGGAACTGCAGCTTTCCCTCCTTGATTGTCGTAAGGAGTTCTTTATGTTTATCAATATGTTCCGTCCAAGATATTCGCAGCATTTGTCTGTAGACGTAGATTTCGAACGCATCAGTTCTCTTTTCTGTGGCCGCGTCCATGGTCCAACTCTCGCATCCGCACAGAACTGGAGTTCCAGTGGCTAACTGCTAACTACTGCTTCATCACCGAGGCCATATGTAGATGGCGATAATTGCAGAAAATTTGCTCAATAGCCAATACATATAAAATACGACACATACAGGCATGAGCAGTAAAATGAAATTTTTGTTAGGTTAGTTTTGATTAGTTTTTGTTTGATAGTATTTTTTTTTCTTTTGTACGACTTGAACTCACGTTTCCTACATATCTCTAAAGAAGCCAACAGGATGATTGGCGAAACGTCACCAATTTCGACTCAGCAAAAACGGACGCAGGAGGAATCCAGAAGTTTTGTAAAAAGTATTACGGTAGCCTGTGGAAGTTGCTTTGAAAAAAAAATCAAACTAAGATTTTAACATTAAGATGTTATTAGATAATAGGAACGGTAAAAAATTGGTGAAATTTTCTTTCGAAACAGCAATCTCTACATAATTCGTTTTATTCTGTACATTTGACGGGATCTGGGCATATTCTGAGGACATGCTCGTATAAATATGTAGGCATATAGGACTGTATATTATTGTAGCTATGTGACTTAAATTGGGGATATCGATTGTGGTACAATAAAAAATCATCTTCTATTTGGTTGCCTATTTAACATTTACGCGCTTTACTTCCTATTAATGTAATTGACGTTTTTATGTTATTGATGAAGTGAAACTAACCAAAGAAATAATCTTATTTTATTTTATGTGGTATGTGCTACAAGTTCTAGCGCTGGATTTAACAATCAATATGTGAGCATAGCGTAGTCAGTGCGGAAAGCCCTAGAGTCGATGGCGTATTTATTATTCGCCTGGCATTGGTAGAATCCTGCATCTTTCTGCGTCGCCGGATCGATTTCCATTTTGCTCTTTATAGTATCGTTCCCTTCCTGCCATTCATGAACCTAAACGGCATTATTATGTTTTGATGAATAATTTATTGCAATTAGCAAGTTTACCTGGAAATATTTGTGGTGGTAGAGTTCGATTCCGTCCTTGAACCAAGTGATTTCAGGTCTTGGAAGACCTACAAGTTTAAAGTGTTTAGCGTTTAACTATTGGCCCATGCGATACGTGCGAATCACTTTCTGGTCTGTATTCTTTCCAGTACATTTCAACACCATCCGGAAGATTTAAATGGATTTTGGTGCATATAATTTACTTATTTTTTAGTATATGAAGTGTGGTTTTCTTGGGTTCTAAGGTTACAGATCTCAAGACGCAACGTTAGATGAAATAATGCTACACGAACTGCTTGCGTATCTTTAATAAGTAAGGTATCTGTTATTCCGATGCCCTACATAACAAAACAAGACCAAAACCAGCTATGAACGCAAAATAAAATAACAAAATCGTATTCCTTTGTGGGAAAACAGAATTGGAGAAAAGAAATGACTATAAATTTTAATAAATAAAAAAATTGTCGGCAATTTTCAAAATAATGTACAATTTGAAAATGGTCTTGATCCTTAGCGGTACTAAAGATGCGGTTTTTATCATTAAATATTTCATAACAATTGAACTCAGGAATATGATTTTCCTGTCAAAACATCCCAACTACAGCTAGTACCGTCTATATGCCAGTTAAATAATAATAAAGTACTAACTAAATAAAGTAAATTTTGATTTTTCTTGTAATCCTAAAACCGTAGTACGCGTATTGATTTTTCAAAACAAAACCACCTACTTTCATTAACTTTTATTGTGGAGCGGTAATATTAAGAGCTTGAATAACATTTCCATCCATTTATTTTGGTCATATTTAGTAAATAATTATTTGTCCAAAGGAAGTATTGGTGACCCTGTACCCACACGGATCGTTTTAAATGATTATACGTACCTTGCGCCATACAAAAAAATGTTATCTTTCTGCCTAGCATGTATTCTAGTTCAAAATGACTCGATTTAATTATTTTAGCTCCCTAAAAAATTGGTCGGTCACTACAACGACTAATATTCTCCCAAGGTACCTACATCCTTATTTTCGTAGTAATTCACAGACGCCTGATTGCGATGTTGAATCACTATTGGTATTCTGGAATGATATAGTCTGCCTCTGCCAAATTTTGCTGAAAAAAACAAGTTTCATAATATCATTTGGCAAAAAAAAAGAAAAAAAAGGAACTTTAACATTAATGCAATCAAAATAAAAATATTATTTTTAACAAAATATATCTAGTATGCAATAAGTTGTTACCTCCTCGACCACTGATTCTCCCTCCCGAACACGTTAACACAATACCCGCACAAGTCAAGACAACGAACCAATTTCTGTGCATCCTTTGTTATTTTTGCGCTTGATCTGCTTAATAAAATGCTCGTACAAACACTTTAATCAGAACCAAGTAAGTAGGCAGTTGAATGAGCAGCTACACACACGGAAATTATATGTTTATACTTTGTTAAATTATCAAGGGGGAATAGTGGCAGCTTTTGAACCAATACAAATAATATACTTTTAAATTTAAGATTGCGTTTAACACGGATACCCGGATTTTTTTGTGTTTTTCACTGGTGTAGTACTGAAAGAATTTTAATTGTAAAGAAAAGTAATGGCAATGGGGGAATCATCTCTATTCAATTTTTAACCTTGTTTCAATTTTATGTTAAATATATGATAAAATGAAGAAAACCGGAAACCTGAACATTGATTTGATTTGCTGAATTAAATTTGGAAGAGATTTTCAGATTTTTTTCAAGTAGAGCAAGGTACCCAATTTAATTTTTTCAAATCTTATTTAGAGTAAATTTTTTTTAAATAAAAGAAAAACATATGATTTAAATTACAAGTCTGCTAGGTTGATGTTAAATTTTGGAGTATTGACAAATGAAATCAAATTTTCAATCGTGATTATTTTGTATATTAATGGCTGAAACAATATGATGGTGTTTATGTACGTCTTAAGTGTGATTGAGCAATTAGACTTAATGAATTACTGTAACTGCGCAAAGTCACGCGATTTTTAACGACCCAGAACGTTCAAAACTGAAAATGCATTCTATATCTTATAGCGAAATTTCATTGGGAATTATATTTTAAAACCTTTCCTTGGTTAAATCGTTTCGCCATACCACCAGCAAGTGGATTTTGAATATTAGTCTGCATATGTAGATACAACCTAGATCTATTACACTGTTTGTACAAATTAAAAATGAAACATTAATTCGTTAATTATTTTTTTCTCATAATTAGTTTATTTTATCCATGTTAAACAATTATACCTTTTTTTCAATTCAAGCCTCGAGGTACCCCTTATTATAACAGCGTGATAAAAGTAAAGCGCCCTATTTGCACGTTGCAACCAAGTTGCTGCAATCTAAAGCTGCGACTTGCTAACATTTATAGTTGCTGCAATTTTTTGTAGGATATAGTGACCGACATCTAAAAAATAACTTTACAAGTTACTGAATGCCACTACCACCCGAAAAATAACCAAACCTCACTGTGTGTTGATAAGCCGGGTTATCCCAATCAAATTTCCTACGGCATCCTTCAGGGGTTCATATGTCTGTAGAGTGGACATGTAGGAAAAATAGTGAAGGAATGTGTGTTATGTCTTCTTATTGTTTGCGTATTCTCTCCTCCCCTGTATAAGTAAATTAAAAAAATGACGCGTACGTCGTTTTTCTAGAGGTCTTTGGAATGTACCTTTTATCAATGGCGTCTACTTAATAAACGGGACCCTTCTCCGCAAATACGATCGCACAAAGATTAATTATGACAGGCCGAACATAGATGCCGACATGGCCTTATGTGCGAATTTGCGCGATCTGGAGGTGTTCATGTACGTGTCCAACCGATATGACTTCGGTCATTTGGTAAACGCGGACACTTATGACATTACCAGAGCCGAACCTGATATGTACCAAATTTTCGAGAACGAACAAGATTGGGAGGAGGCGTATATACACCCAGATTATCCAGAAAATTTAAATCCGGAAAAGGAAAACAAACAAGTAAGTTACTTTTAATTAGCATAAGGCGCAATCACTCGTTTCAGATATTCGATTATTTATTTTGTATTGGTAATGCGCAATATGTTGCTAGAAAATAGTTTGAGGAGGAAGTGAATAGAACATACGAAACATTGTCATCTAAGTTCTTTGTTTGGTAAATTAAAGTTTATTTATTTGTTATTTGTATTACAATTATTAAACAACAGACTACTCCTTATTATTAATAATAAATCGTAAAAATGCAATGTTGCAAATTAATCGCTGAAACCAAAAGACCTTTTGAAGCACCAGTAGCTGTGATGATTGAAATAATCAAATTTTAAGAGTGTATTAAGTTTGCGCATCTGTGTCACTTGAGACTGCAATCGTAATGGCAGATAAAATTCAGTAAAAAGTACACCTCAGTTTCGCAAGGATAAAGTGCTACATTTTGGTTTATGATTTATTTCCAATAGAGCTTATGATTTATGAATTAGTTAATAGTTCGCTCATCTCGACATTTTATAGAGAGCAAGAGTTCCAAATTTAAAAAAAAAATGCATTTAAATGCATAATTTGCGAATAGAAAGTTGTAAATATCAGAAGTATCGTTAATTGACGATTATTTGCCCAAAAATTCTGCTTTAATTCTGCTACTGTTCATAATTATTTGCCAATTTATAGTCGCAATGTATACATGGCTTAATCTGGCAAACTCTCGAAGTACGTTTTTCGACAAGCTCCAGTTAAATAATCGAATGGAACTGTCTTCAAAAATAAGTTTCATTAAACTTGTAGCCTTGTCCCGATGTTTACTGGTTTCCTGTAGTGACTGAAAAGTTTACTCGTTCTCTGATAAATATGATGGAAAACTACGGAAAGTGGTCTTCTGGCAAAAACGAAGACGAACGCCTGGAGGGTGGTTATGAAGCGGTACCGACCCGCGACATTCACATGAACCAAGTGGGTTGGGAACGTCACTGGCTGTATTTCTTGCAAAAGTACGTCAGGCCGTTGCAAGAGCACGTGTTTACGGGATATTACCACGACCCACCCAAAAGTTTAATGAATTTTGTTGTTAGGTATGTAGGTGACTGACATGGAGATGTTGTATATATGGAGATAATTTTTTTAGGTACAGACCTGACGAACAGCCATTTCTTAGGCCACATCACGACAGTTCGACTTACACAATCAATATAGCATTGAATAGAGTCGGCATAGATTATGAAGGAGGCGGTTGTAAATTTATTCGTTACAATTGTAGTGTCGTTGATACCAAAGTTGGGTGGATATTGATGCATCCTGGGAGATTGACACATTTTCATGAGGGTTTACGAGTAACGAATGGAACGAGATACATTATGGTTGCCTTTGTTGATCCATGAAAGAAGAATCTCACTTTTTCAAGTTAGTTGGAAGGAACCGAAATAACATTAGTGTGATTCACGAAGTTGAATAATTGTAATATGCATTTTATATACATAGAGTTTTTCAAAATTAAGTATTAAGATTTGAGAAACATATTTTTCAGCTTGAAATAAGACATTTTTGCACTATACACTATGCAAAGTCTTACAAAGCCGGCCTTTGAGTGTTATTTTCATTTCAAATTTTTTGGTTTCATGACTAACATTTCTTTTTATTTTAAACTAGTCTACCTGTATTTGTTTAATATAAAAATTCTACCAAATTCCACACTGTAGATTGGTCACGAAGTGTTTTGTGGACACACATTTACAGGAAAAGAGTCTTATTTGTACTCGAAAAACGTTCCTTAAGGTGGGTAAAAAGAAACGATTTTTTTATGACCTGGCATACAAAAACTAGTTGCTAGTTACCTCTAGAAAGTACTTACCACGTATGAGATCTTTAATATTAATGGAAAGATTATCCTCATTATAGTTTTATATTTTCGACTTAGTCTTATATATAAATAATCATATGTAAATGCGAATTCTTTAAATTCTTCGAGCTTTGAACTGGATTATCTTTGAAATAGTTTGATTTATCAAAAAAGTATAATAGACCATTTTTGTAGATCGTTCAATTTCCTATAAAAAATATCAATAAAATGGGCTTAATATTCTATTGGTGATAGGATATGAGTATTTGTATATGAAACTAAATCTTCTCATTAATATTGAAAGCTCATAGCATGGTAAGTACTTTCTAGAGGTAACTTTTTGTAAGTTTGGTAAGTTTTTGTGATGTCGAATCCAAAAAAAAATTATCGTTTTTTTTGTACCTACCTTAATGTCCCTCAAATTTTAATACTGAATTTTGAAACAGCGTGTATATATTTCCCTTTCTCTTGCTTGTTTGAAGTGGTAACATAATACTTTTTTACCTGCAATCCATGTACAGTGTCTGTTAGAATTTTTTATACAATAAAATATCCTGCTTTTATATTCTTTTAATGTACTTAATTTAAGTTACATTAATTTTGGTTTCATTAGATTGTCCATTCTTACTACCATTTTAATTAAGTAAATCAGTTTTTTATATATTAGTTTTCAAGCTGTTTTAGTTACAATGTAAATCTTGGAAAAGCGTACTTCTTTTTCTACAACTACCAGACCATTGGATATTTTATGTGTTTTAAGAATCGAATTCTATGTTGCTTTTCTGAAAAAAAATTTATACTTGATGTCACTTCTCAATCAATACCTTCTAAGGAAAATGAATGGAATTAACTGAACAAGAAAAACTATTATATTCCTAAAAACTATTGCTAGTTTTTAGGAACTAATAACTTACACTCTCACTTGCAGTTTTCAATAATGTGTCTTACCTATAGCAGAGCATAGAAACAGACAAGCATTCCTGTAAAATATGTAAGTTAGTCGCAAATATCTGACCAAAATCTTTGATGATTTTTCTTTTAATCAGCCTGCCTGGTTTTGCCGTCGTTAATGATGATCCAAGGACAATAAATTACTGTAGAAGTGATCTCCTTCAGTGACGCCACCTATGAACTAGCTATTAGCGATAAATAAAGGACCTCCCTATGCTGATAATACAATAACTTAAAAAGCAACTACGTAAACATGAGGGTTCATTCAACATTTTTACTGCAGTGTTTTCTCAAAGTATATCCAGATCTCATTAAACCTTCGGGCAGAAAAGAGTATCCACACTGTCTATTTAGAAAGAATAAAGGAAGTGCAGTTAGGAAAACAGCCACCTGCTCTGCATCAACTTTTACTGTAGTAAGGTCACTATATTAATTGCTAATTGCATAGGAAGATGTTTTTGATGCTGTTATTTCGGCCTTTGATGCGATAATTTCGGCATGCAAGGCAAATTTTTATTAAAGAAACATAACTAATACTCAATCGTTTGTAATAAGGGGGTTGAAAGTGGCTAGTTACAAAACAATAATAAATGTTCACGTTTTAAAGCTCCCTCAAAAAGAAAATTAGTTTGGTAAAGCTAATAATATTTTAACCACTTCATGGTGGAGAGATACCGAAACGACATTTTATAGTCTGTGAATATGCAACGAATGGATTTATAACCTAAGTGTTTTATCGAAAATTATTTAAATGAAAATAAATTTAGTTCATACATTTTACACAAGTGCCTATGAAGTACACGTATTTTAGAAATGGTCAAACGCGAACGTGTAAAAATTGCTTTCGTTCATCCAGATCTTGGAATTGGCGGAGCTGAACGATTAGTGCTTGATATCGCCGGAGCTCTTAAGAAGCAAAATTATGAGATAGTATTTGTTACGAATCATTTCGAAAAATTGCACGCTTTCGATGAGCTTAAAAATGATGAGTTTCATGTTGAAGTGTATGGAGACTGGTTGCCAAGGGCTATTTTTGGAAGATTTCAAGCTTTTTGTGCATACATTCGTATGATCTATTTAGCTTTAGTTTATATTACATTCGGCGAAAGGCAAAGCAAACCAGATTTGTATTTCGTTGACCTTATACCAACAGCAATTCCATTCCTAAAGTTGACTAAGAAAAAAGTTATATATTATTGCCACCACCCAGATTTGTTAGCTTCACCCCCAGGGGGCATCTTGAAAAAGATATACCGGAAACCAATTGACTGGATAGAAGGAAGAGCAACTGCCATGTCTGATGTGATATTAGTCAACAGTGAATACACTGGATCTGTATTTAGGAAAACATTTCCAGATATTGTTAAGCCCATTCAAATATTATATCCTACTATAGCACATTCTTATCAAGAGGAAGTGAGGAAAGCATCCTCAAAAAAACATATCACTGATATTGTTCCAGAAATAAATTCCAAAAGCAAAGACCTGATAATATTTTTGTCCTTAAATAGGTTTCATCCAGCAAAAAGACTAGAGTTTGCAATTGATGGTATGGAAAGGTTACGTGATATTACAACTAGTGATGAGTGGAGCAAAATATTCTGTATAATAGCAGGTGGATATGACCCACAATCTAGAATTAATAAAACATATTTTAATGATTTAGTGGCCCTGGTAAACCAGAAATGCCTAGGGGATAAAATAATATTCATGAAATCACCTTCTGATAAAGTTAAAGTGGATCTTTTAAAAACTATCTCAGCTCTCCTATATACCCCATTGAATGAACATTTTGGGATAGTGCCATTGGAAGCAATGCTTACAGCCAAACCAGTTATTGCAATGAACAGCGGTGGCCCTCGGGAAACTGTGGATCATGGAATTACTGGATATTTGTGTGAGCCAACAGCTGAGAGTGTGGCACAATTTATGCTCCAGATTGTGAGGGCAAATCCTATGGAAATGGGTGTCCAGGGGAGGCAACAACTGGAGGACAAATTTTCCTACAATAAATTTTGCAGTAATTTGCATAAAATTGTGAAGGAAGTTACAAAAAAAAAAAACAAAATAAGTACTAACTGAATTTTATTTTTACACAATAAATTAATTTTTCAAGCATGCAACCATTAAACTTATTTCGTCCAGGACACCTTTGGAATATCAAAATGTTCTGTCAAACTGTCTAAATGCTGATTAAATTTCTCAACTCGCTCTTTATGTGTCATTGTTGCTTTTTCCAAAATCCTCTTCATTTTCTAAGATAAAAAGGAACATTTCGTCTTTTCTTGAAACCAAAAACAAAATTTACCATTTTCTCCTGCTGTTGTAAAAATGCAAGCTCGGCTTTCGTTTTTGTGATCTTCTGTTGTGGCATTTCTTCCGTCTCATTATTTTCCATGGTTTTAATGGCTTGGTCCTTCAGCTTTTTATCTTTTTTTTTTTTCTTTTTTGTGATACCCGAATCGACTTTTAACTTCAGTTTCCCTTTTGCTACGGCAGCCACTGATTCGTATGGGTCATCTACAGCCATGTCGTCCGAAATTGTTTAAAATATTTATTTACTAGGAATATGTTGCAATGAAAATAGAAAATAGAATGTAAGACATTACCGGAGATAACAATTCTTCTTCTTCTTTTACTTCTGTTAGTCAACGCTGCTAGGATCATTCGGCCAAAGATAACAATTCATTCAATTTGCGCTTCACAATAACAGTTAGGCAGAACTGCTATGATCATTCGCCCGTTGCCAAATTCCTGTAGGGGATTTTCGCTTTTGATCATAGATCAACATGTAAAAAGAAAAAATATAACCAATATTTGCTCAGCCAGCAAAAAAAAGATTTTGAGCGATATCAAAAAACCGGCAACGGCCTGTGGATCATCCGGCCAACATACCAACTAACTAACTGCGAGGCTGGTAGTACTTAAACACTTAAAAACGATCTTCAAACATTTCCGAAACAGAATCACACGAGAAAAGACCGATATCAAGGTTTTTGGGACGAATACTACGGATTCCGCAGGGAGCGAGCGGAGATTAAGCCGCCACCGCAGATAACGTTATTACTTCATTGGTTTGTACTTATTCGCCCATTGTCGAATTCGCTCTAGCAATTTATTCTGTTGGTATCTAACACTAAAGTATGACTTTTTTGAAAAACAATATTTTTGCAGAACTTGGCAATTTGCAATTACCAGCTTTGAATTGATTTTATCTTTATTAAAAGCCGATATGAGAACTTTGCTGATGGGGTAGACAAACAACAAATTGCAGTTTAAGGGGGACGTTGTTACTTTTATTTTGTACCCATTTTTTTTAGATATTTCTATAGTTATTCGTATGTTAATTATATTTTGAAGTTTTTTATGTTTAAGTAGTTTTTGATATATTTGAAAAAAATACTGTAGGTTAAATATAATTGTCTTATACTATGAAGGTAGCTAAGAGTGTTCCATCCTTTACTTTCTTTTCCACCTGCAGTAAGAATTATTAAAATTAGCCTACACGTTTCATATTAATGTTTTTGAAAGTTGGGCGTTAAAATCTACTTCCAAAATAGCATTTTAAAATACAAAAAACCAACATTTGGAATTTTTTTCGATTTCCCTGATGTTTGATTCATTTAACGGAAGATTGGATTTTGTGCGATAAACCTCGTGGAGGTTGTTATGCGTATTCTATGAACACACTCAATAGATAGATTGTGGCTTTAAAAATTCTATGTGTGAACTGCATATACAGGTATTATAATACAATACAATATGATAATAAAACACATCTAAGTTATATCTAATTTAATTTACAATACTTAACACCAAAATCCTAGTAATAATTTAATAAACTGTTCCGTACGATGACTGAAGTCCGTTACTTTGAATTATCGGACTGGACATTGATATACTCGTGGCTTGCTCAGGCCACGCTTGACTTTTGTAGCTGTTGCATGCTATTAGGCTGTTTAAAGCGGGTGGTCTACTCTGTTCAATTGATATTCCATTTCCCACCGAATGTATACTAGAACATTATTTTAAATAAAACTTCGTTAGATGATGATTATCCAGGACCTAATAAGTAGTAGGCTTTGAGGGGAGGTAGAATACTCTAATAAAGAATACTTAAAAAAACACCACACTATTATTTTACTACGATTTGTAAAAAAAATAGCGTAGACGTTTTGTTGGCGTGGTGTAGAGTATTTTAACTTGATAAATAAGTAGTTTTCTAAAACTAGGTGGTGATTTTAGGCTGTCTAGTCTGTATAAGCAATCACATTGACTAAACTAACTTTTTGCATTTGACATTGCAAAATCCTGTCAATTGCTGATCCATATGACTATTCCTCTATTATCGGCATAGGCAGGGCCTTTATATCTCTAGTAGCTATATGGTCTGACCTCTCTAGTTTACTATTTTTTTGTAACAGGAATATTGGTACACACGGAATTTCACTACCACTTTCGTTTTTGAGATACAGAGCCTCTTTGAGAATCTTGCATGCATTTTAAGGTACCCCCTGCATCTTTTCTCTTTGATAGCTTCTCGAAAAATTATAACTTTTCTATATATAACTTTATGTGTTGAATTCAGGGCCAATCTCGGAACAAACATAAGAGACAACGTCAAAAATAAATCAGACCCAACTTAATGTCATACAAGACAGTCGCAGTTATTTGAAAAATGTTCTCCAAATTCAAAATTTTCAAAAATTTAATCCATTTTCGAATTAGTAGATTATGGACATACTATTGCAATCAGTATAGCAATTATCTCCTAATCTCTATTTTTTATTCTTCTTCTTCTAGATAAACAAAAGAAATGATAATTTTAAATGACATTTAAAAAAATTACAAAGAAGTGTCAATTGGATTGTTATCAAAGAGACTCACAAAAAGCGCTGTTACTTTTTTTAATCATTCCCAATTAAAAAACTTACCAAGATTGATGATTTAGGAATATTAATTTTATTATTATGATATTAAATTAGATACTCTCGAAATTGTTTTTTACCTTTTGTTTAAACTTTCGTGCATCTTGGAATTGGACGCCAATATGCACGTGTTATTATCCACATCGCTGGTTACCTTGTCTTCTTTGAGTTCGACGTAAAGCGATTGTGATTTCGAGAATACGATGAAGATCGTCACAGCAATTCCAACCAAAATATGAATGATGACGACGAACAAAGAAGAATTGCGAAAACCGACGCTATCGTAGAGTATGCCGCTCACGGAAGGCCCGATGAAAGCACCCAAAGCAAAGCTGCTTGTCCACAATCCGGATACCAAGCCGTAGGTTTCCAAATTGTTTGGAAATCCGTGGGCGCTGTACACATTTTTTTATACTTTAATATTTTGTATTATTTGATTTGTTGGATACAATTTTTTTTAAATACAGAAATCTCGTTTTCTAGCAGCTGCAACTGGTAGTAACTTCAATTTAAAGTTTCCAAAATGGTATGAATGGAATAATTTTTAATATCATAATAAGTAGAAGTAAAACTATCCAAAACTAACCGTTTAATATTGGCTACAAAGGGTAGACAATAATATTGCACAAAAAGCATATTTCTTACTTACATACTTGTTGTAAGTGCATCACTGAACGAAGCAACTAACTGAGCTGCCATTCCAAGCCCGTGGAGTACAAGTCCTGCTATGGACAGCCACAAAGTTCTGCAAAACAATTTTATTTGTGTTTGCAATTAAATTTAAAAACATCAGCATTCTACTGTATCTAAAGATAGTTGCAAAGGAAGTTAGGGAATGTTAGCATAGATGACCGGGAGTTGACCACAACCTAGTTCGATTCTAAATATAGATAATGTAAGTATAGGTAATAACTGTGATTTTGCTGTCTACCTTTAATATTATACCTTCATAGTTTGGCAACTTTTTGATGGAGCTAGTTAATATATATTCTTATTCTATAATAATATTCCAATCTTAAAAAAATATATGAGTTCCGTTACGAACACAAGCTATCCTATAATTTTATGGAAACTATTAACTAAATAAGTATTACTCGTATTGCAAATATCTTGATTCTGATTGATTACATCTAACAAAAGAAACTAATTGTCAAAAGTTCCTAGACAATCTATAAAATTTTTAGAAAACAATATTTATTATTATTTATTTAGGTTTCATACAGTATAGAGCACCATAAAAGCTTAAGAATAAAATAATTAAAGAAGAAATCAAACTCAAACGATCGTTGATCCACCAAAAAGGACCAGTGGTATACTTACATATGAAACTATAACAAATTACAATAATTTCACATTTTTGTACCCAACGCTTAAAACATTGAAATGACGGAAGAAAAATCAGATCTAGGAAATGGCTCGGCTAAACCACACTTTGTGGTCTAGTAATTAGTGAAGAGTTCTGGCCTAGGTTAATTCGGTGGTAGTTAATAACATAATATATAACATAAAGGCTACTTTCTATTTCTTGCGTTTTGGGTTGGTACTCGTTGGTTAATTTTTGATAAGAGGAGTCGACCCGACAGTGAAGTCTGGTTTTGAAGAGTTAAAATTTTTAATTTTAAACGATTAAATAATTATGATTCCCAATGTTTTTATTCGTTTTCGTCAAAAATGTGCGAAATACTTTCCGTAATTTATAAAACAAAATAAAATATATGTGATGTTGACATGTTTTGGTACTTACGTTTGGACGGGTATGAACGGTGCAGGACCAATCAGGCAAAAACCTATTGCAACCAACACCGTCCCAAACGCGATCACAGGTTTTGGGGAGCATAGATGATCGCATATCCACCCATATCCTGGAGCAGTGACAGCATATACGCCCCCGTTGATGACGAACATCAGACCCAGGACAATGGGCGCTAGATGAAAAACTCGGAGGTGTGGTTCAAGAGTGGCTTGTAAAAATCCTATCGACATGCTAGTCACGACTATACTGGAAGCTGCGAGAATTACGCCGGGGATCTTTAATACTTTCAGAATTGATACTAAAAAAATAAACCAAAACAAATGAGGCGCGTTCATTCAAAACCAAACATATTATTCTTTCGCCAGAGCATGAAAAAGTATGAGTTTTTTGGCGACTTGTCGATTCTGTAAAAAATACCTCTTAATCTGCCAAAATTCCGATTTACGCTGCTGTTATACACGTGAAACATACACATATGAAGCAGTCGTGCAAGTAGCAATAATGTGATTAGTGCAAAGAAATTGATTTTTTATTGGAAAATAGTCTAAATAGTTTACCAGATCTTGCATAAACTGCTTACGACTCCATGGTACTAATTAAAAAAAAAAGAACTAAAAGTTCAGATTTTCACGAAATTTTATTTTGATAATGGATTTTCATCAAGTAAAAGCCTCCTCAGTTCAACTAATAAAAAAAGCGAAATTTATGAACAAAACTCGAAAACAAATGTAAGGTTGTCGTACAATAAACCATAACAACCATAAACAAATACTTTATACGATTTCTGCAAAAGTCCACAAATTTTCATCATTTCATGATTTAAAGCAGTCAAAACGATATATTATTTTCAAACTTTTCATGGCCTTTTATACATTCTAAAACAAAATAATAGGGATTTAGATTGGTGAACTTAAGGGAAAACCATTTCACTTATTCTCATCTACACCTGTTCCAAATGAGAATTATAAGAATAATTGCATGTTTTGGATAGAAACATAAACTTTGCGAATGTTTCCATGATTCACAACCATGATACTCCGTACAGGATTCAACTGATCCAAATAATTGATCCGATATTCAATAGCATCTGAAATCTCGCTTTCAACGAATTTCAAATCAGCCAATCAGCGAAAAATGATTGAGTTACGAACTAAAATATTATTGCCATTCGAGGAGCATCAATCTTTACTGAACTTAGGCCACATTATCTATATGATCTAAACTATTAAAATAGGTAGTGCGGGAAAACATTTAAATTTGATTGTGATTGTAATTGTATGTAATTGTAATAATCATTCAAGTTACAGCAATGATGGTTTAACAAATGTTGGAGGGGTCTACAGTACCACAGACATTTCTTATCTCTCGGATTAGAAGCGGCGAACTTCATTATAAAATTATATAATAGGAAATTGATTGGACCCGGTAAAACGACATTTTGTTTAGTGTTTAAATTCGTAGGATGACATCCATCAAACGCGTATATGCAAAATTTGACTTGTTCAAAATGCGATTTTCAATGTCAGGACAATTGTGCTGACATGTATAAACTAATTATTATTAGACAAGTTGGACATTATTAGTTTCTTAAAAGTTTTTATTTCATATTTTGAACAGGTGCCTTTGACTTATGCTGTACTATAATTCGCATTTGGCCAATTTTGACTCTTTAGAAAACGAAGACGTTAGTTTTGATCAAATTTTGTAAGTTCCTGACATTTTGCGATCACAGATGCAAACTACTACAAAATAAAACTGAAACGAGTTTTAATCTTCTCCTGGTTGGCGAAACGCGTGTCGAGTACCTAAAATTGAGTTTCGGTTTGTGGTAAAACGCATTATTGTGTGTTAGTGCAGTGCCGAAGGTTCCAGTCAAGAGTTTGATAGAAATAACATATTTTGAAAAATAAAACAATTAATAAACGCCGCGGGCCTCTTTTCGAAAATGTATATAAAATGACTGTGCAAATAACAAAAATTATCCACTTTTACCTCCTTGTTTTCGGTCAGTTCCATCCTCATGTTTCGGGAGTATCAGTGCAGTTAATATGGCGGAAGTAAACAATGCGCTTCCCATTACTACGAAGGGTAGCGTGTAACCTCCAACTTGGTATAAAGCCCCACCTACGGTAGGCCCGACAATTAATCCCAGTCCGAAAAAGGTTTCAAGCGATGCCTGTAACATATGTCTTGGTCTACATTATCATCATAAGACTCAAAATTTACTCACAAATGTTGTGGCAACATTTTGCGGAAATTCTTTCGCTATGATGGCAAAACTCGCAGTAAGAAAAGCGGCATTGCCCAACGCTTCGACTATTCGTATGATGAAACTTAGCACTATAAACATATACCTTCCATTGACTTTATCCAGTAATCTGAAAGTCAAGCAATGATTTGATTTAACTATTCCGTAGCTACTTTTGAAATAGTATTGAAATTTGCGATCGCTATTTTTCTTGAAAACCTGATAACCCACTAAATATTGGTGTGCAGGAGGGTAACAATGGAAATACAATTTCCCAACCTTATGAAAACTCATACTATCGACCACTGGTCCACTAGTAATGCTGAGAAAATGGAAGCTTGGTATGAAATCAGCACCAAGTCAACTATAGAATGGTTGTGCTTGGTGAAAATTGTTCTAGGCACCTAGCAAGGTTTTGCTGGAAGAGCATAAAGCAAATTGTTTTTGCTTTAGAATAAACTATTTTAGAAGAACCACAAGAATTGGTGTTATCCATAGTAAAGTGGTACTGGATGTTTTCTGTTCAAGTTGTGTACAACAAGTTGCAACTCATAACTGCATGTTTAGTTTGTGTTTTAAAGAATTCGCAATTATTTGTAGGTGAGAGGAAAAAAATTCAGCAGTTCTTATATTTTAAACAATAATCTGCTAGAATTAGATAGGTCCGAGGTTTTGATCTGTTGATCAGAACATCCAGAACTTAAAATTTTAGAGGATAGATGGAAACAACTCCTGCATCTTTCTAGGTCAAAAATATGTAGCGGTAAGTTCAGTTACGAACTCCCGTACCAAGAGTGTTTACTATGTGTCTATATGCATGGGCATAATATGTGACATATTTCTTCCGGAATAGTCAGAATAGTTAGTCCTTTCTTAAATTTTCGAATGATTTGCTAAATACTAATAAATTGCATTTTTGATATTATAGGATTGCGCGAAATGCTCTTTAACTCTCGCCCTCTGTTTTGCTTAATAGTTTTATTAAATTCTGTTGGTTAGTTTTTTTTTTTATTTATTTTTGCTTCGAGAAAAACTTTTTGACTGCTTTTTGACAATTTTCAAAATAGGCAAATTTTCATGAGGAGTCATGAAAGTCCAGACCCAGGTTCAGTCTATTCCGTATCAGATATTGATAATAGGTATGCAATTTCTGTAAAAAATATACATATTTGGAGATGTAAAGCAATTTTAAAATTGAAAATCGTTTATCTCGGGGTCAATTTTATTTAGTCTGCATTGATAACAAAACGTAACAAAATTTGGTTTGAAAAATAATTGTTTACTACGTTTGTAATTTGATTGCGTTTTTAAGTTAAGTATTATCGGTATTATCGTATACCATTTTTCCATAAAACCAACATTGCCATTAGCAAAATTTCCACAGCTCATACAGACTCAATTTTTGGATATTCTGATTTGTTATTTCTCTGTATCATTAAATTAAATTAATCAAATTAACGCCCTGTTAACTCTTTTGGTACTCCACACCAGGTAGAGACGTAGATAGTAAAATAATAGTATATTGCATTTACAATAATAATAAGTCTAAAATCTGTTATAATTGAAAACTCTTTCTCGAAATTATTTTGTGGTTTATGCCAAATTTGCAGACAATGAGAATTAGTACTACATCAGAGCATAACTGATCATGGACTCAGAAATAGATTCATATATAGTTTTACATGCAATTTTGCATTGGCTATTTGATTGTTATTAATATTTGTAAAAATAAATGAAATATAAATAGTTTTTAGAATAGAATTTAAGTTTTTTGGCACATTGTTATCTTCCTTTCTTACCCGAACAAAATCGCGCAGATCCCTGTGGTATAAATGCCTCCATTAAATGTTATTTTTGGACCTATTTTGTTAAGATGCTGGCCATACACTGGGCTGATTAAAAACACTACGAACTCGAAAATCCCGAAAACTAATCCATATTCTGTTGCGGTGCAACCCTTTCTCTCCGCCTAAAAAAATAAATAAATATTCATGTAGTTTATGCAAAATTCCGTGAGAAATTAGCATATCGCGTTTGAGTGGATTCCGCTTTGTTTAGTGATGTCGTATCGCGTGGAACCGTTTCTAAGGTATTGTTTTAATACAAGCAATAATTGGACATGACAGATCCACAGACATAATATTTATAATCAAAATATAATAATATTCATGAGGTCTGATACGTTTCGTGTCACCAAATATTAACAGGGTCTTCGCGCCTTACCAATTCCAATTTTGTTTATTTGACTCTTATTGTACATTCCCGGTTATGGCTGGGACTGAATATTTAAAAATAAAAACTACAACGAAAAATAAAAAACAGTTTCCAAAGCCAATGCGAGGGTTACGAAAAAATGTCAAAGAACCGAATTTGAAATTAAATGCCAACATTTTAGTAATATCAGGAATATTAGATTTATATTCCAACTATTACAAAATTAAAGAACCTCTGAATATGAAATATGTCTATTAATGGCTTTGATCGTGTGAGTGATGTTAAAGATATAAGTCTAACGAATTGCATCGTCGTAAGGAAGCATTTTTGGGGAGACTAGGAAATATTTTAGATGTAGAATCGTAGTCATTTCAAATAGACCAGAAAAAACTAGTAACAGTTTGGTTCAAAGCCCCTCAAAATATTGAAGGTTTTGTTTAAAACAATTTGAGCAGTTTTGGTTACCGCTTCCAAAAATATGAAAACATAAAACATACACCGCAGTGTATTGTGTATGTGTGTCTGCGCCGTGAGTAATTGTTTAGATTTTGAAAACCAAAATTATTTACAATGTTTTCTTTAGTGCTGTTAATTTTAAATAAACAATGTTATATGATATGACGCTGTTGCGTTATTTTCTATTTACAAAAAAAGTATACCTTGTATAATTGAATTTATGTTTACGTGAATTACAATTAAAAGTTATTTCGAAATGTCCAAGAATGTATTATGATGGTCTTAAGATTGTAGATGTTATTATGTTCATTAGAGTAATGTTTTCCAAACTGGGGCGACGTGGATTGGTTCTAAGGAAAGGCGCGAATATTATGCCGGGTTGACAAAAAAAAGTGCGCATCCATCTTATTAAGCGACAATAATAAACTATTGTTATTCGTTTCTTCTTGTGTATAAGAGTAATTACTCCTCTAGACAACTAAAAAAGGAAAAGGAGGAATGGGCCTGTATAAATACACTTATACCGAGGCAATGTACTCCCGAGATGGTTGGTTTCTGGCTAATCCCAGTTCGGGAAACAAGATTTAATAACTAAATTATTAAAATAATATATCACGAAAATATCGAAAAAAAAATTATTATTACTTACTTCCATTGGATAGAAGGGTGCCTGTAGTGATACACAAATAGCATTGCAAAAGTCAGCGATGCCAATCACGATCAAAGTCAACCACTGCCTTCTTGTAAACTGCACCATATTTTAATCACAGCGCAATTCCACGGGACAATTCACTTAAAAATAACTGCCACGAGGAACGAAATGGTTTCCCCGAGAAAAACTCAACTCGAAATCGGTTATCGTTTACATGTAGCTTCGATTTGATTTTTAAAACGCGCAAATACGAATTTGGAGGGTAAGCGGAGTGACAAATGTTGGTAGAAAATATTTAATTGGTTTAGATAATGTTAAAGAGCAAAGGTTCGAAATTATTTGTAAACAATTTCATCGACTCTTCGGATGATGAAGATAATTATCGCACAGAGGACGTTGCTTTTGTAATGCGCGCTACGCGTTTTCTGGGTAGTTTAGAGGTTTATTTAGAGAACGGTTGATAATAGTCAGATAAGGTTGGCCGACACAAATAAAATGTAAATGGATAGAAATAGCAAATTGATAATTGAGAAATAATTAGCTAAATCAATGTCAATTACAAAAACCAATGTTTTGCAATAAAAGATAATTCTATTCGTCCCCCAATACAACTTGAACCTAATTTCAAAGAAACGCGAATAATATTTTAATTCAATAAATCACACAGTTTATTTCCTTTATTTTATAATTTTATTTTATTTTATAAAATTTAGCAGAATTTTCTAAGGCACCATTCTAAAATACTCTAAAATTCGGTATCATCATCGGTAAAATTTTTAATAGTATAATTTTTAATATGCAAGGTCTTAAACCAAACACTTTTTTGTAAATTTCAAGGAAGTTTGGTTTAAACCTACAGCACGAAATTCTATCTATTTAAATTAAAAAACAAACACTATTTTGGGTTAGTTTACCCGTTTTGACAGTTTTTAAAGTTACAGTTTTTCAACTTTAACACTTGAAGCTCTTAATCTCATTAGGAGAGCGGTCTTCGATTCATGTGATATATTCACTCTAAGCCTGAGTGAATATATCAGAATATACAGAGTCTGTAAAATTAATTTTATTAATTATTATACTTAGAGAATTCACACGCACTTCTTGTTTGAATTTAACGATATTTATTTTTTATTTATGTTCCTAGGAAATAAATTATAAAGTTGTATTAAAACCTGTTTCTTAATCAATACATTTGTAATGATGAGAATCAAAAATCCTTTTATACCTCGGAAACATTACATAATTTTTCTTTAACCGAGTCGGACAGAATATTAAGGATAGTAAAATCGGCATTGTTAAACAAATTTCAGTTTGTAAAATTATCTAGTTTCTCGGTTAAACATTTGTTTAAACACTAACAAATCAAAATCAGCAAATAAGTATTACGTTGTGGTGGTATTATTATTATCTGGGAGAGAATCGTCGGGAATGCTTATCTGGAATTGCAGTAACACTACCAAATACGTAACCATGGTAGCCAATAGCTGAAAATGCAAAGTCAGTGAAAATTTTTTATTGGGAAATGATTCTCACCGATTTAAATAAATTTCTGTTTACGTCTATAAATCCACATAGACACATGTCTGTAGGATTCATTTCGGTTGCCCTTAGGAACATGTTGATCTAAAAATCGTGTTTGTGTTAGTTCAATTTTGACATGAAGTACCCACGTACTTCCTGTTGCGAATCATCGTCCATCCAAGACAGCTCCACCAGAAGGATTTTCTTTTGAAAATTGGTACGGACCTACAAATGTATACACAGAATATTTCTTAACTTCTTTCAAGAGAATAAATTGTGTGCTTGTTAATATTATGAACGCGATATGTTAAAAGAGGGCCCAATTTAGCACCAGCTAGATTAACTTACGTAGTCCAGCGGCCTCTCGGAAGATTTCTTTTTTCAATTTTAAAAAACTTGTAAACATGAAAATTTTCTGACAAATACATTTTTTTTGTCCCATGAATAAATCTTGAGGGTACGCGGAACCTTTGAACTTTAGAAACTGAATCACAGTAACTTTTTTTTTTGGTATTTTAGTTTATTTATAAGCTTTGCTTGATTTAAGTGCGTAAATAGAACTTTAACACACCTGTTAGATGGATTTTTACTAGTTCATGGACGCTATTTCGAGAAATTTATTTGATCCTTATTAATTTGTTTTGTATTAAATTGAATAAGATCTAACTATTCAGAAGGGTTTAAGTTTCTTTTAAGAATTAATGAAAAATGCACAATCACTTCAGATCATTTCTCTGCAAAGGATACGAGCGCACTTAAATTTTGCTGATTTATTAAAATATGAACAAATCCAGACTGTTTCATTAAAAGTACTACACAAGGGAATGAAAATGGTGTATTCAAAATGCCACAAATAATTTCTCGCAACCTGAATATCTTAAAGCACTTGAGAGGGAGCAAAAAATAATTCCTGTTTCATTAAATTCATGCATTAATAAGTTAGTAAAGTTGTTTTTTTCTGAAGAACTGATGTTATTTTATTTTTTAAGTTTTACAGTTTCTCATTTAATTTAAGATTTACGCTATTTTTTTTTACGCAGTAACTGACCATATCATCTGGATTTTCATTAATAATTATCTTATTGTGACGATACTAAACTGGAGAGATTTAAAAAGGTCAAATTTTAAGTTATGGAACTTTTATTGTTAGAAAGAAATATTTTAACAAGCACCTTCCGTTTATGTCGGGTATTATTAACGAAACACCCTGTTTATGGTTCGCAACCTATTATTCTTACACAAGCTGAAGCGTAATGGGCCTCATCGCAAATAAAATACAGCATCATCACAGCCGAACTGGCCGTAATGGTTAACCCTATATCCTTGGTACCCATTCCGCTCTGAATTTGTGACAATAATCCGTATATGGTCAGAGTGACCACAAAAAATAGGTACAAGCAGAGAAATAGCAACGCGTAGCCGAAAGAATTCCCGACATTTCGTATTATCCTGCTCAACATCATCCACATTGAACGATAGTCGGCGACTTTTATTGAAGATTCAATATTTTTGAGGGCCTGTTGAAAATCTTCAGCTATGATGGTAGCGACTTTGCCGATGATGTTGCAATAGATGTACCAAGCTCCTCCTAACATGTAAGTTACCACATTGATGTAGCAGTAAGGTATTACCTAAACAGAAATTTATAATTGGTTGGGATTTTGGTTCGAATTTGATGATAAAAACTAGAATTGTGTAAAGTAATAGAAGTTAGAGGTGCATCTTCCTTAAAATCATACGGGTGTGAACTCCAAATACTTATTCTGATTTGAATTGTACACTCTCAAATTTCGACTATAGACTGTCTTTATTTCATTTAGTGTATATGCACACCTTAGTAGTAAGACATGAAAATAACTTTTACTCGAAATTGCTGTGTTCAAAAAACCCAAAAAAAATTACAAAAGAAAAATTATTCCTACTTTGATTTTGATTTATTGAGTACTTGATCATTTAACTAATACTTAAAACAGTGCTTAAACTACCTTGTTGACTGCAGAAATATTATATGTTGAACGAGGTAGCAGTAATTGAAGTGGCTTAAAAGGAAATACCTATTCCTAAAATACATAGAGCAAAATACATCTTTGAGCCATGGTAGACCGAATTGCGATATCTTCACTGCCGACTATGTTATAGGTCGTTTTCCAATTTAAAATTTTTGAATAGAATAAAAATACTATTATAGCACTTAATTGAGTCAAATGCGGCGGTTGCATTAAGATAGTTGAAATTATAAAAATATTTCGCAAGATATAGGGTATTTCTTGAGTAATCTAAAATGATAAAATTTAAACTGTTCTGTTAGTTCAATTTTGCTTGAAATCCCTCATACATAAATAAGAAACACCTTCCGCTGTTTTTCATGACAGACACCAAGAACCATATAACACGGGAATCTGACTTAAAAAAGTGCCCTAATAATTTTTTGATAATATAATATAATAACAAACCAAATTTGTTATGATTAAGCGATTTCGAAATTTCAGGTGCCGTATTGCTACTCACCTTAAATACGACAAAGTTTGACATAGTAACGTGGGTGACCACCATAATTCCACTGCCAATAATAGGCAAAGCAATGGACAGTAAAAGTGGTTTGTTTGCGAGAAATAGGTCCAATTTCTTCTTAGTGGTACTGTTATATATTTTTTCGAATGATATGATCTGGTTGAGGACTTCAGCTTGTTTCTTGGCCTCGTATAAACCTATGACGTTAGTCACTATGGGGATGAGATAAACTGTAAATAAGTAATCTATAACAGCTTCCTCAAACCGCCCCTCTCCGGCTTTGGCCTCTTCTACTTTATGGAGTTGTATAAAGGCTGTATAACCTGAAATTTGGTTTTTTATTTCTTTGCTTGCTTTCCCCGCAATAAAAATCTGGAGGATCAGACTCAATATTTAATTGCAAATAAATAATTGCGACATATTGTTATCTGAAATGAGTAAATCAGATATGCGATACTAGTGACTATTTCGAATAAGTACAATGAAATATATAAGATATGGTCCCCAAAAGAGCAGCTAGCTAAATATAGATAAATAATTAAAGACACGCCACGAAATATGCGTTGTAGTCTGTCTCCATCCTCATCGTGCCAGCTTTTGCCCACAACTATGGAAGTTACTGCCCACGGCAATAAAACTCGGATCCGGTAGACATTAAAGGACAGAACATTGGGGACGTACTCTCCAAGGTTTTTGTAATAATATAATAATTATATAATTTTTTTCCTTTATTTAGGGGGGTATAATCTTATTAAATAATCTTATTAAATTAATTCATAGCAAAGAATATTTAGACATAATTAAATTTTTATTCTCAATGTCTAAATCTAATGCTGTAGGATTTATGTTATTTTGTATAGAAATGTGAGAGTCCTCAATTTTTATAAAATTACATTTTTTATCACATTTTGATTTTACTTGGTTTGGTAAAACAGTATGTCCAACCATATTATCGCATATCGCATTATGGTGATGCGTTTTCTTTTATTTGAAATTCCTTTCGTCTGACAGTTTTGAGTGGAATCAACGCATCCTTTAAATACATCAACCCATGTTTCATTAAGAAAAGTGTAAGTACGTAATCTGTGTGATTCCATTACTAGTTGCCTTTTGTCTTGGGGTACTTAACTCCCATTTTACAAACAACTCCATGGGGGGTGGCACGACTTATATTTAAATTGGTTAGTTTCTTCTTCTTCTAACTTCTTTTTCAGTTTATTCATGTTAGGAACAACTTCGCTTTGGTAAGGACAATATATTTTCCTCCTCCTCCTGCGTCGGTTTTTGCTTAGTCGAAATTGCTGACGTTTCGCCAATCATCCTCAGAGCTTGACTGAAACTGAAACTGAAAAAGTTTCAGTCAAGTTCTGAAGAAGCCAACCGACGCAGGAGGAACCCAGAAGTTTTGTAAAAAGCATCTGGTAAAATAACTTTTTCAAAACGCACAGTAAAAACGATTATTCAACACTGCCGCAAATGATCAACACTCAAGAAATATATCATAAATAAAGAAATACACCTGGCCCACCTCTGCCTTGTCACTCAAGTGCGAATAAATTCTTTGTTAATGGCTTTACCCAATAACAGCGTCCAAAGCCAATACGATGAAGATTAAGACAAACTATTTCCAGGAAAGGATTTGTATTGGCCCGAAATGTTCATCAAACGTTCTTCAGACCAAAACATTTTGCTATCAGACGCCTTCTTGTAGGTTTTTTAGGGGAATACCAAATACAATTTTCCTACATTCATTTTTAAATTTCTGCAAATTACATTTGGTGACCCATTATTTTCCACGTTTGCAAACTCCCCACTGCCAAAATAACATTTTCTCGAGTTTTGTGTTCTGAACTATTTCAAATTTCACTTCTTGTGTTCATATTTAATTATCATAAAGAGAGCAATAAGTATTTGATCAAATAGGTTCAGAGACTCTAACAAATGATATTTAGGGTATTCCAGTAAAGAGATCACGCAGATATGAACTACTCTGGAAGTTTTTTACGAAGTTTATATCCGACTAATAAATGGACGCGACTATCAATGCATATAAGTTATGTTGGTACTAGTTGGAAACTTGGATGTTAAAAATTAACAACATGCAGATTTTTTGATGCATTTAGTTCATGCTATAGTAGAATATTTACGCACCCATAATAAATAATAATAAAAGCACAGAATAAACAATCCAGTGAATGGTCACGAAATATCCTCGGTCCGAGTTCGCTACCGGAAGCAATCCCAATATTCTTAACGTTCTTAGGACGGGCTTTAAGTAGTTGATAACAATGCTAAATTCATAAGATTCGTTCTCGAAGGCATTGATTTTACCTCCCCGCAATTCGGTTTTGTAAAAGTCTGTTGGTGCAGGGGCTACTTTTACCAAGTTTTGCGATTGTTTCTGAAAGAGGGGCATACTCCCTTCCAAATATATATTTCTTTCATCATCCGCATTGGTCACTACATGTGGGTGTCCTGAAATTGTAAGTTCTCGGGCGAACATTTTGACAGAGTGCTTCTGAATATCTGAAACTGAAAATTCCATCAATTTAACTGAAATAAATTAACACTTCACTTATAAAATACAGTTCTGAATTATTGAAGTGAGTATTGTTGGGGTTTGGTTAGGAGGTAAGGTAATATAATTTATGTCTAGTTAGCAAATCACATGCCTTCCAATTAAGAAATTATTATCGCAAACGCATAAACAAAAGTGTCATGCAATAGATTTCTTTCAGAAATACTTTTATTTGCTTGCAAATGTACGAAAACTACATCTAGGGGACTTTTCAGAGACCTAAAAACTATAAAGAGTATATATAAATATATTTTTTACTTTAAAGTTTTCAAAATAATTTAAATTTATTTATTTTTTTGTCATATTGCAGCTTATACGAACTTGAAATCAAAAAGCGAGTCTGGTAAATGAATATTGGCTGGAATGTAATTATACCAAATTGCACAGGGTGGTTGTAATTGCAATAATTGGGCTCGATTTTTGAGAAATATTTAATGGTAAAGAGCCCATGGCGGTATCTTAACTACCTACCGATATATAGGGCGTTATACATACACAAAAAATTGGGTACTTCTATACCATTTTTCATTCCAACAACCGCCACTACATTTACGACCATCCTGCACAAACCAATATAAGGTGGAAAAGAATGTTGCTACTTAAACTGTGCTTATTACCTTTCAATTTAACAAGAAATTTATCCTAGACATTTGTACATTTGTACTGGAGCCACTCGGTCGATTCTGTCAATATAACTTCAGAATTTAGATGCCTGTGAAAACAGAGGTGTGTTTAAAAACCGATTAAGGTAATTGGTTCTGCTAATTGCTTCTTTAATTATGCACAACATACGAACATACTGGGAAGCATAAATTTGTAAAAACAGGAAAGCACCAGAAACCGTCTTTCTATTGGCAGTTGTTTAGTTGGGTGCCCAAGTATGATTTGTGTTTGTGTTAAAATCAAAATTATTACAGGAGCTTATAGCAACGATTTGTTATAATTCCGGAAAAATTATATAATCAAAATTCATACTATTAAAATTTCGGAATGTACTCAAGAATTTTATTTTTAGTTTTTATTTTATGCCTAGTTTATGTAAAATCCCATACCAATAGTTTTAGATTCCGCTTTTCCAATTTTGGAGAAAGTGTGGACACATTATTCCATTAGATTATTTAAGTGTCTACAGGATAAGCACGATGATCTCGTAAACGGTAAGAGCTACGTGAAAAGAGAAAAAGGTTCATTGTCACATCCACCAATTTGCTGGTTAGAAAGATAGAAATGTCTAGTAGTTCGAAACACATGCGGAGAATAAGTTTGCGGATTGATATTTCCATTAAAAAAAATAACACAATTTTGATAGCTTCGGATTATTGGGCCGAAAACATGAAAATGCTGCCAAATTTTCTTTCATTTAAACCACCTTATATTATATTGAAAGAAAGTAATCAAAACACAGAATGTTTTTCCTACAAGACATTTCTTCCGATTTTTCATTGAAATTCATAATTCATAATTATTGAGATATTCGTAGGCTCAATTTAATTCAAAATGATTGAAAGTATTCCTTACGAACAACAAAAATAAATTTTTGAAAAAGCATTACAATCAAAACTATTTGAATTTGTTTATTATTTTACTTTTTTCTACTCCCGTCTGTAAAATGCCTAGTTACACACCGATCTAGGGTGCGAGAAGCGTCACACGAATGTATTCGCGAATTGCGAAAATGTACCCAAAATCTAACGGTCGTAGAAAATATATAGTATGCAGCACGTTCGGTAAACTTTTTAAGTCACTCGTTTATTAAACAATCGCTCCGCTGCGCTTCGCTCGTATCAAATAAACTCGCCAGTCAAATGTTTATCGCACTTGTTGCATAATAAACTATTACTACATAGAATTTAGTAATGTAGGTAAAATTTGATTTTTTAATAGTATATTATGCAACAAGTGCGGTAAACGGCATTTGACTAACGAGTCTATTTGACACGAGCGGAGCGAGTTTTTAATAAACGAGTGAGTTAAAAAGTTTTTCTACTCCCTTCTGTAAAATACCTAATTACGCACCGATCTAGCGTGCGGCAAGCATCGCTTTTCGGACATTTCCAGGATTTTACCGCACAGATTTGGGGGCAATCGGATATTTTCGGAGATATTTCCCACGCTTTGAATTTTGATGTTTGTCAATTCTGACGGTCATGTCAGTGAATGTATTCGCGTTGTTTTGCGAAAACGTACCCAAAATCTAACAGTCGTAGAAAAATTATAGTATGCAACACATTCGGTAAACTTTTTAAGTCACTCGTTTATTAAACACTCGCTCCGATGCGCTTCGCTCGTGTGAAATAAACTAATATAATATACTATTATTACATAAAATTTAGTAATGTAGGCAAAATTAGATTTTTTAATAGTATATTATGCAAAAAGTGCGATTAACATTTGACTCACGAGTTTATTTGACTTAAAAAGTTTACTGAACGTGTTGCATACTATAATTTTTCTACGACCGTTAGTTTTGGGTACATTTTCGCAAAACAGCTCGAATACATTCACTGACATATCCGTCAGAATTGACAAATGTCAAAATTCAAAGCGTGGGAAATATCTCCGAAAACATCCGATTGCTCCCAAATCCGTGCAGTAAAATCCCGGAAATGTCCGCAGTGGTTCGGATCCGTGGGAAACGAAACTGACGTGGTAAAGTTACTCTTGCCGCACGCTAGATCGGTGGGTAATTAGGTATTTTACAGACGGGAGTAAAAAAAAAATAATTATTTAAACATTGCTCCATTTTCTCATAGCATTCTTTCTATAATTCAATTTATTTGTAAAACAGAATTTTCGAAATTTGGATATTCAACATTTGCGCTTAGCTAAAGCACAGGTTTTTTAAAAATTTTTGCGTTAGATTAATTGATTCTCGAATTTTCTTGCGAATCGGCCACAACAGTTTCTCGAATGATGTTGATATAACAAACCTCGCTCTTTTGAAATTTGTTTGGTTCGAAATTAGTAGCATCAGTTTCAAACTAAATGAGTTCCGCAGTACAGCTAAATCGAAATCTGAAGCCATATTGAAAGTACTGCCATATTTATTAAACTGAACTGTTCAATTTGCGCAAGAACTTTTTTTTTAATTTAAAATGTTGATTTTAAATCATTAAAGCTAACATTTTTTGCTTGTCGATTAAGAACTTTCTGTACGTTTGGAAAAATTTTCCCGTAAAAAAAAATTAATAATGTGGATACATAAGTTCACCTTGTCCAAATTATCTGCTCCGCCTTGGTAGTTAATTCCAGAATTTAGTTTTGCAATATCCCCAGATAATATGAAATTGGACTTTCCCTGTCTATGCCTATTATAAAAATTTTATGTCTATCGAGTTGTTTATAGTGAAGTTTTACAATAATTTTCGTCTAAATTATTTCTTATAATTATGTTTTACAGCTTTATTTCGTTTATCGTAGTTCCAATTTACTTAATTTTTTGTGATTTCAATGTTTTTATCAAGTTTACCTTTTCAGTCTCTTTTTATATTTAAGAGATTTAAAGAATCATGTCGTTTACTTTTTCTAAAAAGAAATAGGGAAAGGAACAATAGCTAAAACGTCCAAAATTTTTCTGTTTTGTTAAAGATATATTTAATCGCTGGGTACAAGTTTAATAAATAATTAACTGATCTATAGGTTAAGCTTAGCGAGCACGTTTCGATTCACTATACCGGGTGTTTCCGTGTACTCTGTACTGATCCCTTTTAGAGCGATAAATTGCTCAGCGATTTCGACTGCTACTCGTATCTGAGCTTCAGCGGTACTTGCGCCAAGGTGAGGGGTGGCAACTACTTTTTCATGTGCAATTAATTCCAAAGTGACTGGACTCTTAGGAGGCTCTTCTTCGAACACATCTAGGGCCGCTCCTCCACACTGTCCCGACTTAAGTGCGGCAAGTAGATCTGGTTCACTAATAATTCCACCTCGCGCTACGTTTACTATTTTGACACCTTTTTTGCAGATCTTAAATACGCTTTCGTTTATCATATCTGAAAAAAAGGCAAAAGTTAATCATTTGCCTCTACTTTTAATAAACTAATTGTATTGTTTCCAGATGTTCATATTATTCGCTTAGCTAACGTTTGCAGCAATATATTTGTTATGTAGTATAAAACTAAAGAACTAACTGAAATTATACAATATTTAATTTTATTGCATACTTCAAAATATTACATGATCCCTACAATTTAAACTATCGAACATTTTACTTTATAAGATAGGTAAGTTAAGACCCAATAACAGAAAATACTGGGTACGCTTAGAAAGCGAGATAAACTTAATGGTTGGTTTGAGTGAAACTACGCTGATACGCCATCTTCCTCTTTTACAAAAATTTTATGCAATCGGCTACAATCACCAGTTTGATAGATGCACTGGTTTTCGGATTGTCGGATTGTGGTAAACTTTACTTTTTCTAAATACAGTTGCACGAAATATTTGAAAAAGTTATTGGTTACTTACTTCTGGTGGCTGGAATTAGAGGCGTGTGAACGGTTATGTAATCTGCAAGCGTCCATATTTTTTCTAAGGGCAAAAATTCAACGTTGAACTTTTTGGCGTCCTCTGCAGAGACCAATGGATCGTAACCTATCGTCTGCAAATGCATAAAATCTATTTTAATGTTTCAAAAATTACCATTTTTTCATTTATTAATAAAATGAATTGAGATATATGCTAGAGTGATGACTTGAAATTAATTAATTGCTTAACACTTGTTTCTCTTGAAATAATTTAGTAATATACTCGCCGATGGGAAGGATACTCATACTATGAGCTAAATAGATCTAGGCTCATGCCGATTATGGATTACTGCTCCTTTACTACGCCGTCAACAAAGCAAAGGTCGAGGATTCATAAAAAAAAATTGTAATTTGCAAATTGTTTTTCTATTTTTTAAAGTCAGGATAAAATTCGGATTTTGCGTATATGTGATAAAAAACAAAACTCTTATTCTAAACTTAATTTGGTTACGTAATAGCACTACTTTCTGTTCACAAACAGAAGGAAGCAAGACACCTGTTCTAGGGGGAGTAACGCTGAAGTCAGCTCTGTAGGTGATTCGAGCTCATGAGGGCTTGATTCAGGAGAACAAGAAACAATTAAAGAGGTACTGTACTTCTTCAGGAGTATAGAGCTCTTGCGGGGAGAGCGAGTCAAGGTGTGTGCGCATAGTGATCGGGAATGTCCTAACGCAACAGGCACATCGCAGGTGGAAATAGAAAGGAATAGAATAATAGAAATGCAGTAGCGACATATCTGCATTTGCGTTCAAATCACTGACTGATTTCGTCCAAAATACGTTGAGTAAATTTTCAGCATTGGAGTGGAAATCCAGATTTGTTTAGACAATACTCATACCGAGGCCTATACCAATACGATTAAACAATTTTCCGCTAACAGTTTACCTTCATTCCCCAAGATTGCATTCGGAGAGCCACTTCCCTCCCGATTCTTCCCAATCCTACAATGGCTAAGGTTTTGCCGGAGAGTTCGCGCCCCGCATATAGTTTTCGGTCCCATTTTCCGCTTTTGAGAGATAAATTGGCGGCAGAAACATTTCTAGCGAGATTCGTGATCAAAGCGCAAGTTAGTTCGCAGGCGCTAATAGCATTTCCTGATGGGGCACTGTGAATCAAAAAAAATTAATCAGATTAAAAAATATATCGACAGAAAACGGCAAGCGTATGCGAAATAGGAGCTATTTTTAATACAAGTGAACCAAATATCTGACGTGCAACGAAAAGAAATGGTAATCATTTTTTGCACAAGGGTGACGGTCAATAACGCAAATGAAGGAAGCGAATATATAAAATTTGCTTTACAATGAAGTCAAACAGGCGTTGCCAAGACACAGTGCACACAAATCGGGCGATAAGGTCACGTGCTGTACCTGTATTTAATTTGTCTCTAAAACCACTCTTTTTTCAAAAAAGAAAATTACATTTGTCTTAAATGATATAATTAAATATGTAAATCAGTTGAATAAGTTATTGTAGTTTAACAAGTTCGTATTCCGAGTCACTTTCTTATCGATAACAGTTATTCTCGACTAATAGACTAACTTACTTTAGCACAATGACGTTATTTTCTGTAGCGGAATTGACGTCGATGTTGTCCACTCCAACTCCAGCTCTGCCGATCACTTTTAACCTTTTTCCAGCCGCGGCCGAAATGATTTCTGCAGTAATTTTTGTATCAGATCGCACGATAACCCCATCATAGTGCTGAAACGAAGAAAATATATTTTTTTTAAGTAAGCAATAAGAGTACCCAGAACATTTATTTAAAAAAATATTAAGGCAGAATAAAACGTGACAAGGATTTTTTCATGTGGTGTAAGTTATTAATCCAGAAAAAAATCCATACAAATTAATAGTATATCAAGCAACAAGTGCGGTACACGTCATTTGACTCACGAGTTTATTTGACACGAGCGGAGCGAGTTTTTATTAAACGAGTGAGTTAAAAAATTTACCGAACGTGTTGCATACTATACTTTTTCTACGTCCGTTAGTTTTTGGGTACATTTTCGCAAATCAGCACGAATACACAATGTCAAAATTCGAAGCGTGGGAAATATCTCCGAAAACATCCGATTGCTCCCAAATCCGTGCGGTAAAATCTCGGAAATGTCCGAAGTGGCTCGGATTCATGGGAAACGAAACTGACGTGGTAAAGTGACGCTTCCCGGACGCTAAATCGATGGGTAATTAGATATTTTACAGACGGGAGTAGAAAAACACTTTTTTTAGAATAAATTTGTTGAATAAAAAACTTTAGTCAGCGACTTAAGTAAAAATATAAAATTCATAGTTGCAAATTTTTGAACATTTAATGAATATTCACTGGGCTTGTTTTAAAATCAAATCAAAGTTTAAATTTAACATGTATTAAAATTGAAACTATAATAGTGAGGTGTAAGTTATACATAATACCAATGCTTGAGCTAAAATTCAAATTTTATTGCGTTCAAGTGCCTGATGGATTTCGATGTTTATAATTTTAAGAATGTTAGCAGTGATCGTCTAACCAACTTAAATACAACAACAATTAATTCGACCAATTTAACTTCAAAATATTTATCTACTTTAAACCAGCTAAAATCATCATTTCGTAATAAGATCCATAAAAGCGAAATTAACGACTTTTCTTTGGCAAGCGGCTAAATCGCGTTTTTATAGTTACACCAACCGCCAGAATACCTTCTGAAAATAAATTCCACATTTCGCATACTATCGATAGGTAGGTAGGATTTTACCTGTATTTCCTATATACCAAAAATTAAACACTAGTGATTTATAAAGAAAACTGTTGGAAAATACATAAAATTCCTCCGCTAGGGTTACAGTAAAATGATAAATCTCCCGTCATTTTAGCAGATACTGAATAATTTATTGGATAAAAAACTTAAATGCTTTGCCCTTGTTTAAATAAATCAGCTAAAACTTAGAGCAGGCATTCGCATGAATTTGCCTAACACCTTGTACACCATTTAAATTTGGACCGGATTGGTAAACGAAGTGTAAAAAAAAACTACAAAGGTGTGGGCAACGTAAACGGGCCTGATTTTTTTTAATTTTGACTTACGTAAAAAAAACAAAAATTAATTATATTTTTAAAAATTGAAATAAGTCAATCACCTATGTATGTGTGTGGATCATAATTAAAAATTAAATAGACTTTCTAACCTTTTGTGCAATTGCTTTAAATAGCGATTCTTAGTGTGTTGTTTGTTTATTCGATTTATTTTTGTGTCCGTAAAATAAGACTTTTTCGGAAGGAATACTAGAAGTTAGATGTATATAGCCTTATTTCATACGAGACCTACAACAGACAACAACTTGAAAACGGGTTTCATTGATCTGGAAAAAGATACTATTAAATTTATATATAAATATTTCTCACATGTAAATATTCCCATAAAAGCAGTATAATTATCGAAAAATTACCAGCAATAATTGCAGGAAGCAATAAAAAATTATTTATCAGAAATCGATAACATCACATCAAGCAACTGATGAAATGTTGATTTAAGTAAATTTTCCTACGGCAACGTAATTTTTAAAATTCTTCAAAAAATGGGCAATTTATAATAAATTCCACAATTTTTTATTTTTGAAGTCACTCCGTATTAACTGCAATTTATAAAAATAAAATAAATATAATAATATAAAAAAAATTAAATTGTATTGGGGAAATATTGACATCAATCACCTTCATATATTAAAATCAATTAAATTTAATTTGATTAATAGAACAACATACATTTTGGAGCGTTTGAAAAAACTGCTAATAACAAAGAGTTCGAATGATTGCTGTGTCAACAATACTATGACGATACGTTTACGAAATTTTTATATCACTAGTAGAGCATTTTATTTCCATTTTTAGAGATCTATATACAGGGTAGTTCACTACTGCGGAATTCTTTTATATCTCCATTTTTAGCCAAAAACTTTAAATACAAAAGTTGTTTGTTTAAAAGTGCTTCCTTATGTTAAATGGAACTCCCGGTAAATTATTTCATTATTGTATTGCTGACAAAACTTCATGGTTGCTATTGGTTTTCGTATACGCAATTTCAATAGTTTCTTCGATATACTGATAATTTTAAAAATCTTCACTGCGCCATTTAATCATTTTTGACTAGTCGTAATTACCTGTATGTCGGTGTCCAAAACTTACGAACCAATTACATCTTTTTCAAATCTGCAAAACCTCATTTTTCAAATATGGGATCAATAAATTGACACTTTTCTTATTATTTCATATCGTCTATCAAAAGTCAATAAAACCTCAAAATTCTTTCTAGTTAGTCTAGATTTTGACAAAGGTGTAAAGGGACTCTAATACTGGGCATCCAGAAGTTCCGATTTGTACTCCGCGGCTGTATAAAAGAACTAGTGTGCTCTAGGTCTGTACAAACTAGAAAGGAATTATAAAATTGTGTTAACGATGCTATTACAAAGCTAAACGCAGATTCAAATGTTATTCTATTCTAATGGTTTCGTTCAATATCAATTTCGAAAGCATCATTCTTCTGTTCCCCGCATTTACTACCAGTCAAAAATAGTCAAATTTTTGAATTAACCAAGATCGCGAAGAAACTATTGAAATTAAGTATAAAGAAACCATTAAGAAAATTAAAAAATGAAGTAACATACCCGGTGTTGAGAAACAAAATATTTTCATTACATGCAGCACTTTCAACTACTTTCATATTTAAAATTTTTCTCTAAAATAAACTCTTATGGAGATAAAAAAGAATTTCGCATTAGGTAGCTGTCCTGTGTATAGAAAATAACTGTAAAATAGTTCTTATCTAAAACTCCTTGTACCTAACGTTAATCTGCGGGATATAAAAATACAATAATAAAAATACAAAAAATAAAAATCATTTGAGTCGCAAATGTTCTTACCACTGTAAGTTATACCTTTGCAAAAACAGTATCGCACGACGCTGCGTATTTTTCCGCGTGTCGCTGCGAACTATCTGTCACGCGTACCCAAGCTCGAGATGTTTTGTTAACGATTTGGGCATTATTTGTTAGCTGATGCACTTCAATGAAAAATATACTAAAACTAATATGTGAGAATTACCTTAACTAAGTCGATTAATTCTTCTTTTGATAATTTATATTTACAGTCGACTTGGACGGAATGTTCCTTCAGAAGCTGAATGCAAGCAGAGTCCACTGCATCGGCGATCAGTACTTTTTTAATGTCCATTTTGTGGTGCGTTGTGCGCAACTCCGGTGTAGTTACTGACGGGTACCGCTCGTCATATTATATCGTCGAACCGGAGCTGGTTTTGCAGAGTACAAAATAAGTCAAAGAGCAAAGCAACGCAATATTCTGGTTATCTTATCACGGAATGTGGACCGTAAATATCCCCGGGGGGCATACGACAAGACGTGTTCCATAGCCGTGCGCTTCTTTTTTAATTCAGGTTAAAATTTAATAATAGTAAATCATACTACAAACACAATAAAACAAAGCAATATTCAGACAAAACTGAAAACTGCAATTGACTAAAGCACATTCAACTTATGAAAGCACTTTGAGAAAACGGAAAGAAAGCAACTCCTCGACATGCAATGTACAGTTCTGTTGATTTAATGGATTTCAAAATGTATTTATTTGTTCATTTTTTTTAAAAAAACGATTTATCTCGTCTCACATATTGGCGAATTTGGTTAAAAATCATTGATTTCTTTAGTTGTTCTTAAATAAAAAGCACGCACGATGAGTTATAAATCTTAGTGGTGCTCCACGTTTCGAGGTACATTTATTTTTCGTTGTTTATGGTTTTAAAAGCATTAAAAAAATGTTGAGCGCGGTCATATCTTGTTACAAGAACTGCTATAGATAAATTAATATAATTTTTCAATTCTTCTATTAAATTTTGCTTCCAGAATTATTATCGGAAATTAAGCAGTATTAAAAGGAGAATTAAAATAAAAGACAAAATAAATGAAAAAGTTGTTTTCTAACGAATTAAAAATATATAGCAGTTATATCGAAAATATTTTTGATTAATTACAATTATGTTATCACATTTATTTGTTGCTGCAATTTTCACTGTAATCAATTTTGTCACACTCTCGACAATATTTGTAGACTAGGTATACATTTATTCTGGATGGTTTCACACTTTGGCTAAAGGTCACTGACCATGATTTCATTTCATTTATTTCATGTATTTTATGAACCTTACAAATGTTTACTAAATGCCAAATTGGAAGAGGCTGGTTCGTTTTTTAATGAAACACCCTTTATTTCATTTTCATCATCTTTAATAATGAAATGTTAATTATATAATGTTTGTAGCATTTCCTCAAGTGGCCTTGGAAATAATTTACTTAATTATAATAAACACGTTTCATTATTCTGGGCTATACCTACATTTTATTTAAAATAGTTATATGAAATGTCTTAATTATATGTTCCAAACATTTTTAGAAATTCGTGAGACTAATTGATGAAATGTTACAAACATTTACATCGTAACCCTACAGATATAAATGAACTTTATCCTAATCATGATAAGATATTGCAACAAACAATGCTGATCGCTTTGGTAATTCTATATTTCTCTTAAAAGAATTCTTTTCGTTGTCATTTAGTTATTCACTTCCGATTGTGTAATATATCTCCAAAGATATATTGGGATTTCATAAATTGTTGTTTGGATTATTGATAAGTCACTTGCGCACATGCAACGTAAATTTGGTAATCTTGTTTTGAGGTTCCTCAAAATTTTGTATTCAGGGGCGGCACGCGATCTGCTAGTCGCTAAAGAACAACAGCCAGTATGAAAATATTTGTCAGTTTTGTTTTTTTTTCTACTTCTTAGTAGAAAATACCTAATTAGTCACTGATTTGTTAAACACCCGCTCCGCTCGTGTTAAAACGAACTAGTGAGTAAAATGGCGTCTCTCAGATTTAATAGAGGAACGGCAATTATTTGTATTGGAGTGTGTTGAAAAAAAAAAGCGCCTTATCTGTTATTGTTTTTTTGAGCTTCCAAGTATATTCCCCTATTCCCTCTGAATTCAAAAAGGGTAATTTCATGTTTTAGTCATATGAAAAGTATCAGATCTTGTTACCCGTGTAGTACGTAAATTCAAAAGCGATTCTTCTTACTATCCGATTAGATACATTATCCATTTCATCTTCATCAACATGAATGATTTGTAGTGTAGTTGCGCATTTTCGCGGTATAAAACACTTACAACCAGTTGTACTAGTTTTAAAAGCACATTCAATATCCGTCAACGTATTAGGTAATTCTTAGTAAATAACTATGTCATTTTCAGATCAATGAGAGATTTAAACAAAATACGTGTGCACTTTGATTGTCTAATACAGAATTTGACATTGATTCTCTCAAATCTCGCAGATCCCACTCAATTAATTCCGCAACCTTGATCCCGCAGCATCACAGAAGGATCCCGCATTTGCGGGATTGGATTCACTAATGGGGATTCGAAAACGAATATGGGGTAACTGAGATAAACCTATAGAAACATTTCGAATTAAATTTTTTGAACTACAAGGACCTCTCGAATTTCATCATTTCATCAGAATTATAATGCCTTTATAACGGACTCCGTCATTAATTTTGTCTATTGTTTATTAGTCCAAAATCGCAGCCCCTTATAGAACACCCTGCCGAGCAGACCCTTATCCGTAACCATTCCAGGATCGTCCTATGAATTTATCTATCTACACTAACAAGCGGGATGTAAGTATGTTTTCAATCCTTTTCGCCTCGCAATTCTTGAAACATGTACATAAAAAATTAGTAAAAAGTAACTGCTCCTACTTCCCCTTCCCCATCCCCGTCTTCTAAAGTGTCATTATGTTCGACAACCATCTCCATTCCGTCTTCAAATTCTGCGCGTTTTTCCATGTCGTCTTCTAGCAGGGGAACACGTGCTTCATTCCACGGTCTCCATATTTTAAAGTGTAACAGTAAACACAGGAACCTTCAAAAAATCTTTAATTGTCAGATTCTAATAAATAAATTCTGTATTCTTATAACGTACGTTTACCTACCGCGGATATAATCTGTTGTCTGTAGTCTTAAACAAGACTGTTGTTGTTTACAAATCGAAGAAGAATATTCGTTACGGTCCATCTCAGGCAAGCCCTACTTAATGCAGACCTACTTAAAACGTATTTTTGGTTGTAGAGGTTTTTTCAAAACTGAAAAAATGTAATGTAGCGTCCATGTAAAAATTCATGGTCATGATACGAACGAATAAATAAAACGAAACGCCATATGAGATTTTTGACTTCAACAAAAATTACAAATAATAAAAATGTATTTCTAGATTTTTTTATAAATTAGCTTATTAAGGAGAAAAGATTGAAACCAAAAATTTCAGAAAGTGAAACCAATTATTTTAATTTCATTACGGAATATTATCGACGTCATTGATACGGAACTTGGCCCTAAATTGAGGTACCCTGTACTTCGTACCTATTCTAAACTTGACCTGGAAGAGAAACCCGGCTAAAAAGTCAAGAGTCTGGTGACTTTAATTTTGCATAGTCGAATATCTGCTGAGTTGGCGTTTGTTTGACAACGGTGAAAGCATAGAACTTGTTCAGAAATGGGAGTTTAACAAATCAGGTATTACCATCTGTTAAGAATTTTGACCTAAATTCCTTGTTGACTGAGCCACATTACAGAAACAACTGTTTTAACCAAGTTTTCCACATGACTGAAAACAAAATGTGAATGATTGTGAATTGCGGTATGTAAAGAATAGAAATTTTGTTTCAGATGGAAAATATATATTATGGCAAGTGAAACTGTGAGTTGTTGTCCAAATAACTTTTTATACATTTTGCTTTGGATTGATTAGAATACATTTACAGATTACAGTTAGGAGAGCTCACTGCGGCGCAGAAGGTTTATTGTGACTCCTTTCACGGATCCACAGCATTATGTAGTGTCGTCTCTGATTTGGTTACGCGCAGGGTGGAAGCGTACTATTGATAAGCCTTCACCGTTTCCAGTTTAATGTTTTTGATACTTCTTCCGATACCCTCTTTAGCCTACAGTCAACTATTACCAAGTATCTGGTTTTGTCTCTGCATTTCTGAGAATTTTGAAAGCGTGAAAATGTTAGTTAATGTTAATTGCTCTAACTGTTGCTTCATTTTGCTTATGTCAAGCTGAGGGCTGAAGCTGTTGTCATTTGTGAAATGTAAAGGTTAGTTCGCCTTCCTGAATGGAAAAAATATGCGTTCAATTAGAAATTTTCCTTCACACTGAAAATATGCATTATTTCAAGTTGAGACGAAGTGTGAAATTATGAGCTTCGTCGGACACGAGGTCCAACAAGGCGATACGAAATTTCGCATGAATGGTACGCAACCAACAATTATAGCGTCGTGTCGATCTGGAAAGGACGTCGACGCGCCGAGGCGCTGTTAGCGGCGATCCGTTGGCCGGGTCTGGATATGCCAGCGTCAACTGTGACCCAGTATCGCGACGACCTGCGTTTGCGGAAGCAGCGTCGAACTGCGCGGTATGCGAAGATGACAAGTTTCCCTTTTTCGCGAAGGTCATCACCATCAACGATTCAAGGGACGATTGGTCGTTGCCTAGTTCGTTAAATTTCGCGTAAAATGCAACAACAACAGCAAGCCGACGATGGCTTCAACGCAGGGAGTTTGGCAGCTACGGGAGCCACGGGCACCGCATCTAATAAAAGCCAAGTAAATGGCGGTCGTTTTGATTTCGATGATGGCGGAACATACTGCGGCGGATGGGAGGAGGGAAAAGCCCATGGACACGGTGTGTGCACGGGTCCGAAAGGCCAAGGCGCGTACAGCGGTTCTTGGCATTACGGTTTCGAGGTGTCGGGGGTCTACACTTGGCCTAGGTAAATTTATTTTCAGTGTCTGGACGGGGTTACAATCATTAGGTACCAATAATAGCCAAAGAAGCGGCTCTCTCCTGCTCGTTATTTCACGCCACGTAGAAATTCGATTCAAAGCTTGACGGAAACTACGGCATCGCTACGTAAACTTAAAGGTTTAAATAGAATGGATGATCACTAAAAGGCAAGCAATGCGTGAGCCCTCGATTCTCTGCTTGATTAATTTGGGAGTTAACAGTACTGTCGGCAAATTTGATATATTATGCAAGTTAAGTTCAAAATTGGACAACGACGCGTTTCAACGAGTGAAAGTGTTTTTTTTTCGCGTTGACTGTTCGGAAAATCTTGCACCTTATAATTGGTTATGAAAGTTTCCAAATAGGGGCGATACAAACTGCTCCTTATTTTTCTCTTACAAAATTGTTTAATACAATATTCCAAATAAGCTATTCTATATTGCTATTACAATCAATACGGCCCATTCTCTTTATGTAAATGTATAAATTTTCGACTACTTTGAAATTGATTGGGTTCTTCGAATATAATAACAAAGCGTTAGGAATTAAACCAGGTTAACACTTGTTGACACTTTCTGAATTGCTCGGACTTTTTTGTAAACCTTTAGAAGTTTTATACCGTTTTGCGTCTGTAATTTAGGGAATCTATGGTCTCATTTTTTTTCGAATTGCCTCCTCGATTATTTTTAATTTTCTCATCCAAATAACAAAACTTCTAATTCGGTTATTCTTTTTATGCAAAAAACGTCTTAAATGTTCTCTAGAAGAGTAATAACAACGCGATGAGAAAACAACAGACAAAACACTAATATATACCTAAATTTGTGTTCATTACAATAGTAAAGCCTTTTGATATATATCTAAATTTAAAGTTCTGTCTAATGGATCACATTATTTGTAATCGAAAATTTGTAAAGTTCAACTTACTATTTGACGTTAAACTTGTCAACTTCAACTTATTTTAATACGCAGTGATTAAGCCGAGACTTTTAATTTTTACCATCAGTTCGTAATTTTGAATTTTACAATATTTTTTTTACTCGCGTCACAAATAACATTTTTTATCAATTTACAAGGTTATTTTTCTTGGGTTGATGTACGATTGCAAAACTTCATATTTAATCAGCAATATTTCATATAGAGTATCCCAGAAATGTGCATTTTTGTGCAATTCTTCCATATTTAATTGAAAATTGAAAAATATTTAATTGAAAACGTGCTAGCAGAAAGAACTGTGTTTCATTTATTGGTACCGCATTTTAAAAAAAATAACGCGCTTTACTGACGCGTGGGATCCCTCACCCCCGGACTTTCCAATTAAAGTAGCACATATTTAAGGTAACAAATTTATTTATGAGATTACTCCAGATGCGTCACACATTATTCACTGTTTCCAATGATGAACGAATGATTGCGTTGCTTAACGGGTTCCTATTTAGTCGGCTATTTTAAGGTTATTATATTTAATTTATTGAGTTGGTGATGCCTCGAAGGTAAGAGAGTTAAATACTGCATCCGCGGTAGGAAGTAGTTATTTTTAGTACAAGTGAACCAAGTATGCCATTTTCTTACGCTTCGCTTCATTCGTGTGGCCAACCGGAGAATGACAAAGAGTGCTGACGTGTGCTCTCAAGGCTCGGCTCAACATGATTGAATTTTTACAATTTAAAAAGATATTTTTTCTTAAAAACAAATAATTTTTTTAATATTAGACGCTTGCGTAATTTTCGTCGCCGTGAGGTAATGATTTACCAATTTTTAACGGTTGTTCTGTGCCTTGGTAAGACGCACCCGGTTATTGTATGACTTCAATAGCCTGAAATCGAAAACAAGCCAATCGCCGCGAGCGGAGATCAAACTTCTTTAAGTTATAACTAAAACGATACAGGAATTCTGGATCATTTGCAAGCTCCTATGATTAGTTATGTCTAAAGGCTTTATTAACTCTTATGATTATATTATATGTATTATTTCTTTTAACAATCAATACCATTTTTTTGGTGCAGCACTAAAACTCTTTGTAAGTTAAATCGCCATTTTCATAATTTTTAAAAATTGTTAAGAAGCATTGTGAATCGCGTTCTGCCAAGAATAGGCGAACGATTTAGTGTGCTTCATATATCAGTCAGTGAATAATATATGCGATGATGGTAAGCATACCGGAAGAGCTGGGCAAGGCCCACCAAAACGACCGAAGGGTTTTTGCTTTATGATAACAAGACAGTTTGGAAGCCTGGAAAATATTCGATAACGACATTTAGCATTTTTCCCAGAGATCCAACGTCATTGCTCATCATAGAGTCAAGTTAAATTTTACCAGGGAACTCGTGAATTGGAGAGAAAATATATTAAGAAACTATAGACTAGTTATTAAAAGGGCATGGCAATTTGGGATGGTTTGGCATTAAAACGTCCTTTAAAATATTATTTTAAGTTTACTGAATAAAAAGTTTAAATTACCAAATAACGAAGAAAACAACCAGCTAAACTCAAAGCTAGATGCTCAAATTGATTTAAACTCTCTTAGAGACACTAGTGAGAACACGTAATTTCTATTCTAAGCTATATGATCAGAACTGTAAAAATTAATGTAAAAAATAGCTTTAATAAATATCGTTTTCACTCATAATAGTAAGAAATAATTACAGACCTTATTAAAAGAATAATATATCCGATAAGAAAAATGGTTAGCAACTGTGTAAATATTTGTAAATATGATATTCGCTTGGGTGGTTTTCCAAAAGTCTATTTGTAAAGATGTACCTACAGACAAATAGCTTTTATTTATAGAAATTTTTCGTTAAGACCGCTGACTCTAGGTACCCAATTAAAAAACAAATAGATAAAACACACATAAAAGACCAAAATATTTTAAGTTCACGAGACTATTAATTTTTTGGATACTAATCAATTCGTCTTTAGAAGTATTTTATCGACACAAAGGCTGCAGCAGTCAATTATTTCTCAGAGCATTTTCAGGAAAAAGCTTATATTTCAGCTCCATTAAGCCTATTAAGTCTATAGCCGTTCATCACATGTTGAGTTTAGAAGAGCAATTTTGTAGGCCTCTATCTGGCACCAAGTACCTCAGTGGTGCGGTCGTTACGTTCGGTTTGCTATACATTAATGGTCCTGGGGGCGCAGTCCGCGATAAGTAAATAAGTTTAGTGTACACCAAACTGGCAGACCTTTTTTAAAAATTATTTCATAAATAAAAACTGTGTCCTATAGAACTTTTGACTAGTCTTAATAATACACAAATTTAGTTCAAAATTGGGGTTAGATTTATATTCTGATTGCATACTCCAGGTATGGGAACAAATATTTATTGCTAAACAAAAGCATGAGGCTTTATAAATTTATAAAACAGGTAATAATTCTTATACTACGGGCTTTTGGATATCACTCTGAATGCAAACTTTCACAGTCCCTGACAACATTACTAACGCACTCTCACCTCGTTTTAAACTTTGAACTGTTTAATTTGTTTGCCATTTGGTTTAAATTTTTATTTTTGTTGTCGTTATATATGGAAATCGTTGCTTTTCTGTATTAGATGAACAATGTATTATCGGGAACGTTTTGATTAAGGATAATTTATTAGATGTTACGTTAAGGGAATGGGCGATCTATTAAGAATTATTAAATCTGGTCAAAATAAAATGTAGCCGAAATTAATGATATAAGTTGTGCAGACAGCTTTTAACATCCGTATATCGGCCATGTCGCCACCACACATTAAGCGGAATAATTCGAATGCAAGATCCTATTTTATTCTGAATGCTAAACTCTATTTTTAAATCGGCCGGTTCATACTGAGCGATTCTCTGGTATTATATTAGAGTTCCCTTTTTCTCTTGCTGTAAATATTGCGCTGGCGATACTTTTTTTTGGTTTGTTCTATAATATAGTATATTTAAGTTATGCTGGGGTTATATATTATATATTTTTGTACGTGTGTGTCAATACGATAATTCCAAAACTAACCAAAGTTCTAAGTACTAAAAGGGCCAGCAAATTTGGGATGCACTGAAACTAGGATATATAGAAAATTCTCTAGGTTAATTCATATGCACAACCATATTTGGCAACATGTCTTGAGCAAAAGTTAAATGTAAACGTAACTGATAGTCAATTTCTCATCGAGCCCTGAATCAATAATCATATTAAGTGTCCTTTGTGACTAGGCCAAGAGCTGGAAGCAAGGAGTGTCATTTGTTACATGAACATAAAATACGTTTACATTTTATTTTTTCTTAGTTATTTCTTAGACCTCAATTCGAATGCAATTTGGCATGCTGTATAAATACTAACTTAAAAACGCAAACTATGTTTTCAGTATTATATTACAATAAATATTTAACAGACAGAAGTTTCGTCTAATTATCATGGGTTTTATGGCCACACTTAAACATCTTTCTCAGAAGAGATTGCAGTTCCTTTGTTGTCAACAACGGCACTCCTTTCTTAGCTTTTAATACTGGTATAAATAATGTGTCCACTCCATCTAGTTGTTCAAAGTGGCGTATGCAACTGCAGTCCTCACTATTTTCTTCTTCAGAAGAAGAAGATTTGGGTTCTAATGTAACTGGAAGAGGAGGACAAGTTGGTTTATTATCTTCCACTTTCTTTCTCAGGTTCGAAGAACTAAGGTAACTGCTTTTCCCATCATCCTGATTTTTTCTATCCTCTTCTGTCGCGGAAGATTCGCTTGATGATTTATCGGCACTTTCGTTTGAAGAAGAAGATTGATTGCTTTTACCCACATGTTTTGCATCGTGTTCTAAAACCCCACTGTCGTTGTTTCCATAAAGTTCTCCAAACTCTGAAGACGACGAACTGGAATTTCCATCTTCGTCGGAATTTAATGATGGTAATTTAGGCGAGCCGATTGGTTTCTTCTCTTCAAGTGACTCTTCTTCTTGCTCAGAATCTCCTCGGTCTGCTGAATTTTCTGAGGCACTGTTTTTGTCGTCGTTTTCTTCAGACTCCAACGTTTTATCGTTTTTACCATTCTTTCGTTCATCAAATTCTGTCGATTTATCTGCTTGCGGTTTGTCCTTTCCATCTTCTGATGAATCTAGTTCTTGATCAGATTCCTCCTCCGTATTATGGGAGACGTCGTCCTTTACTTCATCATCAGATTCTGCCGATAATGCATGTGACTCAGAGGAAGACTCTTGGGATGAATCTATTTCTTCTTCTGTCTCCTCCCTTGTATTATGGCAGTCTTTTACTTCGTCTTGCTTTTTTTCTTCGGATTCTTCCGATGACGATGACGAATGAATTGATCTTAGTTTGTCCTCTTCTTCTTCATGTTCTGAAGAACATTTTTCAGGTTCTGCATCGTCATGGTTTACTTCGCCAGAAGAATGTTCGTGGGACTGTTCTAGCGATGAAGCATCAAACGAGTTGTTTTCATTGCATTCTTCTGATCTATCAGGAAGTTCAGGAATAGATTCGTTGCTTGTACTATCAGAATCACTCTCACTTGATCCATGTGAGACTTTAATGTGTTTAGGTATATTTACTTTTGGACAAACCGGATCTTTCTGATTACTAATCAAGTGCGTTATTATCTCGAGCATATGGCCCAACAAGCAAGATTGCTCAGAAGGTGAGATAACAAGGCCCTTGCACTGGCATTTTTTGGTTTTCGCCGGCGCAGCTCGAATTATATTCGACGAAATCAACAGAACCAGAACGCACAGTTGTAACCCAAACACTTGCATATTTTTTGCCACAGTGGAAACTCTACGCATACTTTACTCCTTATATTGCCCGCGGATAAAAATATTTTCATATTAGTTCAAGTACAACGGACAAGGAAAAATATTTAATTCAAAAGGTTGCGGTAATACGTTGACCCCATTGTCAATAAACTTTTGTTAAACTTGTGGATGCTTGCAGAAAAAAGCATGTACAGTGCAGGTTCAAGGTCGCGGTCCCCAACACGAAATATACTCGACCATTCCTGACGTTCTGACGTAGGCACGATGCGAAACTAGGATTGTCGTAAATAATGCTGCGACATTATGAATTTTATCGGCATGTTTTGTTTCTAAATATATCATAAAATGGTTGAACAGCCTCATCCTTAAATTTAGCGATGTTGTTTCACGTTCGGCTGCTTCTCTGCGAGTGTAAAGATATTTTTACCGGATTTGGACAAAATTGTTGGGGCGATAACGATTACAATGGCGTTTCCTACATCTTTCCGTCGCACCGACGCACGCTTTCTACTCATAACAATTTAGGCACAACTTAAGGTTTTTTGCATCTTCAGTTAAATAAAATTGACGATGATTTTATTAATTGTCACTAGCGAGGGTTCTTAATAATATTAATTTCTAATACTGTTTTTCGTCATCTAGTGACACATATCGGGATTAGAGGGAAACCTTAGGTATAATAATAATGACAATAATAATAATAATAATAATAATAATAATAATAATAATTATTATTATTATTATAATAACATATTTATTATCCCACATATTTAGAATAGAATTAGTGTATTATGGATTTCGTCAAGTAGGTCAAAAGTAGCTACATAATATAGATCCCGCAAGTGAGGCAGAAAACTATATCAAATGCACAACAATACAGTCATAACAAACATTAATAGTAAAATATTTCTCTGAATTATAAAAACAGTTAAATTATAAAAACAGAAACAAATTTTTCAAAGAAACTTCCACGGGCTACTGTAATACTTTTTTAGAAAACTGGAAAACTGGATTCCTCCTGCGTCGGTTTTTGTGTGATGTTTTGAATGTTAGGAAATACCACAGTGGCAAGTGTAGGATCGCTTTCGGCGTCATTGCTATTGGAAAGTTGTGAAGTGTATTTTTTGATTGAACGCTTAATATCTTTAATGTCTTAATTATTAGAGAGAAGAGCAGAGGTAAGGTGTTTTAATTATGGATTGAATGACTCGGGCTGAGATAGTTTTACGACTCTGTAAACAAGAGCGTTGATTTTGGGGCCGGATGGTGATGTGACCATGCATTAAGGCATCGGTCTGTGTGCGTAGGTTTTCTGTAAACACAATGACACAATTTTAGGTCTGATTTTATATTGATAAGAATACCTAAGAATGGCAGGTTGTTATCATCAATGGTAAAACGTATGTTACGGTGTATCGAGTTTAAGTGTCTAAGAAAATCTACTAGGGTTTCTTGACCATGAGGCCAAGTAACAAAAGTATTATCGACGCAGGAAGAAGAAAAAATTTTAATTTTCATTTAAAAATGTTTTTATTACTACTGGGGAAAGTTTATTGTAGACTCCAATACCGGTGTTAGCATAATATTTTGTAGTCCATTTTTCTATAGAGAAACAGTATTTTGTGTATTATAGTTATAGGTTTCGAATTTGAATGCAATGTCTATTCCATTGGATGACTTGAAAATGTCTCCTTCCATTGTTAACTCCATTAGATAACCAGATATATCAAATGGTGTTGAAAGCAATAAGAATTTAATAAACTAAGGCTTAGGACACGAAGTTTGTTTGATGAAGTGGAATTATTTTCATCCATAGAATATTCACCCGGAGTTTCGATGCATACTCAAGAAGCGCTAACTGTATTTTTTAGAGTGTTTAGAAGGCATAAACTTTTATTCTTTGCTTTTTGTTACTTTTTTTAGGAAAAAAAAACTGTAAATTTAGCATATATTGTGAATATCATACCAAAAGGCTTTACGACAAAGATAGAATATCAGATTACAACCGTCTAAGAAGTAATGAAAAGAGAAATTAGCTTGTCCATTTTTAACTTTTTTATCGTAATATCTAATGATGGTGACGTAAAAAACAAAATTTTAAATGTCGTCGAAAATTGATTATTGATTACTAGGATTTTTTAATATTTTATTAAAAATCAAAAATTGATAAAAAAAAACTATATAAGTGTGTGTCAAATACATGCAATTAGATTGACTGATTTCAGATAGGTTCGAGAAGTACTTTACTCAAGCAGTTATTTTGTAGTTTCAGTTTTCACGAATTTCGAGGTCTGGCAAATAGATTTAATTAATTTAGTTTTTCTTAATTAAATTCTGCATATGAAAAAAACACAATAGGCTCCGGATTCGCATATTGGAAACACTTCAGGATCCCAAAAAATAAATGAATATAACAAAAATTTTAAAAAATATCGCATGTACTACAAGATACAGGTACTAGAACTCGTCCAAAATCCTAGAATACAAACCCCACTACCCATTCAATAAATATATCTACGAGGGCAGCGCCACACTTTCCCGTCATGAATATGAAAGAAAAACAAAGTAGAGTAACAATTTTTTATTATTTTTCAATATAATCCCCCTTAACTTCAATACACATATTACATCTTATTATTAACAACTCAATCCCTTTAAAAAAATATTCTTTTGGTTTGTCTTCAAAATGAGCTAAAACAGCCTCTTTTAACTCAACTTCGTTGTTAAACCGCCGTTCACGTAAGTCCTTTTTCAAATATCCAAACAAATAATAGTCGCTGGGGGCCATATCTGGACTATAGGCAGGATAATCTATCTGTTGGAAGCCATACTCTAAAATGGCTGCAGTATGGACAGGTGCATTATTTTGCAAAAGACTCACGCCTCTGGTCAGTTTTCCTCGACGTTTTACAAGTTTGCAGTCTCGCAATTTATGTAATAATGTTGCGTAATATTTAGCATTGACAGTGGTATTAGTTTCTTTAAAATCTGTTCAAAGAATTCCTTCATAATCCCAAAAGATCGTGGCCATCACCTTTTTTGTTGACTGGCAGACTCTGAATTTTTTCGGAGGTGCTTCACCGTTACGACGCCACTCCATGGATTCTTTTATCGATAGAGGGTCATAATAGAGAATCATAGTTTCATCTTCCGTCACAATAGCTTCTATCACAGGCTTCGGTTCCGACCCACAGAGTTCCAAAAAAGACCGCGCACACCGACACGTTGTTTTTGAATAGCCGAAAGGTTTTTAGGAACCCATCTTTCACTAACCTTATGCATACCTAAATGATCATGCAAGATTCGACGAACACTTGTATCAGAAAGCTTAGTCGACCAGTTCTTGAATCATCTTCAAGGGACTCCGGCCCCATTCGAAAACATTTTGCCCATTCTTTCACTACAGGATACGAAGGAGAACTTCGGCCGTCCACACCATCCAGCCTTTCTTTAATAATTTTAGGTGCTAACCATTCTTTTGTCAAAATCTTTATGACTGCTCTATTCTCAATTTGCGTTATGTGCGACATTTTTTCGGACACGTCTGTCAATAAAAACCTATTAGACGCAAGACTTCAACTTTTTTTTGCAGCCTACTAAGATATATATTTAAAAGAAGACAAAGTTTTATCGTGATACTGGAGCTGCATCTATGTCAGGCCGGAAAATTTTGACGCTAACCTATGTATTTAATACACGGAAAATTGCGGAAAAATGCGACCATTACACATTATGGATAGTCTTAGCTAGTTTTTGTTAGTCATTTGTTAATTTGCGAAATAGCCTCAAATATCAACTTAAATATTTGGTTATACTTTTGTAGATTATCGAAATGGGATGTGTTATGTATATTTTTGGAAATATACTGATGACCAGAAAGCTTTATTTTTGGTATCATTTTAATTCGCAAAAATTTTAACTGAAGAATTTTGTTATATCCTACACAAATATTTTCTTTTATTAATACACAACCCTAACCCACCTGACGTATTCTTAAATTTGTTGTAGCGGGAGTTGCTTCGAGGGCCAGTGGCAAAACGGCAAAAGACACGGTCTGGGTGTAGAAACTAGAGGTAGATGGATTTACAGAGGCGAATGGACGCAAGGTTTTAAAGGACGTTATGGCGTTCGACAGTCCAATATATCATTAGCAAAATATGAAGGAACGTGGGCCAACGGTTTACAAGATGGTTACGGATCTGAAACGTATGCGGATGAAGGTGAGATATTGTTCCAAACCACACCTCGTCGAAGAGGGAAACTATTTTTGAATAAGACCATATTTTTTAACAAAAATTACCTTAACAATTACCTTAACAAAGTATAGAAGACAGAAAGTAATGTATCTTCAGAAATACTGTCATAACATTATACCTTGCTTAACGTCACGGATCTTTATTCTCATGTTGATTATTGAACTGTGTTAGACACTCCAATTATCCAAAAATCGACAGCTCTCTGAATGCATGTTAACAATGAGGTTAATATTGATTTTATATATTTCTTACTGAGATGGGTGCACTTTTTTTGGGCACACTTATTTCCTATATGAAACTAAAAAATAGGACATGCATTTGAAATTATTTTAATTCTAGACAAGACAAGTGTTTGATAGCAAAGTTTTCCTTTGTCGAAAATTGCTTTGTTGTATTACGTTAAGGTCATATAGAGTGCCGAGAATGATTGATCGTTATTAAATTTAAAAAACACACTGGGTACTCACATGCAGTCATATTTAACCATGTGGTTCCTCGGAGGAAAATTACGTGCTTTGAAGAAAATTATACTGTGATGAAAAAATACTATTAAATAACTTTTACTGAAATACTCAACCCGTGATCAATCTAAATGATTGCTCTGTATTATCTGTCGGTGAACAGTTTTTTCAAAAGATAAAGTCAGATATCTGATTTGATACCTGATTTATTTGGGAATTAATTTCTGCACTGTCGTCTCTCTCTGTAATGTAATTTGATAAAGACACGGTGTTGTCGAAACAATTGCCATGTCATAATATATAATTTCGTGAAATTCTGAACTTTTAGTTCTTATTTATTTATTTTTTTTGATAAATGGATTTTCATCAAGTAAAAGCCACCTCAGTTCAATTTTATTCCACTGACGGACCAGATTTAAGATATCGAATCGTACACGAAGATGTAGGTCCTATACTTCGTATTCTAGGTACTGAATAAGAAAGAATAGTTCATTCGATCCAGATCTCTGTTTGAAATAAGAGACGTTCGAAAAATAAATCTCCTTAAAGAAATGTTTACTTTAGTTTTTTTTTATTAATACTTACTTGGTAAAATAGAGACTTTTAGAGATTTTCGAGACTAGGTTAGGGTGTAAATCAAAAACCAAATTAGAAATACAATATGGACGCTTCAGAAAAAATGCCTGAATCCCTGAATAGCATCACTAAGCAAGAAACTATGTGTACAGTCTACTCGTGATTTGTACAATATGAGTTTATTATTAATATGCTAAAAAAATACATCGCAAAGCACAATAAAAAAATCCACTTTATTGCAGCAAAAAGAACTAAGATTTTGTAATTTAACGTTGAAGGAACACAAAATAATTACGGTAGTTTAAATTTAGCATTGTACTCGAGGTTGCCAACAATAAGAGCTCATAGTAAAAATATTTAAGCACAAAAATATAGTTAGAACAAATCATGTTTTATATCTTTGAGGATACAAATACTGATATACCTACCTAAAACTCGAGACTTAAGTCGAAAGGAAAGTGATTAGTTAAATAAATTAGTGAAATATGTATATGAAAATGATCATTTTAATGATTGATACCGACACACAGGTCTGGGGCATACTAAAAATAAATAGAATGAAAATTTGCACAACAATGTTGGCAATAAAAATGTTTTCTTTGTAGTAATGACAAGTTTGGTGAACTCTACAAAAAATTCATCATTTAAAATATGCATAGTTATATCAGTATATAAGAAAATAAGCTAGTTATTGATTAAAATAGACATAGATGTTAAATAAAAAATTGTGAAAAAGCCACACAACTGATAATTGAAACCGAAACAGGTTTAAGATTACATATCTGGAAAAAAATTGAAGCTTCAATTTTACTATTGGAACAAAATGGAAATCGATTTTTAGAGCTTAAAAAATTGAAAGCTTAAATAATACCTAATATTGTTTCAAAATATAAAATTACGCACATTGTCGGTAACCCATTAACTAAACCACTATACCCGCTAAGTAACTTGAAAATAAAATACAGTAAGATTAGAAATCAGACATAAAAAAATACTAAAAAAATTAAATAACTTTAAAATAAAAAAAAGATTGTTTTCTTTTTATAGAAATCACAGTGAGCTAATTGCTATAATAGTGAAGTAATTATAGAACACAGAAATTCTGTATCATGGAATGAAATGATTTCTGCGAAAAATGGAAAGTAGAGTAATATTTTTTGCATTTTACAAACACGAAAATTAACCGGCAAATGAAATTTTTTGTCTATGTAATACAAGACCAGATGTTTTGAATGACAAGACAAATGTCAAGGACTTTAAAAGATTTTTTTTGTATAAACCAACTTTGTGCCTATTAAACATATGGAAATTAAAAGTCTAAATTTTATGTAAGGATTATTTTAATTTTCACGCCTCGTGCGTATCAACTATCTTAAAAAGAGTGTACAATACTTTCGATAGTTACTGTTTTGTTTAGTTTTTAGCAGTAAATCGCAGTACTTTTCAAAGCACAAGGAATATACATATACAGGGTGTGAAAGTTGTAGAAATATAAAAACTGTCATCTGGTTTTTTTTTGGTGGGAAATCGGAATATGTAAGTTGTTTTAATCTAGCTGATAGAAGGCCGTCAATTACATGAGTGGATAATGTATTTTTTATTTGTAAAGTAAATAATTCTCATTTTATTGCATATTGACCTATTAAGTTGGCCGAAATGTCCAGACCTAAAGCCATTGTATTTTTCTATATGCTCAGTAATGAACTCAGTAATGAGTTTACACAGAACTGGTTAACTCTATGGAAAGCTATGGCTGCCCATAAAATTAAAAATAATCGACGCCTGTTTGGGCGCCATTGAAGAAGTGCGTGATGTGTAAATGAGGGTCATTTTGGTCATTAAATTAATTGTTTATAGATTGCAGACAAGTTATGAAAGCATAAGAAAGAATAAGGTTTAATAGGTTAGTTATATGAAAACCAGGCGAACACTATTATTTTATAACAGCCTTTTTAAAAAAACATGTCAAAAGATTTCAAGAAGCATAAATTACAAAAATTCTATTAATTGCATTAAAACGCAATATCTGATAAACGGTGAAAAATTATGATATTGAATATGAACCCATTTTCTAACATTAAAGATGGTTCCTTAAGTGTTTCGATTTAATTTTATTCTATTCTTGTTTCATGTTATTGGCTACACCTTGGGCCCTCTATGAGCTACATTAAAATGTGTTAAACATTTATAAACTAAAAAGCCTTGAATGTCAATTTTAATGTTTCTATTGTCAACATTTTCCAATTTTTATTAAAACCTTTCACACTCTGTAAACTAGCAAGATTGTATATAAGACAAGATTGGCTTAATTGTCATATAGTATCTTCAGTCACTGGATTCCCCTTTAATGCCACTGTACGCGTAGAATGCCTATATATTTACAACAGATAAATATTTGAAAAATTTTGTTTTTCTGATGACTAAGCCGTTGATAGAATATAAAAAATTTTGCTTACCTAAAGCATTACTTTATTAATTTCAGGAACATATCAGGGCCAATGGATGAGAGGCATGCGTCACGGGTATGGCGTCCGTACGAGTGCCCCATTCGGTAAGGCCTCTAAATACCGCCTAAACAAAAACTTACGTTCCTCACTCACATCACTTCGCAGCAATGAGGCAACGGCAAACGAAAGTGAGACTACCGACAAGAGGGACAATAGAGTCGACGACTCTAGGGGCGGTTTTGTTTTACAAAGCAAAAGCTCTGAGCATATGCTAAATAGCAGACGCAGGTCGTTGGACCTGAAGAAAAACATATTCAAAGTAAGGGTTTCCAGAAAAACCAACTGTTGCGGATGTGTTATTTGTACATTATTTTAGGGGATTCTTAAAAAGGGAGCAAGTACAGGAGAACTCGACAAAAGAACTAGTTCTGGCAGTTTAAAAAGCACTGCTTCTTCCGCTTCGTACATTAGCACAGATTCGGCAGGATCGGCTATGACAAACAACTCAATGCCTTCGGATTCGAATGCTAGCTTCGTCATAGATGTAAGTAAGATATTACAATTTTTGTCAGTTTATCTCAAGAGTGAACCCTTTTTTTCCATATTTTTTTTGTGACTAATTATTCAAATCAGAAGTCAAAAAAATGTGTTTTTCACGTTTTAAAATTTTTGTTGGTTTATGATTACTTATAATGCTAATGAAATTCTGACACATGCACATTGCTAGAAAAATAGATGAACGCTTTCAGAAATGTTGTCGGTTTCGTAACCGCGTAAAAGTGTACTTTAGTTTATCCCTGGGCAGTCTAAAACTCAATATCCTGTCACATCAAATGAAATCGTATTTGTTTACATTTTCGTAGAAACATTTCCACCATGAAACAGACTTTAATGTTGAACTAATATAAAATATCATCACTTCTTCAAAAAGTGCACAACAAAGATAGTGGATTTTCTGCAACCTTTCCGTTTTTATTTCAGGATGAGCAATTAGATCCCAACGTAACTGAAACCTATATGGGAGAATGGAAAAACGATAAAAGATCGGGATACGGTATAAGCGAAAGATCGGATGGCTTAAAATACGAAGGAGAATGGTATGCAAACAAAAAGTACGGATACGGTGTAACCACCTTTAGTAACGCGGAAAAGGAGGAAGGAAAATATAAGAACAACGTTTTGATCACGAGTCAGAAAAAGAAACTTTTTTTGATGAGGAGCACAAAATTTAGGGAAAGGATTGATGCAGCCGTTAACGCGGCTCAACGAGCCTCGAAAATAGCGCTTCAGAAAGCAGATATCGCAATTTCAAGGTAACTAACGTTCTTGAGTATGCAAAAATACAAATTTTTTAAAATTGTGAACTGTGGGATATTCACCTGGAATCCATATTTCACAGTTCACAATCCGTTCAGATTGATGCACTGGCTTTATGTTCTGAATAAGGCAAAGAGATTAAGGTATACACACAAATTTGCAGTTTTGGGAACTAAGCCTTACAAAGCCTTAGTTCGTTATACAGTGCTAACGAACTTCGATTGCACACTATTTCAGATTGAGACAATTAATCAAATAAATTACATAATGGATTTTTTTTAAAATTACAATTCAGTAAACCGGTTTTCATGAACTGACTAAAAACATATTTTAGATTGAAGCTTAGAAATGAAACATACTTTTTTTCAAAAGCCATAAAGATTGTCATTAATTTTCTTCGTTTTATTTTCAACCACCAAAAATTAATTCATTCAAATGGATGGCTCGAACATTTTCGGTTTCGTATTTTTAAGTTAAAAAGTTAACATAAACGTGTGGTTTAAAATGAATGTCAATGGATGTCATTTTTTTTGCATAATTTGCTAACTACTTCTTTAGTAGCTGGGGAAATTCAAATTTGTTCTTAGTCTAACTCTTACCGGTAGGCCCGTACCTACGTACGTTTCCTCAATTTCAAAGGCTCATTACTTTTTGTACGACCGTGGATTATATTCTTTGGTAAAAAAAATAATTTCCCAATTATCTTTACGTGAAAAAGGTCCCCTTATTAGAATTCGGCACAACTAACCTGTCCGCGTCCTTAAACTATAAACAAGTTAAAAAACCTGTAAATAAATTCCCATTATAATTAATGATATACATACAAACAAAAGATAAAAAATATTTGATTCTTGGTTGTGTTCTATATATTCAATATTTTTGTTCATTTTTTATTCTTGTTTATTTTTATTTTATGTAGTACGTTTTTTATGCTTATTTATTACTTTTATTTAATATTTATTTATTACATTAATCTTGTCGGATCGTTAATTTCCTATTAAAAAAGTACGAAAATTTTAGCTTAACCTATTAAATTAACCTATCTCTCTTTTGTTGCAGAACAGCGACCGCTAGGGGTAAAGCGGAACAGGCAGACCTAGCGGCCGCGCAAGCGCGTGACGATTCAGAAGTCGCAGAATCGGTGGCAAAGAAATACGCCCCTGATTTCAAGCAAACTATAACGAGCTTGAGGATGAGACAAAAATTCCGAGAACGAATGAGCAAAAATCTGGAATCCACGACGAATGATAAACTGCCCAATACGAATTTAGGCTTACAGCCCGGTAACAAGATGTCGAATCAAATTCCGAACCAAATCAACATCCAGCATCGAGACCAAATAGGCAATCACGTACCCCACATGCTTAATAATCTTAAAGCGAACGACGCGTCCAACGATATGCAAGTTAATAATAACATGTATGCGGATAAACCCATTCAAAACGCAACCCCCATGCAGCCCGTTGGTAAACAACAGCAGCACAACCCTTTTCAGCAACACCAACCTTATCAAGATAACAAGGCGCTTCAGCAGAATCACTCGAACACGAGCAACCCTTCGTTCAATCACGTTGGTTTGCCGACTAACGAACACAACCCTAATGAGATTAAATCACACCTTCCTCGTAACAACGTACAAACAATGACTGACAGGGAACACAATCCGGTAGGAGGGAGTAATCCGAGGAACTCAATTACAGCCGAACAATCCTTACACAGAAACTCATTAGCAGGCCTTTCGCGAAGACAAAGCGGAGAACGACCATATCTGGCCAATATCGGTCATCAGATGTCCATTGACCATTTCGATCATTATAAGAGGCCCCCTAGCCGAGATTCCAGCGTAGACAGGTAAATAAACCCCCCATTTCATCGCAAACATAATGTTTATATCAAGGAAACAATAACTCTGAAGCTGGTACAGGTTTATTAAAATATGGAAAAGAAACAACCACGCAGTGGGGTGTTTGATATTAATTTCTGTTCAAAATTGCTTTTTAGAAAATTAAATTAGAACAAAAAGATGTTCATATTTTCACAGTTATTTCTTGATCCGACAACACCGTGCCTTTATCAAATAGAAAATATGACACTATTCCGACATCCATATATATAATCAGGTAATGGAGTTATAATTTTAAATTTAACAACGGAGACGCATTTAAATCCAATTCGTCATAAAGTAATAGATTCGAATATCTCATTTTATTAATCTCCATAGCTTCTAACAAATTTAGTTTTTTGTTTTTTGTTTGATTATGTAATATCTCAAAATCATCTTGTGTATTTCTAAATTTAGTTAGAATATGAACTATATTTGTACACGGTCTTTTATGTTCGTTAATGCGTTTCTTGTTACTTTCGAAAATCAATAAAATCGAATTTTCGGAAGTATCTGCGCTCGTATAAAAATTTGATATCTCGGTACCGGTAGGTCCTATGGGATTGCCGTTGGTACAGAAATGATCACCGTCGAAAAAAAAAATTTTTTTTGTCTGTCCGTTCTCCGTTCTCGTCTTTTGGTTTTTTCTGAATAACTTTCGAACCGTTGGAGCTACAAAATTGAAATTTGTCTCCTTTTTAACCCTCCACGAGGCACATAAGCTCGTACGAAATGGCCCTGATCCGACGCCGGTATCCATCTTTTTTTCTCGATTTTCGACTGTTTTTTGGACCTTGCTATGAAACACGATAAGTGACCGAAATTTGAAGCAATGCTTGCCCCTGACGGAACCTATTGAACCAGAAGACGCAGAGGAAACGACTCCATAAACTTTTTTTCTTAACAATTTTTCAAAAATTACAGGGTGCGCCGCAAATTCAAAAAAACTCAAAAATGGGTCCCCGTATTATTGAAAATTGCTATAATTTTAAATCTGTGTTTTAAATGCCAGTTTCTTTTACATGACGATATAGCCCATATAGACAGCTTAAACTTTAGTATTTACGGTTTTTAAGTATTGCACAGGGTGTTCGCGATATTCCGTGCAATATTAAAAAACATAATAAGCACTCCAAATTTGCAGCTACCGACTTCAGACTTGGGAGAAAAGTAAAAGTCTGGACCCGCATTAAGACTCTTTAAATTAGCAGCAATAAAATAACGCGAAATATTTTTTTCAATTTTTTAATTGTTTTGTGGTTATTTTGGCATCTTTTCATCCAAAGCCATTCATCCGATCGGAAAAATTTTACATCCGTAATACGTGGGAGACCCGGCGCTATAACTTTTGTTTAGCGCATTTTTTCGATTATATACAAGGTGTTTTAGTTATGGACAAAAATCTAAAAGACCCAACAATAGCTAATCCGTTCAAACGGTGTTAGAGGTCGTATCAAGTGCTCCAATTTTTGGTATTCACGGGTTTCGTCTATCACATACGCTATTCGAGGTATTTGAAAAAATCCAAATGAAAATCACCATTTCTCTAGACTCGATGACGTCATTTACTATTACCACGTACTGCATGGTTTCAGGAAACAAATAGTTTTTTGAAAACCATTTACTCCATTGGAAAAATTCGGATACCAGGAAACTAAGGAGATCCAAGGCTCTACCCCCTATTTCGAACATTGTTGGAATTATATACAGGGTACCTCGTTTGTAGGCAAAAAATCTGATAGATCCTAAAAATTTCCGCTTTTGTGGGTAATATTTGCCATTGACAGTGGTATTAGTTTCTTTAAAATCTATAAAAAGAATTTCTTCACAATCCCGAAAGATCGTGGCCATCACCTTTTTTGTTGACTGGCAAACTCTAAATTTTCTTGGAGGTGCTTCACCCTTACGAAGCCACTCCATTGATTCTTTTTTCGATAGAAGGTCCATAATAGAGAACCATAGTTTCATCTCTCGTCACAATAGTTTCTATCACAGGCTTCGGTTCTGACCCACAGAGTTCCAAAAAAAACCGCGCGCACTCGACACGGCATTGTTTTTGAATATGTTTTTAGGAACCCATCTTGCACCTTATGGATACCTAAATGATCATGCAGGATTCGACGAACACTTGCATTAGAAAGCTTAGTAATTTCTGAGATTTCCTTGACCTTTAAACGTCACTCAATACCACATCTTCCACAATCGCAACAATATCTTCCGTTATGACCTCCACTGGTCGACCAGTTTTTGAATCATCTTCAAGGGACTCTTGCTAAACCTTCTTTTGTCAAAAATTTTATGACTACTCCTACAATCCTGTAGGCCTACTAAGATATATAATTAAAAGAAGAAAAAGTGTTATAGTGATACTGGAGCTGCATCTGTGTTAGGCCGTGAAATTTTGGCGTTAACCTCGTAGGTCCTCTGATCACGAAGCCAAGGTATTCCAATTTTCTTCATTTTAGAGACTTAATTATTTCCTCTGGGTTCTCTGTAGCAGTTCCAGATTGGAAACCCTGTCAGTCCCTGAGAATTTCAATAAACACCATCTTTCAAAAGTCAGGATCTTGTCCAAATCTGCCTTTTTCAGTGTCCATGCTTCTGACCCATAAAGCAATGTTGAAAAAACGTAGCATCGAAGCATTCTTATTCTTACGCCGAAATTTATGTCTCTGCTGCAAAGAAACTTTTTGATATTTACAAATGCACTTCAGGCTACCTCCATTCGACTTTTGATTTCATGAGTCTGCTCCATTGTTTTGTGTAGCCATGTCCCTAAGTACTTGTATTTTCTTACTCTTTCTATCGTTGTGTTGTCTATAGTAAGAATTCCGTTAACATTTACTTTATTTGTAATAATCATGTATTTAGTTTTCTTAAGGTGCAAGTTTAGTCCATATCTTTCACATGTATTATTTAGTCTCTGCAGCAGGGTTTGCAGATCTTCAAGCTTGTCTGTAACTACCTTGCGGCGTTCAACAATAAACATGGGCGCTGACAGTTCAATTCGAGAGCTTTCAGTGTGACTATGGTTGTTTTCGGCATTATTTTGTCAAAATATACCCAGATCCCGTTAAATTTTCAGGAAAAATGACACAATGGGAAAATATCAATTTTATGCTATAACCGTTTTTTGGTATTGTAATTCTTTAATGTTCGCGATTAGAGCGTATTCTCTTAAGTTTCCTATTGTATTTAGAAAACTTCGTTCATAATTTTTTTCCTCGACAGAGTTCAACGGCAACGGAAAGAAGAATTTTAATCAATATTTTTATTTTGATTTCAGATATACGCGGGCTACCGGTAAACTGAGCAATTCGATAAGTTCTCGACAACCGTCCGTGGATCGCACTTCTACGAGCAGACTAGAAACTCCAGAGAAAAACGATCCAGCTTATAGATTAAAATCGGCTTCACCTGAACCTATTAATACTACAGGTAATTTTACGAGACATTTCTGTACTTCTTTTATTTTTTATTTTTGAAATGCCAAATAACATCCATCGGTTAGTTTTGGTTAGTCGTAATTAATCCATTCTCGATGTAATCATATAGGTACTGAAATTAAATATCAATTACTTGAATCTATTGCGGTCTTCTTACCTTTTACTATATTTCGTCCTAAATTTTACCACATTTGATGATTTTGTTGAATGGTACACTATGCATATGTTTCCTTCAATGAGATTATCTACATTTGTACAGAAATTTGTATGGCTGTATAATGTATATATGGTTGTATGTATGGTAAAGTTTTACACAAGTGGTATGGTTTGTTGCCGGGAACGGTTTTTATCGGAGACTGCAATTTTTTTAAAAATTACATTAATTATTATTTACATTTAAATGGTGGGAGCTGGGGAGGACTTTATAGTTTCTATGGATATATCTCATTAACCTTCATCTTCAGAAAAAATTTCAGTCTTTTTGAAGCAACGTAGGTATGTTAAAAAATGAGAACGAGAATTTTTGAGCAGCATCATGATATCCATGAAAATTGTTGGATTTTATGGTATTTGCGAATAGACCCCATTGACCTCTAACTTCAATAAAAATTTTCTAGAGGAAACGTAGATATTTTAAAAAATTAAAAATCTAACATTTTTGAGGAAAAACATAATAAACATGAAATTAATAAATCGAAAATATTAACCCAAAATGTAGATCTGGGGGGGACATTATAGTATCTACGGATAGATCTCATTGATGTCCATCTCCGATAAAAACTTCAACCTTCTCGGACCAATATATGTTGAGAAATAACCTTAAAATCTCATTTTAAATGGTAAAATCGACTTAAAAATCAATGATCAATTTTGAACGTTTTATATCTTATTGGGGATTTTTTATAGTATCTGCGAATAGACCTATTGAAAATATTTTTTTGGGGGGGGGGGGAGGTCGGGAATAAAAAAACTAAAAAAATTTAATTTTACGTATAGAAAAGAATGGTGTAAATAATAAATTTTGCATTTTTTGAGTTTCACCAATATTTTTGTTCCTTTTGATATACTTTATTTAGTAGAATAGTTAAAATTTTAACAGCTTCAACGGCATCAATTAAAAACAATTAAAAATTCGATCTTTTCTATTCCTACTTATTTGTTATTTTATATTTTTTGAATTTTAAAGCATATTATCATTTATCATATTATTTTTCCATAAAATTGTAATAAATAAAGTGGTAGTTAATAAATCTGATCTAAAATATTTAATTTACCAAAAAATAACCTGCAACTGCATAAACTCTGGACATTTAAAAAAAACTGGACATTCTATATCTTCATCCATAGAAACAGCATGTCGAATCAGAACCTAGCTAAACTTGCGCTAAGCTATTTGCAATCTTAGATGGATTTCACTGGCTTGTGGTAGCTGAATATCCGCTGACACAACTCTCTTATTGTTAGAGTTTTTGCAACATTCAAATGAAAATATTTTGTTGACTCCCCCATTATAGAAAAAGTTATTGAAATGTGCGATGTTAATGTTAGCTTACCTTAAAGATGTTCTTAATAATCTTGTGACGGACCAAGCAATACGTTTTATTTCAGATGCGCAAAATCAGAACAACAGAAACAACTGGCCACCATTTGAAGACGTTATTATTCGCAAACGAGGACTCGGTCAGGACATTGTTCCATCGTTGAACAATCCCAAACGAACCGAGAGCCTGCATATTCCAAATCAACCAAAACCTCCGCCGATTAAGGTACGTAAATGTCATACTTTGTTCATTAAAATAATTATAAATGTACTCTTAATTATATATTACAACAAAGCAACCAAACCTATTGCTAAAGTTTATGTATCAAAGTAACAAACAGGTTTGAGTTTTTTTAATGACATTTTTTTGTTTTTCTAACTTTTTTGTTTCAAACCTCATCAAAATCAATTAAAAAACAAAATTAGTAGAAAAAGGAAGTTTTATACAGCTCTGTTCTAAATCTTCTGAAGTTAATAGAAAGAATATATATGATATATATGATAATTATAAGATTCGTCATCGAACTTACACGTTCGACAAATTTGACATCTTAAACAGAATCCAAAATTAAGCATGGCATCACAAAAAAATGTCTTTATGTTTCCACATGGTTTGTAGTGACCTTTAGTGAATATTTTGTTATTAAATGATTTATTTGTTTTAAGTAATTAGTGAATGTTTTACGTTTTGGTAGCTTTCAAAAAAACTAAAATCTATTTTCTGCGATTTCTACTGGTCGCTATGACAAATTTTCATGGACTTTAAGTATCAAATTCTGCAAAGTAATAACAAAATAAGCAACACGCAATTCCGAATATTATTAAATTTAAACGCTATTTACACGTTCCATAAATTTTAAATTTTGCCTCTTGTAGTGATATTCATATTTTATTTATCACTTCTAACAGATTCGTAGAAAAACCTTGCTTCTGAGAAGATATTGTGAGCACTCTAGTGCCATAAACATTTTTTCGTGTATCTGCTAAAAAATAGCTTTTCACGATCACTGGTTTAATGTCTTATTAATATTATAGATTTATGAGAAGTTTCTAAAAAATGGAATTTAATTTAATAATATATACCGGGTAACACAAGAACATGGGAACACTCTATAACTTTTAATGAACTATTAATTTTTTAGGATAACCTAGTGGGAAACCAAAACTTTTTAAAACTTTTTGCAACATTTTGACACCAAAATTTTCAAAATCCATTACAAAATAAGCTCATAATAAGCAAAAAACCAGATAAGTAAATACATTTTTATAAAAACTAAATATTACTTAGGTGACTTTGCTTCTATTGATCAAATCGGCATGATTAAAAATCCTGACAGTTTGTACATTTTTATCCGATTATCGATTTTGGTGTTAGCGATTTGGATTATCATGGAAAACTTTAAGTATCAAATTCTGCCAAGTAATAACAAAATATGCAACACGAAATTCCGAATATTATTAAATTCAAACACTATTTACACGTTCATGGGAAAAATTGTAAATAAAACTTTTCTTTACTTGTCTAATGGCAAAAAGCATTTATTGTAATGAGCTAATATTTTTTTAGGATAACCTAATATTTTCAAATAGCACCCTGTATGCAGCCCGCTACCGCCTTGCTGCACATCCTTTATTTAGAAAGCTGGAATTATTTTCTAACAGATTTTCAAAATATTGTGTTGAATTATCCAAAAAAGTGACAGATTTGAAAAAAAAAAATTATATTCTCTTCTTCTTCTGAGCTTCCGGCAAAAAGTGCTCGTAGCTTATGCCGTACGTATACATACAATACTTACGTTAGTTTTAGATAGTATTAAGTTTTTTTTTAATTACTAATCTGTTTTTTGTTCTGCATTTTTTATCTTACCGACTTGACAATTAATAATGAATAGAAGCAAAGCCACCTAAGTATTATTTTGGTTTTATAAAAATTATCTTAACTTATCTTAACTTATTTATGATGATCACAGTCTCCTAAATACAATTTTCAAAAATTAAATAAAAATTTAAAAAAACAAAAAATTCAAAAAAGATATAAGTTGTGCCATTTAAAATTCGAAAGTTACTCTCGTTTCCGCTCAAACCGGAAGTGCAACCATTGACTGCATATTGTCAAAAAATTGGTCCTTCAGCCTATATTAACCCTTTCAAATTACAAATCGCTATCTCGAGCCGTTTAAAAATTATAGAGTGTCCCCACTCTCTTGTGTCACGGTATATACTCTCTTTTGACTTTTGACCCTATGAATGTTGTTAATTGCATTGTTCGTTCACAATTAGTTCCACAAAACCCGGAACTAAGTGCAATAAATGGCGAGAAAGAATTCAGAAACACCAAGGCTGGGCAGAACATATTTATCATCAACTGTTCCACTGTTGCTATTTTTAGGCAGTCATTAAAATAGTTAACTTATCGAATAAATTCCTTAACAAATGCTGTAACTAGGACCTTGAAATGCAGTAATCTTGACCGGAGTTCTGCAGGGGAATATGACTATATCAGATAAAGTTATTTGCCACCATTTTGGCACTCGTAGTCGTTTAGTATTTCCCCTACCATCACCAGTATACATCTAAATCTGTTTTTCAGTAGAACCTCGTTGCCGGTGACACACGGTCGTAAGAAAATGGGATCAGTCCCAATTTATTTTTACATTACGATCCGTGAACATTCACACGATAAAGTTACGCGAATTTGAAATCCTATCGAGTTTTATGAAATGTTTTGGTTCAATAACGATGAAGACGAAGAGGATGTTTTGTTTTCGCCGGCTCTTATGGCCCGAAGAGCCTCAGAGAGCTGGATTGACACCCCGCCAATTGAGGTTGTGTTATTAATAGATGGTTGCCCATTCATCATTTTCGGGTTTCATTGTGCGTTAAACAAAAATGCACATTACTCATAAAGGATGGTAGAATCGATCCTTTTTCAGAGCATTTCTGATTACAGTAGGTTTCGAAGTTATTTTAAGAAGCCTAATGTGCACAGATTTAACTAATAAATCCTAAGTTCGGGTCTATTCAGACATTTGTTTTGGTAAAATGAAAGGTCCGAGCATGGTCCAACGTGATATCCCTTTTCGCTTTGCTCTTTCACTTCAATTTGCGCAATGTTTTTGAGTCCGACATCCAGTGATATCAATTTTTGTATATTGATTGGTACGAACACTTGAATCAGGGTGGGGATGGAAACATCTATTTCGCCAAAATATTGGCAATGATGCAACATCAGAGCGGAAATATATTAGCATTCCAATACCTTGACAATTTAGACTGCATTTAATATAGGGGAATTCGTTAATAAAATAGACATCGGTTATATTCTTGCATTAACGAATAAAATCAAAAAGACGACAAACTTTTTAAATCACACCTTTAGACATAGTTTTCCATAGTCCGCCAGATCAAACCAAAGCGGCACTTTTTACCCTTCCCGCATTGAATTGAGAGCATGTACTTCTTTGGTAACTTTGAACATATCCGTATTATTAAATTTTCTAGAAAACTCCGTTTTCATGTAAGACTGCAATAGAACAATATTGAAATAAATATTTCAATATCTTTCGTTACTGGAATCTTGATTTAGGAAATTCCCGGTATATTGCAAAATAAACCAGATTATTATTTTCACACCCAAGTTTTGATATATTTGATGAGTTGGTTAATGGCAAATATACACGTCAAGATAAGTAAGGCCTAAGTCACCTTATATATTTTATATTGTATTCCATCTTTATATTATTTATCTCTTTGATTGAGACTGCCCAAGTTTTGGTTAGAGTTTTACCATCTTTTAAGTGCCTAACAGTCGTTAGCATACCTGAAAACTTGCAATATATAAAGTAGATTAAATTAACCGTTGAATAAATCTAGTGATACTTGTAGAATTTAGGGTAAATGAAATCCGTAATACAACTTCTATTCTAAGCGAACATTGAGCAAACTTCATTGAGCACTAATCTCAAAACTAGTCATTTTATAAAGGAAACTATGAAGATACTTCTCAAAATCTTATTATCTTTACCAAATAAGCTCTGTCTGAAGCGTTTGTGAAAAGTCCGATACAGAAGGAATTCTTGATTTTAAATCAGATGGGCTCCTATGTGATTTGGTAATTGATATCCGATTGAACAAATATTACGACAAACAATGGAATATAGAACCGCAGATATATTGAAATAACTCAGAAAATAGATATAAATTAAATTTTCCTGTACATATCTAACCTCAAGCAACTTCTTTGGTCCAGACAAATCGGCACACATTAACGTTGAAAATAAATATAAATTAACAAGCTCCTAATATTTTATTTTCTCTTTTCATTTGACTGGCAAGTTGATTCAAATAAACATGCAAATAATTAATTCATAATAATAAATATGTTTTTAGCAAGCATTTTAATAAGCTCTCTGGGTATTACCTAATGACAATTACTAGGTATAAGTGGATATTTACGCGGATGGTGGGTTATTGTATAAAAAATTAGATATTAAACGAATATACAACCTACGCAAGTATTAATGTTCACGTTCATGTTCTTTTAGACTTTTGATACGATTATAAAATTCATCATTAAGCGTATCTAAGTATTTTGTAAACTATTCCAGACGATTGTAAATCAGCAGTCCTTGCAACGCAAAAAGTCTCTACCTGACGTACAGGAACTGCCCAGGGCGACCACACAAATTCCGAGGGAAGAGGTAGCTGCACTTGGATCGGCGCGTCGTGAAGAAATTAGGAGACAGCTTAATGAAAAGGAACGACTTAGAGCTAATCCATTATTGTACTTAGTGAGTCCACAAGTAAAGGTACGCATTTAGTTTTGTATTTGTTTCATTCTCTTGGGTTATTTTGTTTGGTAGATCAGTGACAAACACGAAAACAATGGAGCGAACGGGGTAATTTGGCAAAGTGGGTGCAAAACATCAGAAATAAAAGAAGCTCAAAATACAGGTCTTGAGAAATGTTTCCCATTAAGATAATGCAATGAAAGTCTAGGACAATAATCTCGCAATATCACATCTTTTACATTTTGGCTTTTTATTCATTTTGACTATCAAGGCAATATATTTATATTTTTTTTTTTAATGAGAAATTGCAGTTATAAATAAAACTTTATGGAAAATATGGAATTGGGCAAATTATGTTTTCAATAGTTAATAGTTAATAGCATATATCAGAGTGATTTCCTTTTGCAGGACTGGATATCGCGACAACAACTGGTCCTTGTTGTGCTCTTCGTTAACATTTCCTTAGCTATTCTGTTTTTCAAGTTGCTGACGTAGTATATGGTATGCGTCGGTCCTGACGCAAGATGGGTTACACTCAGGATATTCAAGAAATTGTGGGATCGCCGAAGTACGGACGTTACTTATTTAAAGCAGATCTGGTTGATGTTTGTTTTATTGAAGTTACTGAATATAGACGTTTCTTTGGAGACGCTTGTTAAAGTTTCTTTTGTCTCGCTTTGCTAAAAAGTCAAAATTTGTTAAATAAAAGATTACGAAAGTCTTCTTTGATAACCCGAGTCGTCTCTGGTTAGGACTCAATTTTGTCGTTATCTAAGTTAGATCTTCAAATAGTTTAGGTTGCGTTGACGTGGGCCTCCAAATACTATGATAAAGCCCAACGACTGTTGCAAATGATACCTACCGACGGAAAAATAAAGAGATAAATGAAAACGCCATAGGTAATTATTAAAAACTTATGACTGCTTAAAAATAAGATAATATAAAATTTCAACTCGGATATTAAGATGTACAGCGGGCAATTTTGTTGCTTGGTATCAAGTTAAACAAGTACTTGCGGATGTTTTTTTTTTCCAAAACAATAAAAAGAATTGGACAATCCTATTTATGACACTATCTTGTGAGTTAATGAACCAATAATTTTGCTTTTGTGCAATTATATTATCGCTATGGATAAAACAATCCTCCCAAGTCGGGGTCATTTGGTTCCTTCGTTTTGAGGCCGTGAACGTTACCTAAGCTTTTGGAAATGAGTGTATCATTGCTCCCATGCATGTGCTACCGGACATTGATTTGGACTTTAAATTTAAGCCTCATCTATTGTTAAAGATAAAAAAATATAATAAAAAATGTAAATTTATTAGGAAACAACTCTTCTAACGTGACGAAGATATATCTGAAAACCATGCTAGTGGCTTGGATTCAGGATTAAAATGTCACTATTGTCATATTTAGATTTTTCTATACCCTAGGTAATTAAATAATTTAAGAAAATTCAAATCTCTAGCTAATGCCGACGATATAGCTTAGCTTTAGCACATAGAAATTCTCCGAAATCTATTTTTGATCTAAAATTTATTCTGTAAGACGTACATACCATATTTTAAAATTTGTACTTCAATTTACATTTTGTGTGCCTTCTTAAAGTTTTTTACAAAACATTTGCTAACTACCTTGTATCCACTACTAAAGAAATACATATGCCGTTGAAAAATCGAAAACGAGTTTATTATATATGAGTCAACAATATATTGTAATAAGCGTTTCCCGAGTTTTAATTTTATTTGTGTCCCTTAACTTATAGAAATATAAGATGCGAGCAAAAAAAACTACCTGAATACCGATTGTGCAGCAACGATCATCCATAGTTATATTTTATTATAAATTCCAACCAGAACTTCAACTTATTAATATTATATAAACAATTTAAATCTATTTCTTTTGGTTTTTCCACATAAAATGAAAACAATTGAAGTAATCGTAATACTGTAATACAATAAAAAAAAAGATAAAGAAAAGATAAAATTCACCATTGAACTACAAAGTAACTACCATTTCCAGGATACCCTGCGCTAGAATTTTTAGGTTTTTCTAAGGTTTCAGTTATCAAAGCTACCCGCGTCTATTTTACTTTTTTTCTGCATATTGTTTATAAAATATTTGGATGCAATTTATAATGCTTATATAAATAACTACTACTACTGTCATAATCGTCATAGTGAATTAAAAAAAAATGCATAATTCGATAAGAAAATATTTACCAACAATTTATTAAAAACATTAATTTTGGACTAAGTTATTGGCATAAGAGTTTTTTTGTGGTTATGACAATATTTAGGTACCACTAAAAAATGGTTTCCTTTAAACTACTTAGTCTTACGTAGTCTAATAAAAAAAAAACGGCTAATAATAAGACTAAAGGTTAATTTTTTAATATTTACAAATCAAACTTGCTAGTATAACAATAAAGGTTTTGACATTCTCCTACAATTGAAAATTGAAATTAAAATTCACTTTTCAAAATTTCGAGATACGTTGAAGTGTATAAACACTTTTGCATACCAGATACCATAAAACGGATGATTGAAAATTAATTTTAAACACGCATTTGAAAGCAACAGGTGATTTTTTTCTCGGTATAGTTGTTTTTTAATATACAACATCTTCCGTTACACAACGTAAGCAATACAAATAATTATCTGATATGTGAGAACTAAAAATTTTTTTTCTAGGCTACAAATTTCCGTCTAATCCTAATCAAGCCACCATACCACAACTATGTATTATTATTTTTTTGAGCTACATAAACTTTTGTTGATAATTGTCTACCAAGTAAAACATTTTAAATATTTATTTTGTAATTTAAAGTATATAAAAGTCTGCGCTATTTGCTCCCATGGAAAATTTAATAGAATATTGCTCAACTTTCCTACCTTTATGTGGTTTGGTGATCGATAGATCTTTCCAAAAAAGGCACATTTTGTTTCGTATTTTCTTTAATAATCAGATAAACAAACTAATACTGCAATTACTTTCAATTGAAACACATTTCAATAGTTAAATCCATTAATAAAGGTGTAAACAAAAACTAATTTATACAGTATCAGTTTCAAAATATATATAAATATATAAGATTAAATTACTCTTCTGCAACATAAATGCGAACAATTTATCTATTTATTTATGTAAAATATATGTACATCAGAATCACAAGTTTATTCTTGGCCAAATGTATCCGTCTCTTCAATAGCATAAGTCAGCTTCTCAGCCAATTGCTCGTAACTTTTATAAGGAGGTAGGTCTAGCCTATTAAAACAGGTGTGGGAGCGTGGCAACCACGAATCCTTACCCACCTTCTCGATGCAAAACCTTTGAGGCCCGTTCGAACCCATCAACTCTGCAAATCCTCCAACTGGAACTCGACATGTTCCAGTTACAAACTGCAGCAACCTAGCTCGTTTCTCGTTATCTGATTGCTTGACAAATTGCCAGAACCAAACCACAGGCTTGCTATTTCTGGTATAATGTCGGTATATGGTGTGTTTCTGCCAATCTTCAATGTCAATTTCCTGCATACCACAGAGTAACAGCTCCAGTTCCCGTTCGTCGAAATACTTGAGCCATTCGATAGGAACAACTTCATTAAACCCGTCCAAAAATGCCTGCGTTTGTTGCTCAATGCCTCTTGTCATGCGCCAATTGGTCATCATAGTAAGATATTCTTCTTTGGACTCTTCAGTCACCCGCTCGGAATCTCCGTTCTTCTTCAGTTCATGGTGAACCACTTGTCCTAGTACTTCAAAGTCGACGCTGAAGTATAATTCTAGACCGCAGTCATCAATATTATTCTCCTTAATCCATACCAGCGAGTTGTAAAATTCAGGATCAATACTTTCAATGTCTTTCATAATCAACTTTTTCCCCAACATTCTTTTGTAAAACGGCATTGTGAATCCCGAATAAATGAATCTTCCGTGGTAAAGAGCCATCGCAATGAATCGCCCAATGAACTTAAAATAGGTCAAGTGCTCAGGATTTACGTAGGACGCGGGATTAATCTGCAAGCTGTAGTTGTTTTTATTCGCGTATTCAAAGAGACAATACATCGGATTAAGGGCCTCGTGGGATACCAAAAAGAACCATTCGCGGCTCACACCGCCATAATCTAGGCCCTCTTCCCCTTTAAAAATTATGTATAAACGTCTGCGCAATTCATAGGCCGGCAAACGCATGATCGCGTGGAACGAGTCTTCAAATAATGTCTGTCTGGTTACTTGAATTTTAATGTGACTAGCTAGCGCGTTGCTCTGACATAGAAATCTGAATTGACTAATTTTCCATTTAAAAGACCTCTCGTATGCTCGCGGCACACCATATACACCTTTAGGCCCTTTAGGAGCGCCAGGACGCGGGTCGTCAAAGGTGGTCGTTTTTGTATTGTGGTCCACAAAATATCTTTTATTGTCTTCAGTGTAACGTATCTCCCAACCTGGCGGAAGAGGGAGTTCATCGAGCTCGCCCACTTCCTGCCCTTGAGTACGAGGATCTTCCCATTGAGTAGTGCGGTTTTTGTGGTTTACAAAATACACACGTCCCTCGGGCTGCACTCTACGCTCCCATCCCGACGGTAACGGCCCTAAACCATCGTCCTCGTCTGACGGTACCGAAGTACTGGGAGTTGGACCCGCTTGATACTGGGGATACAAAAATCTTTGGTTACCTTGCTGAACAACAGTCTGCCTTTGACCCTGCCATTGTTGGTAATGCTGAAGCCTTTCTAGATTAGGTCTCTGCCATGTGGTCGTCCTCGAGTTGTGATCGACATAATAGACGCGCCCCCTAGGATCGCGTCTCATTTCCCAACCCAGGGGAAGTGGTTGGGGCCTCTCCCACGACGTCGACCTTGTATTGTGGTCGACGTAGTACCGCCGTCCATAAGTGTCATACCGCATTTCCCATCCTGGAGGAAGTGGTTCGTCTACTCTCTGTTCGTCCTGCTCTTGCTGCAGTGCAGAATTAGTGGGAACAGTAGCGGGTGGGCCGATGTTTCCCCCTAGGAAAGTTATTAGTTGAAACTCATATGATAGCTTGTTTGAGAGACAGCAGTTTTGTTAGAATCAAATCATATGTATGAAAGCGTTGTTATGAAGGTCCTAGTCATACCCATTTGTTATGACGTCATTAACCTTCAAAGTTTTCAAAAAAATTTATGTCAGATGGTTGTTTATTTTTTATATACCTATATTTAAGGTAACTGTCAATTAGCCACCTGTAATTTGTAACACTCATTATAATGCGTTTTTCGCAACCAGCATGAACATCAGTATAAGTGGGTATAATTAAGACTATAGGTGAACTTCTTAACTCTTAGACTTAGAAGTTCCAAATCATCATAGCAAAAAGATGATAACAAAACAACATAAAAATGAATTTTGTTTCAAACACTGCCCTTTCAGACGATTCTAATTTAAAATTGATTTACGGTGCTACGATCTTATTACAGATAGCATATAGATCCCAGTACAATAAAGAGCTTAATGATAAGATAGTGAGCCCTAAAGTGATACACCAAAAAACTTCATCTAAGTTTATCTCTCTTATCTTTATCCCAAGTTTTATACATGTTTTATACACCATGTGCTGTACACAGACAATAATTCAAGGAAAGAATGATCTTTAAAAGTTTAAATATAAGCATAGAAGAATGAGCTATTATAGTATAGAATTCTGAACTCATAGCTATGCTGTATTTATACTTAATTTAATCTCATCTAAACCTGACTGCTAAAACATGTATAAATTATCAAAAAGTAAAGACATTGCTAAGATAGATACATACAAAGATTTATTGTTTTAAATGTACCTGTTGGGCTATCTGAATTAGTTGCAGCAGGTACAATTGGCACTGGTGGAGCAGGTCTTTCAGGCCTTATTGATGAAGATGATGAAGAGTTTGGTAATGTTTCAGGTAGTGCACTATCCATTTGTTGGTGCCTGGATTTAATTCTTATGCCACTTAAAACCATAACAGAAGAACCATTACTATTCTGCATCATTTGATGTAGATTGCCGGCAGAATTTCTCGAACCAGGCATTCGTCTTGAACTTGATATATTGTCAAATCCTTTAAATGTACAGAGTAATTCACCAACTTTTATAGGATTATCCAATTGCTTGCCCTCATTCATCAAATCCAGTGTCACATCACAATCTCTACCGTCTGAGTGTAAAAGCAGTTGATAAAAATCTACTGTTTTCTCACCAACAATAGTGTCCTTTCGAAAACTGTTTCTGTCTAATACAGCAAATTTTAGTTTTGACTGAAGTGTGACAGACAAATTAAATGATTCGTTCCACTTTGGTTGAGTTGTATTTTTAACAGTCTCGGTCTTAAGGGGTGTCTGACCATCTATACTTATTTCTGCATAAGGGCTTGGTTTTATAAAGGAACTGCTTTGTAAGTGTGCACATTCTACTGTCACATATATTTGAAGAATTCCCGGCACAGACGATTCTTGTGAAATTTGCTCCATTTTTATTTAATAAATTAATTGAATTCCTCTATCACATCCTCTGCGATTGTACTATACTCCTTTTGCAGTTATAATTGCATTGTGTTTTGAGCAGATTTGAAAACACTTCGTTGTATAACGAGCTATTACCGACGATATTGTCAAATTTGTCTGTAAAAAGTAATTGTGACATACGCACTGGCTGATTATTTGAAATAAGACAAAAAATACATACACTATCAAAATGATCCACTCATGTTTTTTTGTAAAATTGCTCACGTGACCCTTATGTCAGTCACAAACACAACAAGCCTAATGTCAATTTGATAATCAGCTGAGAGATGATCGTGAACCTAGTATTAGGTAGTTCAAAAGAACTATCTATAAACAATCGATATCGCAATGTGCAATATATAAAATCTACGCCCAAGTAATTGGGTATTCCTATTAAATTTTCAATAAAAAGATAAACCTGTAGTTTTGTATTTAGTAGATGGGATCATAATTTATGAAAATATCAGATGGTGAATTTTTAGTGTATCACCAGTTACGTTGGCGGATTTGACTTTGCACAATATTTCATCAAAAAATAGAAATCTTATCAAAATTTTGCATAATTGAATTCACAAGTCTAGTGAAAATTTACATCGCACTGCCGGTAATTTCCTTCTGATCCTGTTGTTGTGGCCCGCCCCACGCGAAAAATAATAAGTAAATATTTCTGTGAACCGTGCCCAACAGAATTTGTGAAATGTATAGTTGAATTGAATTATGCTGTGAATATATTTCTCAATTCTCTGATTATTTAGTTTTCTTTTTCATTTCGTTATTTTGATCATTATGAGCTTTGGTAACTAGTTCACCATTTTCTTTTATTAATATATTTATATATATTGTTTATGGTCAAAAGAGACTTAAATTTCGATTTCAAGATCTAGGTGAGCCAGCTTCTGCCAAGAGGGATAATATAATATTATGCGGTTCCAGTGTGGACTACACTCCAATGAATTTATTACCACCCCCAAATAATCTACTTAGGTATACTGTTTGTTTGCGGTGCTATTTGTGTAGGTAATATTGAACATCATGGTAAGAGGAGGTCTCAAATGCCATTAAATAAGTTCTTTTTAAGGCACTGAATGAGGATCTAGGAGATGTTTTCTGGTGGATACCAATACGAACTGAACAAATGTTATCAATCCAAAGCACTAACGGTCTCCTTGGATTGTTCTGTATACAATTGTTTAATTCTATTTTAAATCAATAAAACACTTTCTAAGTGTTGGTTAAATGTGTCGATAACATTTAACAACCTCTTTTTTGCGGGAAACAGAACATGAAATAATCATATCAGAGAAGACGTAATCATCTATCACAGGCTACTAAGTATTGAGCATTGAGTTGCACAACTATCATGTGTAGAGTTTCTGATTACAGTTATTTGTTTTTGCATTAGCTGCCTTTACCCGTTGACTCTTTTTTGTTCCCTAACATAAAATGTTAAATACAGCATCCATTACATACTTTACTGAACTAATCTTTAAATTATCGATGCCTTTATAAAAATGTATGTATGTTTCCAAGCTATCTCCGAGAAAACATATGTTCAAACTTTTTTTTATTTTTAAGTTAATTCGGTTTTGATTACAACTGACTAAAGTGATAATAACCAATGTTGAATCTTTCAGTTTCCGTATCAGTTAATTAGTATCACTTTTAACATTTCAACTGTTTTGTGGTTTAAGTAGACCTGGCGCCGCACTATTATAATATACAATACTTGTATGTATATATTCAAGTCATGCTTAAGACGTTAGTCGACGACGTACAGTGAAAATAACTTATAAGTCAAAGTACTTAGCATTTTGATAAGAAATACTGATTGGATTATTATACAGGGTGTCCCAATAGTGTATGCTTGGTTGAAATCTTAACAACGGCTAGTGATGGATAAAGAAATCAAATAGAAAAATTGTACAGCAATATGAGCTACATAACCCAAAAATATTTTCATTTATACAGGATGTCCCAAAAATCTGTACCATATAAAAGTTGTTTTTTGTTATAGTACACCCTCTGTTTTGAATTCTACGAAAAATTCTAGACACACTTGATGTATTATGTTCAATAAGGTACAATACAGAAAAATAAGAATACTTAATTTTCAAAAATACACTATATTTCACATACCAAAAGTTTTATATATAAAATATAATAACGTTTTAATATAATAATGTTTTATTTTATCAATGAATTTGTAAATTAAAAAAAAAAACTATTCCAATAAACTAAAAAAATAACATTATTTACATATTTAAAATGTTAAACCTCATCTTTATTATTCACTTTCCTCGTTTGAAATTTCAGAACTGTCTGGATCAAAAGAATTTTCTATTCTGACATTCTGATTGGTGACCTACCGCGTATTTGACATCTTACTAAAAAAGGCAATACATCTTTAGGAAACGTTCTTAAATTCGCAATTGGTTCTTCGCAGTACGAACTAATCAAAGGGTCAGAAGTACCCAGCAGCATATTAAAAAGGTCCATATTCGTGTCTATTCTAGATGTTTTTCGTGTATGTGCCAATCGATAACGTTTGCAATCTTTATTGCGAGCCTGTTGTGCTCCTTCGGACAATTGTTCGATTGGTACAATACACTCCCTAACAACATGTACTGCATGGGTTAATATTTTATGAATACTTACAGGCATGGGATACCAATTATACAAGGAAATGTACATTTCCTTAGTTTCTAATTAAAAAAATATTAAATAGTTCTAAATTTAAATTGTATCCCAAAGACAAGCAACACAGTATCACATAAAAACGCCCAATGAGAACTTGATCAATACCTGTTATTTAGGCAAACGTTCTAACGGTGTTTCCATCATTTGTGGTACCAAACCCAGGTTTGGGCTTATCTACTATAAGACACATCTGAATGTTTTTTTTGCTATTTATCATGGCAAACATACTTGTCTCAAAAGTTTCTAATTTGCTAATTTGATCTCGAAGTAAATTAAGCTCGTACATTGACATTTCCTCAGACTCTTTACGAAAAAGAAACTTTATTGGGCGACATAAGAAGTCGTTTTTAAGAGATCAGCTAAATTCTATCGCCACTAGCTCGTACAGACATTTGTGCTGCCAGTGGCGGTTCCTCCATAAGTGCACATGTGCACGTGCACCCCCAAATTTAATGCCCGCTCGGAAAAAAAAATATTTATGTAATTATATCCTACAATTCTCTTAATCCTATTTATAAAAAAAAAACGATTCATCAAAATTCATAAAATTGAAATTAATACATAAAAAACTAGGAATTTCTTATCGGCCGTCACCGCGACCGCCGCGCCGGTATAAATCATTGTATAAACAAAACTCCAAACCCCCTTTGCCAGCAGCCGATTCCGCCGATCGTAAAATGCTTCGTTCACTGCTCATGGAACTAATAGATCTGATTGGTCAATCATCCGCCGCCCGCACTCTTTGTTTCCCGCGGCGGTCTACCGATCTAAGCTGGCCCGTGTGCACACGTAATGAGTGCACTTGTAGTTCGCGTTTGCAAATATAATAGCCGATGACGCGTGCGTGTTGAAAATTAGTATTCGAAAAATAGTTTTAAAACTCTGTTAAAATGACGGACAATTATAACGTGCAATATTTAAAGACAATTAAATTTTCTTCTCTTCCATTGGAAGAAAAAATTAAAATTAAAAGTGTTGGACGTCCCAAACCGAATGTGTTAATTATTAATACAACTAAATGCAAAAATCGAGAATATAAACGTACTTTTAAAATAGAAATGTATGAAAAAACTGACTGGTTGTGCGGGTGTGATGTGAGTAATAGTCTCTACTGTTTTCCATGCTTATTATTTTCAAGCGATCAGGCATCAGATCCATCAGAATGGACAAAATCCGGAGTAAAAGATTTAGTTCATTTATCCGAAAAAATTAAAAAACATCAGAATTCTAAATCACACTTATCTGCCAAATTAGGATTTAATTTATTGGGAAAACAAGATATTAGACAGCAATTAAATAGTGTCTATCGTTTAAGCATAGAAAAACATAATGTCCAAGTAAAAAATAATAGATATGTTTTATCAAAAATTATAAACTGTGTAAAATTTTGTGGTGCGTTTGAACTTGCCCTCCGCGGACATCGCGAAAAAGAAGATTCTGTAAACCCTGGTATATTTAGGGGACTCATTAATTTTTCTGCTGAACTGGATATAGCACTGAGGGATCATTTGCAGCAAGCCACCATATTTAAAGGAACATCAAAAGACATTCAGAACGATTTATTGGAATGTATGCTCTCTGTTTGTCAGGCACATATCAAAAAAGAAATTGCGGCATCAAAATTTGTATCTATTATGAGTGACGAAACCAGTGATATTTCAAATATTTTTCAAATGGTTATAGTTTTCCGTTATACATTACCGAATGGCAGCCCCGTTGAGAGATTTTGGACATTTGTAAAACCAAATGAACATGATGCTGTTGCCTTAGCTGGCTGCATAGAAGAAGCGTTAAATTATGTTTTAAAAAATCCGGATCAATTAATTTCCCAAAGTTATGATGGAGCAAGCGTCATGAGTGGCGCTCAAGGTGGTGTTCAAAAACTTATTAAAAATAAATTTAAATACGCTCATTACATCCACTGCTATGCACACCAGTTAAATTTAATAATGTCTCAGGCAACAAGCATAAATACAAATGCACGCATTTTTTTTGCCGAACTTAGTGACATTACTAATTTTTTTTCAAATTCACCACAAAGAGTTGCGATACTGGATGAAGTGGTTGGAAATAGAGTTCCAAGTGCATCTGCTACCAGGTGGAACTTCAAAATTAGAACTGTGAATACCGTATATGAAAACCGGAAGGCACTTATAGAGTGTATGGAAAAAATACAATCCACATCCAGACAATCCGATACAATCACGAAGGCAGGCGCACTTTTAAGATTATTGTATGATCCTAAGTTTATTTTTTGGTTATCCGTTTTTCATCGAATAATGCCTCATGTCAATATTTTATATTCACAACTGCAAAAAAGATCAACTGATTCGGTAACCGTAAAAAGATGTATTAATGAATTTGAAAAAAATATACAGAAAGAACGGGAGACAATTCACACCATAAAGGAAATTGAATTAGCAAACATGGATGAAAGTCAAACTAGAAAAAGAAGAAAGACAGAAGAGAGGCATTCTTATGTTTCTACGATTGTGCAAGCCAAGGAAGTATGTGATACTATACTTGCAGAAATCAAAAGAAGATATTCATTCACTGGCCATTTGGAAGTAGCGCACTTATTTTCAGTTGAAAATTTCGAGATATTTTCAACTAATTTTCCCACCAAACACTTAAATTCAGCAATTATGAATTTTTCTTTTCTGAACAAAGATAAATTGAAGACGGAACTGGAAATAATCTACAAAAGATCAGATTTTAGAGAAGTTTCAGGAGCAGTCCACCTACTTAAATTTTTAGTTGAAAATAATTTGCAAACAGATTTCTCAGAGACTTTTTCAGTACTACAAGCAATTGTTACGATGCCAATGACAACTGCAGAAGCGGAACGTTGTTTCTCCACATTAAAAAGAATTAAAACTTTTCTTAGAAGTACAATGGGTGAAAATAGGTTGACTGCCCTCGCAATGTTATCCATTGAGAAACAAATGATTCAAGAAATTCCAAATTTTAATGAATTAGTGATTGAAGAATTTATCTCGAAGAAGGACAGACGTATTGATTTTCAATTTAAAACGTGTTTGTGAAATATAAAATCTTTGATAAAAACTATTACTTATGTACATAAAAACATTTTTTTTTGCGAGGCCAAAGTTAGTACTCATCGGTGACAGCAGGGTAAGTTATTTATTATTATTTTTTTAATTGAGATATAGTTTTCTATTATTGATTGGCCTTTGAATAACGCAAAAAAATTTTTCGGCGTCGTCGCGTGGCCGCCAATTTTTTGATTTTACGTTGTGCACCCCCTAAATATGGAACCACGCGCCGCCGCTGTGTGCTGCGCATGTTAAGTCAGCTAAAGATCTTGATGCAACAAGGTCGCGTACCTTGGTGTGTTTGGTCCGTTCGCTACAGGTTTCAAATGATTTTTGTGGTCTCCCTGGAACACCAAAATTATTATTTTCATCTGAAGCATTACAATCTTCAGCTATATTTCCAAAAATGAAATGGTGCGCTAACCAATCTTGATATTTTATTAAAAATCTAAAAAAGGAAATGCATGATTAATTATCTAATATGAAAATTAACATTTTGTAAGAATAAAATGAATATTAAAGAATCAAGTATAATAGTCACATGACGTTTTAAAGTTTCTTAGAAATTAGTATAAGCACTGTCGCAGAGCGTAATTTATACTATTTTCTTGCGCAATGCGCTATTAAGATTAAAAAATTGTAAAAGTAAAAACGTAGTTGGGAATAATTAAATCAAACATTTTTAAATTACTCTTGTAACTAATTAATATTAGTAATTATATGTGCAAATCACCCTGTATAGTTAAATATTTAGTGCAGCTGGCCATTACACAATAAATTTAATTTAAAATGAAATTTCTATATCTTTATAAACTTAGATATTTTACTCTTAAAGCGATTTCGAAAAATGCTATGTGTTCCCGCGCTATCTTAAGCTGTACCTATGGTGTAATTAGACTTACAAACAAATTTACAATCGCTTTTTCGATTTTAAATAATTTTTTATTTTGAACTATTATCCCCAGAAATTTATATTTAATTTTCACTTATAGCGTTTTTCGTAATTTTTAGCCTATTTTCATTGCGGCACGAAATCGGAAATTGTTATAAATTAAGCTAGAAACGAACGAACAATAAAAAGTTTTTTATATTAATGTAGTTATGTTGCAGACTATTTTTAGACACACTGCATTATAACGATTATTTTCTTCTAGGATGGAAGTGTGTTATACTAATTTGAAGACGAAACTTAAGGCCCGGCCTAGACGGTGCATATTATTCTTATGTATATATATATATATATATATATATATATATATATATATATATATATATATATATATATATATATATATTTATACACGATAACAGGAGCAGAATATAGTGCAATATTACTTAGTTTAGTTTACTTCGTTTTTATTATTTATTGACTGTGTAGGC